TTCTCTGGGCACCAAGGCTGTGCAGGGCACTAGCCACTGCAGAATCACTAGCCACATGTCCTCAGACAGTACCGGTACAGATAGTTTCTCCCAGTCCTCCTCTCCAGTCCCAGATGGGATGTCCATAAATTGGCTTACTATCTGACAAGGGTAAATGTTCTATGTATCTGCCTAGAAATAGGAAAATAAGACGTGCAGCGCAAAGTTTAGGCCTAGAATACCGCGCAGAGATTGTAATTGCATGCGCACAGCCTCTTGCAGACCTCTGCGTGCTGCTACAAAGGCAGAATGTAGAGAGAGCTCGAAGTAGGCAGGCAGGACGGCAGGCAGGCAGGAAGGCAGGAAGGCAGTTACGTATCTGTATAGGAAGGTAGCACGTAAGATTGTAGTAACAGCGTTCTAACAGTATCTTAACAGCGTCCTAACATGCTGTTAACAGAGTAAGTTGTATTAATATTATATTAGCCTGCAACAGATAGCTGCTTACGCATTTTAGAACAAGGATATTACAGCAAAAATCTAATGTTACAAGCGTTAGGCCTCCCTCTCCAAGTTACTATAGAGCGTCTTACGGGTACTGTAACAGGCTAAAATCTCAGGATTACGTGATCGTCTAAAGAACGCAAACCTCTAAAAAACTACGTAAACTACTGTACTCCCTCTCGCCAACACTGCTACCCCCTCTTGCGCATGCCAGTGATATCCTATAGACACTCGTCCTCCCCAAACGCTCTCAAAAAGAATTCGGCATTTGTCGATGCTTCACTATGGCTAGAGACCCCTTTCCTCAAGATAGCAGCAGGAATTGCCTACGACAGGCTCTTTTGTCAAGGGATGGAAGAGACTCCATCTCGCTCACTAAGCTGGAGAAGGGCGATCGCTGGTGAAGTCGCTGGGATAAGTAGAGCCTTATTGATTCGTTCAATGGCCTAAAGATTACTAAAACGAGCCCCTGGGAGAGATGGGATCTAGATTGACATGTCGAATAGGCGACCCTGGTAAGTAGTGTCCCCACGGCACATTGAAAAGCCTCGACGAGGCATGCCTGAGAATATCAATGTATCTAACGGAGTTGCTTCAACGGTGCAGGAGCGCGCTCATGACCATGCCCTGAAAGAGCTGGTCCCAGAGTGCGTTTCTAAGAGGTGACGATGTTATTAGAGTGGAGTAAACGCGCTGTAAGTCTCCATTCTTCTCTTCACGTAACTGAGCTGTCATGCGGATTCTTTTGATGTGTACCCAATGCAGGTACGAAGCAAACACTGAGGGACCATGTCACTCACCGCTCAAATAAACTATCCTTTTCCCCTTCCGTACTTGGATGAGGTCGTTGAGAGATTTCTCTGGAATTCATGCGAAGGCGAGAGATGCGAACTTGATAGAGCTCATGGCTCCTTTCGCATCCTACCGCCATAGAGACTGATAGATAGGACGGTATCAGAGAGATTAGTTTTAAATATTTCGAAGTGAGTGAGCTTCCTGTTTTGGAGTTGGGCAAGTTAGGTACCATGGTCCTGGGTTCGCTCTTAGTTGCGTGGAAAAGGGGAGTACAATGTCCCAGGGTGGTTAGATCATAGAGACGCAAGTCCGCCTCTATCAACAGGAATAAAAATAGTGCAAAGTTGTGACGGTTTCAACGGTTTGTATAGGTTGCTCAAGCGCTCGTCAGTGAGATCCATGGATGCACTGATGTCCAATGCATTCAGCGACAGCCGAAGTATAGCCCGTGATGTGATGGAAATAATTTCGAGAAAGTCGATAGATTGTAAGAATCATGGAACAAAAGACCAGTTAAGCATCAGCCTATATTGTGAGATTGCATGCACGGCGTTGGCTGCGTGCTATCTATATTCATGTGTGGAAGAGGCTCGATGAAGTTTTCACAAAGAACTCCGTCACATAATTAGGCACTCGGCACCACAGATTTGGAAACTTCCGTATTAACATCGACTCAAAGAAATATACATTCCTCATTGGCGTTCTCCTAGGCCACGATGTCCGTAGTGCCTCATAGCGTGGGAAAACTCCCAGTACCTTGCCTAGGCTAAAGTTTAGATCTAGCCCGTACTCACACAAGATTCCAGACGTGAAAGATGACCCAAACTCCATCGTAAACCACAAGCACTCAAAAGTCTTTGCTTCCTCCATGACACACTTCTAGGTCGTAATTACTCTAACTTTGGAATTGCATCTGCAGTGATACCGTGTAAACCAATCGTCAAAATCAAAACGAATAATTCGTCCTGAAACCTATCAAACTATTCTTCAACGTGCCCTTATGAGGATTCGTCCTCGTCTCAACGCAGATGCACCTTAAATATGCTAGCTAGACACTGAGACCTCCAATCCCTTCCATCTCACCAAAAGCCTCTGATAGAATAAGGGTACTTTACCATCCCTCAACACTGATTCCCGAACCCTTTATTAACCCTCAGCCCTCTCCTACCCTGGGGTACGAATCCTCAATCCCCGCCTATCTCCCGCCCCCATACCCCCCAGCTTGTTCCCCCGCAAATCCTCCCCGTCCCTAGCGTCCAACTATAATCATGCCTCGGCTCCTCGGCACCCCAACTACCCCAGCCCGCCCCATAGATCAACCCCCGCATCATCCACCTCTCCAACACCCCTGGTGAATAGAATTGAGAGACGTACGCGGGTGTTTAAGGTTCGGATTTGTGTGGATCCGAGAGGCGATGATGGCTGGGGTAGGAAGACGGTGCGTATCTATGTAGTGAATAGAGGAAGCGTCGAGAGTTTAGATTTAACTGCAAAAGGGCTTTCACTTCGTCTGCTTATAGTACGTACCTTGTTGTTTGCTGTACAGGGGACCATAGGATTAGCAGTAAGCTTACATTTCTTGACGGCCCGGTGAGATGTACTAGATCCGCGGACACTGGCAATGATATATAGCCGGGCGTAAAAGCACACACAGCTTCCCCACACAAGGTAACAAGCTCACGACTCAGGTACTCAGATATAGACCTGGACCCTACCGCACATCTCCGCCGTCCTCTCCTCTCCTCTCCTCCCCTCCCTCTCCCAACTCCTCACCCATACCACCCTCCCCCACAAACCCGCAACCATGCCCATCCAATCCCGCTGGCAAATCCCCATCCCCCGCGTCTCCCTCCCAACCTTCCTCTTCGGCTCCCCGACCGCCCCCCTCTCCGACAAACCCGCCTTCATCTCCACGCGCAACCCAGAAACCCACAACCTCTCCCTCCGCGACTACCGCCTCTATGCCCAACGCCTCGCGTCGGGCCTCCTCCGCTCCGGCCTCGAGCCAGGCGACCGCGTCCTCCTCTTCTCGGGCAACACGCTCTTCTTCCCCGTCATGGTGCTCGGCGTCATCATGGCGGGCGGCATCTTCACGGGCGCGAATCCCACGTACGTGGTCCGCGAACTGGCGTACCAATTACGCGATTCCGGGGCGAGGTATCTAGTCTGTGCGGAGGGGAGCCTGGACACGGGGCTCGCGGCGGCGAAGGAGGCGGGACTGGGCGCTGATCGGATTTTCATCTTCGACGACGGGGCCGCGACGTTTGAGGGGAGGAGGGTGGAGAGGGAGACGCCTGAGGGGAAGATCCGGCATTGGACGGCGCTGCTGGATTCGCCGGAGGAGGGGAGGGCGTATTCGTGGCTGGAGCTCAGCACCGACGAGGAGTTGGATAGGGTGGTTGCGCTGAACTATTCCTCGGGGACGACGGGCGTGGCCAAGGGCGTCATGATCACGCATAAGAATTACGTGGCCAATTGCTCGCAGGTGATTCATTTGAATTCGCAGCATCCGGAGTACGAGGAGAAGGTCAAGAGGGCGAAGTACCTGTGCTTCCTGCCCATGTACCACGCCATGGCGCAGACGATCTTCTGCGTCAATGCGCCCAAGTCGGGATTTCCGGTGTACATTATGCCCAAGTTCGATTTCCTGGAGATGTTGGAGGCGGCGCAGAGGTTCCGGATTACGGATTTGACGCTCGTGCCGCCGGTTGTTGTGGCCATGGCGAAGCATCCCGCGACCCGGAAGTTCGATCTGAGCTCTGTGGAGACCATTGGTTCGGGGGCTGCTCCTTTGGGCCGAGAGGCTTGCGAGCAGTTGGAGGCATTGTGGCCCAAGGGCCGGATCAATGTGAAGCAAGGGTGGGGGATGACCGAATTGACTTGCGCGGCGACGACATTCCATCCTGCGAAGAAGTCCGAGAGCTTCTCTGTTGGAGAACTCCTTGCCAACTGCGAGGCCAAAATTGTGGCTGATGATGAGGGCAAGGTTGAGGTTGCTCAGGGAGAGAGGGGAGAGGTCTGGGTTCGCGCTCCCAATGTCATGAAGGGGTACTGGAACAAGCCGGAGGCTACGAGGGAGACGCTGACGGAGGACGGATGGCTGCGGACTGGCGATGTGGCGTATGTGGACAAGGAGGGCCACTTCTTCATTGTGGATCGCAAGAAGGAGTTGATCAAGGTCAAGGGTCTTCAAGTCGCTCCGGCTGAGCTGGAGGCGTTGCTCCTCGATCATCCAGATGTCCAGGATGCCGCCGTCATCGGTGTGACCATGTAAGAGTGCTCCCACGTCTGCGTATGATGGATGCTGACTTGCGAAGCAACGGAGAAGAGCTCCCACGTGCATACATAGTGCCACAGAGCCAGGAGAGGGCTACGCCGGAGGTAGCTGAAAAGATCAAGAACTGGCTCGCTGAGCGTGTTTCCAGGGCGAAGCGACTGGAAGGCGGAGTCCACTTCATTGATGCCATTCCCAAGAACCCGGTATGTGGAATTCAATCTTTCCCGTGCCGAAAACAAAACTAACCACGGTCATAGTCTGGCAAAATCATGAGGAGAGCTTTGAGGGACAGAGCCGCGGCGGAGCAGACCAAGGCGAAGCTCTAATCTTCTGCGAGATATCAACTAGACCTCGTGTCAGCATAGTCATAGTTGTAGATAAATACCAACTGTATATATCTTTCGAATAGCCCAATGCATGATTGTGTGATTTTTGCATTTCCACTTGTGCTTCGAAATCCCTATTTAAACCGCAGGTTTGCCGACAAGCGTCACCGGTCTTGAGAGGCCATGACGGAATTCCAGGCTCCAATCGCTCTGCACCAGAAAGTCGTGTTGTTGCTGCTGATATATACATGCAGCCGCTTGATCTTCTTCGATATCGTCCTTCCACCTTGAAATGAAACCTCTCAATTGCTCCTTGCTCCGCCCTTCGCTGCCCTCAACTCCTCCATCTTTGCCATCCGCTGCTTGAACTCTTCGTACTGGCACTTCTCGTATGAATGTCGCTCGTTCTGTGACCTATTAATGCGCCGCTCATCTTCAATTGTTGAATCCGGATCCCACCTCGCACTTCCACGGCAGATAGAACTCCTCAAAGCGACACCGGTTCAAAGGGATCAGAAGATGTGCGCAGGAATCCCGATACGGTAGCGGGAGCTTCGCAGCGCTCATCTCAGCGCGGGTAGCCTCTGCATCAGGCCATCAGTATGAGTTTTGCTGCACGGACAAGCCAATTGGGAAGAGAAGCGTGTCCGACTGACTCTTGGGCTCCTGCTGCTCGTGGGAGGCAAGGCCAACGGCCTCCTTAATAGACTCGGTGATAGTCATTGCGGCGGCCCTGCTGTGACTCTTTCGGTTGCGCTGTGCAAAGCTGGCGGAGGACGAGGGCGGAGGTGGGAAGTTGGGCTGGGTGAAGCTTGCTGAGGCATGTCGTCGGCGCGGGCAGGGCAAGGGCCGCCGAAAGGGCTTGGCACCCCGGCTCGCACGCAGACGCGTCGCGGTGTCATTCCCCCCATTATCGCCAGACTGGGACGCACTCATTGTACTATCAACCCTCGAACTGCGAGCGCGCCGCTGGATACCTTTTAGACGTCCGTACGATGCCCCCGGCACCAGATGGCAGAATCTACTCGGCGACGTACAGTAATGTGAGACAAGCGCTCCCTTTAACCCCAGCCTGAAAGAACCAGCTCTCGCAGTTTGCAAATCGCATGTGCTATAGCTACAATGGGGATTTTTTGACGTCGCAGGCTTACATAGAGAACAGGTCCCCGTCTACGAGTTCAATGTCGGCGGAAACCATGTAATGCGCCGCCGCGCCGACGACTGGATCAACGCAACGCATATTCTCAAAGTCGCTGATTTCGATAAACCCGCACGCACCCGCATTCTCGAGCGCGAAGTCCAGAAGGGCATTCACGAGAAGGTTCAGGGCGGGTACGGAAAATACCAGGGAACATGGGTGCCGCTTCATGAGGGCCGCATGCTCGCCGAGCGCAACGGCGTGCTGGACAAGCTGGCTCCCATACTCGACTTCATACCCGGAGATCGCAGCCCACCACCCGCTCCGAAGCACGCAACCGCTGCATCCAGCCGACCCAAACCTGCGCGAGCTGCTGCCGCGCCTGCGAGGAGGACTACCAATGGTAAGAAGAGCTTCCCCAAGGATTCAGCGGACCTACTGCCTTGCTCCTTCCCTTCCTACTTAACAAGCTTGATTGCTGACGCAACGCAGCCTTCATGGCCAACTCGCAGTCACAAGTCAGCGAAGACCACTACGACGACTCTCAGCGGCACTCGCAGCTCTACCGGGATGGCACGCCCGACAACGAGACGGTCATATCAGAGTCGATGTTGGGTGACCAGGACATGATGGACGCCTCGCAGTACTCGACAGGCAGCCGCAAACGCAAGCGGGGCTCCGACCACATGTCTCTGCAGGATCAGCAGCATCAGATCTGGGCGGATGCCCTGCTCGACTACTTTGTTCTCCTAGACTCAAAAAGCAGTTTCGTCGCTCCGCCCGAGCCGCCGCCCAACGTCAACCTCGATCGAGCTATCGATGAAAAGGGACATTCCGCGATGCATTGGGCAGCTGCCATGGGTGATGTGGAAGTGGTGAAGGAGTTGATCAGGAGGGGTGCGCGGACCGACTGCGTCTCCAACAACCTGGAGACGCCTCTGATGCGCGCAGTCATGTTCACGAACAACTACGATAAGCAGACCATGCCGAGCATGGTTAAGATTCTGCAATCTACCGTGGTACGGACCGACTGGTTCGGCAGTACCGTCTTCCATCACATCGCAGCAACGACGAGCAGCTCTAACAAGTTGGTGTGTGCGAGGTACTATCTGGACTGCATCATCAACAAGCTTTTAGAGACATGGAAGTCGGATGAGGTGGTCAGGCTGTTGGACATGCAGGACAAGAACGGCGACACGGCGCTGCACATTGCGGCCCGCAACGGAGCCAGGAAATGCGTGCGGGCGTTGTTGGGTCGCAGCGTCAACACGAACATTGTCAACAACAAGGGGGAGACGGCCGATGATCTGCTTCGCATGATGAACACGCACCGGCGGACGGGGGCGCTACATCGCCAGGCATCGTCGTCGCCATTTGCGCCGCCTCCTGAGCGCATCAATGGACATGGCTTGTTCGAGAACGGAGCCGGACCACTTGCACCGCTGCCCTTCTCCGCACTTAGGACGCAGGAACCCACTCAATACCGGTCGCAGACAGCATCGCTCCTGATGAACAAAGTAGCGCCGAAATTGCTGGAGAAGTGCGAAGAGCTAGCGATGGCATACGAAGCAGAGCTGCAAGAGAAGGAAGCGGAGTCGCTAGACGCGGAGCGTGTTGTCAAGAGGCGGGAAGCCGAACTTGCGGCGATACGGAAACAGACGGCGGAGCTGCTGGAAGCGAGTAATGGGATGCACATGGATTTGAATGACGACGAGGTGGATAGGGCACAAGAGAAGGAGCTGAGAGCGCTCGTGGAGGAAGCGGAATCTCTGTTGGAGATTGAACAGAAGGTCGAACTACGGAGATTATGTACAGCGACGCCACAACACCACCCGTCGTCCTCGTCATCGGTAGACCTGGCGGAGAAGATGCGGTTAAGCCTACTGTTGCACAAGGCGCAGATGGAACGCAGAGAGCTGGTGAGGGAGGTTGTGGCCAACCTGTCTGTGGCGGGCATGAGCGAGAAGCAAGGCGTGTACAAGAGCCTCATCTCCAAGGCAATAGGGGAGAAAGAAGAAGACGTCGAAGCCATGCTGCCCGAGATTTTGAGGGAACTGGAAGAGGCGGAAACGCAGGAGCGCGCCGAAGGGTTGGAGGGCAGCCCGTGATGATATTTTTGATACCCGGCTTTCTCAGTCCTTTTCTATTCTTGTTTTCGAAAGTCAACGTTTCTTGCTTGCGTATGAGTTATACGAGTCTTCCAAGGGTATTATGAGTATCTATCATGGCTGCGCATTCACGTGTAAACGTATTTCTTACCTAGTTATCTACATGTACTGTACTTGTCAAGAGGGGGGAATGGTGGCCGAGGAGTGGTCACATGTCGGATTTGTCTATGTGCACCGTCACGAGTGTTATTAGTGCATGAGAGGGGTCAGATGGTCGTGGAGCAGTGGATCGTCCAAATCATCCTCTCCACCATTTCTGCCATCTTTTCCAGGTTCCTTCCAACTACTTGCAGCATCACGGACAATGTCGCCATCGCGGTCGCATACCACAATGATGACTTGGCGACCGGCATGTCGAAGGCGGGACCTTGATTGGCGCCCTGGCGTGGGAGTCTCGGAACCATGCAGGGCTGAGACCCTTGACGTGCTTTTTGGAGACTCCACACTCCACGCTGCGACGCCCAACACTCCTCATTTGTAACCTTTTACTTGGAAACCCTCCCCCCACTCATAAATAAGCCACAGTACGACGAGTAAGAGGCACACGGTCGACGTGTCCCTCAATCGCAGTGTTATATGCCGTCTGGGCACCCACATCATCGCGAGGACATTCTACTCAGGAACCACTCGAGACAGGCTCATTCGGAGGGACACCATCACCCTGGAGATAGCGGTACTACGGACAAGCTAGGTCGGAGAACTTCGCCGGTGCACGTAAATCCCACCGTCGTATCCCGCGATTCCTCGCCCTTCACTGCGATCCCCCGTCCGCGAAAGCCCGGCGGAGACCTCGACTTCGACGACTGGGATGCAAACGACACAGACACCATGCCGTCGGACCTGAGGCCAGAGTACGGAGCCGCTGGAGGAGGTCGCGTGCATTCTCCCCTACTGGGAGCGCGCAAGGCAGACGAAGCCGGGTCGCCGCGAGCCCCCCTGAGTAGACGCTCCACGTTCCATGAACGGGATCCCGAATCGCAGGCCAAATATGAGACTCGGAAGAGATATACCTATGCGGGGATATTCCTGGTGCTGAGCCTGGTGAGCTTTGTCGTGCAGACGGAGACGGCCGTGTATATTCAGCACGAGTTGAAGTGGGAGAAGCCGTATTGCATGCTGTGAGTACACAATCGCACGTCCCAGATGACGATATATGCGTCTTTGGGCTTCCCTCGCTCACCCCGAGCAGATACATGACCCACGGCAGCTGGATCGTCCTCTGGCCGACCCAACTCCTCCTCCTCCGCATCCAGAAATGGGACCAACCCTGGGCCACCTTCTGGCGCCGCCACGTCCAACTCCTCCGCCAAACCGCTTTGATGGTGCAGCACCGCACGCTGCACCCGTCTCCCCGCCAATCCCAAGTCTCTCCCGTCCCCTACATGCTCAAAATGACCGCCTTTGTTACCTGCGCCCTCACCGTCGCAGGCGGCAGCTGGTACGTCGCCGTCAACATGACGACCGCCAGCGACTTGACCGCCATCTACAACTGCTCCGCCTTCTTCGCCTACGCATTCAGCATCCCCCTGCTGCACGAGAAAGTCCGCTTCTCCAAAGTCGTCGCCGTAGCCGTCGCCATCGTCGGCGTCTTCGTCGTGGCCTACGGCGACAAGACCCCGCAGAAGCAGGGCGGCATCTCCGGCGGCGGGGGTGGCGGAGCGTCGCACGACGACAACAGCAGCGCCCAGCATGACGGCAAGATGCGCGCCTTGGGGAACATGGTCATCGGCATTGGCAGCGTGCTGTACGGGTTCTACGAAGTGTTGTATAAGCGGCTGGCGTGTCCGCCGGATGGATGTAGTCCGGGCAGGGGAATGGTGTTTGCGAATACGTTTGGGAGTCTGATCGGGGCGTTCACGCTGGGCGTGCTTTGGATCCCGTTGCCCGTGCTGCATTATCTTGGGTGGGAGGAGTTTGCGCTGCCGAGAGGGGAGCAGGCGTGGATGATGGCGGTTAGCGTTTTGGCGAATGCGAGTAAGTTTTGGTTTATATTCAGCTTTTTAGCGAGGTGTTGTTGTGCGAGTAGAACTGACGGTGGAATAGCCTTCTCCGGATCTTTCCTTATCCTCATTTCCCTCACTTCGCCGGTGCTCTCTTCGGTGGCCGCGCTTTTGACCATCTTCATCGTCGCGCTCGTGGACCAGCTCCTGCCTCCTCCGCTGAACTCGCCGCTCACGCCCGCGGCCATTGTAGGCGGTTTGCTGATCATTGGCGCGTTCATCCTGCTTAGCTGGGCTACGTACAAGGAGATGGACGAGGAGCGGCGGAAGGAATTGGAGGAGGACGAGAGCGACATTGACGATTGATCGTTCTGAAACTTTTGATATCAACTGCATCAGACAAACAGCAACATGGAGAGGTTGGATGGCAAGGCCCTTGGTTTACGGTATCTTTCGCATTTACACCTTTCCACATTTTTGGAGGCCGGCACGGCTGCTGCTGGAGCTGCTGGGGGCCACTGGAGGGCGCTGGTTCCCCCGTTGCGTTTCCGTTTTGCTTTGAGGGATATATAAGGCGTTTGGAACGGTGCCATATACGGCTTCTTAGACACGACGGGGCAGATATTTGGGCATTGTTATGGGCGTTGGATACAGGAATGCTTTTCCCCCCTTTTTCCAGCATCGTATCAACGGGCGCGGCTCGCTTCGTAGGGCAATGTAGTTGAGTGTTGAAGTGGAAATATCATTAGAGCGCACCCGCATTCCTCTATCAAAAATCTGGCTCTTGCTCGCTGTGTTCCTGCGACTCAGTTGTAGCGTATCGACATTAGTTCTGTTTCCCCCATGCTTTGCGAGGCGAGGCCGTTTTGCTGACGATTGATTTATATCGTATGTACAAGGCATGGCCTGCGGTATCCATGCTAGTTTACGTCACGCCATTCACCTTCCCTCTCACTCTCACTTCTCAGTGGGCCGTGCAACCGGCCCACGGCAACCGGCCCACGATCCGAGAACATAAAATATCCCTCCTACCTTCAATCAACTACTACAATCACGATTTCTCACTATATAATCCGCAATTATTACAACAATTATCGTCCTGACTACCAGGATAGCGAGAAAAGGTCTATCAGCCTCCACAAAGGTTAATGAGTCACGCAGTATTTGCACCGATTCGGCTGCTCGACCTTTTTTGTTTGTCTCGTGGGGGGCGGGGGTTCGAGTTTTAGTGTGGGCTGTGATTTATTGATTTTTTGACCATAGTTATATCTACTGGAAGATACGCGTCTAGGGAATTTACTGTGTAAAAGCGGCATTGAGCGGGGGGTATAGCCCCGGCCGCTATGTAAGTACTATACAACTTATTACAGTATGCAGGCCACTTGAGCGTGATCGATCGATTATCGATGTACAGGGGAGGGAAGGGTGCATGAGATATCGCGTTTTATTTCCATGTACGCCAGTGCCATTGAGATTTGACGCCGGACGAAGGATCAGATTGTTTTTCTGCCGAGGTTCCGGATTTTGGGCCCCGGGTTGGGATGGAGACGGAGATGAGGGTGGTATAGATTATAGAGAGGAGGTGGTGAGGGTGAAGACGAGGGTGCACTGGTGAAGAGGTGAAAGTCATGGCGAAGGTGAAGCGGAGGGACGGGCCGTTGGCCGTTGGTGGGGCGAGCAGGGGGGGGTGACAGGGGTACGTTTGCTAGCGCGGCTGGCGCGGGGTGACGACATTTTGCTTTCCTCCATACTACCACCACGGAACAATCTCGACGACTACGATACCACGGCCGAGTGCAGCAATTACCTCCTGCCATTCCACATACGCCATGTCTGACATGAGCGCCGCGATTCCCAAACTTCTCCCCCGCAGACGCCCACCCCCTCAGCGACCCGCACCCGACTCCGTCCCTCCACCGCCAACACCACCCCTACCTCCCCTACCAGACCTCTCCAAACACACGTACATCCATCCCACGCGGCGCATCCTCAGCAAGCAAGACCACGACCTCTTCCTCTCGAGCCCGACCTCCACCCTCGTCCAAGCCTGGATCTTCACCCTCTCCGACTCGGTCCGCAACCGCGCCATCGGCACCATACAAGACTCAGACCTGCACCCCACGATCCGCAAAATCCTCCGCCTCCTGCAAGAAGTCGAACAAATCCTACACGCCAACCCACCCGAAGACACGGGCTCGCGCTTCGGTAACCCCATCTTCCGCACCTTCCTCGACGCCGTCGTCTCCTCCCTCCCCGGCTGGCACCGCGAATTCGGCCTGGACGATGACGCCCAAATCGACGAGATTTCCACGTACCTGGCGCACGCGTTCGGCAACCGCAGCCGCATCGACTACGGCTCCGGCCACGAACTCAACTTCTTGCTCTGGCTGCTGTGCCTGAACCGCATCGCGCTGCTGCCCGATGACACGTTCCCCGCCATCGGGCTCGTCGTACTACCGGCCTACCTGCGCCTCATGCGCAAGATCCAATCGGCGTACTACCTCGAGCCCGCAGGCTCGCACGGCGTCTGGGGCCTTGACGACTACCAATTCCTCCCCTTTTTATTCGGCGCCGCGCAGCTCGTCGGACATGCCTACATCACGCCCAAATCGATACACAACCAACTCGTGCTCGAGGAGGAGGGCCACAAGTATCTGTATCTGGATCAGGTGGCGTTTGTGAACCGCGTCAAGAACGTCGAAGGGTTGAGGTGGCATAGTCCCATGTTGGATGATATCTCGGCGGCGAAGTCTTGGGGTAAGATTGAGGCCGGGATGAGGAAGATGTTTGTGAAGGAGGTGCTGGGCAAGGTGCCGGTTATGCAGCATTTTTTGTTTGGGAGTTTGGTTCCGGCGGTTGAGGGGATGAGTGTGGAGGGGGAGGGGGAGGATGGTGAGGCCGGGCAGGGAGGAGAGGCGACTGGGAAGGTGGAGGTGTTTGATGATGAGATGGGGAAGAGACATGTGCATAATAGTGTTGGATGGGGCGATTGCTGCGGGATTCGGGTTCCTGCGGCTGTGGGCGCGGAGGGGGAGGAGAGGAAGAGGGGGGGGGGGGGTGGGTTGAGGAGGGTGCCCTTTGATTAGGGGTTGAGTTGCGGAGGGATGAACGGGGCTTTGAGTTCTTGGGAAATAGAGGGTTGCATATTTGTGGTGTTTGAGGGGTTGTTGCTCTTTGGGTGGTCTTGCATGGGACGGTGCCGGCGTTGGTTGGTTGAGATCGATATGGATTCAATATCTTGAGGGTCCCGCTTTCTGTTTTCTGCGGAATGTGCATGTTGGATCCATCGCTGGGCAAGACCATAGACAGATCTGTTTCCAAGCAAGTACTTGCATAACATTCATCTCCCATGTCTGGATATCATTCCCCCTCCTTCACACCCTATGGTAGCACATCCCCCCAACTCAATCTACTTCGCAGCAATCTCCTTCTCAATCTCCGCCCTCAGACTCTCAGGTTTCGTCGTACTAGCCCATCGCCCCTTGACCTTGCCGTCGCGCCCGATGAGAAACTTCTCAAAGTTCCATTTCACGCGCTTCAAGCCTAGCAGGCCCGGTTTCTCGGATTTGAGGAATTCGTAGAGCGGGGCGGCGTGTGGGCCGTTGACCTGGAGAAAGGAAAACAGAAAAGGTTAGTACTCATCGGTGCTGAAAAGGGAGGGGGAGGGGGGTTGGTGATATAGGGGGAAGAGGGAGAAGAGGGGGGAGAGAAGAGGGAGGAGGAGAAGGGCGGAAACGTACATCGATTTTCCCAAGCACGGGGAAGGTGACGCCGTAATTGACCTGGCAGAAGGTCTGGATCTCGTCGTTGGAGCCCGGGTCCTGGTTGCCGAATTGGTTGCAGGGGAAGGCGAGGATTTCGAAGTCTGTAGGGTGTTTGGATTTCAGGTCCTAGATCCGTTAGGTATGTCTTTTATGTACCCTTTTTGTGTGGAAAGAGGTGTATGTGTGTTTGGCGTTTTGGACCGGGACGGGGAAGGGACAGCGGAGGAAGGGAGACGGATAGGGGAGCGGGAGCGTACTTTATACAGCTTCTCGAGCCCCTCGAATTGCGGCGTGAAGCCGCATTTGGACGCCGTGTTGACGACGAGGATGACCTTGCCTTTGAGGTTGGCGAGGGGGAAGTCGGTTCCTTTTTCTGTGCGCGGGGTGTTAGCTTGGTTCTACGTCTCTCGCGGTCGCTCTCTGTCTCCCTGTCGCTGTCGCCTTCTCACTATCTAGCGCCACGCAACCCAATGCCGACGAAGACAAAGGACAAAAGGAGAAAGGAGACTCACTATCCTTGACATTGAAATCGAAGAAGCTCGTCGCGGACGCCATACTGCTGTCGCTGCTGCTGCTGCTATTGCTGCTATTGCCACTACTACTATATCCTCTCGTCCCTGCGCTCTCTCCCAAGAATCCGAATCGTAATCGGAACCCTAATCGTCCTCGCAAGATATACACGTCGTCGCAGTGGTCGTTGTACGTCCTTCGAAGCCGTGAGATGTTGATGTAGCTGCTACAAGCACTGATGCTGCTGAAACTCCTCCGGACAGGTAACCAAGGTTCTATCGATAAGACACGCGGGGCTCCACCAAGAACGAAAAAAAACGGTCGCAGCGGCGCCAGCTTTATGATGACCGAACTCGCGTGCCCAAGTACAAGTAGTCGCGGATTTTGAGGCTGTGCAAAACATACACGAGTTGTTGTGTCCGGCGGCAACTCGGTTCATCATCAGATCAGAGGTTGCTGACGTACGACGGGTTGTGGCATGTGAAAGCGGCGTCAGCATTTGGAATGCTTTGGGCCCTCGGAAACGGTCTATCCCGGGGTTGGTGTGCGTTACGAGGTTCGCACACAGGTCCGTCCATGACGTATGCGGAGCAATGGTTACACAGCATTTGGAATTGTGCGACCTCGAAGATCTGAGAGCTAATTCTGGCGGGTATTCCCGTGTAAAAACATCGAGAGATTTTTATCTTACTAGCCATTCATTGAGCGCAGGTGGAAGGATTGCGATGGCAACTTGAAAAACACACACGTAAAAGAATCACTTTCGAAGACAATCATGTTTATTTTTTTTCCTTTTGTTTTTTTGTTAAACGCTACGAAACCAACGCCATCAATCCCAACTCCCCTTATGACAATTTAGCGACAATCAAAGCACTGCAAATCAATCTGTCATCCCCTATTCATGTAACTCTTGCCTCTCACTCGAGTCGTACCTCGACGCTTCACTGACCTCGTCGCGGCCTCACGACTTGCTACGACAATCGCACAGGGCGGTAATCCTCGGAGGAAGTCCGATCCTGGTAATGGATGCTCCATGGGCGTGTACAGGCACGTATCCTCCAGGCGGTACGTTGACCTCCAGGCCCGAGATCGGGTGCAAGGCTTCCAGGCGGAACAGAAAGAAAAGTAGCATGCACAACGTCATGCATATCCAGAAGAGTAGTTGTTCCAATGGATCCAGGCGTAGCGCAGGCACTCACTCTGAATCCCTCGGCATCCCTCTCTCAGCCTCCAAACGTCTTCTTGAACTCGGCCGAGATCTCGTGCAGACCGACAACCTCCTTGGTGAGTTGGATGTCGCCATCCAGGTCGTTTGGCCCTCCTAACTCGGCCAAGATGTTGATGATGTTCTGTTTCTTGGCCAGGAACGCTTCCTGCAACTGCCCGCGTCGTTGCTGGAGCTGCTGTTGGAGGGTAGGCTTCGTCACCTTCTGGCGCTTCTCTGCACCCTCTTCTGCTGTGGACTTTCGCTTCCGGCCGGCGCTCTTGCGTGGCGCTGCGGTCTGGCCCAGTGGAGCGGGCACCGGTGCCTCTGCACCAGGGCCGCTATAGTCGTGCACACGTTTCATGTGGTCGAACAGATTGTATCGCCGGGGGAATCCGTTCCCAGGTATGGACCGGTCACAGTCCGCGAAGCGGCAGAGGTGCGGTCTCGAACCGTGCCCGTGCATGCCATGAGCCTCGCGTTCATGGCGAAGGAGGCAGGCCGTCGAGGAGAATTGGACACCAATGCACATCTTTTGCTTGCAGCGGAACGGCTTGAGATGCGAGTCCACATACTTGCTACATGGAATTAGCAAAGAGTGATGTGGTAAGAGCAGTCCTACTTACTCGTAATTGCACTTCAGTGGTGTAGGCTTGTGGGTGCAGCCTGGCTTCCCTTCATTCGGGCAATGGTACTTCCCGTCCTTGTGCGGCTGTGCCTGATATAACGGGTGGCTTCGGGCGATCTTTCCCTGCTCTTCTTCCAGGTTCTTCACGGCCGCTGCGTCCGAAGGGGATAGGAGCTCGTCTTCGTCACCAATAGACTGAGCCGTCAGAGAAGTGGATGCAGTCTCCTCCTTCTCGGCACTGTTTATGATTAGCACATTGGCTCCAATCTCTGCTCCCGAGGTAAGTAGCTTACTTCGCATCTAGCGCACTGAGAGCATGGGCGCTGATGGCACTGGTTGGCGACATGGCAAGGCTTCCGAAGCCGGCGTCATTTGCGGACTGCCTCCGCATCACATGCTCTTCGGATATGTACGACGATGATTTCCGGGCCGCGGCAGGACGGGTGGATGTATCAAGTCTCGGTCTGCTGATACTACCTCTCTGGAACTGCGGAGGAGTATTGAATATAGACTCGGAGAGGTCATGATTGGAATACAGCGCTGCATCGATACTGATCGGCGACTTGTTGAACGAATTGAAGCCTAATGGCGAAGTCAGGCTCTGTGAGTCCGAGGTCCCCCAGGGAAAGGTCATATCAATATTAGTCGAGGGAATAAATCGAGGTACGCTAGTAGCTGTGTAATGGGAGTAATCCTGCGCCGTGGTGTAGTTAGCATAGGCAAACGGGTTATCCCCTGTTTCCATGTCTCCAGCGGCTGAAGGCGGTTGTACATGGGCCATCTCGGAGTGCTGATCCGCAAAAGCTCCGAAGTTGTCGGAGCTGAGCGTAGGGGAGTACACGTCACTTCCTGGGAATTGGCTGTTCATGCGGCTCCTGTTGTCCTGTGGTGCGAGGCTTTGGTATCCTTCGGGCAACTGGGCTCCACTTCGGCTGGCGCCTGATTGACTCTGATATGCGCTGTCCATGCTGTAAACAGAAGCAGTCTCATGCTTCTGCTCAAAAGCATCCGCGCCGTTCATCTCCGGAACTGGGGAAGCACAAAAGAGATCCAATCCGGCAAAGGCGGCTCCTGACACGTCCTCACTCCACTTGGCAATGTTCACGGCCTGGTTGGAAGGAAACAAGGGAAAATCCGGCAAAGGTGCGTCGAAACAAGATTCGCTGAGAGCAGGGGTTAGTGTCCAAACAGAGTAGCTACAATGAACGAAAAATGATCTGAAGATGACTGTAACAAATGAAAAGCGCCAAGTTAGTATCCACCATAGGCGGTCCTCGCGGGCTCTGTCCACTATTCTATGTCAGCAAAAGCATTGTACATTGCGAAGGGTTACGCACCAACAATGACTGAGGTTGACAAGACGCGTTCCCCGAGTTGGGATCAGTCCGAGGACGCACCATGTGACGGAGTCCGGTGCATACGGCACTCCCATGCCGTAGTTTATAGGGTAGCAGTTCCCAATCCCCTCCGACGATTCGACGAAAGTTAGTCTACGATCAAGGGGGTTGGAAATGGAGTATAATCAACTCCGAGAACGTACTTGTGCAGCTATTGCACCTTTGGCGTCGGTCCATTCGGTTTCACGGTGCTCCTGGACGGCTATTCCTGATAACATCCGGCTGTTGATCCAAGGCTCATTCCCCGGGCGGCTGCCCTTCCGGATTCCAAGCGGCAAGGAGAAACTAAGGAAGCAAAAACAGGTATCCTGTGCCATAGTAGGTTGTCATCCAGATGGGGAAACCGCACAACGAAATTTATTGTGCGATTCTGGGGTGACACTACAAACGCTCTGGTTGACTAGACGAACACGGCGACTTGTGGGGAGCCGCAACAGGAGGTGCAGGTCTTGTCAACGGGGGCTTTGAAGACCGACAACAACCCACAGCACAATGACAGTATGCGGGAATGCTGCCGATTCGCCGACCTCGCCATCTCGCTCTAATGTTGCCTAGGCGTGGTAGGGCCGTCATACTGATCCTGGAAACACAGGGGACCTGGGGCATAATCCACGGACATGGCAGATCTGGGACAATGCAAAAGGAACCTTAGGTCTCCGGCAAAAACTGAGGAGTCCGGGGGAACAGGTCCGCGGGCTGGCATATGGGGATCCATGCGCTGAGGGTTGCTGTAAGGCGCAGAAAAGGAAAGAGGGATATTGAAATCGACAGCAAGGAAAACATATCTTCGCGTAAACAACAAAAGCTTCAAACAGAATATGCAAGAAACAGAGAAATAGGACCGGTGGGCAATAAGTACCTGGTTAGGCCTTCGTCTGGGCTCCGAACTGACATCCTGAGCAAGGGCTCGTGTTGAGTCTACAGAACTGGCGAAGTTTTATGTTGAGATTCGCACCGAATGTTCTGAGCGGTGATTCTGGTGATGTGGATTGTCCAGGTGCGAGGTGCGAGGACTCGAGGAGAAAGGAGGGAGGGAGACAGAGGGGAGGCGGTCAAAACCAAAAAACACGAGTGCCCAACCGGTCAGGGTACCAATGAGCCAAAGGGGTATAGCGGGAGCAGTGACAACTCATCCAGTGGGTGGGGCCATGTTGCTGATGACGGTCGCTTTCCAAGGCACATTGGCTGCGACGCAGCGAAGGGGACAGCCACGTTCTTATGGTGCCGCTTTGTCGGCCGGAAAGCTTTCGCATCACCAACCTCTCAACCAGCAGCCGTCCGGATGGTTGGACGCCATCTGCGCCGTGATATGCACGGCCGTCGCCGGAGCACAAGCTCCAGTCTTGGAAGCGGGATCTTTGGTGAGAAAAGCGCATCCGTGCGGTGTTGCACTGCGTCTCTCCCAGAAAGCACATCGGCCGCAAACCACCAGGTGCTCTCCCGCGAAGGGATCCGGCTCGATAACGCCGCCGGCGTTGCAGGACTGTTCACCACTTTCATCAGCGGCCGCCGACCCTGGTGCGCGATATTCTCGCTGCTTTCTCGTGCCGTGCCAGGGGGGTCGCGAGCAGGCCTGTGGTGAGCGGTCGCTAAATTGTTCCAGAAGGAAATGCGTCACGGCGAATTATTAAACGCTGCCTCTCCCACACCAGCAACCTGTGAGGGATTGATTGCAAGTGCCTTGGTCGGTGGAAAAGACGGTTCCTCTTCCCTTCAGCCGTTTGGAGCGTCCTGGCACGCCTTGCTTTCTTCCACCCAGCCGCGTTGAGATTGAGCCGCGGGTGATGCAATTGATTCGTGCATCGGCGTTGAAGGAAAGCTTTGTATTGACATAGGTAATGGCATAATGTAGCGGCCGCCGCAGGCGCATATCACAGTAACACTGCTGCGGTACCAATCCGAGCCTTAGCATGCTGTTGTACGCCATGACATGGGCGGCTATTCTCTGGACGACCACAATACTGTACAACCGACTGAGGGAAACAGGAACACTTCGGCGCCCTTATACGACAGTGGCACTTGCCTCAACCCATTGACGGATGCCACGAGATCCTGGGGGCGCATGAGAGTGCAAATGTGCGACTCTGCTGGCAAACCATGGTGCCGTTTCCAAACAGTGCAATCTACTCCTGCTGTTAGACCTTTCTTCTTGGGCAAAACGTTTACGGGATTTGACGGAATTTGTCGAATCAGATAGGGGCGAAAGATGATGGTATTTGTTTCCCCAGCGGCCCGAAGGCCATCGGTTGAACTATGCTTTTGTTTGTGGAATCATCATGGAATAAGGTGATATGAAAGGAACATTCAAGAAAACGATGCCTCCACGTACCTAGAAAATGCGCCTGGCTGGGTCGACGACGGTCATATACACAGCTAGACCTCCATGCGCCGAACCAACAGCCAGGTATCAGGGCGCGATAAGTGTTTGGACCGTATGGCAGGCCAGCAAACGACGAGGTGTTGAGGGGAAAGGGGGTCTCAGGATCGCAAACCTTTTCATGCCAAGGACGTTAGGAAATCTCGAGGCTCAAAATTAAATGCAGAAAGCATGTTCGAAATCTGCCGGCGATACGGAATAATCATCCTTTCAAGGGACGCGAGCGATCGCCAACCCCTGGCTCATCAGCTTGCATCGCAGAGGCTCGGAGCCTCATAAGCGCAGCCTGCCCTGTCACCGATTCTTCGTCACAGGAGCTTTCGGGTGATATCGACCTTGTGGAAAAAGAACGAAGTCTGCATCTTCTGAGAAGCATGACTCGGATTGAGCGACGGCAGTATGTAGAATGTGGGTAGGTTGGGTGTGGTGAGTCTTGGTCAACGTCGAATTTTGATGCTGTCGCTAATCGGAGTTACTTCGGCAGATTATACATCACGTGGGGTGCACGTGCCCTTAATACCTAGATAACCGTCTATCTTTCTATCCAGAATCTACGTCATCTATCATCAGTTGGACGTGTGAGACGGAGTGAACATCGCCCGAGGTTTAAGTGACGGTCTCGTGCAATGTTAAAATGTTTGTCATGGGCAGAGCATTCACCATGCGCAGCCTTTCATCATTAACGCCCCAGCATCGGCAGTGGATTAGAACAATGAACAGAGAGCTCCGGACAGAAGACAAAACTCATATCGAGGCACCCTGTATCATACCAAGTCCCACTCTGCACCCCCAGGTACGATCTACAGGATGCATTGTCTATAATGTCTCCTGGGTCGAACATATAATATTGTCTGTCAGGTGCAACGGCCTCGAAAGGTCCTCGCCTCCGCTCCAACTTCAGAGATGACCTGGGTTTGAGAAGTCATGGACAGTAGGTCTCGCCACAATCAACTTTAGTCAGCTTCCCATGAGTGAACGCGTCGAATCATGCGTTGAAAGAAGCAACCCGTCATATGGAAGCTCAGCCATTCCCGATAGGTCCCAATTCAGTCTGTGACGGCCATGTCACGTTATTGATAGTTCACGCTTACACAAACTGCGGGGAAGCTCCCATTTTCAGCTCATTGGGACGATCAAAGCTTCCGGTAGATGGGTCATAAATGCATGGCGAAGGCGCCTGTGGATCTCTGGTTCGCACCAGCTCATTGCCCTCTGCATCATCATTAGTCCACGGTGTGAAAGCACATATAGTCCATCAGATATGCCTACTCCATTCTTCCACCAGAAGTACGCAACGCAAACCCATAAAATCTTTGAAACACATCACACCCCGCCACAGACCAAGGACGATCGAAGGCCATCGGACGCAAACGATCTTTCAAGAACAAGTTCCGCCTCTTCTGACATGTCCTCTCCTCCGCCGCAGTCTCATGATGATTCCCCTCAAAAATCCCCTTGGCACGATCGTCGCAGAGTAAGCTGTTCTTGCGTTTGACCGCGTCGCCAGAATACTGACTCCTTTCAGTCGTCGGCTTCGAACAGATTGGAAAACTTTGTGAGACCCCAAGATGCAGAGCATACAGCCAGAAGGGCAAGTATGCAGGATTTCTATGCTAAACCCGGGTTCTTTGGCAAGATGTGGAACAAGTAAGCGTGCACTGTCTGCTCAGTTCCGGAAAGGCCTATTCACTGACTTTGTTTAGTTGGACTCATGGTCCCACCACTCCAGGAACAACGGCTCCGGGGTCGAAGAGCGGAGCAAGCAATAAAGAACCGAGAGACATCACCACGCTTCGATCCGAGTAGGAGGCCTATCAGATTTGGGAGATGGAAGATCGACCAAGTGCACCAGTGCGAACGGATTCTTTCCTTACGGGTTCGGAACTTGGTCCGCCAAAACCTGAATCAGCAGACGACCGAGTGCCACACATATAAATTGGTTATGACCTTTTGCATTGGGAGGAACTGGCAGGTTACAACAGAAATTGCACGCCCAGGGGCTGTGTCCATTTGAGGTAGAGTTGGTTTGAGATTTGTTACCATATTCTGTACTCTCATATTAACCATTGTAAATGGATCTTTTACAATATTATTTGCTCGTGGACCGGAAAATCAGTACGCGCAAACTGCCTGGTTGAACATTACTGTGTACAGGTCTACATGCGACGGAGGTGAATGGAGCTTGGGCCAAGCGGGGTCATGGCGTCATGCCATGATTGGTCGTAGTGAGCTTGAATCTACCTGTTCTCAACACCTCTCCAGATTGCCTACTGTAAAAGTCACAACATTCCCAAAGGCCCTGACGGATCCGGAATTTTCGATTTTCATTACAATACGAACGATCCTTCGCCGTAAGCCGGATCCTGTTTTCCTTCGTCCAACATCGTCCTCGTCATGCAGGCAACTTCTCCTTCCCAATACCCCGATACAACAGCCATCAACCTTGATCGGATTCTCTCGCGCTTAGAGCAGGTCCTGCTCTCTCCGGAGTCCTCTTCCACATTACGGAAGTCCAGCTTTGAGCGAAATCGCGTAGGCGCAGTATGTTTCTCCACATCCCACCCGGGACCTTCGCTCACTCCGGCAGACGTTGCGCTAATGGTCTCCTCCTCAAGAATGTAGAATATGCACGAACATTATTGCTCAGCCTCGAACATTCCGCGGCGACATCAGCGACGTCGAAGTCGAAAAAATCATCATTACAAGCGGACCTTCAACAGAAGCGCGAGCTGATCAAACAATTGAACCAAAGGTTGTACGAGCTCAACCAGCTCGACGACGAAGTGTCGGAAGACTCCACAGACTCAGAAAACGAAGATGAGGACATATATCCGTCATACGCACCACATGTGAAGGAGGAAGCTGGAATTGAGGTCAAGTCAGGCAATCAGGGCAATGAAGCATTCGCGACAGCAGCGCAGAACCTCGCATCGGAGCTACGGCGGAGAGGCCCCGCACAACAAGAGGACGTTACTGCGACAGGGACGGCGCTCTTTTCTTCGAGAACACGCGCGAGCGGCGACTCAGGAAAATCTCAGGAAGCATTACTGGAGCACCACCGCATCGAGCAGGAATCGCTGAGTACGAGCCTACTTGAAATGGCAAAACAACTGAAGCAGCAATCAGTACATTTTCAGAATACTCTGGAAGGGGATAAGTCGATACTGGAACGGGCTGTTGAAGGCCTTGACAAAAGCACGTTGGGCATGGAAGCCGCTGGTCAGCGGATGGGCACATTGAGAAGAATGACCGAAGGGAAAGGCTGGTGGGACCGCATGAAGCTATATGCACTCATATTCGGTCTGTGGATAATCGCCTTCCTCATCGTCTTCGTTGGACCCAAAATACGATTCTAGACGAGAGAGAGGGTGCTCGGAGAAGGTGCCGTTGGCTATGTGATCGATAGAGCCTCAGACTCATACATTAGTATGAGGGTGCAATGACGGTGTTTGGGACAATTTGATATCCGCGATACAAGTGTGGAGGTTGGAATCCCGGAGTCTCCATGGAGACACCACACCACTACCCACTTCTACGATATGACAGTCTCATCCTCAGCACCAGAATCTGTGGACCCTTATCACACCAGTTGGGTCGAGATTTTTTTCCAAACCTTTATTCGTCGATGGAATCGTGTTGGAGCCTCAAAGATCTCTTGGCGTGCTGATCTTCTGAGCCTAAGCTTCGCGGAGACCTGTCTACACAACACCACGACAAACATCTCCAATCAGCGAGTTACCGCATACATTCTTTTTGGACCCTTATTTCCTAGGTAATCCGCCATGGAGATGCTTCAACTGGGCTCGCGCGGTATGTCCCTAGGCCCATCCCCTGACTCCGCATTCACTCCTAACACAATCACCCTTCAGCCCACCACTCCGGCGACGACGAAACCGAGCGCGAGTACGACCGCCTTCGCGACCTCGCCCGCCAAGAAGCCGCAAAGCGCTCCTCCTGTTTCGACCGCTCGCGCGCCGCCTACGAATCCGGCGACGGCGCGCTCGCCAAGCAGCTCTCCGAGGAAGGAAAACGACATGCCGCGAAAATGGAACAATACAATCGGCAAGCGCGCGACTTCATATTCCGGGCGAACAACAGCGTCGACAGGGTGCCGGCGGACACGATCGATTTACACGGCTTGTATGTGGAGGAGGCGGAAGATATCTTGGAGGAGAGGATCAAGGCTGCGAGGCAGAGGGGGGAGAGCCATTTGCATGTCATTGTTGGGAGGGGGAATCATAGTACGGGGCATGTGCAGAAGATTAAGCCGAGGGTGGAGCAGGTGTGTAGGGAGTTGGGACTGCATTATGCGACGGAGGAGAATGATGGGAGGATCTATGTGGATCTGAGGGGTGGGCAGGTCCATGGCATGCCGCCGCCGCCGCCGAGTTATGGTGGGTATCCTGGACAGCAGCATGGAGGGCAGCAGCATGGAGGGCAGCATCATGGTGGACATGGTGGGCAACCGCAGCATCATGAAGGACATGGCCATCAACAGCAGCAGCAGGGTAACGAGGTGGAGGAGTTGGTCTTGAAGGGGCTGCCGAAGTTGTTGAAGTCGCTGAAGTGTTGCGTGGTTATGTAAGAAGTTGGGGATGGATTTATTGCTTGTGATACCCCCTGCGGAGGTTTGGAAACCATGGTAATCGTTTATATAGCGTAATGGAGTGTCTGTGTTATTCATGGAGTCTGGAGGTTTGTCTGGAGATCGCGTTCAGGGCATGTTCAGGACGGAGCGAACAGCACTGATCCAACTTTCTGTTGCGTCTGGGCATCATATGCCTCGCCCATTCATCCGATGCCTACTCGTAGGCCAGGATGACCAGTGTGCAGTCATCAGGACATTCCTCGACCAATGAAGTCTGCACTAGGAGAGGAAGAACGATGGCAAAGGCTATGAATCACTCCAACTGTCGCATAGGGAAGTTGGATGCATCTTCACGGCGCAGTCAGACTTGCCGATGACCTCGAAAGCGTGGTAGGGTGTGGATCAATGTGTCGTCTGACCGCTCTTCTGCCAGCATAGGTTATTACGACGGCATATGCTTGCTTTGCCATCAGATCCTAATAGCTAGACAGACGATTTTCTATGAAGTTCGACGATCCCATGTTACAGAGTTTGGTTCACGTTGATCACCGTCATCAGGGCGCAATCGGAGGTAAATAAATGCGGCTCATGCTTATCTCAAAGCCAATGTGAGACGTTAAGTTCTTACGGGGGCCATGTCCCTGGGTTTCCTAGTTTCACAACAGATGGCAAGGCTGATGATTTTAACAAGATTACGTCCGGGAGTGAAAGGAGGAAAGGACAAAGCGGAGCATGGTACGAAGCGAGTATATGGATTAGCGTTGGTATGATTTCTACTGGTAGGAAATCAGGATGCAAGAAGATGGAGGAGTGACTGCGGATGGCTTGTGATCATGGAGACCCTGTTCACTCGAGATTCGAGTTGCCTGCCATAACGTCGATCTTTCTGGGGTAGCGTGGTTCGTTGCACAGCCACCGCTGGCTAAAACAACCCGGGCGTACGCGCCGTCGAGGTACCATCCGACCTCAACAATCACCGACACTCTTTCTGAGGCACCCTAATCCGGCAGGTAGCACCTCTCAGACCCCCCTTTTCCATTCTCTGTCTGAGAGTCGATACCATAACATCAACGCATGGATGCACTCGTGACAACCTGTAAGAAACCGCCTCTCAACCGCCCGCCCGCCTGCCGTGAACTTCCACCCAACCACCGGGCGTACGCTTGGCTCAGGTAATACCGTTGATGAGATGAGAGCAAGGGCTAAGAGTCGCTGGTAGTTAACTATATATATCAGTCATGGCTTGTCAACAACAATGGCTCCACGCCTCTCCTTGGCCTCGACGCCATGCCCGCAACCGCAACATTCCTTCAAGCTTCCTTTCTGCTCTGGTCCTCTCTGGCTCACTGGGTTCGCTCGGTCCCCGTGAAGAGAGACGACTGCCCTGGATACAGAGCGAGCAATGTCCAGAGGACGGATCGTCGTGTCACTGCCGACCTGACCTTGGCGGGTGAGCCGTGCAACATCTATGGAGATGACCTTCGGAATTTGAGGTTTTTGGCCGAATATCAAACAGGTACATATCCCTCATTCCGCCTGTATACCTTGACATGCCCACGGCCTGTGACTATATAAGAACGGGTGTGTCTCAGTCACTGACAAGACAATCGATTGAATCGTTTTCCTGAAAAACTTTGCACGTTTCCTTGTTTCTATCCGGCACCATCTACGATCATCTTGACGAATACCGTCCCTTGCTGATATACATCCACAGACTCGAGGTTACACGTCATCATATATGACAAGGAAGAAAGAATCTATCAAGTCCCAGAATCCGTTGTACCTAGGCCAGGAGCTTCCGCCAACGATGAACATTCCGAACTGGATATCGTACTGGAAGAAAACCCATTCTCATTCACTGTGATCCGCAAGGAGAACAACGAGCAAATCTTCACAACCAAGGGCACCAACATTGTCTTCGAAACGCAATATGTACGGCTGAGAACCTCTCTACCAAACAACCCTGCTTTGTATGGGTTGGGCGAACACACAGATTCTCTACGACTGCCTACTTCAGGTTACTCCAGGACCCTTTGGGCACGTGATGCAGGCGCGGTGCCTCAGAGATCGAACCTGTACGGCACGCATCCGGTGTACTTTGAACATAGAGTCGATTCTGGAAACACCCATGGCGTCCTGATGCTGAATAGCAATGGAATGGACATCAAGATTGATAATAATGAAGGCCAATACCTAGAGTATAACATGCTTGGTGGGGTCATTGACCTTTACTTCCTAGCCGGGCCGGACCCCTTCGATGTGCCTAGACAATATAGCGAGATCTCCCAGAAAGCAGCCATGATGCCATACTGGGGTTTCGGGTTTCATCAATGCAGATACGGTTATTCGAGTATTGATGAAGTCGCAGAAGTTGTTGCGAATTACTCTGCACATAACATTCCTTTGGAAACGATGTGGACTGGTCTGTCTCGGAATATTCGTCGCTCTGGCTATGGTGCTGATGTCTTTTAGATATCGATTACATGGATGGGTATAAAGTCTTCACTCTTGGCGAGAAGTTCCCCCTACGCAAAATGAGAGAGTTTGTCAACCATCTTCATGGAAATGACCAGCATTACATCGTCATGGTTGATCCAGGTCTGTCCCCACCAAGATATCAAGCGCGTTCCAGAGACTGACGGATCCAGCTGTTGCATATCAAGATTATCCCGCTTTCAACAATGGGAGGGATAAGGACGTCTTCCTCAAGAGGAACGATGGCAGCATCTATAGAGGCCGTGTCTGGCCTGGCGTTACAGCTTTTCCTGACTGGTTCCATGAGAACACTCAGGGCTATTGGGATAATGAATTCGCGACCTTCTTCAGTGCCGAAAACGGCGTTGATATTGATGCTCTGTTTGTCCATCTGTTCGATACATGAATTTTCACTGACCCCTTTTCTCAGTTGGATCGACATGAACGAGCCCTCCAATTTCTGCAATTGGCCTTGCGAGCATCCAGAGATGGAGACTCAGCAAGAGCAGGGGTTTGAAGATCTTCGCGAGCTTCGCAAAAGACGCATTAAATCGCGTTCGAAAGTCACGGAAAGGGAACCTCTCCAACATGCAGATGTCGTGAAGAATGCGCCTCGGCAGAACAATGGCGGCAAGAAAATAGGATTGCCCAATCGTAACCTCACTGTCCCGCCATACCGGATTGGTAACACTTTCGGCGCTCTCAGCCAAAAAACCGTAGACACTGACCTCATTCATCGAGGCGGTTGGGCAGAGTACGACACGCACAACTTGTAGGCCGCTTAGTCCCAGCTCTGTTTTCGGACCTAACGATGACCCAGATATGGTACAATGATGAGTAAAGCTAGCGCTCATAGCATGCTCCAGAGACGTCCCAATAAGAGACCCATGGTCATCACAAGGAGCACATTTTTAGGTGCAGGAAACTACGTGGGTCACTGGCTGGGAGACAATGTGTCCGCCTGGGATCAATACATAACGTCTATCCGCCACTTCCTACAGTTTACAGCCTTCTTTCAAGTTCCCATGGTAAGACTTCCAATTCCAGGGAGCGGTTCCATAGCTGATTATCCAGGTCGGAGCCGACGTATGTGGGTTCCTCGATGATGCCACCGAAGAGCTCTGTGCCCGTTGGACAACTTTGGGAGCTTTCTACCCCTTCTACAGAAACCACAACGTCGCAGGCGCACGGTCTCAGGAGGCCTATCGATGGGAGTCGGTAGCTGCGGCTGCCCGTAAGGCGATTGATCTTCGGTACAGACTACTTGATTACATCTACACGGCACTGCATCAGCAGCATGTAGATGGAACACCTTTGGCGGCCCCCATGTGGTAAGTTTTTCGAGTTGTAGACAAAGATTCTGGCATCTAAAGCGTCAAAGGATGCACTTCCCCGAGGATTCCCAAACCCATGGCATCGAGACCCAGTTCTTCTACGGCCCCTCACTCCTCGTCAGCCCAGTCACACAACCCGGTTCCACATCCGTATCCGTCTATCTCCCCGACGATCTCTTCTACAATCTCTTCACCTTGGAGCCCATCCCAGCCGAAGCCGCCAAGTACGAATACAACGATATCACCGTCACAGATATCGTCGTGCACATCCGCGGCGGCTCCATCATCCCCGCTCGAATCAACAGCGCAATGACGACCAAGGGGCTGCGAGACCAGGACTTTGAGCTCCTCGTCGCTCCTGATCATGACGGCAAGGCGTGGGGTTCGTTGTATCTGGATGATGGCGAGAGTATTGTGCAGGAAGGGACTAGTGAGATTGAGTTCACGTTTGATGATGGGGTCATTAGGATGGAAGGGACTTTTGGCTATGCTACTAGGGTGGGTGTTCGGCGAGTGCTGGTAGCTGGGCCTGGTGGCAGGAAGATGTATATGTTGAATGAGGGTCTGGATGGGCCGTGGGAGTACGATCTTTCGAAGATGAGGCCGACGACGGCGTAAAGCACATGTTGCTTGGGTGGCTTAGCATTTCTTTCCTCTTTTCCTTACTTTTTCCCTCGTTCTCTTTGCGGGATTGCAAGCGTGGCATGTTCATGGCATATTGATGCATGGGATATCTATCAAATTCCTTTTTCTCATATGAATTGCAGCTATTCTTTTACCATCTCATATGCATTTGGTGTTCTACGTTTTCCAATGTTGGTACAATGCGACTTACGATGTGGTTTACGAGGTTGATAATTATATCCAACCCGATCTCGTGTTTTGAAACTCCATCAGCCCCAACTCCGCAAAACGATCTCCAGAGCAACACGCGTTTAGCGCTTTGGGCTTTCCAAACTGCTCGTGCAAGTTGGTCTATATCTCAGAGTTAATACCAACTCTATCGACTCACGGGCTTTATTTCAGTGTTCTTTCATTAGTTCACCGTTTATTTCATCGGGGCCATGTGGAGTATTTTCCGCCAACATCTATCCTTGAGTTCTTACGGTTAAGCAACACGATCGGCCCCCAAGACACTTTACACCTGCCACATGCTACGAGCTTATGTTGCGCATGCAACGAATACCAGGGCCGAGGATTGTTTCCCGACTTTCAACTTCTATTTGTGGGATACGCCTCGTAGTCCGAAACGACGTCACGCTCAGCTCGATGTCAAAGTCCGAAATACAGATGCCGCTGCAATGGCTAGGTACAGATATTTAAGATCATGTCAATTCCCATTCATGTTTGGAGGATCACTGCCATTCCATCAGGAAGTCCAGGCACAATGAAAGTTTCCGCCGTGCTCAGTCTCACCTTCGCCGCCCTCGTCGCGGCAGCAAATCACCAGCTCCCCCGTAAGATTGGCAGCTATTGCGACGCAGCAGAGGTACTTATCCCAAACTCCCTTAAACACAATATCCATGGTAACATATAATCGCTCTGCTAGGGAACAGGAACATGCCAAAAGCGCTCCCACTGCGAAGGCATCGCCTACGCGAACAACTTCTGCCCCAATAGTACATTCTCTCCCTCTCCCCATCATCCTCCCCTCTCTAACTCCTCCCCAGACCCCGCAGACGTCCAATGCTGCGTCCCCAAAAAATGCTCCTCCCCCTACAAAACCTCCTACTGCCGCAAAACCGACCAAGGCTGTCCAGGCGGCTCCTTCATCAGCGGGCACTGCCCCGGCGACTCGTCCATAAAATGCTGCGTGCAGTCCCCCTCAGCCGACAAACCCTCGTGCTCCAACCCCGCCGAAAACACGTGCACTTTCTACACGGACTGTCTGGAGAAGAAGATGCAGTGCGGGAGCTCCGGGTACCCTATCGATTACGGCTTGAAATACTGCAAGAAATTCACTGCTGCGAGGGGGGAATTTAGCGCAAGGGGTAAGGCGTGGATCACGAAGACGATGTTGTGCCTGCAGCGCGCGCTGGTGCCGTATGCGACGGGCGAGCAGAAGGGGACGTGTGCGAAGCTGAAGGAGTTTGCGTTCGCGACGCATCCGGGTTGTTATGTGAGTAGTGGGGTGTGTGCGCTGCCGCCGGGGGATTGGGAGGTGATTATCAAGACGGTGAGTATTAAGGAGTTGTTTGGGAGTGTCGATGCGTTGAAGGCGACGTTGCAGACGGCGGGGGATTGTGTTGAGTTTTACCAGTGGTTGATTGAGAGGGGGATTGTGAAGGTCGTGGAGAAGGTGAAGGATAAGGTTGAGGATGTTTGGCACAAGATTACGGGTTGGTTTTAGGGTGTTGGGGGGTGGGGATGAGATTGGGTTGGGAGAGGTACACCAAGTATGCGCTCTTGAGACACTAGTTTTGGGACACTGAAAGGGCATTTAGAAGGCTACCTTATAGCTTCTGCCTCTTCTTACCTCGCTATCATCGCTATAGTTCCTTCTTCATGGTGGTAAATCGACCGTTGATTGCCTTTCTATAGCGTAGAGTAGTATTCATCGTAAACATGCCGCGTTAATTCTAAAAAGTTCCGAGTTTCCCCTATCTATAGCATCCCGCCAACAGCACTTTAAAAAATCCACTAAATCACAGCTGCAACCAAATCTTCCATCTACGGTGAAGTATTGCTACAGGCTCCTGCAGTACTATATACAAAGCACGCAACTACAGCGTGAAACAACACCGTTACTTGCAAGGTTTGAACCTTAGCTACTACACAATGTAAAACACTTGAGTGCTAGCAGCCTGATCTCCTCCTCGTCCAACATACAACATACAACCTAGCCAATAGATAGCGTCCTACACGCAGCTACTAACATAACCCCTAGAAGTTACATTTAGCAGTGTCGACAATCAAGAACCTTGCGCTCCGCACCTTACACTTCCACACTTCCAACCCCAGCAACAAGAAAACCAAGGTGCACTTCGCTACGATCCCTCTCCCTCGCCAGGGCAAGTCTCACAAACAACAAGTACTTACAATCACACATCTTGACCTTCCTGCATCTGACTCTAGCACTTTGAAGCGTAGTGTAAGCTGTCAAACACGTTCTGCGCGCAATATACCTCCACGACTCGATTCAATTTACCTGACTGTTCCGATCGAGAGAATTTCTTGATAATGGCTCCATCTATGACTCTTTCGATAGACTCGAGACCGCTCTAGTAGTGAATGTACTCATCACGTGACGAACCACACGCTTTGATATCTTCGAAGCGGAAAGTATCCAGCGCTTCACAAAGGTGGTTAGGGATAAACCCCATCACGACACAACAGGGGTTCAGAACATCTGCAAAAGATCGAGACACGATGGTGATCAACTTCCGCAATGTTGCGCATCTGCACAGAAGGGATTATAGTTCCGAGAGTCTGTATTTGAAATTGGGAAATTGCATTAGATTATATTAGTACTCAGTTTGATATCCAAATCAATTGCTCTGCCCCTCAAACCAGAGTAGAGATTCAACCCAAAGACCTCAACTCCACCACCCCTTCCCCCGGAATCGGTAGTTCAGCAACTCCCTACTTGTAAAGGAACAGCTTCACGACCCTCAACAACAACATCCACCCCCACAACCTCCACCCCGTCGCATGCATAATCCGAATCGACAGATGGCTAATACTAACCACCCTCTTCGCCCTCCCAACAGCCAACCCATCATACCTCTTCAACGCCTCCGCCAAATCCCCACTCAGCACCATCGACTCGGCCAAATCCCACCCATCCATCAGCGCCAAATTCGCGCCGTTCCCCGCAAACGGAGAAACAGCATGATTCGCATCCCCGATGAAAACGACCTTGCCCTCCAACCCCTTCAGCTCCGCAGCCTCGACATACCCGTCCTCATGCGCAAACGCCTGCTTATCCCTCGCACTAAACCGACTCAACACCTTCCCATCCGTCCCCTCCAAAATCCTCTCAAACCGCTCCCCAAGCGCCGGCACCCCGATCCGCCTCGCCTCCTCCACCAGCTCCCCCCTCTCCTCCTCAGATAGCGGCTGCCTCCTCGCCGCCACGGGCTCCCCAACCCGCCACGACAAACACCAAACCATCTCCTTCTTATCGACCGGCGCAATGAACAGCGCCGCGCCCTTCCCCGAAATCACCGTGCCGAACTCATCCGCCCTTCCAGCCGGCGCGTGCTTCAGCTCCGCCGTCCCGATAATACACGCCGGCCCCGCAAACTGCAATCCATCGCTCGGCCGCAGCAGACCGCGCACCTTGCTGCTACTCCCGTCGGCCGCGATGAGGAGATCCGCCGTAAGAGTCCCTTTCGACGTCTGCACCTCGATGCTGCCCCTCCCCCGGTCTTGAGACGCCGAAGACGGGGACGGGGCCGACGAGACGCCCATTACGCTCTCCCCCCACCGGATCTCGACGCCGGGAAGCAATTCCGCCGCGGAAACGAGTTCGCGGCGCAATTGCCCTCTTGCGATGCGCATGCCTGCGACGGGCAGGCCGGGCGGGGTGGCGCTGCGCATCTTGAGCACGGGGTTCCAGTCGCGGTTCCAGACTACGAAGCCGCCTTCTCCTCCTCCTCCTCCCTCTTCCGCTCCTGCGTGCTCGGCTCCTAGCCCTACAATGGCGACTTCCAGCAATCTGTCCAGCAGCCCCATCTTTTGCAGCGTCTGGATCCCTGCTGTTGGCGCGTCGGATCGAAGAGATAAGGAGTAGCCTTCTCGGTTGGGCGGGATGGCGCTGGGATCGCGCTCGATGAGCGTGATGCGGGGAACGGGAGTAGAAGTGGAGACGCTGGGCCAGAGTTTGTGCAGCGAGAGGGTGAATGCGAGGCCTGAGATGCCGGCGCCGGCGATGAGGATGTGTTTGTCTTGAAGGAAGTGCTGCTGCGAGGATTGTTGGGAGGCCATTGTGAATTCGGATCCTAGTTGGAAGGTGTTGGTTGTTTCGGATCTGGAAGGGGGAGACGAGAGAAGAGTGATGGTAATGGCAGAGAGATGAGAGGCTGGAAATCCAGAAACGACCCTTACTTCTTCCTCCTCTTTGAGTCTGCGATGCGCAAACGATAAGACAGCCCTTGCGAAAGAAATGTTTGATCAAAGGAGATGGTCAGGGAAGTCTTCAGTTAGGCCGATGGGCCAACTGAACCAACGTTGGGTAGTGCGCTCGCGGTTTATACGTTGTTCGGTGTTAGGCAAACACCGATAACATGTGCTTAGTCGTCGCAACGGGGCTGCTCAGCAACTCGTATCCTTCAGCGCAGTTCTTATTCTCTCGAACGTGGCACGATACTTGTAGAATCGATTGTCCTGGATGGGTGGAAGAATGGAAAGGGTGACGCGGTTGCGCCGCCACAAGGTCGGAAGGTCGGTGAAATCGGTGATTGGTATATACCGATGCAATGCGAGCTATACGAGGACGGCAAATCCCGAAAGTATGATTTGGAAGGCCAATGTTGCTAGCATATCTCCCAGTCGTTCAGAATCTTGAACGGAGCGATGCAGAGCAATCAGAGCGGAAATTGTAGCGGAACTTGGTTGTAGAAATGAGCGTCATGACTATTACTATTGATGTTACACGCACGCTGTAATCCATGCAAGACGCACCGTATACCTATGCCCACGACGCCAACTCCCGCTTGTAAGACCAAATGCATGGTATCCATGAATCTTAGAGAATTGAGAAAAGGGTATACCAACTCCTCGCGGAATGCAGAATCAAAACAAAACGGATTTGGCCACCCGTGCGCTTTTACACCTCGAAGTTGTCCAGCCAATGCTTCACAACAATCCTGCCTTCTTCGAATCCAGCACCAGCCCTGCGCTTGATGATCGCAGCATGGCTGTGCGGATGCAAGTGGATGTAGACTGGATATTTCTTGAAACCCACCCCATCTAGAGCATCGATCATGGCAAACTGCTCCTTCGTCAAGGCCAGGGTGGGGAAGTCGGGGTTGCTCTTCACCTTGTGCTCCGCGCCGACCTTGGAAGGCCGTGCATAGTTCGAATCATCTGAAGGGAGATATTCTGTGTCGTGGGCATTGTTGAGATTCTCGTACATTTCTTCGACCCCTTCCCGGATTTCGGTAATCAGGGGTATCCTGTATTCGCTGACGTCTATGCCTGCTTTGCCCTCTTGGTGCAAGCGAATGCGCCGGCTGCTTCTAAAAGACTGGACGACCGCCCCGGCAAGCAGTGCCGTAGTGCCAATTGGTATGAAAATGACAAAGAAGATGCCGAGCGGTATTTCACGGAACAGTTTGCGATACAGAAGTTGTGTCAAGGGCAATCTCTCCCGCTTTTTCAACGACACTGGGTTCTCCCCGTCAATGACAACCGGTTCATATCCTTTGACGTAGTTGCACTCGACCGCATCCATGTCAACGAACGGATCCGTGGCGGAGATACCGGCGGTATACCATGTGACGCTACGATCATGCACGGCATTTGCATACAGGCTCCTGTTTTTGAACCGGGCCAATGCTTTTATGAAGATGTGCTCAGGGTCGGCAAGGACAGCGAGGAGCGGGCGACCGGTCTCTTGAAACTGGTCCACCATGAAGAGCTGTTTGCCGCTCACGGACAGTGTCCTCGGTCCCAGGATATTCCATATGTAATTCAGGGCCCCAGTAAGAGGCGTTCGGACCCCTAGGTGCGGAGCAGCGAATGTTGTGAAGTTGATGGGCTCGATGCGGTCAAAGACCCTTTTGTGGTAGAGCAGCCCGATTGCATAGCGAGCGATCAGTCCGCCGAGCGAGTACCCAATGACGCTTATCCGCTTGATACTGTGCCCGTCCTTCTCGAGATCCGCTAGCTTTTCCTCTATCTCGCGGGTGACACGCTCGCCGCCGACTTGGATGCCATCGTAAGTGAAACTATTGGCGTTGCGCTCTGTGACGAGAATATGGACGTGATCTTCGGAATATCTCTCACGCAGAGAGTCCTTGAGGAACTGCAGATGTCCTGGATTACCCCAGAGTCTGTATGCCAATTGTCAGATGGAGAAGGTGAAGAGCGGTGCGGGCGAAGATTACCCATGGATAAGAACAACGAGATGCTCGGAAGTATCAAATGAAGCAGCCGGTGCTGCAAGGGTGGCCATTGGACGAGGGAATACGGTGGTAAAGTCGAAGAGATGAGGTGGATACATTCACCGGTGGGGAGGTTGCAGTTATAATAGATCAACAACCGTACCGTCCGTTTCCTCGTCCGTGGGACGGGGGTAAGGAGCTATGGAAGGGCTGAGGCATGGATGAAGCTATCATGCAGATAAGACGGAGGGTCGAGACCTTAGCTCCGAATGCACGGACACATGTCTTACGTCATCGAAGATCCTCAGCCACGATCCGTCCAACAGCCACCATAGCCACTTTCATCGTTATGGTCGCACGGGCCACAATAGACGACCTCGCACTTTTCATCCCTTCTCAGGTGGAATTGGTTTCCGTGACTTACTTCCCTTGACGACTGAGAGAATCAGATGGGCTGGAGAAAAAGATTTCTCTCCAGGCTTTATTCGGACATACCAAGCCCTCCTTCAACGCCGCAGTAAACCCTAGGCTAGGATCAGAAAGACTACCTACTTGCCCTAAACGCGTCGCTCCGAGTATACCAACAGTACGACGGATTTCACGGTCCCTCCTCCATGTCATCTACCAGCTCCCTGGTCGCTTCTCTCTCACTCTCAGTGAGCCGCAAGGGACTTGCTCGGGCCGCGGACTTGGCATTCTCTTGAATCACCGATTCTGGCAACTGAGCGATTCCTTCCAGACATCTTTCCGGCTCGCCCAACTCCAACCTTGGGATTGAACCATGTTTCCGTCGATACCAAGCTTTCGGCCGTTCGGAGATGTGGCCTGTCCCGCCGGGTCCAAATGCCAACTCATCCACTGCATCTTCTCCCACGAGAAGAACAAACCACCTCCCAGCACAAAAGGAGCCAATCCGGTAAAATCAAAAACCAGCGAAAATGCCACCAGGCCAGGTGTTCAGGGTAAACAACCCCCAACTGGAACTCCGCAACATGTCTTTGTTGGCTCCATCGCCCAGAGACAAGCAGTCTCGCCACCCAACAAAGGGACTGCAAGTCGCATCGCACCTGCAGCAAAGGCCCCGGCAGCAGCAAGAGATGGAAAAACAGGCCTCCCCGCATCAGTGACACGGCCGGTCTCTCCCCCACCGAAGCTTGCAGACAAGAAGGCTGAGGTGAAACCTGAAGCCAGGGTGCTTCTGAATCCCCGCCAGTTGCCAAAGGAACCGGCACAGTTTACGCGAAGACTTACCTACTTGAAGGTTCTGCACCAATACATGTCGCAACTCAATAAACAGGTCTCTGAGAGTTCAGAACCAGACGTCAAAGCACTTGCCTTATCAGAGAATCAACTTAACAAACTGGCCGTCGATGAAGAGCACGCCGTTGGAGCTAAGCATCATGCTGTATACGAGAACATCATCAAGCAACGCATCGTTACGCTGAAGAAGATGAGCCTCGACGGATGGATCGCCGAGCGCAAAAAGGCCATAGAAAGCCAGAACCCTGTCAGACCCGTTCCACCTGCGCCAAAACCGGTGGAAACGGGTCTGGAACCGAGAGCCGAAGTTTCTTTCCTATCCCGGCTGGCGCATACGCCTGCGCAACTGGAAGCGCACGGGTATATCATGAAGATGCCTTCGGAAGCCGAGCTTGAAGAGACCAAAAATGCCCTAATATCTGCAGACCACTGGGAAGTCTGCGACCGCTGCGGAACGCGCTTCCAGGTATTCCCGGACCGACGCAAAGAGGACGGCGCCCTCACTTCAGGGGGGAAATGTGTGCATCACTGGGGCAGAAAGACGTTTCCCCGTAAGAAGAAAGGCGAAGAGTCGAGATGGACGTGCTGTAATGAGCCCATAGGCTCGCCCGGCTGCACCACTGCCGATACACATGTGTTCGTCATCAAGGAGCAGCCGAATCGGCTGGCGACGATTATGCCGTTCATACGGACACCGGACAACCCCGACGTGGATCCGGATACGGTCATTGAGGCGGATTGCGAGATGGGATATACGACGCACGGATTAGAACTCCTGCGTCTCACTGCGCTATCGTGGCCATCCCACAAGCCGATTCTCGATGTATTGGTACGCCCCATAGGACATATACTAGACCTCAACACGCGCTTCTCCGGCGTCACAGCGGAGCAATACTTCAACGCCAAACCCTACGACCCCAAAGACCCCACCATCGACCCCAAAGACCTCCGCATCGTCGACTCTCCGCAGGCAGCCCGCGACCTCTTTCTCTCGTACATTGCGCCCAGCACCCCGCTCATCGGCCACGCCCTCGACAACGACCTCAACGTCCTCCGCATCATCCACCCCACCGTCATCGACACCGTCTGCCTCTTCCCCCACACGGGCGGCCTACCCTACCGGAACGGCCTCCGCTCGCTGGCGAAAACGCACCTGAACATGACGATCCAGCAAGCAGGGGCGGCGGGGCACAACAGCCACGAGGATGCGAAGGCGGCGGGGGAATTGGTCCGGTTCAAGGTTGCGGAGGAGTGGAAGAAGATTCGGAGGGATGGGTGGACGGTGCATGAGAATCGGTTTTTGCCGCCTTTGCCGGGGGAGAAGCGGAAGGTTAGGGACGAGGAGGATGAGGAGGGGGATGGGGTGGATGAGCCGCCGACGAAGAGGCGCAGGGAGGCGTGATGGTGAGAAAAGTGCAGGGTCGTGTATACTTCAGCAGCATTTGGATAACGCGGGGGACAGGAGTTGGTGTACCGTTGGCGTCAGTGATTTGGACTTTGATTGGCATGGCTTCTATTATACCCTTTCCTTTGGCGCGGAACCAGCTTGCGAGCTGAGTAGGAGCCAGTGGGAGGCGCTTCTGGATATAAATGCATCTTCACCCACTTTCCCACACAGCAAAGGTGCACGACCAGCGCTTCCTCCTCTTTGACCTATAATACCCTCTTGTCTCTCTCTGCCCCAGAAGCTCTCATGTCATCGAGCTGTCGGTGTGGTATCTTCTCCTCATGCAACCTCCTCCTCTCCTTGGGCAGCAAACCCCAAAACCTCACGGAACCAATCCCTTCCCTATGCAATCTTCCCTCAGGCCACCATCACAATCTCCCCCCTCAAACCAACCCCTGCACACCACCCAACCCACCCCCCTCCTCCCCTACCCACTCCCCCTCCCGCCCCAGCAACTCCTCCCCATCCAACTCCGCCATGACACCCAGCACGACGCCGACGCTCTCGAAAAACCCATTCACGGCAACGCGCAGCATGCGGTTCGTGCTCGCCTCGTATCGCACCTCTAGGATTTCGGGCGAGGAGGGGGATATGGCGAAGGAGCGGCGGACGAGCGGGGAGAGTTCGCGGTCGACGGCGAGGGCGGAGAGGGCGGTTTGGGAGAGGTGGGATGTGGGGAAGGGGAGGTGGATGGTGCTGCGGAGAGGGCGGTGTTAGCGGGAGTTGGTGAGGTGGTGAAGGGGGGTTGTACAGTTTACAGGGGAATTTGTCTTCTGAGCTGGTCATTGTGATGTTTATGTAAAGGATGTGAGGGTGTTTTGTTACGTTCCTGGGTGAACATGATGTCGCCAAGCGATTTCTTCCACCCCTGCACTTTCCGCGCCGCCCCGCCCCCGCAATTCACCCAAAGAAGCCTAGTGCGGCTGCTAGAGGACCGGGGATCAGGAAACACATCGTCATCGCGCATCATACCTCACCTCACCACAGAAAGTTCACTCATGAAGCGCTAAGATGGGATGGAAGGGTGGGAGGCGGGTTTTCCGAGGCAACTTGTACTTCTACTTCGTATTCCTAGACGCTCACCTTTCCGTTCTACATTACCTTCTCTACCTCCAATTGACACTTAAGTCCACCTCGAAACGCACCTCATACCTTTCCCCTCTCTCCCACCCGGGCAAGCTTCCTCCCCAGCTACCTACATCCCGCAAAACCCACACCAATCTTAACCAACTCCCTCCAACACCACAATGCCACCAACCCGCCGCCTCCGCCTCCCCCGTGGCCTCCCCATCAAACCGCCTTCCTCCTCCTCCTCTCTCCGACCTCTCCAATCCCTCCAATCCTCCCGGCCCTTCACCCACACAACCCCCACCCGCAAAGAAACCAAAAGCAAAAACCCCCTAGGCCAAACCCCCCGCGTCTCCACCTCCAACCTGCCCGACGACGAGCACGCCATGGACAAGCTCGCCCGCAACGACGACATGGAGCCCCAGACGGGCAACGTCAAGAGCGGCATCGAGTACGTACCCCGCCTCCCCCTCGTTTAAAAAACCTCCGCTCAGTCCTCGGCTGTTATATATTATTATCAACCCCTATTGTTCTTTCTACCCATCTCCTCAACCCCAATACCCCTCAACATCATCCCATCACCCCCCGTGCTAACCCATGTCCCTCACAGGAGCAAAAAACGCGGGAACGGCGGCACCGCGACCTCGGACCGCGACACCAAGGGCCAAGTGGCGCAGGCGAAGCGCGAGCACCCCGAGGCGCCGGATCCCGCCATCGGGATGCAGGATGAGAAGGGCCACTAGTACCAGGTGCGCAGAGTGCCTGCATGTCCTAGGGACGTTGGGAACGTTGAGAACTGGCATTTCGTCAGCGGAGCTCAAATCAAGAGACTTGTACGGAGAAAAGGAGAGAGACGTATGTATGTGTATATATAAAGGGTGGATTCGCTTAGGAAGCTACTGTCTGTCTATTTGCCCGTCTGAACATCTGCTGTTACTGCATTGTACATACAATACATATATTACCGACCCATTGAAAGAACATCATGAATGCTATTCATCTATCCTCTCGCTGAAGAAGCCCATGCAACCCTCCTCGCTGCGGATATAGGAAAAAGGGAAGGAAAGGGGGTATCTCCCACCGTTTTCCGCCGGCCACCCACCATGCACCAAACACCGCAATGCAAGCAAAAACCACGACAGACGGAAACAAGAACTCCAAAAGCCATCATTCCAAGTGCCGCAAAATCAAGACCCGGAATCCTACACGGACGGGTACATGTACATGTACACTCCCCTACCCCATCTACACCTCGATATTCTCAAACGGATCCCGATCCGGCGGCAACCCCCTATACACCACCTTCCCTCCAGCATCGACCCACGCATTCTGGCTCGAGATCCAGATCCGCTCGCTGAACCGGCTCGTCCTCTCAATCTCGTCCCTCGCCACCCCCAACGCATCGTTCGGGATCCACACGCACGGCTGAATCGCCCGAGTCGCGGGGTGCTGGAAGGACCGCTTGATCAGCTTCTGCCTCGCCTCCGGCTCAATGTCCTCGAGCGTGTCGTCAATGTCGTCGAAGAGGTTCGCCGAAGGAAGCACTTGCGATTCAATGTCCCGCACAGGTCGTTGGACCTCGTCGATGACGTCGCCGAGGCCGGTGCGGACGACGTGCGTGAGGCGCTCGAGCGGGTTGCTGGCTGCCGTTTGCTTTTGTTTATGCACGTGCGAGTGGCGTTTGTTCGCCGTGGAGCGGGAACGACTGCGCGACCGGTCGGCCCAGCTCTGTCGTTGGGGACGGGAATGGGAGCTATCAACAACACCGAGACTCTGTCTGGAGCGAGACTTCTCCATTTGTTTCATTTCGTAGGCGTCGTGTACCTCGGTCATGTAGCCACGCGAGTTGCGGCGCTCGGCTTCGTCTTGCTCTTCGAGGAGCTTGCTTTGGCGCCACTCTTCCTTTTCTTTGGCTTCGAGTTCACCGTCGAGGGACTTGTCTTCCTCGTCGCCTTCTTTTTTCCAGCGGTTGGCCTGGGCGCGTTGGAACTCCTCGTCTCGTTGGACGGCTTCGTCCTCGAAGGTGATGGGGAGGTATTGAAAGAGGGGCCCGAAAGCCCTGTTGATCAGGACCTGGAACAAGACGGTGAAAGCTAGCGTGACGATCATGATGATGGCCTGCGGCAAGCAAGGCCTACCACTGCCCGGGCCATCTTGGATAAGGAACAGGCCGATCAGGCAGAGCTCCATGAAGTACAGACCAGTGAAGAGCTGGTTGATCGCCTTGGGGAAGATCAAGCCATTCGTCTCAGCCTTGGCATAGGATACGTAGATCATTTGATACCGGTAGGTGAACCAGAAGAGACCAAAGGTCAGCAGCATGAGAAGCATAATCAAAGGCGACACGACGGAGTAGATCAAGCCTGGCAAAGAGTCAGTACCTGTAAGCTAGATCGATCGATAAAAGTCTTTGGTGCTCACCAATAGCACCAAAATTGGTGTACACGGGGATCATGGTTCCCCAATTAATGCCTGGCCTACTTAGGACTCTAGAGACCTTCTGTCGTGGTGTCGTGTCGAGGAAGCGGCTGACGAGCAAAATAAGGACGGCGGCGATTTGCAGCAGCGTACCGGAGCTGATACTGAGTGCCTGCAGAATCATGTACGAATAGAAGTAGTTAGCTGCTCTCGGAAGATTCTGGGCCAGTGTCTGCGGGACGCTGATGGGGTTGTTGATCAGCTGCTCAATCGTAGCCGTAATACCGGTCGAGATAGAGACGACCAGAAACAGCTGAATGAAGACGAAGGCGAAGTAAAAGTTCTGAACCAGAAGCTCACGCTCGCCGGTTGTGGTAGTTCCGGTAACTCCAGCCAGGAACCTTAGGAGAATGGGGAGAATGGCAAACAGGATCGCAAGGAAGGCTGGCGGAAGCACACCTTGAATGAAACTGATGAGCCAAGTAGGAAGATCGTTGAGCCATGCGAGGAACTTCACAGTGTCGGCGAGTTCCTTGACTTGGGACAGGGCGCCAGTGAAGGAGACTGGAATACCCCAACAGATGACGAGAGCGACAATCAAAATGACCACACCAAACATCCTGAGGTAACGCATGTACCAGGCCATACTAAGGTTATCCCAGAGTACATGGTTCGGGTTCACTTCCACGGTGCGTGGAGCCATTTGGCGCGGAATGTGGTGGCTGAGCGATTGGCAAGCCATGTGCGCTGCCACTTGATGGTTGAATTGGATAAAGGCTGAATTCATCAACGGAAACCGCTCTGGGTGTGCCTGATCATCTGCAATCTCGAGGTTCAATCGCGCAAGCTCCTTGCGGCAGTAGTAGATCGTATCGACCTTCTTTCCCAGCAAGGGAAGAGACGGCCACCACGACTTGTCAATTAGCGGAACACGCATTGTTTCCCTGTCCTTCGGCCTGATATATTTCCTCCATACGGCGGTTTCATCGTCTTCCTCAAGCCCTTCGTTGTAGGCGCCTTGGTAATCATATTTGACTTCAACCTTGTTATCTTTCCTGTCAGCTTCCAGTGGAAACTCCTCTCCCTCGGCACGGAACGGCTGGGGACTGGCGAAATCGCTAAGGCGTCGCAAGGGATTGATCGGCGAATCCTTGATAACGGCAAGGGCGGTATTGGTAATAGTGGGCTTCTTCTCCGGTGGTGGGTTCACCGGCGACCGGGGAGAAGTAGGTTCCGAGCCCGACCCTTCTGCGTCATACTTTTCCTTGCTAGGGTCGCGCAGGGCAGTATATGTATCTGAGCTATGTCCTCTGCCCTCAAACTCAGCGCTCGTCGGCGAAAAGCCTGGTACATCGTTGGCCCCGTCCACTTGTGGCGGATCCTGGCTGTCCCGCCCATGCTTCGACCCGAAAGCTCCTCGAAATCCGCCCACAACCTTGTTGCCAAGCTTCCCGACGCCCTGTCCCACCTCAAGGATGCCGTCTCCTACAGCTTGAAACCCTTGACCAACGAGGGGGATGGGTATCTTCGCGCTCTTTCGAGGAGAATCGGGAGAGGAGGAACGTGAAGAAGACGAAGACGAGCTAGAGTCTTCCTCGGCGACGAGAACCTCCTGTAGAGTATGTTCAATCTGGTGCGGATTTCCAGAGGCAATACCTTGGTCCGCATGCGCAGCCAACCTCTCATTCTCGGCAGCCTCATCCTGTTTCTTTTCCTCCTTTGACTTCTTTGTTCCCGCCGCCTTGGCCTTTTTCTCTTCCATCTCTTTGTGCCTCTTTGTACATTGAATGATGAGATTTGTCTCTGCCGCTTCCAAAGTGCGAGCGATCTTGGTCCTCTTGTTGACCTTCTCCTGGAGGTCATCGTAGTTGCGATTGATCCAGATGTCTCGAATACCCCCTGGGAAGACATCATACAATGCGTCCAGGGCAGCCACCGTGAGCCACTTCCTAGGAATGGTCTGGACGAGAATGGTAGTGGCGGAAGCGCGGATCCGATGTTCGGGCATAGTGAGGATCGTCTGGCGCAACCGTACAAATTTCCTGAGAGCCAGGTAGACGTTGTAGCAAACCCAAATGACCACACAGACAGCCAGTATCAGATGAGCCCAGAGGCGGTCCAGCTTCGCCGGGACGCCAACGTTTGGCCAGGCAAAGGAGTCCAATCCAGAAACTCCAGGCACATCCCCTGCACGATTGACTGGCAGCAGTATAGGCATAATGACGATAGCCATGGGGATGAAGATCTTGAGCAGGAATTGCAGGTATTCCACAAAGAGGTAGCCGTCGACACCGGCTACTCGGATGAGTTCCCGGTCGCTGATTGTGAAGACATTCTTGAATGATTCAATGGCGCCGGTGGGCTCCTTTATCCGCTTGCGCTTAGATACGAAGGATGTCTTGTAGTAACTGAGGATGTTAGCAACTGAGCGATCCGAAACAGGTTGTGACGACAACGTACTAGATCTTATGGAACAGACTCTGCCGCTCTGTGGGAGTGTGTGCCTTTTTAGAACGCTTCAATTTCCAGTTGCCGCTCAAGAGCAGGAAGGCCAGCATTTGGATGCCAAAAATGAGAGCAGCTGTTGATAACGAGGCCGCGAAATTCTTGATGCTTTGATTGAAGTTGCTCTGAGCGGCGCCAGCATTTGCCGAGTCCAGTACACTGGTCGCCCTGGGCCATAGGGCGCCCTTGGCTGGTGAGGGGACAGACATGACGAAATGCTGGGCGAGGATGGCCCGAAGTAGGACGGATCGCTGAGTTGAGAGAGCAGGTAAACAGGGTGTTTATGATGAAGCGGAGGCCATGGGCATACGATCGGAGGACAATGTGTAAGGTGCAGAGCGTTGGGCGGAGGAGGAGGCGGAGGAGGCAGAGGAGGGTGGAGGAACGCAATGCAAGAGTGAATGCCAGCTTGTTGAACGCTGTGAATGCGTTTCATACCAAGGCAAGAGGGCGGCCCGCGGACCAATGACGCTATGGCGCTAGGGATCGGCCCAGCCAGCGCCAAACAAGCCAGCCGTCGACAGCAAACCGTCGCACACGGGTTGTGGCATAGCGATTCGGCGCCATGCTGTGCGTTTGTGATTTGATGGTTTGTTGAGTTCCTGGGCCAGCAGAATAATAGGTCGTGGGGTGGTTTTGGAATGGTGTGAGCACTGAGAAAAGGAGAGCCCTGAGGTGTGAGACCTTTATCAGATCTAGCGAGATCTCTATGAGATCGGATTAATGGCACCAGGGGCCAGGGGTGGATACCGAAGCTGACCCGGCTCGGTTAGCGGGGCACGTGGGCTCTCTTCTCACCGGTGGGGGCCTTGGCACGCTCTCCAGGTCCCGGCTAGGATGACGTCGACTTCCCTATCTACCCTCCCTTTCTCTACACAGTATTTGTCGTCTCTCCTTTTGTTCTTTGTAGTCATCCTTGATCAATGTGCTGCGGCTGGACACTAGAACCATGCCATGCGGTGTTCGGCTGCACCTTTGAGTCCAGTTCCAGTTCCCAGGTTTATAACAACTCATTGACATAGTTGTCAATGGAGAGAGCACGGTTTCCGTACCCACCTCTCTCCGGGAGCTCCTGGAGCCTACCTGATTTCCGGTAATTCTCCTAGGTAGCCTCGCAGGCCAAGGTCGCCAATAACGAGACATCCTCTTCAGCACTGCCACACCAAGCATGAATACGAGACTCTAGTTGCGCAAGGCAGTTTTCCTTCATGCGCCGAATTTTCCATTGGTCAAACAGTATAATAACATGTTGACCATGAATTCCCTCTTAAATACTCTTTAAATACTCCTTGCCTAGAGCGATATTTTGAAGACCTCACCACTACTGTTCACTCCTTTTGGAGTCACAATCACAGCACCATTTTGTTCGCCATCTCTACAAATACAGCGGTCTCTTGCACAATGACAACAATTGCTTTAGACGATCTGCAACCTGGTACCGGAACAACCCTGAGACGCCGTGCAGACTCCCGGCAGCAGGACGCCAACACCGATACATCTTCAGTGCCCACCAACAGGTCTGACGCCCTCAGCACTGCACCTCCTCAAGACTCCCCTTCTTTTCAGCCCACAAACTTCTACTGGATTTCCTGGCACGGTCTCCTCCCTCCCTACAACATCGAAGTTTTTGACCTCACTTCCGACATCTCCACACCTTTCACAGGCTTTACGGAAAGCTTCCAAAACGAGGTCCAACGGATCCGCAAAGACCATACCTCAACCCCCTTCTTCACCGCCCACCCTGACAACCGCTTCTGTACCCGTTACGGCATCCGTGATAGCCAGGGTGATATTATCGCACAATGGCAGCACCCCTGGATCACCACCGGCAAAACTGTGTTCTCCTTTCCCGAAGGCTCCCCGTATTGCTCTCACCCAGTACACCTAGCACATGATAATATGCTCAAAAACCTGCTAGCCCTACGGACTGAGTCCTTCAGCTACAACTCGGCCAAGTTCGTGTGGACGATTGACTCGAGATGGCACGCTCACAGAATGTCTTTGTACAGGGTCTGGGGCTCTGGCCCAGGCCAGAAGAGAATAGAGGTGGGGAGATGGGCGCAGAAATGGGGTCTTCGGCCGGAAGGAATTTTGGTAGTGGATGAGAGGGAGGTGAGCGGGTTGGTTGCTTGTCTGACCTTGTTGGCGTTGATGAAGAAGAAGAGGCATGAGGGTGGGGGAGGCTAGTTCATGAGTTGAAAGGAGGATATCCGGTCTTATAGCCCATGAGAGCTGCAGGGTATGTGCGTAAAGGGTAACCCACGTCTTTGCGTGGGACTTCCCAGGGTAGGGCCGTTGGCTGGAATGATCTTAACTAATTCAACTCGCTTCAATAACTATTCTGTATACATGTAAATCTTGATATCCGAATACAGTGTCTTATGTACTCGTCCCTGTCTGTACCTTAACAACCACTTCCTGATCGGGTTAGTCCGTTTCCGCCACGTGCTCACGCGATTGCCAAGCTAACCTTGGAAGCATAACGCGTCCTTCGAACATCACAGTTCACCTATTTCTTACTCATCCATTTGCCTTTACCCTGTTATATACGAACAATGTCTCAATCCGCCGTAGTCGAAAGGAAGCGCGCTTTCCTGCGTCGCCAGAAACAGATCCTCACAAGAGGCATCCCGCCGTCGAACCGGCTACTCAAGATAGCGGAGCAAGGAGGGATTCAGACCAAGGTGTTGAATGATATCATGCTTAAAGGTGGGTTTGTAGCTTGCACACCGTCTCCTAAATCTATTTATTCTTTATTGTTCGGATCTGTTAGGGAGAGCCAATCTTCGTGTCCTAAGCGCTTGGCAATACAGCTTGCTAACCTTCAGAACAGTGAATCGCGACTTGAAGAGGCATGGACGAGAAGTCTATGGCAGCCAAATGACAGACCATGTCGTAGAGCAGATCGATCTTCTGTATTGGGAAGCTGGCGAACGTGCTGTTGAAGGCTCCGACGATGCTCGAGAAGCTGGCGAGGACGGTGACGCATTGTACCGCGGTGACGACTTGACGCTGGATAGCTGCATCTCAAAGCTACCCTCCACATGGGACATCTCAGCAGACAACCCGCCTCAGAGCAGCGACGACAACACTATGGAAGTAGACCAGGATGCATACATGGAAGCAGTCACACGACTCCAGGATCTTTCTGCTCGACGCCTCACTTTGCAGCAAAAGCTCACCACTTACCGTACATTGCTTTCCTTGCTGGAGCCTTACCGGAAACCCCAGGAGAATATCCAGCCGAACTTGGTTGGACGAGATGCACCACTGGCTTTGGAGCTGGCGCAGACGAGAACGCTTGCTATACGCGTCGCTGGGAGAGTAGGTGACAGGTTTGGAGATGTGCAGGTGCCTGCTACTGAGGAAGAGGTAGGCGAGGAATTGCTAAAGGATGATAGAAAGAAGAAGGTAAACGATGTCCTAGCCGGGTGGTAGAAGACATGTACAAACCAGCGACTCATGCGAAGTACATACCGAGCTCAGCACACTTTGGGCCTTCCTTAACTCTGAGAACCCATGCCGGGAAGGTACCCAGGCACCGTCCGGTGGTCTCTGGAAGGTGTCCATAACCAGTTCAGACGATAGCTCTTACCCATGGCTCCCGAGGTCAATTCCTGCCCAGGTGTCATGATCCATATACTCCTTGTCTACCTTCGACCCTCGCTACTCTCGCTCTCAATCTTGGAGGCAAACGACACCTCGTTATTGGAGACAGTTTCTCGTCGACATTCATTTCATATTGCATTATTATATCGGTCCATTATTATATCAGCATCGCCATGGCTACGCGGGAATCAGAGCTATTCGAAGACGACTTGGAGAGCATCAGCCCGCGGTGGGAACCAGTGCCTCAGGAATCAGAGATGCAGGCCGAAGTACTTCACGTGGAGAACGTGGACGGCGCGAATGATCCATCGCCGCAAGAGCCGAACCACCCTACTGCCCACGGCGCATCCAGCTCCACGGAGCCTTCCATGTCTCTTCCGCCAATTGCAACCTCCGTTACAGGGTACACGAAGAAGATCCTCGATTCCGTCTTCCAGTCCGTGGAACGACGTATGAGTCCATTGGACAAGAGTTTCATATTCGACACACATAAATTGGATCAAGGAGTCGCGGGACTTTCGCTGCTATCACACCATATGGAAGAAACGAGAATTCCCCGCCGCGGTAAGGTCTTTCTTCCAATATACCTCCACCGTAACCAACAGCGAATCTGAGTTTCTCATTCCATTCTAGGTCCGCTAGCTTCACACCCTATACATCCAGCGGCCAGGATCATCTACGAAGACTACCTTCTCCCGCGGATTCATGTGTACAACAATGGGAAAACTTACCCCATACCACGGTCAAGATTTCAAGGGATGTCGTATTCAGATAATCCAGATGTCCCAGCGCCCAATCGCCCTTCATCTGCCATTATTCTTGACAGGCCATTTGACACTCCGTCTGGTCCAGCGGTTCCACCTTCGGAAGCGCTGTCAAACCGTCCTGGAACACCGCATACATCTTCCTCGGATACAACTGTTCGAGCGCCGTCTGAACTGCCGTTGGATAACGGACCTGCAACAACTCGTGCTTCTCGGCCTGTTGCACCGCCTGTTGCGTCAAACGAATCACCAGCACCTCGTGCTTTTCAGCCAATTCCGTCAGTTGCCGAGTACGGTCTACCGTCTGCCTTGTCCTCTGGTCCACCGTGCGTTCCTGTGTCTGGTTTCACCGCCTGGCCCACCGTCTAGTCCACCCTCTTCTCCACCCTCCACCCCTCCCCCTGATCCACCGTCTGGATCGTCGAGTTTTGGTAATCCTCGATACCGTGACGCTGAAACGCAGACAGACGCCAATAACCCTGTCCTCTAGAACAGCATATTCGGTTCCATCCCCCAACCGTAATGTGCATGTCTTCCAGAGGCTTTTCTTGTACAGGTTGACATTGGGATTGGTGCTTTGGCCCATGGGGAATCCGGTGCTTGGACGGTTTTACGGGTGAGCGGGTTCTGGGGGGTTTTGGCAGTGGGATGGGGCGGTTTGATTGGTTGTGTGGTGTGGTGGTTGGTTTGGGGATAGGGTATGTGGGTGATGTTGGGCGTGAGGACGGGTTTTGTGACTGGGCAGGGTGTCGTTGCAGGGAGGTGGAGGGATATGAAGGTTTGGGAGGTTTGGAGTTGGATGTGCTGATGAGGGGGTGTATGGGTGGGTTTGGCCTCGGTGGGGGTTTCCGCGTCGTGATGCGTGGTATTGTGATGTTATTGGGTATATATGTGTATAACACTACATCTCCGGGAGAAGTAGCACACAGAGGGAATCGAACCATCCTGCGTGCATAAAATCCTACAACCCCCAACGCCGCGCTATGCATAAACGACAGCAGCAAAGAATACAAAGTGCTCACTCAAGATCCATAGTCTGAACAATACCCATACCCCATCTGCGAGATCACTACGTCTTCCTCTCCTCGGCCTCCTCGTCGCTACTCTCGTCCCTCCGCTCCTCCCACCCGGCCAACCGCCGCAACACCCTATTCTCCTCCCTCAGCGCCTTTACCTCCCTCCTCAACGGCAGATCCGCCTCGGCCTGGCTCTTCAGCGCCGCCCTAGCGTACTCGGCCACCCGCCCCAATCCCGCCTGCCACTCTGCATGCTCGAGGCGGACCTGCATGGTGGCGGCGCGCTCCTTCTCGAGCAAATCCTGGTAGTGCTTGTGCAGCGCGAGGAGGGATTGCGTGTGGGTGTAGGCGTAGGGGCGGAGCTTGTCGAGGAGGAGGGTGAGTGCGTTTTCGTAGTCGGTGATGAGTTGTGTGAGTTCGTTCGTGTGGGATTGGAGGGAGGAGAGGTGCGATTGCGTGGTTGTGAGTTGGGTTGTTAGAGAGGCGAGGGTGGGTGGTGGTGGTGGTGCTGGAAAGAGAAGTGATTAGCCATTGGAGCGTCGTCGTTGAGATAAGAATATGGGGATATAAGATGGAAGAAGAAGAAGGGTCTACATTGTACTCACCATTCCCATCCCCATTCGCCATCCCACTCCCCCCCACCCCGAACCCTCCCAACCCGCCCTCCTCCACGGCCCGCGCCTGAATCGCCGCCACCCCATTCACGATCCCGCCCATCTGCGCCCGGTTCTCCTCCAACACCTGGCTCAGCTGCTGCACCACGCCCCACAGGAAATTCAGATCGCTCTGGTGTCCGCTGCTCGGCTGCCCGTTCACCATCGGTATCCCCCCGCCGTTCGGTGGTCCCGGTTGCGTCTGGCTCATGCCTCCCATGCCGTTCGGATGTGGATGTTGTTGTTGTTGCTGGGCTGCTGCTGCTGCGGCGGCGGCGGCGGCGGCTGAGGAGGAGGGAGAGGGAGAGGGGGCGACGCGCGGCATGTTGGTGGGAGGGGCGTCGAGGAAGGAGAATGTGCTCATTATTCGGAAAAGGAGGAGGTGTGGGTCGTGTGTGGAGAGAGGGCCGATTAAGATGCGGTTGCGGCGTAGTGGTGTTTCGCTGGGAGCAGGGGTGTTTGGGTTCGGCAGTGCTGGTCACTGGGTCCGGGTTGCTGTATTGTTCAGAGGCCAGTGATGGTATGAGGGCGAAAGGGCCCGTGAATGGGTATGGGTTGGATCCAGTAAACGAGAGAGGTCTGGAGTACTGGCAGAGTCTGTTACCTGGTTTGTGAGAGTAACCCTGTGCATTGAGCCTGGGTGGAATGTAACGGTGAGAGTCAGGATGTGTTGACGATTTGTGGTTAGATTCTTGGCATTATGTTCCAGTGTGATTGGCCAGTCATCTGTACGGTTGGAGTGACTACAAGCGCAGTCCACAGGTTGTTAGTATGTGTAGAACTATTAGAAGCGCCAGTTCTGTTATAGATGTATTGGGAATATACAACAACTGAAACGCTCCCTGAACCCTAGACCCTAAATCCTAGATTCTAGATGAAAATCATGCGAAACGAGAGCAAGTTAACGGCGCAGACCTAACTCCCAAGACGTGCAACTCGTAACCAACAGCGTCCATGTAAATCCAATTCCAATCATTTCTCAGGGAGTACATACCTACGCTCAACGCTCATCTCCCTGTCCGCCTCATCTTCGCCCTCAAACCTCAGTCTCACCATTTTCGCTGTTTCGTCTTTCCCATCCTTACCACCACTCCATGGAGCAACAACCTCCGCCTTGTAGAACGTGGTTGTCCCCGGATAGAGTGCAAGGACCTGCTTCCCCATCTTAAGATCGGGTAGTGCGAGGTTGCTCGGCGGAGGTGGAATAGCTACAAGGTGATTTACCGATGCTCGGTATGGCTGCGCTGGAGTGGGAGGGTCTGGATCAGCGTCGATGATCTCGTAGCGCCGTTGTTTGCCTTCACCGATTACCGCGGTTACACGGCAGAGTATGCCCTCGCCCTCGGTTGCCTTGGATTTGTTGTTGCGGTAGAGAACCTCGGTGTTTGCGATCAGGCGATGCTTGTCCGAAGCTACTACATAGGAGTTAACACCCTCCTTTTATATAGTGTCTCCTGTGGTATCCTGAGTATAATAACGAAATAGACGTAAGTATGCAAATGATAAGAGATAGGAGCGTCAAATGGAAATGTAGAGTTGAAGGAACTAGAGACTAGGAAGACTAGAGAGAAATCGGTCATGGGTATCTAGACAGTAGGAAATATCGACCTTGCCCTGCCGCAGAGCGCCTAACGCCTCCGAGAAGGAAGCGGAGCTTTGCGAGGACGTCGCGGCTTACCCTTGAACTCCTGGCCCTCCACGTCTTCAGCCTTGACACTGCTCTCCCTCCCTGCAGGCACTGAGCCAGCCCTGCTTCCGCCTGCCATGACTTTGAGCCTATCCTTGGTAGACACCATGACCTTGGGGCTGGCATGGCCGACGGGACTGTCAGCGGCGATACTGTCCCGGTCGTCGATCGTGTCGGTGAGCTTCCTCTTCATCTGTCGGTCTCTCTGGGATTTTCCAACCGAGGCCGAGCGAGAAGCGGGCAGAGCCTCGGGCTCGTGAGCGTCTCGGAGCGCTGCAACTATCTGCAACTTCTCATCGAGAGAATTTCCTTCTTCGTTGATCTTCTCGCCCAGGCGGATATTCTCTCGCAGATTCTTCTCCAGCTCGATGTCAATGCTGTCGGACCTTGCATCCATTCCACCGCGATCTGAAGATTGATTAGATAGACCTAGTAATGGGAGGTCGCTGCGCGCGTGGAAACGGGTGTCAGGGTTGTGTGGACCGGCACGAACCTACTAATACCGTCTGTGAAGCATTCAGTTCAACAATCTTCCTGCTAATGGCGTTTTGCTGTGCCTCCGGAAGGTTAGCTATGCTTCAGAGGATGCCGTTTGTATACGGAGGTAAGGAAGACTGGAACGTGATGATTTGTTATACAAGCAACAGCGACGTAAGTTCGAAAGGTGTTTCAGCTTCTTGAGCTAGTCTATGTTCACGATCCCCTTCCCTGTGGTTGATCTAACAGAGGGGACTTGATGCTTTGAGAACTTACAATGAGTAGATCGATTCTCTTGGCATCTTCCTGGATTTCTCTCCAGATAGAACGTTCCTCATCAGCCTCGTCCTTCAACAGACCCGCCCGAGGCCGGCTGCGGGCGGCCATTGTGAGCCGGTGAAAGAGGCTGCCACCCGTATGGGTTTCCGACTCTCAGACCCTCGCCCGGAGGTAGCACTGCTAGTCGCCAGGAAGGATTATAGTAGAAGAAGAAGTGGTGAAATACTTGGTTGGGGTTTGGGAGGCTGCTGGATAGTGGAGGTCCCTGCAAGGGTCGAGCGCATGGATGACGCTGCATAAGCGGGTGCGCTACCGTCGTAAAGGGACTAACGCGACTTGTGGAGCCGCAGCTTATTTGGACCCCTCGACAACCCAGCAAGAAGCACTCCAGCACTCGACCCCAATTCCCGCCGCTTGCCGTCATTCTGTCCGCTTCAGCGCCCTTCAAAATGCAGATTCCCTTGTTTCGACTTCAGTGCGGTAAATTGTGACCTGATCTCGGCTACTGTGCTTGTATTGACATTATCTCGCAGGTGTAAACAGTTACGACTGGGGTGCGGTTCCGTTCCTAACCCCCGCCATAACGTTGCTAATGGGGAACTAACTTCTGCTCATAGGAAAGGTAGGGAAGGACTCAGCCGCGGCCAAGTTCGCGGCTGCAACTCCTTCAGACGACTTCTCCATACAAGAAGATAAACCATACGCAGAGGTTTGTTCAATTGGTCCAGAGTATGAATCAGGCCCTGGTACTCACCGCCTAAGCTATGGATGGGCACACACCCCTCACTCCCCTCCAAGGACCTTGAAACAAAACGAACCCTGCTCGAACTGGTGCAGGATAACCAAGCCTTGCTCTCCACGGACATTGCAGAGAAATATGAGAACAAATTGCCCTTCCTGTTCAAGGTCTTGTCCATCAACAAGGCGTTGAGCATCCAGGCACACCCGAACAAGAAGCTGGCAGAGAAGCTGCACGCTAAAGATCCGAAGAACTACCCCGGTGAGGCCGCGTCTTCCTGATGCACGCCGTTTCCTATTGTTGACCAGTTGCATAGATGATAACCACAAGCCGGAAATGACTATTGCAGTCACACCCTTCGACGGACTCTGTGGTTTCCGACCCCTTGCTGAAATCTCCCACTTCCTGCAGACTGTGCCTTCATTCCGCAAGCTGGTCGGTGAAGAAGAGGCGACGAACTTCGAGAACACCGTCAAAGGCAAGGAGACGGCATCGAAAGAGGAGGACGTCCAGGCCAACAAGAAGGCTCTCCAAAGCGCATTCACCAAAGTCATGAACACAGACAAAGACACTTTGGCTTCGGCTGTAGAAGAGCTCATTCAAGCTGCCAAGACCGAAGGCGCGAAATTCGCGGGCGAGGGTGGACTATCCAACGGAGGAAAGGAGCTTGCCGACCTTGTGATTCGGTTGAACGACCAATTTCCCGGGGACATTGGTCTCTTTGTGCAATTTTTCCTCAACTACGTCAAGCTTGACGTGGGCGAAGCCATGTTCCTCAAGGCGGACGACATCCATGCCTACCTTTCGGGCGACATCATCGAATGCATGGCGTCGTCGGACAACGTGGTGCGGGCGGGCTTCACACCCAAGTTCAAGGATGTGGAAACGCTCACGAGCATGCTGACATACTCGTATGCGCCCATCAGCGAGCAGAAGATGTCGCCGACGGATTACCCCTATGTCACGCTCAATGCCACTGCATATAGCTCCAACTCTTCCAGCACCCTATACGACCCGCCCATCCCCGAATTTGCGGTCGTTCGCACAGCTTTAAACAAGACGGGCGCGAAAGCTACGTTTGAAGCGATTGCCGGGCCCAGTATCGTGCTTTGCACGAAGGGCAAAGGAACGATCAGCGTAGGGCCAAAGAAGGAGAAGATTGAAGAGGGTTATGTATTTTTCGTGGGTGCCACAGCAGAGTTGGTGCTTGAGAGCGAAACGGATGGGGATGGCGGAGAGGGGATGGTGACTTTCAAGGCGTTCTGCGAGATCAGCGACCACGACCACAAGCAGAAGTTGTAGGGCGTTGATAGATCTGCAGACGTTCCTGTGGGATAGCGATGACATGTGCAATCATGAGCGCACCAAACAAATGCCCGTTGCCGACAACCATTGGGTAGACAGATCACGTGAAGCGATCCGAGTTACCTCTACTACCTAGGTAGGAAGGGCTGGAGAGATTCAGGGGCTCCGCGATCCCAGTAGTCAGCAATAGCAAAGCGCAGTGCGACGTGTCACGATATTTCCAGCTATCATTTTTCCGTCATGGCAGACTGATGAGACATGAGCTCCATCTTTTATGTCGCACGACAGCGGCAGACTGCAGCTGATGATAAATCTTAAAGGGGTGGATCGAGCGATGGCCAAGTAAATAACGGCTGGCGAAAAGGGGTACCTGCATAGCTGTCAACATGCTGCGAACCACTACTGCAGCTGTGCCAAAAGAGAAATCTACTGCGAAAATTGCAGCATTTACTGTATTTAATAAAAAAAAATCTTGATGGCGTCAACTGGGCCGTGGTAATAAGATGGGGCCAGACGGAGGTTCCCCCTTTCCCCAGGGTTCGAAGAGTCCAAGATTGCGGCCGATCAGCAGAAGGCATCGACGCGCCAGGCTCGTTTCAGAGTCCTTCCCTCCACCATCATTACCAACCACTCCACAACTCCCTCCCACCACCTACCTCCCTCACCGGTGAAGAAACAACTCTTCTACTACTTGGATTTTCCGGGACCCTATTTACGACCTTCTCTCTCCCCACCCTCGCTGTCAATTGCTTTGCGCCCTGTCCATACCTCGCCCATAGATCCAGCCTAGCGAAATCAGCTAATCTCCCTCAACCCGCTCGTACCGATCACTCATCTCAGACCCTCCGCATCGCTCGTGCTGCCGACTGTGCACTCCATCGAACCCCTCACCCCTCATATCCTCTCCATACCCGTCATTGCTGCTCCATCGCGGATACATATACCTGTTTAGACCGGCAAGATGGGAGGTCAAATATCCAAGATGATGAACAAGATCTTCGGATCCAAGGAGATGCGGCTGTTGATGCTGGGCCTCGACGCCGCAGGCAAGACGAGTACGTAGTGTCTCTCCCTCTCACCTCCTCCCCGGCCTCGTTCCTAGCCGCTGCGCGTGGAGCAGCGGCCCTTGTTCCCCTCTCTTGAGCCATTGCTAATATATTTCTCCCTGTCCAGCCATCCTCTACAAACTCAAACTCGACCAGGACGTCACCACCATCCCGACCGTCGGCTTCAACGTCGAGTCCGTCACATACAAGAACACCAAATTCAACGTGTGGGACGTCGGAGGCCAGGACAAGATTCGTCCGCTGTGGAGGCACTACTTTTCCGGTACGTTGTTGCGGATTTTTCTGGGCTGGGTCCATGTTTGGTCGACGGGGAGAGGTTGTTTTCCTCCCTGCCTTGTTTCTTTTCCTTTTGTTAAGGCTTGGGGAATTGGAGGAGAGTGATTGTTTGCTGACGACTCGGGCAGGAACGCAAGGTCTCATCTTCGTCATCGACTCGAATGATCGCGATCGCATCGACGAGGCGCGCACGGAGCTCACGCGTATCATTCAGGATAGAGAGATGAAGGACGCGCTGTTGCTCGTGTTTGCGAATAAGCAGGATCTACAAGGGGGTATGTTTCCTCATCTGCTCCGCCTGCTCTGCATTGCAGATAGAGAGGTGTTGCTTATAGGAGGACATGGCTGACCTGATCCACAGCAATGCGCCCCCAAGAAGTCTCCGAACGCCTGCAACTAGAAAAGATTGCCAAAGACCATGTCTGGAAGGTCGAGCCTAGTTGCGCAACCACGGGCGAGGGCATCTTCGAGGGCTTGGTACGTCTTCTCCTAGCACTCGCCCTACACTACTCTACACAGACAATGGCTAATAGTGAAACCCCAGGCATGGCTCTCCAATAACGTCAAACTTCCCGCCGGCGCCAAATAGACTTTCTCGATTGAATGATGCATTCCTTGTGCTCTGCCTGTTTTTCTCTGCACTCTCCTGCTTATACCCCCGTCAGAGAGGTTTTTGTGTCTGCTAGGGTTCTGTTATGTTTGCCCCTTTTTGAGCGGTACGGATTTGTAATATTGAGTGTGGCGCGCTTGTGGGGATGAGCGGATTCTCTTCACCTTCTCCTTCTTCTCCTTCTACTTCTTCTTTTGCTGCTGCTGATTGCGCAAGACGTGCGGGTGGTGCAGGCGGGGAAGGCGATGCACTGGCGTGTTTATATATGTTTGGGTGAGGTGATGATTTATATGGGAGAGTACTGGGTGCGAGAGCGAGCGGGTAACGAACGTGTAGAAGAAGTTGGAAGACGCGGTAGACGATATCATGAACATGATTAATAATACTAATCTCCATCCAAGACAAATCTCGACTCCCTACCGCTGCCATCCGTCCTTGGAGTTGTCTCGTCCTCAAAATCCATCATCGATGCCCGCCTTCTTCTCCTCCTCCAACCTCTCCCTGTTATACTTCCACCACCACTTGTGGCTCTCGAGACTCTCCTTGCCCTCCTCCTCGTCCCACGGCTTCGGGCTCAATATGTAGTGCACATTCTTGACCTCGTCGTCCCTCCAAATGGCGTCGTGCACGCCCTTCTCCCGCATCGTCTTGAGCGCATTATACGTATAAGGCAGCGGGACCCAGCGCTCGTGAAACAGATCCCCGAGGAGCGACTGGTCCGCGAAATCGTACGAACTCGTCGACGAAGGCGACGCGAGCGCTTCGGAAATGAGATGGTACGTCGCCGACGAGGGATTCACGACCTGCAGGCCACCATTCGGCATCGCGAGGCCCGCGGTAGCCGGCGCGCCCCGTATCTGCGCCGCATCCGGGTCCGCATGCTGCGTCGTGAAAGCGCAATTCTCGGGGATCCAGTCCCTGGGGTAGTGCGGTTTCTTGAGCGGGTTGCATGTACAGGCGTGGCTGGCGGCGAAGACTTTATCCCCCTGGCCTCCTAGTTGGGGCGGGTCGAGCTCGAGGTCCATTAGCTCGTCCATGTTGCGCAGGACGAGCATGTCGCTGTCGAGTTGGACGACGCGGTCGTAGGAGGTCAGGGAGAAGGGGACGAGTTTGGTCCAGCAGTCGTGGAAGCGCGGGTCGTTGGTGAAGTCTTTGGGCGCGGAGGGGAGGAGGTAGGGGATGGGTTGTTTGGGGATGGAGCGGGCGTCGAGGGCGGCGTGGCCTGAGGCGGGGAAGGAAGGGGTGTAGAGGGCGATGAGCGGGTAGCGCGAGGAGTGCTTGCGGAGGGAGTAGGCGAGGGTCAGGAGGCCCGGGAGGTACGAGGTGTTTGTTATGAGGGTTGTCCAGACTGGGAGAGGGTATGTTAGCTTGTTGGGTATTTCTCGGCTGCTGGAGGGGGGAGGATGGAGATGGAGAAAATGAAAAGAGTGAGTGAATGTACCTTTTTTGGAATCTACTACCCGCGTCGCGTCGGGATTGACGCTCTCTGCTGCGGAGTCCATGTCCTTGGAAGGCGTCTGAGTACCACTGACTTCACTGTACTAGGAGTAGAAAGAAAAGATATATGAGGCTGGCCAGGTCGGCCTAGCACGCCATATGTTACGCCCTACATGGTGTTGAGCATGGGGTCGGAAAGCTGTGGAGGGGCAGTTCCGGTAGTGCAGGCACCTTTCCCGCGCTATTCCTTAAATGGCTGTGTTCGGGGAAGCTAGTGCATCTCCGAGATCGGATTAAACATCGCCGTGAGACTCCAACTCCGTAGGAATTCTTTAAATATGCTCGTCTCCCTCATGCCCAATATGGGCTGAGTGCTATTTGCTCCTCGTCGAACTCTCCCAGTTTCTCACTCATGCCCTCGACCATGACGCTCCCCATCGGCACCGAGTCGCCCCGCGCGCCAGAGAACCTCGAGACCCCCGCAGTGGTTCCCCAGAGCGGAGGAGCGAAGAATTACAAGGGCTTCGTCGCCGGTGTGTTTTCTGGTATTGCGAAGCTTTCCGGTGCGTAGGGCTGAGTTTCCGAGTTTGTCTAGGATGGCTACCAATCTGTTGAATTAGTCGGGCATCCGTGAGCGACACCCCTCTTCCCCAGGCGAACCCAGCGTGTTGATGTGGGATGTAGATTCGACACGATTAAGGTCCGGTTGCAGACGACGGATAAGAGTCATTTTCGAGGGCCGGTGGATTGCTTGCTGCAGACGTTGAGGAATGAGGGCGTTAGGGGGATATATAAGGGCGCGACCCCGCCGCTCGTGGGATGGATGTGAGTGCTTGCTGTCGTGGATATGGAGACCTGTACTTGGGACTGAGCTTTTGCAGGTTCATGGACTCGATTATGCTGGGTTCCCTGAGTGTATACCGGAGACTGCTCAACGAGAATGTGTTCCATCCCAGAAGAGTCGGAGACGGCAGGGAACGGCCCAAACTTCCAACCGTCGGCCACGCAGTGGCGGGAATGATGGCAGGCTGGACCGTGTCATTCGTCGCCGCGCCCGTGGAGCACATAAAAGCGCGTCTGCAAGTGCAATACGCAGCGGAGAAGTCGAAGCGGTTATACAGCGGTCCCATCGACTGCCTCAGGAAAATCGTACGTCCCTCCGCTAACCTTTCATTCTTTTTTTCCTGTCTAACAGCTCCGCAGTACAAATCCCACGGCATCCGCGGCATCTACCACGGTCTCCTCTCCACCCTCCTCTTCCGCTCCTTCTTCTGCTTCTGGTGGGGCACCTACGACCTCTTCACCCGCGCCCTCCAGTCCCACACCTCGCTGTCCGCCCCCGCCATCAATTTCTGGGCTGGCGGACTCAGCGCCCAGGTCTTCTGGATCACGTCGTACCCGTCCGACGTCGTCAAGCAGCGCATCATGACCGATTCGCTCGGTGCCGACAGGAGGTTCCCGAGGTGGAGGGATGCGGTGAGGGCGGTGTATCGAGAGGCGGGTTGGAGGGGGTATTGGAGGGGTTTTGTGCCGTGCTTTTTGAGGGCGTTCCCTGCGAATGCGATGGCGCTTGTGGCGTTTGAGGGGGTGTTGAGGGCGTTGCCGGAGTAGGAGGAGGGAGGGTCAGGATAAGATGTCGATACCCTCGGTTAGGGGTATATGTGCGATGGCGGGCTTGTTTCACCCATTTGCCACCGGTATGAAAAGGGTTAACATCGTTTGTTGAGCGGAAATGGGACCCTCGCCTCCGGACATACCTAGGTATCCTCAAGCACTTCCAAATGATCTCCGACTATTACCTCTACTATACCTACCTCCCCGGACCTCCTTTCTGGAATAACGAATACCAATCCGCACGTGGGCAGCAAAACTCTGCCTTTACATGGGCCCCATGGTAAGCACTAAGCAAAACCCAGGCTACACCGCTACGCATCAGCTGAATCCGAACATCTATCAACAACTTCTTCGGGAAGCTGGTTGCTTACTCATCAAGCCTGTACATAGGCCGCGGGAGGTGAAGAGTCAATGAAGCTGCGAATGATATTGTTGCACGAGCATAGCGTGGCTGTATGCTCGTGCTGCTGACGCTGGGGAAATTTGATGATGATGGAAAGCTCCCAGCTGCACCGCTGCAGACCCGGCGAGGTGCTATAAGGAATTGGAATTGATCAGCGCATCGAAGCCAAATTTTGTAGCTGAGCAGGTGTCATTGGCGGGTATAGGCTTCATCACATTCTCTTCATGTCTTCTGTCACTCCTGGGGGCATACGTAGCTAAACGCAGTACTGAAGTTTAACAACTCAGGTAGAGACCCAAATTTCTCCAGCCTACGGACCACGCCGTAGCCTATTTCACTAGGGTCGCGTTCGCCGTTAGATGTAGGTACGGAGTACGTTGCTCCAAGGTTGTAAACACCCCTGTCTATGCAATCTCTGAAAGGGCTAGCGCACTACCGCATTCAGCACTATCATATACCCTTCACTACCTTCCCCTGCACAAACAGTCCTACACCGACGGGACAGACTCCACACTGCTCACGTTATCCGCCATTCGCCAAGTCGATGCTGATTCTACTCCATTATCCTCTACGCTACAGATCCCCAGTCTAAATCCCCCTTCTCCGACCACCCTTCCAATAATGAATATATAAACCAGCCACTCCTTCCATCCCAATGTTCCTTACCACGCAGCAAGATCCTAGTCCCTCGCAGCTACAGCTACTTCTCTAAGAGAACGCTTTCTTGCGACCAACAATGCACGTCCCGACCGTCTTCCTCTCGGCCTCAGCTGCCCTTGTCTCGCTCGCGGCTGCCGGCCAGGTCAATTTTTATAGCGACACCAATTGTCAGAGTTATATTGGGTCGAGTTACCCGGGTGGCAATGGTGTGATTACTGGGTATGTCTTGCATTCTCTCCTCTCCCCTGATATACTATTCGCACCCCTTCCACAAACCCACCAACTAACTCCACATCCAGCGGTCCCGCAGGTTCCTTCTCCGCCCTCTGGGTCACGGCCGACCAAACCACATGCTCGCACACGTGCGGCCCGCTCAACATCTGCGGCGACTCGCAGTGCAATCGCCGCCGGGAAACGGGCATCGGCCGGTGTGTGAGTTTCAACACGGGCGTCTGGGCCCGGAATGGATGCAATTTTAATTTCTGCTCGAATGCGAAGAGGGGGGAGAAGGGGTTGAGGGAGTCGAAGAGGGAGGTTAAGGAGGATGGGTTTCCGGAGTGGAAGAGGGAGGAGGATGGGGAGCGGTTCCCTCCTTGGATGGTGTGGAGGAAAGAGGGGGCTGGTGATAAGGAGCAGGATAAGGAGGACGGGTCGCCGGACTGGAAGAGGGAGGATAGGGAGGACGGGGCGCCGGACTGGAAGAGGGAGGATAAGGAGGATGGGGCGCCGGACTGGAAGAGGGAGGAGGATGGGCAGCGGTGTCAATTTCGCTGCATGCACTAAGGTTATAACGCTTACTATTCCCTCCTTGGATGTGGAGGAAAGAGGGGGCTGGTGATAAGGAGCAGGGCTCTCCTGCATAGAAGCGAGGGGAGGATGAGGAGCAAAGGGTCCCGGGATGGTACAGCGATTGGACTCTGTTCAAAGAGTCGATGCAAACTCAGATACGGTATAGGACTAGAATGAGCAAGAGTTGGAACACTACTTGTAGAGAACTCAAGCCGGATCGATCCAACAGTATAAAATAGCTGCAATCCACTCCACTCCGCTCCACTCTAATCCAATCTAATTCAACTTTCACTGCTATCTCTCACCTCCCACAACCACCACCCCTTCCTACTCATCCTCCTCTCCAACCCACACAACCCCCTCGCCATACCCCACCACCTGGACATGGTGAGTGCGGGAGATTTTGTGAGGTTTGATAAGTGAAGGGTGCAGATGGGATGGTAGTTATGAGAGTTGGAGCTAGTGGACAGATGCGGTTGGTGTGATAAGTTATTAAATAAATACCTAGGTATATAGTTGCACAGTATCTAGAATTATTGAGCCTTCTCTTCTCTTATACGCTGGACTGAAAGAATATCAACCCCTTCGTCTCGAACTACACTGTAATGGGAGCGGATAATGAGGGTATTCATCAGACACAACTGAGCCCATTGCGCTCATTGCGCCTCGCCCAAACCCCTCCTCACACTAAAAGCTTCAGTTCTTTGACTGAATGCAAGCCCTGCTCCATCCGATGTTATACGTCCGCAGAGCTTTGATTCGAATGAAAAGTGCCCATCCCCGTGGAAAAACGACGCTCTTCAGCTTCATATCGACTCCCTACCCGGTTTCAAGCACTCCCCCTTCCGTCCTACATGTTCCCGCAAGAACCGAAGCCGTTGCATATCGCCGTCATTGAAAGAAAACTCGCCGCTCCAGAACCCGCATCCTATATTCGCAGTCTCATTCCGTTCCCGTACAATTTGCTGGGCAGCCTGGTCGACAGGTGGTAGATGCGTCTTCGCGCCGTGAGTTTCCTCGCCAACACGCGCAATCTCGCTCTCGCCTGGCATATGATGAAAGAGTTCCGGGTTGACTGTCCAGCATCTAAGCCCCGGACTTGCATTTTTGTGTTTGTATCGAAGTTCCGGCCGTGAATCGATGTATTGCTGAGGAGTTGGAGACGCCGTCTCCGAGCCTTTGACGCATGCTTGGAGGAGAGCGACGTCGAATGCTCGTGGGCCTGTGGGGAGCAGACGCGCCGGTGCGAGATCATCAAGGAGACGCTCCGCAGCGGCCCGGGTCACGGCATAGCCAAATGAGCAGAGGGGGAACTGTGACCGATGCAATACCCTGTGGTTATATGGTACCCTGAGCTTGTACATCAGACTCTGCGTGAAGGGATGCAGTTCGTCTGGGCGCGGAAAAGTGGGATCGTGGTACGTAGCGTGCGCGATCTTGCTGAGGTTGTAGCCGCCTGGCTTCTGCGCAATGCCTTCGAAGGAGACGGGATGAAAATAGTCTCCGCAGTGTCCGATATACAGTAGGTCCCATGATGCTGGATTCCCCCAGTAGTGCGAGAAGCCCCTATACCTTCCGATCCAAGCGGCTATCATCGAGCGCGACTTTGCGGGCGGTAGCAGAGCGCGGGCCGCACGAGCAGCGAGAGGTATCTGAACGCTGCGCAGTCGGATATCGAAGTCGACGTCATCTTCAAGGATGAGGGCCGTCTCCAGGCCGGAATGGAGGAACCTGGGTCGAGACGTCAGTGAAAGCCGTTAGTAGTTAGCTGGGGGTTAATGTTTATTTAGTTCTGGGCACTGGGCAGTTTTACCATTTCAGAACGTTGTGATGGCCCAACCACGCCAACATGGAACCTCGATGCTCCGCCATGTCCTCGCCATTGCTAAAGTCTTCCAGCTGCTCCTCAGTCCATTTGGGCTGCCTGGGTATAGTGAGCTCAATGTCTGTGACGTTCGCGGCTTGGATAAGTGCGTGGCGTCGCCGGGAGCCTTGTTTGGATACGACGAGGACAGCGCCGAATCCCAACGTCTCGTTTGCAGCAAGAGTTCGAGGAATACCGAGCGCCCTATCAATCGCCGTGTCTCGACCGGGGTCAAATGTTGTACGGTAGAAGAAGAAGACTAGGAAGAGGAAGAACAGCGTTGGGATTTGGAGCAGCCGTTTCTTAGGTGCCAGCACCATATGCATGGTGGGCATGGGTAACGATGATGGACTCAAAAGAGCTATGGCATTTCCACAAAGGAGATTGATGTGACAGTAGAATGGAGAGAAAGGCGTGAAGGGAGGTTGCGAAGACGAAATGTCACAGGAACCTACCTAGCTACCGACGGTTTGCTTGCAATTCCCCTCTCCCAGGGGAGGGCAGGTACGGCCGTGGGGTTTTTCGTCCATTCAGGCGAGTCCCCAACATCAGAGGAACCAGTGACCAACTGGTCTCGTTAATCTATCAAAGGTGGCACAGGAGGCCCAATTGCGGTCATCAGGAAGCGTGGTGGACGCCGCATGTTCGACATGGCATCCAGTGCCGCTCCTTAGATTGACCCTGTTGAGTGTTTTTGGACCCTCAAAACGCTGAGGCATCTTCACATCGGTGAATTCGGCACTCTTGCTTCTCTCAGAGGGAAACGGAGCCGAGTAGATAGCTGCCCGAGAAGGGTGCTAGATGAGCTACTCGCATCATTCCAACTTCCCATTGATACCAGAGTGCATATCACGTGATCATACCACTGCAACACCACGCTAACCGTACTGGGTGACATCAACATCCAACGCAGCCCCGGAGAACAGGCCGTACCACTCGTGCCACCCTTCTTTTATTTACCCTCCCGTCGGTCCGCACGTCGCTATAGTCCCCTCCAGCAGCAGCAGGCTGCTCGTGCGCCCTTTGTGAAACTGTTCGGTCACAACTGCAACACCAAGCCGGCTAGTCGTCAGCGCCCCGCCCCCCTGTTACCGACCGACGCGGCCCTGACCAACAAAATGAACTGCTCCGCCGTCTACTCCGCCCTGTATCCGTAGTTCTCGCCTTTTCGCATATCATTATACATAGTCGCCATCTACTCCGTATGCCCTCCGCCGTCGCTGCTGGGCGAGAATGGCCACTTTAGGCTCCCCATCGCCCCCCTCGTCGCCTTCGAGGAACATGCGCCGCCGGGGATTCGCAAGGCGCCTGGAGCGATTCTGCTGCAACACAATCACATACTTCCCGCTAGCCTTTGTGTATGGGTTGACAACCTGGGCAGCATGGGTGCAGGCAGGTGTTGGCTTGACGTCGTGGACGAATAATCATGTATGGACTGGTGAGTGAACTAAACAATCGCCGTGATTCCCGACAGAACTGACTCCCCGCGTGTAGGGAAATTGTCGTCCATTCTCGGCATCTTCTTGTACGTGATGCTCAACTGGAGCTATACCACGGCCGTCTTCACCGACCCTGGCTCGCCCCTTAACCCTACGAACGGGTATGCCCGACTGCCTACACAGGAAGGAGGAGGGATGCAGTACACCTCGTTCACAGTCAAGGCATCAAATGGTGATATCAGGTTCTGCAAGAAATGTCAGACAAAGAAACCGGATCGGGCCCACCACTGCTCGACATGCAAGAGATGCGTCTTGAAAATGGACCACCACTGCCCCTGGCTAGCGACATGCGTCGGACTGCGGAACTACAAGGCCTTCCTTTTGTTCCTCATATACGTATCACTCTTCTGTTGGGTAGCTTTTGCCACGTCAGCTATCTGGGTATGGGAAGAAGTGATTAGCAACGGCGAATATACCGAGACATTCATGCCGGTTAACTGCGTCCTGCTCGCCGTCCTTTCTGGAATCATCGGCCTGGTTATCACTGGCTTCGCGGCATGGCATCTGTGGTTGACGAGCCGAGGCAGGACGACGATTGAAAGCTTGGAGAAGACTAGATATCTATCCCCGCTTCGCAATTCCATGCGCCAGCACCTCAACGATCGCAACTACTTGGATGCTCAGGCACAGGGCCGTCTCAGTATCAGCGATCAATTACGCGAGATCCACGCCAATGCACTCCCGGGTGTCACCAGGCCGGAAGAAGGGGAGTCTCCATCCCGCTCAGCGACTCCCTCGCCTGCCAACGGTGCTGCTGTCGCCAATGGCTATTCTACCCCGATGCATTATTCCTACGAACAACGAGAGCGACAGCATGGTTATGACCGCTATGAGAATTATCTGGATGAACGTGACAACGAGCTTCTGCCGAATGCGTTTGACCTAGGGTGGAGACGTAATTTCGGCCATGTCTTCGGGCCTTCTCCTTTGCTTTGGTTTCTGCCCATCTGCAATACTACTGGAGATGGCTGGTCTTGGGAAGCAAGCGAGAAGTGGCTCGCTGCAAGAGAACGTATACAAAAGCAGCGCTTGGCGGAGGAACGGATGCAGAAGGAACGTGAGCGTGCAGCCGGCTGGGGGGTTGACTCTCCCACCGAAGCAGAGTTCAGGCGGACTGGCAGGCTGCCGGAAGGTTGGCAGACGAACCAGAACTCTCCCCCGACACCCCGACTACCGCGTCAACCCGAATGGCAGGCTCCTCGGAAACACGGAGAGCAGGCACGCTATCTCACGACGTCGAATGGCGTTGTCCATACTCCGCTGGAAGGACGACGGAGCCCAAGTAAAGCCGACCAGATTCTCGGCCGCGAACGTGGAATGTATGCAGACGGGGCCGTACAGCTCCAACCGATAGTCCGGAAGAAGTTCGACCAGTATAACTACATATCGGAGGACGACGATGACGATTACGACGTTTCGAGCGACGAAGAGAGAGCCGGTAAGCGCAAGGCTGCGCAAGTGGCGCAGACGCAACCGCCAACGGTCACCAAAGACTGGAACGACATCCCCGCAGATTTCCTCCCACCCCCGCCCAAAGGCAGAGCAAAGAAGAAGGACGAGTCGCAGGCGGAGAGGAGAAAAAAGAACGCCCAAGAGTGGGACGATTGGCAATGACATCATGTGGCAGGTCATACAACGAGGCAGATATAATACTTGGATAGAGGACGGTATTGGCGCAAAGCATCTAGAGACGGTCTCAGCGATTTTGGGCTTGGGATAAGAGCATTATATCACATCTACCTTTGCCGTTAGAAACCGTACGCAGGTAACTGTATAGGTGGTTTCGCCCTTTGTGTTTTATGCCATGCTGATTATGTTCCCCAACCGTGTCTCCGTCATCTTTGGATGGCGTTACTCGTTTCCTGATACCGGGGTATGGCTTCAAGATTTCGTACTCTCACCCACTTCCTACACTATGAGCATCATCCAAACCTCCTTCTTGTTTTCCGTGGACTTTCTAGTAACCGCCGGTGTAGATTTGTGCGAGGGGTTTGCCCTAATACCCATCCTTCACCGCTCTTACCAAACTCAGAAACTTGGCGCCAGCTTAGTCAACGGTCCATCACAAGACATAAACCATCTCTCTCCTCCGACCGCCTCCTTCCTACCTTCTTCCTACCTTACTCCCACCTTAACTCAACCTCCATTTCATCGAGTTCCGGTTGCCCAACCTCGCGAGGCTGTTTTGCCCACCAAAGTCAGCATAGATCACCGGCTCCTGCGCACATCCCATCTTCTTTTTGATATTATCTCTGCACCCGCTGCCTTCCCGTCCTCTTCGTTGATCTGCCCTCGCTCCGGTGCAGCAATGACCAGGTTCACGAACGGCACACCAGCGCCTGCCATCGTGCGCTACGTTGCACCCAACGGCGCCGCTACGGGAGGCCCAGGCTCACTGCCTTCTGGACAGTCTGGCTTGGGCGGACGGCTAACGCCAGCATCTCCATCCACGTCGTCGGGGCCACAAGCCAGAGGCCTTCCGAGGTCGGTGAAGGCCGCCATGGGCGATCAGAAGAATACGCATACACGCTGCATTAATTGCTGGCGGCCTCGAGGGCATGGTCACCAAGATTGGTGGGCCTGCAGGTCCCTGTGCCCAAGGTGCCCTGAGGATCAACAGCACTATTCGCAAGTAGGTTACCTCGAGCTCCCTTCGAGATGGACAGATACTGATAGTGAACTCCAGGCTTGCCCTCTTCTGCTTGACGAGACCAATGATGAATGGTGGATCGCGTATGTGTCTCCGCGTCCGACCTTCCAGACCGTGTTCTAATATTTGCAACAGTCACGCAGGCTGTCCTAAGCCCGAATGGCGCGGGAGAGACCGGCGGGCTCGTTTTGCGCGGGCACCTCGCACCATTTCGCCCATTGCAACGAGCTCGAGGGGCCATGGAAACCAACGTAACGCTAACGGCCTCAGAGGAGGAGAAGCGAGAGGTGAGAATGCAATACTCTCCGCTCATCTGCGCGGAGGAGGTAATACTTACGGCCCTGCTCGCACACGCTCCCGCTCGCCTGAACGGGAGCGGGTGGTTGAGTATCGTGCTCGGAACGATGTTCTCCCACCACGGCGCCCAGAGCGAGTTTCACCGCCCGCTGGAGGCCAACCTTCACTTTCACAGCAAGTTCAGGTCGGCCAAACGGTGAACTCTGGTGCGGAGGCTTCGGTAGTGTTTGAGTATCGTGCGCGCGACGCTGTTCTCCCACCACGGCGCCAAGACCCAGTTCCACCGACCACTGGAGGCCAATCTTCGCTTGCACCGCAAGTTCAGGTTGACCGAACGGTGAACTCTGGCGCAGAGGCTTTGGCAGCCCGAGAGCATAACGGCCTTGGGGGCACATACAACAACAGCATTGGGGCCACACATTACGAGAGCGGCTCCCCAGATACTCTGCGCCCCACAGCCGTCATCTGGAGTGACGGGAGTACCACGGAGCCATCGGTACGAGACTTGCTTATGCATGATCCTTGGATGACAATGCTGGTGCATCAGACGGTGATGCTCGCAGACTTCTTCGACCGACATCCTGATGCTTCCAGGGGGGAGCAGCTTGTGAGTGACGGAATGGCGAGGTACCTGGCGGATATCCGCCGCGAGTTCCCTGCGTATCTCTCGCCGTCGCGTAGCGGAAACGGCTCCGGGAACTCGTCCAATGGTGGGGTTACCAACGCAACACCGGAGACCGATCGAGAGGCAGGCGAACAGTGAAGCCGCAATGCTACGAAGTAGTACGGCTGGGGAATGGTCGAGCATTGGCCTCACTGGTATAGATTGACACAAATGGTTGGAACGGAAGCACTGGGCCGTTGGTGATGTTCCCTCAGTGCGGGAGCACCTGGGCCCTCCTAAGGGCTTCCACAGGGTGGATCATCACGGAATATGCGCCTTCAGTCAGGATTATGCGAGTTTTGCGAGATACCCTTTGAGGCATGTGTATTGGTTTAGGCATCCTTTTCCCTCCAGTGCAGCTCATGCAGCTATGATGCGCACAGGAATAATCAAATAGACATTTACTTTTTGCCAACCGGTTATGACCTTTAATCCCCAACCTCTTCATGACTTTGCCCTTCCCATTTGTCGAATCTACAACCCTCCCCCCACCCCGGCCCTCGCCTCCTGCGCCCACTCCCACAGCCTCCCAAAGTCGCGGCATACGTGCTTGGTGCCCCATCCGTCGACACTCCGCAAGATGCGCCCGTCGACCTTGCTGCGTTCGAGCGTCTCGAGGGTGACGTCGGCGTTGCACATGAGGGATTGGCGGAGGTAGTCGAAACAGTGGTGCCAGTGGGTTTTGAGGTGGGGCGCGAGATATTGGAAGGTTGAGGGGGAATGGGAGGAAGAGGAGGACGAGGAGGACGAGGAGTGAGTAGGGTCCGACAGGGTCGAGGGATCGGACTCGGGCGATGTTGCGGCTAGGAGGGATTTGCGTATGTTGTTCTGTAGAGGTTAAATGTTAGGGGGTGTGTATGTGTTGGAGTGGTGGTTCGATTTGAAAGGAGAGGAGAGTGAAGGGGGGGAGGTGGGGAAAATGGGAGGAGGGATGGAGGGTATACTTATACGTATACGTACCAAGCAGTGCAGTTGGTGGAATACAGACACGACTTTTGTGTTTTCGAGGAGCGAGTTTGTGGAGTCTTGGTCTGCGTAGGGGATTGGGGTGCCGGTGGTGGAGAGTTGGATGAAGCCTTTGCCTCCTGTTGGGGGAAGGGGGATTAGATTATGCGGGTCTGCTAGATGTGGAGGCTGGCTTCTTTGGGGAGAAGGTATATAGAAGATGGGGGTGGATGGAGGTCTTATGGAGGAGCAGAGAGAGATGCGGGGTTTCATTCTCAAGGTTTCTTTCCTTTAAAGAAGGAAAAAAGGGGGGAAGGAAGGAGAGAACAAGGGAGGAGAAGGGAAGGTACGTACGAGGCAGCAGCGAATCCCAGATGCCATCCGCCTCGGGCCCGCCGTCCTTTTGGAAGTCGGCGTTTGGAGAAAAGATGACGGAGATGTTGTATCCTGTTCATCATGCACGTCAATATCTGTGTACAATCCAGATTTCCTTCCAAGATCCAAAGTCGACTTTTTCCTTTCCAGAAGAAACATGCTCTCGAAACGAAAAAAAGGAAAGAAAAAAGGGGAAAGGAGAGAAGATAAATAAAGAAATAAATGCAAATTACTTAGAAATAGAGAATGTTACACATACCAAAAGGCGCCCTGTCCACTCCTCCCACCTCCGCCTCAGCCTCCGCCAACGCACCACCACCACTACCACTACCAGCACTGGCCACACAACTCTTCCCCCTCGCACCCAACAGTGCCCCGATGGCTATGCCGGATACCAGGCATATAAATCCAATAGCCCATACTTCCCACGCGCGACGGTAGCGTAGGCCACGCTTCTCAGAAACGGATGGTTTTTCCCGCGGCCATTGGGAATGGGAAGGCGATGTGGGCAAGAGGGCATGCGAGGCTTCGACGTCGATGTCTTCGTCCGAGGGGTCGGTGGTGGTGCGCGGCATGTTGGGTTTTGGATGGGGTTAGTGGAAGGTTGGCACGAAGGTGTCAAGAGGCGAGGTTGAGGTTGGATATGTATTGAGGCTTGGATGCGGGAGCCACGTGGATGGGATGCTGGATGTGCGTCGGGGATATATATGGGGTACGGTAGATCGGGGCTTAGTTTGCCAGGTTGATTAATTGCGGGTTGTGGAGCTGGGTAAAGACGTGCATATGCATGCGTATATAGTCAACTGGGGTGGGTGAATATATCTTATTGGGTGGGCTGGGCACTTTGTAGATCTGCCGAGCATGGGATTTGTGTGAATTAGCCTGCAGGGGTGGAGAAGGGTTCTTGGTGGATGGATACTGTGGTTAGGTAGAGTGCAGCGGATTGTAGGCTCGGAGATGTTGTCCGTTGTGTTTTACGGGCGGGTTTTTGAGGATGATTAGGAATATCGTTTCCATTGGGAACCCTAGGAATCGTATCTATCGTGATTGGCTATGTTTACCTCAACAACTCTACGCGAAAGTAGAAAACATAGCACGAAACACATTTCAAAGAAATTTCGTATACTTGACCATTGACCCTCGATGGAACGCAGAAAATGATCAACTCGATTTGCGCTGCTGCTAGACCACGTGGAAACATGGTATCCACAGGTACAGCAAGTTACCTAGTGTGGGGTCAACCTCGCTACCGGTACCCGCGCCGAGATACAACTACATAGCCTAACAAGAACGTCACGAAAATCAACGGCAATAACTTCGCAAATCGAATGTATATTTCCTTGCCATGTACCTTGCTGTACCTACATAATTGAGCGACACCTGGTCATCGAGCAAAGCCGCCCTACAAGCTTAAGCTAGTTGGCGTTGCACATGCTCTTACCGGGGTAAGCCATCTCCCGCCACACCCCCAACAACGTCGCTGCCACACTACCGAAAACCATCCACTCACATTGTCCAACTCCTGTTCCTAACATCTTCCCTTCCCTCCCCTCTCCTCTGGCCTGTTAAGTTACCACCCACATCCAAAATGAGGTCCTGCTTACGTAATCATTCAGGGATACACTCCCACTTCCCTCCCGCCCTCCCTCCTCCATTCCCCATCCTCCTCCCTCGCCATTTGCCATTCCCGCCCGCCACAGCGCGCGGTTCGTGCACTCCCCAAAACCGGGGCAAGCCGCAAGAAAGCGAGATTGAAAGATTTTGCTACATCTTCGTACTAGATATATTTATAACTGGACATGTCTTCTTGCACAGGTCTCCTTCAGAAAGTGATGCGGACACGGGGAAGACATGTATCTGACGTCCTCAAAGATTCCAAGTAATATAGAGAGTATGACTGTTAAGGGTAGCACAAGGCAGGAGATAGGGGAACCCCTAGCGCGAAAGAAGACGGGAAAACCCAACTCCCCAAACGACAGAAGGCATGTTACAATATACAAGCCACTCTCGTCTTGAAACAGCTCCAACATACTTTGCGCGTTACCGCAGATTCACGTATGCAAGTCCTCATTGACGCTCCAAACTCAATGTCGCCAATCGGCGCAAGAGACAAGGGATAAACAAACCACGGATATCGTCGCCTGGGAACACACAGTCGTCAAGTCGAGTACTAACCGAAAAGAAGGTTTCTATTTGTTTACGAAGAAAGAAAGTTTATTACATGTGCCAGAAGAAGGTACCAACAAGTCAACCCTGTTAAAACATAAGGCACATCCAAAGAGGGTAAGCAGTGCTACACCGACATTGCACCGGACTTTCTGCATCCAGCACATAAATGCCTCTCCGATCAATCATATCCAACCTTTCCCACCCCAACCCCTTTCGCAGATCCAAATCACCATTCCCACCCCCACCCAACACAGTTACGCACGAAGTAGCTGTCCCCCGAGACCCACCAGGCCAAGCAACCCACCCACCTACTTCTTCAAAAACCCAATAACACTCTTCCTCTCCTCCACTCGATTCCTCTCCTCACCCTCACCCTCCCCCTCCCCCTCCCCCTCACCCCCAACCCTCTCCGCATCCGGCAAACTCTGCTCATTCCCCAACCGCGGATTCCTGATGAGGCAAGCAAACACGATAAGCGGGGCGCAGAGACAGATACCCGTGATGCACAGCAACCGCTGCACGTGCTTGTACGCCTCGATGGCGGCATCGCGCTGAGGTGTGCCTGGAGGATAAGTCATGACGAGCGTGAAGGGCGAGTTGAACCATTCCGCGGCGGCGGTGGCGTTGCCGAGACGATGCGTCAACTCGACGGGGATGGTTTGGGACCAGACGGCGCCGGAGATGGTGTTGCCGAGGGCGGAGCCGATGTTGTAGGTTGCGAGGTAGAGGCCGGTGATGACAGCGACGTCTGGGAGGTGTTAGGAAGCGATATATGAACGTAAAAAGGAGGGGTTGGAAGATGTTAGAACGTACGCTCGTGGCGAGTAGCAGCCTGAATGCTTGCTTGCGCCGGGTAAGGGAAGAAGCCACCTGCAATACCGAGGAGGACCTGTGCGCCGATGATGCCTGCGTGAGTGGATTGCGACTCGCCGCCACGGTAGTGGATCAGAAGGCCGAAGGCGACGGCGAAAAGGCAGGTGCCGAACAGGATGAATGGCTTGAGCCGGCGCACCCGAAAGATTACCAAGCCTAGGAGTGTACCCGTAACCACGGATGCAAAGCTGTACAAGGACGTGATACGGGTGGCTGATTTGATGGACTCGTTGAAGGCGACGATGAGGACCGTGTAGAGAAAATCGCCCTGGACGCCCCAAGCGAAGTTCAGGAAGCAGGCGATACCGAGGGCTCCCCACACTGCGCGATCCTTTAGGAGCTAGAACTGATCTTAGCGTCTAGCGACCAATCTTATAAGGTGATACTTACATGGAAGGGAACCATGGGGTGCGGAGCTTTGCGCTCCCAGACAATCCAGAGAGGAACGCAAACCACGCCTATGACGAGAGGGGTGATGATTTTGGCAGTCTTCCAAATGTCCGCGTTGCCTTTTGCGACCGTAAATGGCACGAGAATGAAGCCGAAGACGACGATGAGGAGGAGGATGCCAATAACATCCAGCTGCCAGAAGAGTGCTCGAAGGAGACGCTTACCGCCATAGAGTTGGTACGGTGTCTTGTAGTGGTCGAGGTCGCCGGCGCGCTTCGCTTTATGGCCGACCCACCACAGCGAAAGAATAAGAGGAAAAGAGCATACGGTGTAGATGATCGCCCACATGCCGATGCCTGCCAGCGTCCGTCAACTTCGTTATCCTAAAGCTACTGATGCACATTACTTACCCCATCGCCAAGTCGTAACCTTCAGAACTGCAGCCGAGACATCTCCGCTGACCCAAGTGTTTATCTAGAAGGAATTAGTGACGGTGTTCCGCTGAGAGGTACCTTTTGTCGACTCACGAGGAACGGCAACGCAGGGACGTAAGAGAAGAAGACACGAGAACGCAGGGATGTGGTATCGGCGATGATAACTTCGACGAGGAGGATGACGGATGTGTAGCCAATCTGCCAACAATCAGTAGGTGCATCGCAAAGAGCGACATGATGGCGCATACCTGGTAGAGACATGCCCCAGCAATGAAAGTGTCGACATCGGTAGCTACCGCCTCGATGATTGTGCCTGGTCGAGGTCAGATCCAGCTGATCCCAGTATATGCCCTTAACACCGACCAATGACATAGAAGAAGACGGAGACGAGGATGAGTTCAACTCTGCCGAAGACGTCCGCGATTTTGGCTGCAGTGGGCTATCAAAAGTTAGCAATAGCGCAATAGTTGGTATGGCGAGCGTACCTGTGCAGCAGCGGCGATGACTGCGCGAACGGTGTTCAGTGTAGCCAGAGTCGAGTGAGTTTGGAAGCTTGAGGTGGCCGTAGGCTGGATATTTGTTAGCAGCATTGACATTGAACTCCAGAAGCACAATGTACCTGGTAGGCGTAGCGAAGGGTTCCGTCGAGGCCATAGGCATAGGCAATCAAGAAGACGCCTATGAATATGAAAATGCGGTTGGCGACGGTTGTGTGCTGCGAGATAATCTCAATCCGCTCGACCCCAGGGCTCTTCTTGCCCAGAAGGACGGTGGAGGCCCTGCTGCTGGACCGTTCTGGGGAGCTGTCGTGGGCTTTGTTGTGGTACTCTTGGACCGCCATCTTGAAGAACTTGTAGTGCTCTGTGACGTCTGACACCTTATACCCAAGAGGAACTCGGTCGAGGGGGAGGACGGGGTGAAGGAGTGATGGTTAGAAGGTAGTGCTGGGTGGATCTTATCTGATCAAAATCTGATTAAATAATGTAGTCAAGCGGGTGGAGTACCCTTGCTAGTCCGTGAGACTATCGTCCAAGACGGTTTAGTGACTTCTCTTCGGGATCGGGGATCCTGGAAATGGTAAAGGCCGCAAGCCCACTAGCGTCATAGCAGAGATAAATAATCTGATCAATCCTTTGCATGTGCTTTTCCCATCCCAGTTCCTCACCGTCATCCGTTTGTCAATGCTAGTAGGAATAGGAGGGTTTGACCGCAATACCATGCTCAAACCATCAGCTGCACCCATGAGCACCATCCATTTCTATTTCCCTCACACAACAGTTCTTGTGACCACCAATAACATTAATGATGCGGTTTGTGCATGTGCTTCACCGGCAGCATATCAGCCGAGAAACATATCGGTGACGCCAGAGTGCAAAGTGGGGAAGTCTGCGAACCCTAGGAAGGTAGCGGAATTCCTTCGTAGTGCGTTTGCAACACATAGATCGGACCCTCTGTACCCGTGGAGATGAAACACACTGGGAAACCACGGCTTTGAGATCCTGGATGCCCGTCCTGCGAAAGGCGTTGTCTCGGGAGAAGTCTGCTGGTAACTTGTCCATACCGCTGCTATGTCAGCGAAGACCGTCCTCGAGGGCCAAACGATCAAGACCCACCTCCCAGAATCGCAAACGGTCCAGTCTTTGAATGGCGAACTTCAAACATATTGAAGAAGCTGATAGCATAAATCAATCGGTTATGACCGGCCTTCTTGAACAACGATATACGGCACGGGTATCACCACAGCAGAGGTAACGGCCCGAAGCTCTGTGTCCCGCGGATAGGCGGGTGACGGGCACAAAGAGGACATTGTTGTACTTAGGTCGTGCAGTGAACTATTCCAGACCGCTTGTGAGCAGGTCTTATTTCCGCAGTGTGACATGCCGTCCCAGGCCTGCCACCTGTCGTTTGTAACCGTGCCCAACGATCGCGTTATACTCTGAGGTACGACAATGCATCACAGAGTAGAGGTATCGAGTAGACCGCCACCAACGGCTTCTTTTGCTTCCGATGAAACAAGAAAATGATCAGTTCGGATTCGGGCGATTCTATGACTCCCTGGGTTCGTGTAAATGCAGCTTGCGATGCGAAGAGATGCTTTGCAATTGTCTTCCATTGTCCAAGGCAACCTAGTCTCGGTCTTCAACTTACCCCAACCGAATTCTTCAGGGAGACCACCGCAGGTACGGGAAGACCCATCTCCTGCCAAGAACAGGGGATGCCGCTACCACTCCGTCTCTCTGCAGAGTAGGTCCCACCCAACCAGTCTCCACACTTCCAATTTGAACCAGTCACCGACATCATCGTCTGCAATCTTCGGCGCCTTCGGCAACGGCCCTAGAAGCCCAGGCCGCCGGAGCACATCTGCAAACTCGTCATCCTCTCCCTCGCCGAATGTACCCACCAACAGCGTTCGCTGCAGCCTGTCCCTAGCATGAGTGGCGAGAGGCGCAGTAGATGCTCTTGGAAGAGCCTTCAGCGTGGTAGACCGGCCGGCTGTGGATGACCGTCGACCGGTAGGAGTTGACGGACGTGAGGGGAGGGGCGCATTCATATGGTAAGGTGCCAGCCCGAGCGCTCGATCAAGAATGGTGATCAGGCATTGCGCCTGTAGACGGGCGACGGTAGCATTTGTAAGACCCCTTGCAAGGGCCGTCTTTTCATCCTTAGGTTGCGAAGCAATGATGTCTCCCTCGATGGTGGTGCTGCGATGGGTGTCAAACGTGAAGTAGAAGAGAAGCTGGCCAACACGCTGGAGGATGTGGAATAATACGCCTTCGAATATGTCTCGGTGGTGCTTGTCGTCCTTGCTGAGACTTCCCATGAGCGCATTGATGAACTGTGACATAGTGCGGAATGGAGCCGTGTCTCTTGGGGGTGCGTTCCCTTGGTTCCGGTCCCTATTATGGTTGCTCGGGGCTGGGCAGCGAGCGCCGGCAACTTGTTGAGCATAATCGGAAATACTCTCCAAGATGCCGTTGATCGCCTTGACGCATTGGAATGTCACCAATCCAGGGAGGTGGTTTCCACCAACGTCAACAAGCCTCTTGAGGCCAACCAGCAGTGATGCCCACGCTCGTGTTGATGCCTGTATTATCGACGCCAACTCTGATTTATCCTTCTCGATCGGAGTCGTCCCGTTCCGAAATTCATTTGCCAGTCGGTCGTGATTCCGCAAAGCTAGAGCAATTATCGAACCAATTGCACGGGCTGTATCCATGAGAGCGAAGCAGAGCCCTTCTCGATCCACAGGATGTTGGTTGCAGAGCTTGTGTGATAGATACACCTTTTGGCACAGGTGCTCTTTCGCTTTGTCCACTTCCCCAAGCTCCGTTGCAGGAGGTTGCACTTTGTCCGAGTTTGGACAGCCTTGTTCGGTATCCAACGCTGGCTTTTTCGCTCGTTTCGGCGTTCGGGCTGACCTGCTCGCGGTTCGTTTCCGCTTGGATTGCGCTGGAAATGAATCGGGGTCAAGTATAGTATGGAGATCTGTGCTGGTTGCATCGCTGCTTATTCGCCTTTCGAGCTGCAAAATTCTGTGTTCCAACTCCTCGCAACGTCGCTGCGATGCGTCGTATTGTGCTTTCCAATAGGCAACCTGATCGAGGTGGCGGTGATGGGTTTCGTGGTTCGCGAATGACTGTTTTCCCCGTCCAAGATGGTCGCGCAGTTGCAGGATGTAATCTGCTCCTTGTTAGTGTCCGTGGTTTTTCAATTGACAACTATGCCTTACCTCTCACTGTGACACTATCGGGCTTATGTTGAAGGATTGAGATTGCCAGAGCCACCTGCAGCCGTGAAGGAACAGCACCAGCATCACAACTCGCGACTGGAGAGTCCATCTGGCCACCGGAATCGGAGCGGGATGGTGGAGTAGGAGGAGTGCTGCTGAAATTCCAGGTTTCTCAGATGGGAGGTGCGACCACCTGTACACCAGACTCGTGGTGGGGAAGGAGCGCTGATGCGTGGCAGGTACGACTCACACGGATCTCGGGAAAAAGAAAAAATGAATGATTCAAAAGATCGCTGGAGAGAAACCTTGGAAGGAAATAGAAGAATGACTAATCCAGATGGCTCAGTAGCTGGATGCTGTCCTCTGCGGTGAGATGATATGATACAATTCGAGAGCGTTGCCGCTCATGTAAATGACCCTACCTAGGTATACATGGTCCTCTATTGCCAATCGTACAATCGCTAGCTATGCTGAAAAACGCCAACTACCGCATTCTCTCCGTCCGCCTCTTATAGGGGAGCGGCTCGACGCGCTTGTGCTTAAACTCAACATCCACCTGGTCGCCGAAACCTGCTCGCCGCATGACTTCCGCCATGCTGTCATCCCATTGTGTCCTGAAGAGGGTGGCTCCGAGCGGTTTCAACTGCTGCTTGTCGATGAAGCTGCGGAGACGGAATCCGTCTCTCTTTGTATTCATGATCTCGGTGACATCCAACTTATGACCATCCTTCTGCTCTAGCACAAAAACAGCCAGGCGATGATAGGGAGCACCCTTGTGAGCCCATGGCGGCAACCAAGGCAAAGCGATCTGCTTCTCGGCGGGAGTTGTTGCCTTGCTGTCCCTATGTCCAATCATGGTGAAAGGTATGGACGTCTGAGTGGGTGATATAGGAATGTTCGACGCGATGAAATGGCATCGGTAGGTGAACCCATCCTTCTCCGGGACAGGTACATCTCCATCGACGACGACCACGGACACCAGCTTCTCGCCCTGCTCGAACGACTGTACTCTGAGCCTGGGCATTTTTTCGCTCACACTAGAATCCACGAAATCCCCAGGTTGGATTACTTTTCGTCCGAATGCAAGCTCGATGTCGACGACAGTGTCAAGCGCGGGTAGGAAGTCGGGCACGATGTTCATCTGAGTGAGGCGCTGCTCCAGGAGTGGACGCTTATATTGCCGCCACTTTCTGTCAGCGAGATACCGGTAAATAGGCTTGTTCATATCCCCTATAGGTCAATCAGCATCCCATCGGTGATGCCTCTGGGAGCAACTTACCTTGTCCATCCTCAAACTTCTTCTTCACGATTGGATCGTTGATATCAGCCAAGATAATCAACTCGTTCAAATGCTCCTTCATGCTCTTAATCCTCGCCTCCTTGGCCCTCTCCCCACCGCTGACAGCTGGGTCCTGTGCCATCAAGTTCTTCAACCGCAGTTTTTGCGTTTCGATCTGTTTGAGCTTCTCTTGCCGGTCTTCCAGCAGAATCTTCCGCGCCTCCTGGAAACACTGGTATGGCAACTGTTCGAAGGGAATCTCATCGGTTTTGCGCATAGCAGATCGTCGGATGGCGGCTCGACGACGTCGCGATCCAATGGGCAAGACACCATCTCTGCGGATGAGACGTCGCTCTGCGCGCTTGTCTTCGACACGGTTGGGATCCAATCGTCCCCATTTCTTCATATATTCCGGGATATCTCTCGACTCTCCTTGTGCCGAGGCAGGAGTGGGTGGAGGAGGCGGCGGAGTCGAGGTTCCCTTCTCCGTCTGTAGCTCTTCACGCACAGCCGGGGTCGTGGAAAGGAGGCGGATGGTGGTGCCGTTGGCGGCAAAGGCGCCGGTTGCTGGCTGCCGCACGCAGCGCAGACACGCACTGAATTGGCGTAGCGGCGCCATTGACGCCATTGATGGATTGTCTGGAGGCTGTTCCGGCGTGTTGATGCTGGTTGGCGCTGGCTGGAGAAGGTTGCGGTCGGTGCCAAGGCGAACTTTTTTCCGAGCACTCTTCCGCGCCAGCTCCGCGACCCTGTCTCTGTCTCTCCAGCGTTCACACATCGGCCATGCCTTCCACGAGGATATCCGCGCCGATGCGTGGCCTCACATTGCAATTGGGCAGGCTGTCCATACGACAGCATGTTGTACGGCTTCCTGCATCCCTTTCCACCCCGCATTCTTTTCTAACGAGCGCGCAGCCTTCCGTGTCCGCACGTTCCTCATACTCCCGCAGCATAACGACTTCTCCTTCTACGCTGGCATCCGTGTCTCCGATTACTGTCTCCGTTGATTCGCCGCCTTCTGTCTTGCCATTGTCTGAGCGGACCGTTTCCGCAACAATCCACCACTTTCCCTCCCTTGAACCTCTCCGCTACGAAAACTTCCCAGCGAACCACCTCTACCTCCCTACCAGACGCGACATTCTTCACCGAGCTGTGATATACGAAGGCGACAAGACCCGCCTAGGTACCGCAAGCACAAAATGGCGAGACGAAGTCCGCGGCTCTGCCAAAAAGCTTCATCCTCAGAAAGGCACCGGTAGAGCCCGTGTTGGCGACAAGAAATCACCCATCAGGAGAGGTGGAGGTGTTGCTCACGGCCCGAAACCGAGAGACTTCTCGACCGGACTGCAGAAGAAGGTGTATGATCTTGCTTGGAGGACAGCGCTTTCGTACCGGTTCCGGAAGGGCGAGTTGGTCATTGTCGACAATGCGTTGGAGATTGAAAGTCCGTCACCTACGCTGCTGCGCTATATCTTCGAGCGCAATCGCTGGGGCCACAGAAATGGACGCAGCATATTGGTCACGTTACAAGAACGTCCCCTGCTCTCAAAGGCCCTCGCCGAATCACCCAAAGAAGGGTGGACTGGGACTTGGGAGGAGGTGGACGTGAAGGACATGCTATCACTGGGCAGAATAGTCATCGAGAGAAAGGCCCTTCAAAACATCCTTCTCCAGCACCAATCCGACATCGTCCACTCCACCTTTCCGCCTAAACTCTACAAGAAGCTCGAGCCGGAAGAGCTGCAGCAGAATCTTGGATGGGAGGAGTTTAAGACCTTGGAAATCGCAAAGCCTGAAGACCTCCCTATACTGCAACCCGAGCTCTTTGAACGCCTGGCGTACAAGAGATTGATTCAGGCTAAACAGTACACCGGGCAAGACACCGCTGAGCTGCAGGCCTCGGCGTTCAACCTTCTCTCGGAAGCGCGACGTATACAGTCCGAGGCGCTAGAGCGGCACCCGATTCTGAGGGAGATAGAGAGCGAGGATCCGGAGAAGGCCATCCAAGCGACCGAGAAGCGCGTCGAGCTCTTCAAGACACAGGCTGAGCGGTCCGAATATATGGCAAAGGCATTGAGGGCGCTGGGCCATGAGGAAGCGGCGCTTGAATGGGAAGCCCGTGCCGAGGAGGACCGGTATGAGGCTGCGAAGGATGAGGTATGGTTAGAAAGTGAACGTGGAACGGGTGAGACGGCCGAGACAGCAGAGGGTGATCAGGCACAAATCGAGGAGGGTAAACCTCGCGAGGTGCGGTAACCTTACATGTAGGTTGGGATGTTGGGGACGATGAACGCGTGATATATTCGATTGTATTAGTACAGTGCACATCGTGACACTTATATGTCAGCTGTACAAATAGCTACGGCATTTCCATGCGCTTATCCATCTTACACATTATTCTATGTATACAGGTGATGCTCTGGTAAACATGCAGTTCTTAACCAGCATTCTTCTCTGTTTTCTCCGCCTTCTCCAATTTCTTTCCCTCAAACACCAACGTCATCACTCCTCCCACCACCCCTTGGGGCTCCTTCGCCTCCGTCGACCCCTTACACTCTGCCAGCGCCTCCCTCACCCTCTTCAACACATCGCTACACTCTTTCTCCGACGCCACCCTCCCCCTCCTCTTCGGCCCCAACAGCACCTCCACCTTCCTCCCCTCCCTTAGAAACTGCTTCATCTTCTCCAACCTATGCCCCAAGTCCCCCGGCGCAATCGCCCAATTTAACTCCAGACTCTTCGGCGCGGGCCCCTTTCCCACCCCCCTCGCCTCCCTCCTCTCAATCTCCAACTTCTTCTCGTGCTGCAACCGCAGGTCTATTTTCGAAACGACCTTACAAACCGGCGGGTTCTCCGGGTCGGAGCGGCCGAAGATGTCGACTTCGCCGGGAGAGACTTGCATCAGGTAGTGAGTGGTGCGGTTGTAGGAGCGGCGGGCTTCGTCAAAGGGCATGTAGGCGTGAAAGACGCCGTTGGCGTCGACGAGATTGATGTGGGAGGCTTGGATAGCGTTGTCGAGGACGTAGTGGTCGGTTAGGGCGTGGCGCTCCGTGTCTTTCTTTTTGTAGTGTTTGGAGCGGGTGACGGTGAGGGGTTGGGAAAGTGTCGCCGTTCGGGGGTGGAGGTGTGGTCGTATGATGGAGAGGATGCATGATGGAGGGGATTGGTGGAGGGTAGGGGCGATGAAGACGCGGTAGAGGGCCCGTGAGGTGCTGGAGATGTGGAAGGGAGGCATGATGGAGGGATTGGGTGTGTACAAAGGAGTGACGTGAATAGAAGGGAAGATTGATGTCTGCCAGAGATTCAACCAGTTGACTTGTCGTTGAAATCTGAAAGCTCGGACCACCCTCGCGGCAACACCTCCGCGATGACATCCCCCCTCCTTCCTCCTAGCCTTACACAAGATCGTGGGAACTACTCTCAATCTCGCAATGCTACATGTAAGAAACACGCCTTCGCTTCTGTATCGACATTCTGCACACCTGCCACCATGAGCAATCCGCTCGAAGAGTATTTGCATGCACTCGAAGCCCGCGATCTCCGCGAAAAGGCCCATGCGGACTACGTCAACGCATGTGAGTTGCCGACCACTGCTCGCAGGCGTAGTTTTGCGGTTGCGCAGGGACGACTCATATGCTGAGTATATGTAGATACCAAACTAGCCGACGGGAGGGCAGCTTTCTCGGCTCCCACCCAAGCAGTTCCAGACAAGCCATCCCCTTCCCCAAGCCAGTCCTCCAAGTCAATACGTCCAGGCACTTCGCAAGGAAAATCATCTTCAGTTGCGGAACCCGCTTCTCAGCCCTCCAACCTCGCCCAACTCCGAGCAGACTTCGCCTCCAGCCAGAAAGCCCGATCAGACCTCGAGGCCAAGCTCTCAGAAACCAACGCCGACTTCGCCGCTCTCAAAGCAGCCAACAACGAGCTCAAGGACAGCTTCGCGCAGCTGGAAAAGCTGAAGGAGAATCTGGAACGGAGGAACAGAGATCTGGTGGAGGAATTGAAGGAGAAGGGGAAGCTGGTGGAGGAGGTGCAGAATGAGATGGTTTCCTTGAACCTGCAGCTGAATGTGGCAGAGAGGGAGAAGGAGAAGCTGAAGAAGGATAATGAGGAGTTGACGAGGAGGTTTATGGAGAAGATGGAGGAGGATGCGAGGAGGATGAATGAGAGTATTGATAGGTGGACTGCGCGGAGGTGAGGCAACTAGTCGTACCGGAATCGGGGTCGCTGAGCTGAACTCCTGAATCCTTTCCATGCATGGTTTATTATTTTCGCAAGCAATCATACGAAGTTTCCACACTTCATCTCCGCCCATATAATAAATAACCTCCCCGCAATGAATGTGGCTGGTGCCTGAATTGTCTTGGCGGTACCTATAGCTCCCCACCAAAGGTATCTATACAAGCTTCACTCTACCACAACACCACAACTTACTACTCGACAAGTGATACCCGCCGAACCTCCAGCCATGGAGACGGCAATGAAGACATGGGGTAAGTTACCTCATTCTGTTTCACGGTCCAATCCCTCTTAACACCCCCCAACACCCCCCAACTTCTACCCACCATCTCACTAACTCCTCCCCATAGAGCTCGAGAACTCCATCAACCTCGTGGACCCCACCCGCGACGCCCTCTACACCTACTCCGAGTCCTCCCAAAAGTCCATCAACCAAGCCAAACCCTGGCGCTCCGACCCCAACTACTTCACCCACGTCCGCATCTCGGCCGTCGCCTTGCTCAAAATGGTCATGCACGCCCGCAGCGGCGGCCACCTGGAAGTCATGGGCCTGATGCTGGGCAAAATCGAAGCAAATACCTTCGTCGTTACCGACTCTTTCAGATTACCTGTAGAAGGGACCGAGACGCGGGTGAATGCGCAGGACGAGGCGAACGAATACATGGTCGAGTTTTTGGACCGGGCGAGGCAGAGCGGGCAGATGGAGAATGCGGTCGGGTGGTACCACAGTCATCCCGGCTACGGATGCTGGTTATCCGGCATCGACGTTAGTACCCAGCGCACGCAGCAGACGTTCCAGGATCCATTCGTCGCCGTCGTCATCGACCCGGATCGCACGGTTTCGGCTGGCAAAGTGGAGATCGGAGCCTTCAGGACGTATCCCGAGGCGTACGTCAAGGACAAGGAGAAGAGCGGGAATGTGAGTGGCGGGGGCGATGGCTTCGAAACCATTCCGCTGGGTAAGATTGAGGATTTTGGCGCCCATGCCAATCATTACTATGCGCTGGATGTGAGTCACTATAAGAGCACGCTCGACACGAAGATCCTCGAGGCGCTGTGGAATAAGTACTGGGTTAGTACACTGTCTGCCTCTCCGCTGTTTTCGAATCGCGAGTATGGGACGATGCAGATAAGGGATTTGGCGAGTAAACTGCAGCGGGAGAATGCGGGCCAGAAGCGCTTGCAGAATATCATGCCAGGCGGTGGTGCTGCCGAGACGGGGAAGGGTGGGCAGTTGAAGAAGTTGGTTGCTGCGGCGGAGAAGATTAGTAGGGAGGAGGAGATGGGGTTGTTGGCCGCGCAGGTTAAGGAGAAGGTGTTCATGGTCAATGGTCCCAGTGGTGGGGCTGGCGACGCAGGGCAGCAAGGGAATGAGGTGGAGATGAAGACATAAGTCCTGTTCTTATGGCGTTTGAGGGTTAGACAGGTCTGCATGGCGTGGTGTTTGGCGCTCTATACGGTGGACATGGGATTGCGAAATGCGAATGAACTGTTACGACTCCGCATGAGATGCTGCGATGGTCTTGGTAGGATCATATTACATTGGTGGTCCGGGCTCTAGATAACCGTCTAACTATACTAAATAAAAGTATTCTACAAGTATGCTGCCTTGTTCATATTTCGCGTGGTATGATCCGACGTCGATTCGTGCCCTCACAATATCGTACACAGTTATAATCTATTTGCCCTCCACTCCCAACCTCTTGAGGCACTCCTCCCTCCCCAGTATCCCCATAATATCATACAGCCTCATCCCCTGTTCACTCCCCGTCAGCGCGATCCTGAGATAGTGATACACCTCTTTAGCACCACTCCGTCCCTCAGGTCTCCCATCAATGATCTCATGAACTTTCTGCATCAGATTATCCTTCGTCCAGTCCTGCACATTCGCAAGACTCTTCACACGTTCCGCAATGTCTCCGTCCGCGGCGGGTTTATTGCGAGGCGGAACGAAAACATAGGAATGCCGGTAGACGAATTCATTCGCATTCGTATAGTTTTCCGCGTCGGCGACGACGAGCCGCTCGATGAGTTGAGCGGGACTCGACCCATCCGAAGGTTTCCAGCCCGCATACGGACCTTCCGGATCCTGAACGAAGCGAAGCACCGATTGCACAATCTCCTGCAATCCCTTACCACCCGCCTTCGCGCGCTCCAGCGCATGCTTCCTCTGCAGGAAATACAGTTTCCCAAACGTGACCGTCGTATTCCCCTTTGTGAATTTGAGCGTAAACTTGTCGATCAGTTTCTGCAGGTCCATGACGTCGCTTTTCTCGCTGTGGCTCCAGCCCAGCAGCGCGGCAAAGTTGGTCAGGGTCTCGGGGAAGATTTCCATTTCCTTGAAGGCGGAGATGTCGGTGTCGAAGTTGCGCTTGCTGAGCTTGTTGCCGTTTTCGTCGACGAGGAGGCCGACGTGGGCGAATTGTGGGGTTTTCCAGCCGAAGGCGTTATAGAGTGCGATGTGCTTTGGTGTGGAGGGCATCCATTCAGAACCCCGGATTACGTGGGTGACTTTCATGTGGTGGTCGTCTACTACGTTGGCTAGGTGGTATGTGGGGAGGCCGTCGCTCTTGAGCAGAATGGGATCTTCGAAAGCATTCTCGCCTCTCCTTTTCATGAGAGGTCTGAAGGTCCCGTAGATGAGGTCTTCGTAAGAGGGATACTGGTCCGGGACTCGTAATCGCACAACGAATTTCTCGCCGGCCGCCGCGCGGGATTCGGACTCCTCGTTCGGTATACTTTCGCATGTGCGGTCATAGTCCGTCGCGAGGCCGAGCCTGTGTCGCTGTTCCGCCAGTGCGTTGAGCCGCTCGCTCGAGCAAAAACATCGATATGCATGGCCGTTTTCTAGCAGTTTCCCTGCATGCTCGCGGTACAGCTCGCTCCTTTCCGATTGTCTGTAGGGCCCGTATGGTCCGCCTACTTCAGGACCCTCATCCCACTGTAGCCCTGCCCATCGCAGGTCCTTATATAATCGCTCCTCGGCGTCCGGTACGGTTCTCTTCGTATCGGTGTCTTCTATTCGGAGAAGGAATTGGCCGCCAGTCCGTTTCGCGAGGAGGTAGTTGAAAAGCGCGGTTCGTAACGATCCAAGATGCAGATAGCCAGTCGGGGAGGGCGCGAATCGCGTCCTAGCTGGTGTATCCGGGAGTTCGACTTTTGTTTTCCTTCCCTTGAAGCCCTTTGCGGAGATGGAACTATGCCACCTCCTCGCACTATCTCTTGATAGACGGATCATACATGACCGGCATGTATAAGAGCCTATTCGCGGTGGAAAAACGAGCGAAGGGGACATTGGAGTCTTGTTCTTCTCTTGCCTCACCAGAGTGGAAGTGCTGCAGTCGGAATTTCTGAGCCCGGAGGGGCGGGTTTCGCCGACGCCGATCAGATTCCGAAGACCTGCAGGAGGATACGACTCACTTTTTTTGTTGCCGCTTGCGTCTTAGACACCGAAAGTTTGCTTCCTTGCTGCCTTCTTCTTTCTTTCCCTGTACATATTTACCCGGCTGTGGGTGCTCTATCGCTCTCTGGGAAACGTAACGACCGCTTCTTTACACCAAGAGTAAGCGACTCAGTCTCTGCAAAGAGGTTTGCTGATTTATGGACAGTGAACGACGTTGACGAGATCGACCTCTACGGTATGCTAAGTTTACCTGCTCTTCCTCCCGCATAGTCTGATTGAAGTAGAGGTCCTCGGCATAACAAGTGGCGCCAGTAAAGCAGAAATCAAGAAAGCCTACCACAAGGTTTGTCCAGCCTTGCGCATTGCGCATACTACTCTCAGGCGTTGCTTACGCGTTCGGACAGGCAGCATTAGCACATCACCCGGACAAGGTCGTAGAAGAAGAACGCGTCGAAGCCGAAGTGCGATTCAAAGCCGCGAAGCAAGCCTACGAAATCCTCTACGATGACGAGAAGCGCCACCTCTATGATACCCACGGCATGGCCGCATTTGATCCGAGCAGAGGAGGAGGCATGGGCGGTGCGGGCCCGGACATGGACGACATTTTCGCTCAGATGTTTGGGGGCATGGGGGGCATGGGGTTTGGCGGTATGCCTGGTATGGGCGGTATGCCAGGTGGTCCGCGCCGGAACGTGCCGAGGAAGGGCAGGAGCGTGGAGCAGGAGTATGAGGTTTCGCTGGAGGAGCTGTACAAGGGCAAGACGACCAAGTTCGCGAATACGAAGAACGTCGTCTGTAAGACATGCGAGGGCAGTGGTGGCAAGCCAGGCGCGAAGCCGCATGCGTGCGGCGTCTGCAACGGCCAAGGTATGTGTGTTTAGGTTTGACACTGTAGCGTACTAACAAGAGCTAGGTATGAAGGCTGTGCTTCGACAAGTAGGCCCTGGTCTTGTCACTCAAGAGACGGTGGTCTGCAGTACATGCTCTGGGTCCGGCAAGCTGTTCAAGGAGAAAGAGCGCTGTAAGAAATGCAAAGGGAAGAAGGTTGTGGAAAGCAAAAACGTCTTGGAACTCTACATCCCGCGCGGTGCTAAAGAGGGAGATAGGATAGTGCTCGCGGGTGAGGCCGACCAGCTTCCCGATCAGGAGCCCGGAGACATCATCTTCACCCTAGTTGAGACACCGCACGACGTTTTTGACCGAGCCGGGTCGGATCTCAAGGCAACGTTGAAGATCAGCCTTGCGGAGGCGCTCACAGGTTTCAACCGTGTAGTGTTGACGCATTTGGACGGCCGAGGCATTCAACTCAACATCAAACAACCGAACGGGAAGGTATTAAGGCCCGGGCAAGTTCTCAAGGTGCCGGGTGAGGGTATGCCTGTGAAGAGGAGCGACGCCAAAGGTGACCTATACCTCACCGTGGAGGTTGAATTCCCCGAGGATGGCTGGCTCAAGAGCGAGGAGGCAGTCAATAAGGTACGGAACGTCCTTCCCGCTACGAAGGCCGAAGTGGGCAACCCTGAAGAGGTTGAGGAAGTCGAACTGGAGTTCGATGCCGACCTGGATGAGTTTGGTGCTGGAAGCGATGATCCTCGTGCTGGAAACCAATGGCAGGACGATGATGATGATGAGGGCGGCCCTCAGTGCGCTACACAGTAGGTGGCGCCTACGACGTCACGAATTTCTCTGCATATTTTTGGCGTTTGTGGTTTTTCCAGCAGATACCGTGGGAGGTTTGCATAGAGGGGCACTGGAACTATCTAGGTGGTGGAGATAGGTCGGCCTACCGTTTGCTGTTTAAGGCTTGGAATCAATGGACAGTTAGATGCGTTCATTTTCATGGCTGAAATCGAGTTAACTTTGTCATTCACGATACTCTGTGAGCACTGAACGCCTAGTACCGCGTACTCTCTGTACCACAATTGATCGATGGATCCTCATACTAGCCAATCATAGCACGACTTGGATGACCTCACCACTTCGACCCACACTATGGACTACGTGAGCTATATCCAGCACCATTGAGTCAATCGGCGTGAGACCAACCCACGTATCCGAGAAATATCAGTCTTCCAACAATGCTGCGCCATCGCCCAGACCCCGTCGACTTCCTCATCCTGGGCGCAGGCTGGACCTCTCAATTCCTCATCCCGGAGCTTCACCGCTGCGGCATCACACATGCCGCAACAACAACCACAGGCCGGGACAACACGATCCCTTTCAAATTTGACCCCGAATCTGCAGACTTGGAGCCTTATGAGAGACTTCCGTCAGCAGAAACCGTGTTGATTACGTTCCCGTTAAGAGGACACGGTCAATCGAAACATATCACTTCGTTGTATCGGAAAGTGCACGGGGAGAAGAATCGCTGGATTCAATTGGGAAGTAGTGGGATCTTCAATAAAGAGCGGGAAGCCATTGCAGGCGAGCATGGAGGCTGGAGCACCGAGGAATCGGAGTATGATCGCAGTGATCCGAGGGCTATTGCCGAAGATGAGCTGAGGGAGTGTGTAGGTGGCTGCGTGCTCAATCTCTCGGGTCTCTATGGCGGAGAACGCAAACCGAGAAACTGGCTTGGAAGATTGGCCAAGTCGAAGGACGATGTCAGAGCGCGCGTCTCGGTGCATTTCGTGCATGGAGAAGATGTTGCTAGGGCGATTGTGGCTACGCATAGGAATTTCACGGAGGGGAAGAGGTGGATTGTTACGGATTTGAGGGTGTATGATTGGTGGGATCTTATTTTGAGTTTTAGTGCGTTGGTGGACGAGGAGGAGAGGGAGAGTGTAGAGGAGAGGGAGAAGAGGTTGCTGTTTGGGAAGTGGGTTGGGGAGTTGATGGTTGAGGAGGGGGTGAGGGCGCTGCCTAGGTCGATGGGGGTGTTGGGGAGGAAGTTGGATTCGAGGGGGTTTTGGAGGACGATGGAGATTTGGCCTAGGCATGGGAGGCTGGCTTGAGGGAAAGGGTGGTTCTTGTTGTTCAGGTTAACGAGAGTCTGAGACGACGATACTTGAAGAGGTGATTCTCCATGTCAGATAAGATCACATAGATGTTGCTTTAAGAGTCTGAGGTACTGACGGCACTTGCAAAAGGCTATCGTACTATGATAGATATGATTGGGTTGACCGATTCGAAGGATATTCACGAACTGAAGCACAACTGTCAGAAGAGAAAAATGTGGAGCTATCATCAGGTTAATACCACTGTCCACAGATACCTAGGTAGTTCTCCCAAGGCACGCGTGACGAGTGGTGAACACAAGCCTACCCCGCCATGTATCACCTTATCAACGAGAAGCTCCCAACCTTCCTTATCCGGCTTGACCCCTCCCATGAACCTCTCAAGTTTCACAGACACAATCAGTGCTGAGGGGTAGATCTGGTGCTGAGAGATTCGTAGGACAAACACGCGCGTACTCTTCACTCTTCACTCCTGTCCTCAGGCTGTTTCCATCCCTCCTTAGAATCTCAAATCACCCTCTATAGTCTATCAAGGCACACCAAGTCGCCACAATATGGCCGATATCACTGTCGATTCAGCCGTCGCAAAGGACGATCTGGTAATCCCTGTATGTGGCATAGCATGCACAGCTCAAGACGAATATCTGTACTGAATAGGCAGCTCATTGACTTCTCACAATATCTCTCAGGCGACCCTGCAGCGAAGAAGTCAACGGCTCAAGCCGTCCTAAATGGCTTCCAGAATGCTGGATTCATATACCTCAAGAATCACGGCATACCCGCAGAGACAGTCTCAAAAGTCTTCGCCCACTCGGCCAAATTCTTTGCTGGGCCCAAAGAACAGAAAGATGCACTGGCCTGGTATTCTCCGGAAGCAAATCGCGGATATACCGCTCAAGGTCGAGAGAAGGTAACGGATCTCGAGAATCAGGGTGACGTTGAAGAGCTGCGGAAGACTGTGCCTGATTTGAAGGAATCTTTTGAGATCGGCAGAGAAGGAGAAGCCGGTATGCCGAATATGTGGCCCCCGACCGAGGGCGACGAGGAAGCGAAGGCGTTCAAGGATGTGATGATGCAATTCCATGATACATGCAAGGAGCTGCATATGCAGGTCATGCGAGCGATTGCCTTGGGAATGGGCATTGACGAGAATTGGTTTGACAGCTATACGGACGTGGGTGATAATACGTTGAGGTTGTTGCATTACCCTGGGGTGCCGAAGTCAGTGTTTAGGAGGAGCGACGGTCAACTGCAGGTGAGAGCTGGTGAGCATAGTGATTATGGTAAGTTCGATTCCAATGTCCACAAGTGCGAGTCTGCATCTGATCAAGTCCGAGGTTCCATAACACTGCTCTTCCAAGACTCTCGCGGCGGCTTGCAAGTACGCTCACCCAAAGGAACATTTGTTGACGCCACACCCATTCCGGACACCATTGTCGTCAATGCAGGTGACCTGCTAGCCAGATGGAGCAATGATACGATCAAGAGTACGAAGCATCGGGTTGTGGAGCCGCCTTTGAAACCAGAGGATGAGGCTGCCGATTTCTATCCACCGCGGTACTCTGTCGCGTACTTTTGTAACCCCAACTTTGATCGCATGATTGAGGCTATCCCTGGAACTTATGAGAAGACGGGAAGGATTTATGAGGGAATCAGGAGTGGTGATTATCTGGTGAGGAGGTTGACTGCAACATATTGATGGACCGAGGTCACCTGCTCCGTAGAAGGCGCGAATGGTAGATACGGAGCGGGCCGCCAGGGTGGGGAACCCTACTAAACTGAAGCCAGAATAAACAGCATCAAACACCAATGTCGGAATATCAATCGGCCTGTCTTCTCGTTCATACTATGCCATTCCCGTAATTATGTGGCCTTCGGTGCTCTGACGTCTTCTAATTGATGTGGCCATCAACCATGAATTGACAGCATATTGGGCTCCATGCCAACATCCTTCACACCGCCAGGTTGAGCTCATCGACTGCCCACTCCCCAGATGAGACAAGTCCCACATGCTGTCCGGACACTCAAAACTGTCACAAAACTCCCTCTGGATCTCGGCCTTACCTCTCGTCCTTTGGAAGATGTCCGCCAGGTTTTTGGCGCGCTCGCCACGCGGTTCGAGACACCCCACGAATCCCACCTTGATCCCATTTTCATTTCAATTGACACTGGAACCAAGGACAATGATGCAGCCATGTTCATGAAGAATCCGATTTGCGACATTGGTGTCGCGTATCTGGATAGCCGCTACTTTGGATCCTGCAGCGATACCCGTAAGCCCAGAGAGCACAGCCATCCAGTCATACAAACGCACCACTACCTGTGTGACCCGCGTCCTGGATTGACATTCAAGAGAATCAAAGGGCGTCTAAGATTTGGAGCTGTCTGGCCTGAGCTGGTCCCAAGGCGAAAGCGCCAGCAATTGATCTCGCAGATCTTCTACCATGATGCCAGATCCGATGGATACGCCTGCTGTCCCAGCAAGGACTTCCACCTGATCAATCCCAATCAGACCCGGCTCGTATCTGCGTCGAATTGCCGTCCTGTGATCGTTGTTGGTCACTCGCTCCATCAAGATCTGGCTATCCTTGAACAGGCGGGCTTCACGCTCAACCAAAACGTCGTCCTCCACTATCTAGACACTCAATTGATCGCAGGGCATCTGCTCAGGGGCGGTGTCTGGAGTCTCAAAAGCATGTGCAAGATTCTCGACATCAACTGCGAAGGCTTGCATGTTTCTGGCAATGACGCGACGTATACGCTCGTTGCGTTGCTGAAGATGGCTTCGATGCTGTTGGGGTACCAGGACAAGACGGAGAGCCAGGTTATGGCCTTCAAGCTAAGAGCCCTTGTGAGATACGCTGATAAGGACCTCCCAAAGCTGAGAGGTACATATGATTGGGGTTATCGGAATCGATGGCAGCAGTTCCTTGAGCGACGGAAGTACTGGATCTATGCTGGGATTGCATGTCTGGCGTACCCGTTGAGCTGGGTACTTCATCACGGCTGGATCTGAGTATCTCGCACGCCTCTAAAGTTTATTCCTCTGGTTCTTTCGCGAAAAGTGCGAACGAGAAAATGTCCTCTACTTAAATCAAAGCACCTTCACCACATGCCCGATCGGGAATAGTCATCACGGCGAGTCATGGCTTTCGACCTTTGCCTGCAACGGCCTACACTACCACCGAGTGAAAGTGGTTTCTCGGTTTAGCAGCCAAAATATCTTCCGGTGCGACTAGTGATATTCATGACCAAAAATTTCACAGATTGCTTCGAATGGTAATCCCGAACAACAATTGAACGCTTGCTATATCACGGAGCTAAACCGCCCTTCAGGTTGGGGATTATGTTTTGTCATGGATTATCGTGTACTCAAACGACCATCGCAAACCTTGGGTCTCACGAGGGTTACATTAAGAGCGGAGTCGTACTGCGGGGAAAAGCCCATGCGCCCTTGATAGGTTAAATCAACCCTTGGGAAGGATCGAAGCCTGTCAATCCCGGAAGCGGTGCCGTCCCTGCAGCTGCATGACAACTACAAATGTCGGAACGTCTGCACAAGCGGTGCTGCAGCTGTGCGATCATGTTTCTTCTCTACTATGGGGGGCTTATATGTGCCGTCGCCGCTCTCCAGCCTCTTCCGCCAGTGCAATGGACAGAAGAAAGCACAACACCTGGTTTCTCGCTCACGGGGGCGCCGAAATCGATCTACATAGATCGCTCGTTTTCTGATAACGTGGATACGGACGGACTGACACTCATACCTCCAACTGCGTATGAGTTCGCGGAGACGTTTCGCGAAGACCTATCTTCGCTTCTAAACACGTCCTTCACGCTTGAGGAAGTGGACCAATTTCCACCTGTCGGGATATTCCTCGGACCATTCAGGGAAAATGGTACGCAGTTGACCTACGAGAATGGGCTGGCGACATCAGAAGGCTACGAGTTGGAGATTAAAAGCGCTGCTATATACATCGGAGGGACCGGCTCTCGAGGAATGTTTTGGGGAACCCGAACGCTGCTCCAACAAATACTCATCGCAAATGGGACCAGTCTCCCTCTTGGCCGTACCGTCGATGCGCCTGCCTATGCGACTCGCGGCTACATGCTCGATGCTGGGAGGAAATGGTACTCTCCCTCGTTTCTCAAGGAACTATGCACCTATGCATCTTTCTTCAAGATGTCTGAGTTCCATTATCACTCCAGCGACAACTACCCCCTGAACAGAGGACATAATGAGACCTGGAATAAGGTGTTCTCGCAATTTTCGCTCTATCCCGGGAACCCGGATCTCCAAGGCATCATACAGCGCAAAAATGAGACGCTCTCTCGAGAGGACTTTGAAGACTTCCAGAGACATTGTGCGCAGAGGGGCATCACTGTTATTCCTGAGATTGAAGCACCAGGCCACTGTCTGTCAATCACCAAGTGGAAGCCGGAGCTTGCGCTTGCAAAGAAAGACCTGCTGAATCTGTCACATCCGGATGCTATACCAACGGTGAAAGCTATTTGGGCTGAGTTCCTGCCGTGGTTTCAAACTAAGGAGGTACACATCGGAGCAGATGAATACGATCCAACTCTGGCGGATGACTATATCAACTTCGTTAATGAGATGTCTGATTTCGTCAACTCGACTTCAGGAAAGCGCATCAGAATATGGGGCACCCATGAACCTTCCGACAATCTCACCATATCAAAGGACATCATCATCCAGCACTGGCAGTATGGCCAGTCCGACCCCGTTCAACTGCAACGCGACGGCTATGATCAAATCAACTCGGAGGACTGGTGGGCATACATGAGTCTCAAGAACGACCACACTCCTATTCTACCCGCTCCTTATCCGCAATTCTACAACGTCACAAGAACCATGAACTTCGCGAATGTTCCGGATTGGCAATGGGAGCCGTCTCTTTTCAACCCTGTGAACAGGACCGAGCAGTTGGGACCAGGTGCTAGTGGCAACAGGGGAGCTATCCTGGCCGCATGGAATGACAATGGACCTGATGCAACAACTCAACTCGAAGCATACTACGCCATGCGACAAGGCATACCCGTGGCGGCGGCAAGGGCGTGGTCCGGAGCACGCGGCGTTCAAATCGACGCTTCTTTGCTAGACGCTTCTCTCGAATTGCTCACCTCTAGAGCGCCAGGGCAGAACCTTGATCGGCGGCTTCCACACGCTCAGACCGATCCACAGACCGGCCCGCTGATATCATGGGCGCGTCCGGCACCCAACTCAGTCACCACAAACCTTGGACTAGGCTCCTACGGCCCTCCATACACTCTGACTTTACGCATTTCTTCCCCTTTCACCCTCAAAGGCCCAGACACTTCCCTCTCCCTCTCAACCATCGCCACAAACACAACAACCACCACAACCCTCCTCTTCACCACAAACGACAACTTCCCCTACCCGCTCCGCTCCCTCTCAGAATCCGACGGACAGGATCCCGGCCACCCGGGCCGCATCTGGACTAACCAAACCACTTCTTCTCATGTTCCCGTGCAAATCGACCTGCCCGCGACGCTTCGGATTGAGACGGATGTTGTTAATGGGAGTAGGGTGTGGTTTGATCAGGAGTTTGCCGGACGGTTCGAGGTTTTTGTGTTTGGCGGGAGGAATACGTTGTTTAGTTGGAGTCAGATGGCGCTTGTGGCGCCGTTGGAGGTGGTGGAGGGGGGAGTGGAGAGTTTGGTTTTGGAGAGGGGTGTTGGTCATGCGGGAAGGGGAGGTGGAGGTGGTGGTTTTAATGCGCCGGTGGGTTCGGGTGCGGTTGGAAGGCGGGCTACAGGTGGGCTGGTACTGTCTATGGTCGTCGCGGCCATTGCATTGCTTGTGTTAGGATGAGCGTATGGCTGAACCTGTCTATGCTTTTGTGTTTGCTTGCGTGAAGTTCTAGAGGGTGGGCTCACGGCGTGACGGTGGTTGAGAGGCTTTCGTAGCCAGCCGCACTTACGCGGAGCAAACATATTGATCGTGCTTCTGCATGAACATGACGATTGACGTATTCCTGCCGGGAGATAATCTGCTCTAACAAGGCACGATTGGTTTATAGAAAGCACTGCAACGTTTGCCTGAACAGATCAAAAGAATCACTTCAGCGCACTTATATTGTCAGAGGCCAGTAGACACTGTGAGAAGCATAGATCAATTTCTTTTTCGATCACTCTTAGAGGCTTGAAAGCGCTGCTGTAGCTTGGTGGAGAAGTATCTTCCATCCTCTGCTGTCTCACTGGTTCCAGCTTCGGGAGGCTCAGGGAGCATCGCCGGCTTCCAAAGGCTCAGAGCATATCTGCATTTGGGAGGGTCTTGAGGTGCCCGTATTTGTAGTGAGAATCGGCGTTGCCAACCCTGGGAACGGTCGGCTCTCCCGTAACTGGAGTCTCGAATTTTCTATCTACGGTGGAGGATCGCTCTAGTTCCTGCCTGTACTACATACAAAATTAGCAACTACGGCCCGTAGCAGCAACTGTTTAAATCTAAGAGTTAAAGCTACTGTACGGCGTAACTACGGGAGAGCTATTAGCTACGGTAGTATAACTATCCCTATTTAGGCAAGAGGCCTCCTTCCTGTAAATGTACTAAGTTAGGTAATTAAACATTCTTTTACAGCTCTCTAGTACAAAATAGTCCTCCTTAGATATCTTACAAAGTTTAGGGGGGCTAGGGGCACTGTTAGGTAGCACCTACTACTGCAAGCCAGCTGCAACACTAATATTCTAGGTAATTAGCAATTACAGCAGCTACAGGAGCCTTCCTACACCTACGGACTGTATTACCTATGGCAGGACTAATAGGCAGCTCTTAACTGCTTATCTAAGCCGTAACAAGTAGCAGGTCCGGCCTTTGTATCATGCAATCCACTCTTGACCGCTTCGGTAGGGCCACCCTATCAATACCACTTCCACCGCGCAGCCTCAACTCTCCTTCCCCCCACTCCAACCTCTCTAACAGTGCACCGTCTGCCCATCCTATTCCACCCCCCACATGGCGGCTGCAATCATGACTGGCGCACCGTGAGTCTCTATCTCCCCGCTGTTGTAGCTTGGATTGGTGACTGGAAGACTAGTCTCTTCGATTCTACCGAATGTGGACTATCCGACATCACCATCTGCGTCACCGATGGAGAGGAGGCGAAGACATACCATGCGCATAAAGCCATTCTCGCCAATCGTTCCCAGTGGTTCTACAAGCGCATTTCCGGCGATGTGGGTGAAGAGAGCATTGAGAAAGTGCCAGACTAACTTTGAGATAGGCTGGACTCTCCACTGTCAAATTGAAAGAGAGTAATCTTCTTCATTTTGACTTGCTTATGAAGTACTTCTACCACCATCCCGGCCGTCATCGCGCCAACATCAATCTCGATTGGCTTGTGGAAACGATTTCCGTCTACTGCATGGCCGAAAAGTACGAGTCCGAGAGCGTTAAGGAGGAAACCATAGCCCGCTTCGCTTCTGCAACATCAAAATTTCTTTTCGCAGACACAAAAGATAAGGCTAAGATTGTTGAGGCCTACTACTCGCGGCACTCTGGATCTGACGCTGGGATGGGCCGTGCCATTGCCGGTTAGTTGATCGATTGCGAAACAGAATACTCAAACAGGGTCTTCATTCGGCTTTCGCAATGTGGAATATTCCTCGCAAAGTATAGCGCATTTGCACAAGATCTGGTCATCGTGGCCCGGGAACGCGCATCCAAGATTTCCTGAACCTTACATTCCCCAGAGGCGATATCACCTGGTGTCAAGGAAATTACACGGAATTGAACCGTCTTCCCATCCAGCGATCAATTGCGAGATCATCTTCAGGAAAAGTTCACCTTTGAGGGGCACCAAGGTCATACGGATGGTCGAGTAAAGGGAAATACACTACTGCTCCTCTACCCTCAATGGAAGACTTTCACAGCCTGTCCGAGTCTCAGTTTTGTCTCCGCGTCCCGGAGATCAGAACGCACAAGTCACACAGCTCTAGAGTTTAGTGTGTGCAGGTATACTTACGTAAACACCTGATCCTCAGCTAGTGACTTCCAAATATTTATTACCACTGTCCAGAATGCTTGCTGGAACTGTAGCCACGGAACGTTTGATCCATCTGCTTTTTGGGTTTGTGCATTCTAATAGCAGTGCTACATAGCATTTTCCTTGCTATTGTACATTCTTCATGCCTTGCAAGGTTTATACGTCGGCAATCTTTCCTTCTGAAATTATGGAGGGAACCTTCGGACCAGGTTCTAAAGGTTTGACGCAAGATATTGGGCGTTCGCTCGACGGCCTGTACGGAGACTGAGGATGCAGTAGACGAGAATTTTACCGATTACCTGTAACCTCACACGTGTCGGGTTTATAAATGTGTGAAAACTAAACGGTCATGTCCAAATTCTGGACTTTTATAGATATGCCTTTGACGGATGTGAAGGTGAAGGTAGAGTAGCGACGGCTCGGCAAAAATGGACGAGCAACTTCCTCCTTTATCTGAACCTTTATCTGAACGTTGCTCATCATTTTACAAGCTAAGAAGACGGAACTTTCTCAATTGAGAATTATCAGCTACTTAGTGTGGCGTCGTGGCTGCATCCCTGCCTACCCTAGGGTAGATAAGAAGTTGCGCTTTCACTTCGGCCTTTCACCGATTGATACGACGGAGCACGGTTAGGCTCCAACGTTAACCGACGCACAATTATATTTTTATGTAAATCGTTACCTCAGGTTCAATCTCTCTTACCTTCTCCTCACTCGCGGCTCCGCCAACTCCAGTGCTTGTCGCAGCGATGGCGGACAACAACAAACCCTTCGAAGACAAGTATGCGCCCTCAGCTTCACTATACGGGATTCAAGAAAACTGATTAAAGTAGTCCGCTATACAATTCTCCAACGCTCTCCGACGTGACAGTTCGGCAAATCTCTGGCGGGAAATCGAAGGACTACAAGTTGCACAAGGCCATCCTCGCCTCTCAATCCAAGTGGTTCTACAATGCTTTCTGTGGCAACTTCAAGGTACCACTACACCAAAGCCTTCGTTCAAGTTCTGTCCGGTCGGGAATAAGTGGTAACATGGCGTAGGAAGCAAGCGATCAGGTCGTGGAGGTGCACGACGACAAGCCCCATCACTTCGAAATGCTCTTGAAATGCATTTACTCGCGCGACTATATTCCTGGGAAGGGATATATCTCCCATGATGCTTGTGATGATATCATCGGAACCTACATAGTTGCGGACAAGTACGGATGCGATGATATCATCAAGTCGCTCCCGCAGGCGCTTCGTCAACACATTGAATGGCTTTCAGGATATCTCGTGCCGGGAATTGTTGAAGATTTCTACAGCCACTGTGGAAACACTGCCAAAACTGAGATGGGTAAGGTTCTTGCGGAGCGCGTACTCTCTCAGCGTGCAGACCGTTCGGCTATGGACACAATCAAGGAATGTAAGAACGTGTGCAACGACCATCCGGATTTTGCAAGGGACGTCATTCTTTGTTTGATCTCCCGGAAGACAAACCTGGAGCTGCGACCAAAAGCCGGCGGAGATGATTCAAGTGCTGGAAGAGTGGGCGCATTGCGGTTCTAGCACATGCCCTGCAAATGAGCTTGCGAATCTTCATTTCTCAGCGGGAAGGGTTGTTCCCTAAAGATGCTTCACGGGAAAGCCAAACATGTACTCAGTCGTCGAAACTGCGATCGCTAAGCGTTGGGGAATCCATACAATTGACCCAGTTACAATTGGCACAGTCACTTTCCCACGTGGTACATTTTTTCCTTTTCCATACTTGTTGACCTGTTCACGAGATTATGTTAAGGCTCATCATCGAACCGAGTAAGCGCAGGCTTTCTAATTTCCGTAATTTCCGGATCAGGCCCATGGTACCAGACCTCACTTTTGTCTTCTACTGATGAATCGTTTCGGGGAGAAATGATTGTTACTCGTGCAGCATGTTCTGGCAGTGCGGTCAGGCTTACTCGTCTTCCCCGTTAACAGTTGTCCAAGTAAGTCATCTGGCATGCTAGGAGCTGTCCTAATTATGTGGATGAGTTACATTATGCGCTGCTTGGACATATATACCACGCATGTAGCCCATGGAAAAGTAGCGGAATGCGCGGTACAGAGTATACCGGGACTATATATGATAATTCTAAGGCCCGAGGAGTCTACAAACCCCTCTATCATCCTTTTGCTCTTGGATCTTCCCCTAAATTTTGCCAGGTATTATGTCTTGTTGCTCAGATTCCCCGGGTTAACTCGACACAGTGCCTCGGCGTGAAGGAAGCCAAAGAAGCCCATCTTAATGAGAGCATGAGAGCCGATGATATAACAGATGTTCTCTTGACTAATGACACCGGATTATGTGCTGGGTCCAGTCTTTTTCAACAGTTCCAACCGTTCGCACTCTCTGTTAAACAAACGTCCAACACTACAGTAAGAGACTTTTACTCACAAATCAATATAAAGTGATTTATGCTCATGGTACACGGAGAACTCTGAAGACGTCCTCAGTGAAAACCATTCAGGACCTAGATGTCAACCCCTGCCCGACGTACGCATGATGCTTCAAGGCACTTGAGAGAAGGATTGAGTTTATATTAAATGGCCTACCGCAGAAATTAGAGTTGACTCTTAGGTGCCGTCAGAAGTGCCGTTAGTTGTGTTGGGAGTCGCGTTATCCTTTGCATGACCAGACAGGGAACACGACAGGAACATATGGGCGCTAAAAGCTCGTGAAGATCTTCCCACAATTCAAGCTTGTCTGCGTCAGGGCCAAAATCTTCAAGAACTTGCCAAATATATGTCCCTTACAAATTGAAGCAGGGCAACGAAGATATGATATATCACAGGTCGTAAATGGACGAATGGTCTCGGCGCTTGAATATTCAGTCTTGGGAACCCTAAACACGGAAAGCTAAGCAATCCTTTACTGTCAGCATGTAAGCAATCGCTTGCACACTATCATATGCGGGGAAGCTTCTCAGTGCGCCGAGAAGGGGCGTCCACCTTCCCTCTAACTGAAGTAGCCCAGTGAATGATTGTCATCTGCTGATAAAATGTGCCTGACGCTCAGAGACGAGCTTTTCTCTACTCCAACTTGCCGTTGCTCCCCAACCTTTACAACTCCGAGCCTGATTCAAGCTTCGGAAGCAGCCATGGGAGGCGTCAGGGACACCGATATCAAGTAAGCGCGCTCCAGTTTGCCGGCCTTCTTACTTTGAGCTTATCCTAACACAAGGCAGTCCTTTATTTAACAACGCATGTTTCTCTGATGTGACAATTCGACAAACCTGTCACGGAGCTTCCAGAGAGTACTATGGGCACAAGGCCGTCTTAGCGTCACAATCCAGATGGTTCTACAACGCCTTTTTCGGCAACTTCAAGGTACGCTGACCACACACTTAAAGATGACACGTTGTTACACAAGAGCTGACAACGTTATCTAGGAAGCTACTGCCAAGGTTGTCGAGCTTCATGATGATAACCCTGTTCACTTCGAGATGCTGCTGAAGTGTATCTACTCCCGCCAGTACCAACCCAAGCGCAGCCAAGACATTGTTGGCACCTACATCGTGGCCGACAAGTACGCTTGTGACGAGATCAAGAAGAGCCTTATGCTGGCAGCCGAGAAAAAGATTGAAAAAGCGGGGTGGGAGAAACTGTGTCTCCTTGTGGAGCTCTTCTACGGAGGTTGTGGAGACACTGCAAACAGCGAAATTGGAAGGTTTCTTGCAAGTACGATGACGAATTCGCAATCGGATTCTGGACTCTCCTTCCAGACTATCGTCGACACCTTTAAGGAGCTGTCCAAACGGTTTCCGAACTTCGCAACTGACTTGATAGTTCATGGAGTCAAAGTGTGGAACGTCATCGATTACGAACCCTGGGAAGACCCAGAGGACCCTGAAGAGTTTCGGAGGGAAGCCGCCCTACTGATTTTTGACTAAATTTTCAGAGAGGTGGTGGCTGAATTCACGTGTTGTTGTGGATTGGGGCCTGTTTGACTTGCGTCGTTTCAGTTCCCTTGGGCTCACATATGATAACAATCGTGGAGGCATAGTTCATGATTATGAGATCAAACAGAGGTGTTCTTCGGCCGTTGAGTTTGTGCAGCATGGTTTATCTACAGAGTGAATCAATAACGTATTCAACCTAGGTGTAGGAGTGCAGTTGGAAAATGTCTAGTAGGAGCTATTGTCAGATGGTAAACCAGTTTATGGACATCCCATCTAGGACTGGAGAGGAGGACTGGGAGAAACTGTCTGTATCGGTACTGTCTGAGGACATGTGGCTAGTGATTCTGTAGTGGCTAGTGCTCTGCACAGCCTTGGTGCCCAGAGAAGGAACATCAAAACCGCTGTCAGGCCCCAGCCTCACCCACACAAGCACACATTAGAATACAATCAGTCAACCTATCTTCATTCAATCTTTCTGTCACTGTGACATCTTCAGATACCATCAAATCTGACAGTAGGGTAGGTTATAAACGTTTGAGGATACAAACATGTTAGTATTATAGAACATTTGAACAATACACTACTAGTCTTAGTATATTATTTTTCACTAAACTGTTATTAGTAGAGACATCTACAGGGCTATTTTTACTGCATATTATAAAGTAAAACATATTTTTAAAATTTACAAAAAGTGTAATACACTAAAAGTCTAAATTACTTAGCTTGCATAGGTCTTTAGTGTTTATTACAGTTACAAAGCTTACACATTGTCGCAATCGTAACGGTTTATAACAACGAGACGTCCACATAAACCGAACCCGTCCCTGCCAACCCGTGCCATGACCCGCCAAGCCCGACCCATCAGATCAAACTCCAGAACTCAGATCTATCCAACAGCCGCACAACACTGCAAACCACCCAATGCCATCCTCGGATTATGCGGCAGCCGCCGGCGGCGCGCTCAAACTCAAAGGTGGCGCCATCACCAAGCCCAAGAAGCGCAAGAAGAAGCCTTCCGCCGACGAACCCACCTCGTCTTCGAATCCCGACTCGGCGTCCGGAACACCCGCAGCAGAAAGCTCCTCAACGGCAGTCGCAAAGACAGATAAAGCAAGGGAATCTTCAGCGACGCCTCGACGCTCAATATCCCCTAGTCAAGCTGAGAAGGAGATAAAAGCGGCGGGGGGACGGCAGAAGACGGAGGCGGAGAAGCGGTACGAGGAAATGAGGAGGAAGAGATTGGAAGAGAGGTTGAAGAAGGAGGGTGTGAAGACGCATAAGGAGAGGGTGGAAGAACTGAATAAGTATCTGAGTGGGTTGAGTGAGCATCATGACATGCCGAAAATTGGACCTGGTTAAGGCAAAGGGAGGGTAAAGACCATGTTGGCGGGCGCAGCACGAGTTGGGAAAGTTGACGCGGTGGACTCATCTCAAGAAGGGCTTCACCTGTACGAGCATGGCGTCTGGTGCATATGGGGTTGGTCGGGTCTCACGGGTTGGAAGCAAAGCATCTCGGAACAGGAACGCTTTCAAGTATTGTCGTCCTGTTGGAGGTAACTATCTCACAATACGAAAGATCGATCTACCTAATCAAAAGTGCCAGATTGAGTCGAACGTCAACTGCTTGGTTTTCCAACCCCAGCATGCAGTCACATCGTTGTATGCGTCGTCTGGACGATTTCCTTGCCAGAATCTGGACCCTCCAACGTCAGGTTAATTGCCGTGTCTCCTACTCAAACACTGGACCTCCGGAGGGCTGAGTCTGAGACTTGTGCCGCCTCCAGCAAATGACACCCATGCGTTCGTTCTGGCGCTTAGGCTGAGCAACTTGCAAGGCAAGAGCGGGTACGAATTACAGCATACATCGCTTGAACGCTGACAATTGGACCACAGAACTGTACACCTATCCGCAGAAGCGGCCATAGCTTGACCCTAGAAGCCCATGCGGGACCTACAGTAGCGCCAACAGTGCGGATAGCCCCGCGTTGTTATGAAGAAAGATGGAATTACTCGATGAGAATGTACGCGCCACTATGTGCTCAGTACCGGGCGCCTTCATGATTCTGTCTCGCCATTTGTTGCTGGCGCCACATGTGTTCCACAGGATTCCCATAAGAAGCCAACCCGATGTCCCAGATGACGGCCGAGGGCCGATCCTGTGGTGATACAAAGCTATTGCTGCGTTAAATGAGCCATTCGCTCAAGGATATTCAATCTTTCAGTCCTCTTTCTTTGGCGCCATACACTTTTCTCGTCACCTATGTTCTCTATCGCAGTCATTTCTTTTCCAAATCACAGTACCATGTTCATTTCCTTCGCTATGGTGTGACTAGATTGCGTTTGCCGAGTCACGCACTTGACCCTCCTTCGCTCATTGCCATCCTCGATCGTTTTCTCGCGGCATGTAATCGCAGCCAAACGCATTCCACCCGTCGCCCTGGGCAATTCACAGCGTCTATTGCGCTAGCCGTTTGCGGCATTAGCGTGATATCGGCGGTTCGCACCAAACAGATCAACGCCTCTCTATTTCCCCACCACGACTCACACGCTGTGACTGAGCTTTGGGTTTCTTTCTACCGGTATTTCCTGTCCTATTCCATCCTCCACACCTGGAGCATCAACTCCATTTCACTCATTTGGAATCGTTGTATCTCCTTAGGTTCTGCCTCGTTGCACATTCCTGCCATACACAGCAACCATTGAGGCACCAAAACACCATCTGTGTTGGTCTCACTCATTTTGCATTGGCCGCGCCAAAGTGGGTTTGCCGCCGAATCTCTCGCTGAACACTCACCGGCTTACCGACCATGTTAGGGTTGTCTTGGTGCACGAACTTCACTTCTCCTACAGGACCTATCCTTTCTTCTTTAGAGATGAGGCTGGCCACTCTCTTTCCCCTGGCAGCGGTTGCGACCTCGATCGCAGCCCATCCGCACAAACAGTCGCACGGGCGTCTCCACCAAGTCCTCGCGAAGCGCTGACCGGCAGCGGCTGCCGTCTATCAACCCGCGCCGGTAGCAACTGTCATTGTTTATGTGCTAGATGGAAAGCCAATTTCCGAGGCTGAGGTGCGTCAGGGAATCGCCAATGGCACTCTGATTTGGGGTGACGGCGGGAATCTCTCCACGTCCCTCGCGAGTATCCCTACGCCTGGTCCAATTCCGGTTAAGAGCGAGACTCTACAGCGCCTGTCTCAACAGCCCGCTCCAAAGCCAGCTACTCAAGTGGAACTGAAGTCTGCTCCTTCCCATCCTCAACCGTCCTCGGCCCCGCAGCCGTATCGTCCAGAACCTGAGCCATCTCAGCCGCCGGCCCCATCCCACCATAATCAGAATAAAGGAGCCGAGGGCGTTGAGCGAGAGTTTCCCAACGGTGAATTCTCCTGTAACAGTTTCCCTCGGGGCTATGGGGCCGTCGCAATCGATCACGCGGGTCTTGGAGGTTGGATTGGCATTCAAGCACCTCGGATTGTGGAAGCTGCGGGATACGATGATATCATGACTGTTCCGCATGGATCTTGCTCCGACGGCACATGTTGCAAGCCGGGCAGGTTCTGTTCTTACAGCTGCCCGCCTGGCTATCTCAAGGCTTCCTGGCCTTCGGCGCAAGTTCTCCAGCACCAAACTCTGGGAGGTCTCTACTGTAACCTTGAAGGAAAGCTGGAGATGGCAAGCGGTTCCATTTCTAAGACGCTTTGTGTCAAAGGCACGGATAAGGTCACTGTGAAAGTGCAGAACAAGCTTTCTGCTTCCCAGTCAATCTGCCGCACCGACTACCCAGGTACGTTTGTAATCTTCCCTATGACAAATTGTTCTCACAACAAGCAGGCACAGAGGGCGAAACTATTCCCACGACAACACGACCTGGAGAATCCGTGGAGCTTGCCTGCCCTGACAACAGCAAATACTTCAAATGGCTTGGCAAACCTACGTCCGCGCAATACTATATCAACCCGAAGGGTGTCCCTGAGAACGAAGCCTGCCAATGGGGCGACGGAAGCAGACCCATCGGTAATTGGGCGCCTGTCAACCTAGGCGCTGGCTATGACGACGCGAGCGGAAAGGCGTATATACCTCTTTTCCCGAATGCGCCAACCAATCCGAACGGCAAACTAGACTTTTCCGTGGAGCTCGTTGCCGATGACATGAATGGAAGGTGCAAGTACTCCAAGGGGATGTACTACTACGGCAACGATTACAGCGAGTCTTCACCGACTAAGGGTTGCACAGTACGTTTACACACACTCCTTCAAGTTTGTTTGACAGACTGACATTCAGTAGATCGCTCTGAACTCTGGCACACTCAATGTCGTCCTGACTGATGATTAGTCGGCGATCACGTATCGAATCCCGGTTCGAGTATCTGCATTTTCCTGTCTATCTCACATGTGGCAATGGCTCTTTTGTTCTTTCAGTACACCTAGGGGATCGAATCTCTGGTCACTCTTCCGCTATTTTGCAGATTTTTGCACTGCGGTCGACCCTAGCAGTATGCATTTGTCGGAGTTTGGTTGAATCCTGGTCCGGCATTGGAGCCATGTACATGTTTTCGCTGTGAATCTTCCACGAGTGCGACATTATGCGCTCCGAAGTTTTCCAAAAAGGCAGGAATATATCGGCATATTTGCACAAACTTCCTTAGTTCATTTCTCCATCGTCTCCGGTATTTGGATGGTGGAGTCACTTCGGCATGGCTTCAGTCCTTTCTTTCAAAGGCGGTTAGCTTTCTTCTCGATGTGAGATTCTCAGATTACTCTCGTAAGGCGTTCACCGGAATAATCACTGAGGTTGACCTGGGCATTGGAGTGGACATCTGCTTGATGCGTCGGAGTTCACTGCGAAATTTCTTTCAGACGGATAGCTTCACTGCGACAAATTCTACAGATGGATGGCTTCGATGCCATTCAACTAATCAATCAAGTGATATATCAAAACCATGGTGATGCGCTGATCAAATTAGTAGAAAACTACTCGTTCCTGCCGAGAGAGAGGAACGCCCTTCTCACACCCTATTGTCGAAGTCTGCATGCACTTGATTTCAGTCAAGACATTCCCCCCCGACCTAGGCGACTCTGAGTGCCCAACTACCCGGGTTCGAAGTCGTGACACTTATCCACCGATACAGTAAACTCACCGATAACACTCACCCATACCATGATCTCTTATACCAAAAAACTGGACTCGCTCGTGTGGATAAACGGCATGGCACTCGCCAATTCGATAAATCTTGGATCCAGCTCCGTACATGGCCACGTGAACGTCATACAAGTACCGTAGTCCTGGGATAATGTATTTTTCTCGCCCAGGCGGTGCCTACATAGGTCCAGCAAGAAAGAATACTCTTTCTCTTATTAGCACTTGGTTCAGTGACAATGGGCATTGGGCGGGCTCCGACCGGCACTATAGTACTCGGCGTGGGGAATAATGGAATATTGGTACGGCGAGATTACACATCCCCATGCCTAAATCACGTCCCCGGATCCCACACAGGGCCAGACTCGCGAAAGGCCTAGGAGCAAAAAAGCAAAGAACAGAAACACATGAACATGACCACTAACGCTGTGGATGCCGAGAACTCCGAGAATACTTACATAATAAGCCGAAAGCAAAAAGCAAAAGCAGCAAAGCAAGTCGAGTGACACCCACAGCTTCAGCAGTTCGATGTGCAATTCCCCGGATTCGGTACGCGGCTTAGTCTGGGGTATATATGGCTGGGGTGGCTGGGCATTCACCGTTCAGCTGCGCTGGGACCAACACGAGCCAGGGAACCTACCTAGTTCCTCTGGCGGCCGCCGCGTGCGGCAGAAGCGGCATCCACGGCAGCGGGGTTTGCACACCTGTCGTGCGAGAGATGCGGGTGAGACCGGGAGGGGAAGAAGTAAGCACTCTGTGCAAAAGAGGCATGGCGATCCAGAAATCGTGGAATGGTATTGTCATCACATGCACCGGAATGTACACAGATTCTGCCTTTAAAGTGGAGAGGGTATACGGGAAGAGTAGAGAATAGATGGATAACTCTGTGCCGTAATGCAGCACTGGGGTATCTCAATGCAAGTGTCTTAAAATATGTTCCAAAAAGAGCAAGAAAGGAGCAGGACCAGTGCCCAAGTCAAAGTGAGGTACTGGTAAGAGAACCCCCCGAAATATGCCAGTCGAGTCGTATGTCTTCTCCCAAGTATGCTTGCTGACCATGCCAAATGGCCTCCTCTAAACATGCCTTCCAAGATATGTTCGTCGTTGTACTTGTGCCAGAGCATAGCCCACATAAACACCAACCTATATAAACACTCGCACGCAGGATAAGAGAAGGCATTCCAGAGGATGCAGTATCCGGCTGAAGAAAGAGAACAAGTATCAAGTCGAGGTCTCCGAGAATCCGCCGGTCATGAGTTGTGCGTCATGTGACCATCTCCGCTGCCTGCCATGAAGTCGTTAAAGAGGTGCTGCTCGCCAGACGCTGCGGTGTCCAGAGACACGCCGTTATGTCCTCCGTGTGTCAAGCAGCCCACACACTCGCAGCCGTCGCCGCACTGGCATGTCCCAGTTTCATCATTGCAACCGGGCAGCGTAACTTCTTGCCAAAAGAACGATGTCGGTGAAAGTGTTGAAGTGTCGTCCTCCTTCGGGCTGTCGGCATCAATACGAGGGCTAGAGGCAGGCTCCTCTGTCTTCACCGGCAGTGGTGGAGCCTGTGGAGCATCCATTGTGGAGCGGTACTGAAGTGGTCGGGTTGGGCTGTGTTGGAGGGTTTGTGGAATCGATGCGTGATATGAGGTGGTTGTATCCAAATGCATACTATGCCCGCTCATAGCCCCGTTCATGTTGACTTGGTATGGTGCCTGCGCAGTGCCAAAATGTCCAAAGTGTGCGGCCGGCAGGTTGAAAGCCATGCCTTGATTCGCTTCCGCCCCGTATCCCGGATGATGCGGGTATGAAGGTATGTCGTACGTTGGTTGAGGAAAGCTCCCTAGAGTTCCACTCATAAGCTCATGCATTCGGCGAACATAGTCTATCATAGTCGCGTTCTTTGGATGGGCTGCACACCCAAAGCAGGTACAGGAGTCGCCACAGTGACAATTATGCTCGGGTCCAGGGTTGCCAGCCACTTGGCCAATGTGGTGCATTGGTGCTGGAGCCATCTGGTGCGGCTGCGGGAAGGTGTGCGCCATGTGGTTGTATATTGGAGTTGTGAAGCCGAACGGTACAGCCATATCCATGTGGCCGGAGCTGTTGTACCCAAAGTTCTGATCTATCGAAAATGACTGATTATGGAACTGCCCGTTCTGCTGGAAACTCGAGAACTGTGCGTAGTCTTGACTGAAGACTTGGGATGTGTCCAGTGCAGGTGTATTATTAACCGACACTCCTTGTATTTTTCCGGAACAACAGGACTGCTTTACTTCCATCGGCTGCACGGCCTCACTCGTACTCACGCTACAGCAACTCCCAGGCTCACGTTGGATCTGTCGAAGGGAGTCTGTGGGGGACGCTTTCCGTCTACAGCATTCGGAAACTGGCTGAGAATCGGAAGTGCTTGGTCGGGGAACGTGAGCTTCGGGAAGCGGTATTATTGAGGGCTGGCTTTGTTTTCGTATCGGAGAGGGCTGGATGAAGGGGGTCGAACTAGCGCTGGAAGGAAGAGATGCTCCATTGCTTCTACTGCCATCGGACGGTGCGAATGAAGGGTTAGTGGGGGTTGTCGATATCAAGGAGGGCGAATCGGCATCGTTGCTCTCGCTCGCCTTGACGGCCTTTTCCAACGTTGCGGGATTGATGGAAACAATGGACTTGCGATGTCGGCTCTTCTGCACGCGGCTGCTGGCGCCAGCGACGGACCCAGCTGGTTGCGCTCGAGCGGATGGACAAGCGGATGGACAAGCGCATTCAGAGGCTATTAAGCATTGTCAACGGACATGTTCGCAAGGACATGATACAAGGACATACACTTTGGTATGGTGTAACTGATGACAACTCTCTCGCAGCTACACGAACCACTTGGGTGAGGACAGCTGCTCAAAGGGCGACCAGGCTTGCGGACCTCGATGAGAACGCGATCTCTGTGATCGCACTTGGACGAGCGGTGACCTCGGATGCAGGGACCGCTAAGAAAGGGTTAGACTGGCGTCCACAGCGTGTTCAACAAACATGGCGGAACCGCGAGTGACGAATATGTGTTGGGCGGAAGGTTGGAAAGAGATCGGAGGGGTATCATACCATGCAACCTTCTTTCGCTCTCCATTAATTTCGGCCCACATTTTGCGGGATTCCGATAAACAGATGTCAAGAACTTGCTCATATACCAGAGCACTTGGTTCGCCTTGCCTCCGCGCTTGTATGGTAGTCGGAACCTGAGTTAGGATTACACGCAAGAAGCACCGAGCGCAAGAGACGACACTCAGCTCCCGTCAGCTAGCACGTGGAACAGGCGCCTCGGTTGCACGTAGCACGGACAGAATAGGGCCGTCCGGACGGTTAGACAAAATTCCGAGTGCTTGGTTGCGGACGGTAGACAGAGCGCAGGAAAGAGCAGATTAATTACCGATCGACAGCTGACCGAAACGAAGGATAGTTAAAGAAGGACCGACACTGGGAAGGCTGTGCGGCGAAGACGCGCCAAAGACGCCCCTCGGGCACCGCTCTCCGTTTGAGGGCAATAATGAGGAGCCGTGACAGGGAGGGAAGCGTGGGCAAGAGTCCAGTGGCTGCAGCACCTGGTTGTCCACAGGTGCTGTGGCGAACGCAGTGGGACACGGGTCCGCGAAAAGATCCAGATCCCAGCTGGCCGTAGGGCGTACAAGTGGTTGAGGGGTTCTGGAGGTCCCTGTTTCTGTCCAGATCTGGTTTTGTGTGACAGCGGGTGATGGGGGGATGTGGGATGTGGGATGGAGGTTGAGCAAGTTATTATTCAGCGGGCTGGCCAAGCCCTGTTATTGAGGTCCAGATAGGTCGTATTTCTGGTCGAGGACTGCTCGCTTGTTACACAAACCGGCTCGCGGGGGTACACGGTAAAACAGATGGCGATGCGAGAAACGAGGATGATGGATGGTTCGCAGGCGTCAGACGAGGTTCTGTGCTCACAATGGCTTTTTGATTAACGACGTTCACGACTTGGCGACGGGTGATGGAAGGAGAGAACCTGCGGGGAGGGAAGTTGATTTCGAGCGGATAAACTATGTTCCGCGCCGACCACTTCTTTGACGTCGGTTTATCAGTAGGAGCTTCGCTTTAATACAATGCAATGGCATCAGATTCAGAAGAAGAAGCTGGCATTGGCCTGTTCCAAGAACCGGACGACTTCTACCCGCCGGAAAAGGAGCCAACATTTGCCTCACACCGATTGCTCTCTGGGAAGGACTTGAGCATCAGACTCGTAGGCCATAATCCGCTCTGGGTAAGGGACCAAGCTGTTTGTGCAGCATGGAAGGCGCTCGTGGACCGGAGCAAAGTTGTGGTTGCATTTGAGAGGCGAACGAGGCTGACCGAAACAGGGTCATCACCTCTGGAACGCTGGCCGTACCATCTCTCACTACCTGGAGGAGCATGCCGATGATCTAGTCAGGGGCAAGACCGTTCTTGAACTGGGAGCCGGTGCCGGCCTCCCCAGCCTTGTCTGCGCTTTGAATGGCGCCGCTCAAGTGGTTGTGACGGATTATCCAGACGCCGACTTGATAGAGAATCTCCGCTATAATATTTCACTTTGTGAATCTCTGCCATCCCCTCTGAACGTTGTTGCTGAGGTGCATCAATCGATCGATAATCTTAATACATTCCTTGACTAACACGGAGTCAGGGTTATCTCTGGGGCGCGGGTACCGAGCATTTAACCAAACATATTCCGGATGCCGCAGGTTTCGACGTTCTGATTCTGGCCGACCTTCTCTTCAATCATTCAGAGCACGAAAAGCTAGTGAAGAGTATACAGCTCACGTTGAACAAGTCGCCGGCATCTACCGCCTACGTCTTCTTTACTCCCTATCGTCCGTGGCTATTGCCGAAGGACCTCGCTTTCTTCGACCTCGCGCAAGCTGCAGGCTTTTCCGTCACTAAGACATTCGAAAAGATCATGGATAAGGTCATGTTCGAGGAGGACCCTGGGGTGTGTTTATCCCCCTCCCATTACGTGTATTGTGGCTGATATATTGTAGGATGAGCTCCTACGGCGCACCGTTTATGCTTACGAATTGAAGTGGGCAGCTGGTGGGTCTTGATCATAGCAGCTGGCGGCCGAAACCATTCCGACGCCTCAACTGCCCTAAGGACACGCCAGCAAGGACGGCTTGCCTAACGTTCAAAATATGGATGCGGCCTTCTGAGTTCGCCCGACTCGTCGAGCGTCCTTACATTGTGCAAGTGGCACTACTCCAGATGGTAGTAGCCTTCTACACAATGTTCGCACACTGGTCACCGAGCGATATCTACGGACTTTCACTGCAGGTCTTGAATCTACACAATGCGGCCCATACTGCGTCCTTGGTCCTTTAAAGTTAAAGAACTGTACCTCGGCTTACTTGATAATACCACCGATACCAACTTGTGTCAACTTCTCAGAACCCAATGATAAAGTCCCTTCTGTGAACTGAATACAAATCCATCGCACAATCCTGTGGTATGCCGGCCCCTACACAAGCTCCAAATCCTCCTTCGCGAACTTCTTTTTCACAGCATGATCGGCACTGGTACCTCCAAGGAGACAAAGTCACTATCGACCTGTATTCCACGCATGGACAATCTCGTGCAGTGGAAATGCGCATATCCGAGCGTCTGTTGACCCTCTACACGCCTTGGCTTGCAGGCAAGCTTCGACAAACTCAGGTTCCTGGCCTCAAGGTTCTACGGATTATATGTGAACATTGGTATACCGTCTCCGATCTCGAAATCCCGGCTCTGTCTCGCCTGGTAGCCTGGATGAACAACTTTCCGTACAACAGCCGCACTCCGGACCTTCTGCCATTACCCCCTACCTCTACGGTTGAAGATCACATCCTTCTGCTCAGCGCTTGCGACATGCTATGCATAGAGGAGGGTGTCAAGATTGCCTCTGAGCGTCTATCAGAAGGTATCAGCTCCTGCCCTCTCAGTCCCGACGATGTCAAGCTGTTATGGTACATGTTCGGCAACACCCCCGAAAACGTCGAGACCATAGCTCTGAACTTAGCCATGCACAAGACCGACAAAGATGAATATCTTCTCTGGTTCCTCCAGGAGGAGCTACCACCTGAGCATACCAACGACCTTCTGCATCGGGCCCAGTACTGGAAAGCAGAGATCGCTCGAGATGCAGGCGAGGCAACATAGCGTCAGTGCCAGGACAGCAGCCCCAAGAGAATGCTTACGCGCTACCTCAAGGACAAATACAGTGGACTGGTAAACCTTGAATGCAGAAACAAGATCTGAACTCAGCTACGCCCTTCATGTCAAGGCTCCTGAACTTCAGAAGAAACTCAAGAAGACACTGCTGTCGAGCTCCAAGGACTGCGACAGCGACTAAGTCACACTTCCCAGCCGTATCAGCATGCGTCTGAGTCGGCCGCCGCGGAACGGTCCTGATATTGATCGCTTCTTTCCATGATACATATAATAATACTCACTGTCTTATACAACTGCGCGAGCATTGTCCCTTCTGGCTATTGAACATCGTTCGGAAGTCATGTATGTCGTACTAGATATCTGTACATCTACAATGTTCGCTAAAATATTGTCCATCTCATATCACTGTACAATGTTCATGTATACTTCCCCTTAGCCAGTTGCCTTAAATACGTGCCTTGGTACTCCCTACCAGGCCAGTTCACATCACACCAGAGGTACCAGATCTCGAGAATCAACCAAGGGGGAATCGTCATACACAAATCTTCATCCAAAATGGAGACCATGACAAATCTTGTCGTTGCAAAGGAGCCTGGTGCTCCTAAGACTCTTCCTCCTTTGATTTTCGAGCCCATGGTCATCCATCTGGACGATGAAGACAGCGTCTGCAGCTCTCCAGTGAGCGAGTGCGGCTGCGAGAGCCCGGAGGAACCGCTGCCCTCCTTGAGCGGTATCTCTGTGGACTCAGGGGAGGTACTGCAGGTTCAGCCTTCCCCCCTCGCTATCATCTTGGAAGAATACCGCACAGCACTCACGGCAGAGGTGCCTTCCCTTGAGCTATGCGAAGCATACGAGCAGGCGGTCATCAGCTACCTGTACTACAATCCAGCCACCGTCGAGGACGTGGAGCTGCTTATACCAGAATTCAACATCAAACCCTACACCATTACGGGCAAGCTCGCCTCCAACATCGGTTACTTTCACGGTAAGGGTCGCATTTCCGAGCAGCAGGTAGAGGACATTTATGTGGCGCTGATTGCACAGGGTGATCCAGAGGTCAACGAGGTTTTTGAAAAGGTTCGCTCCGCCGTGATTCACTTCAAGCGTCAGGCAGAGGAGAACAGGGCTTCTTGGCGGGAGTATATGAAGCAGTGCCGTCAATATGCCGGTTGGTGTTCTGTCCAGCAGCAGCAGCAGCAACAGGCACTGGATATGTGGAATTCCGCCATGCTTGGGAATACCCAACCACTGGCTGAGGCGCAACCGAAGAAAAAGAAGAAGAAGAAGTCTACTTGGGTTCCGGAGCCGGAAATCGATCTGGAGACCTTGGACGAGTGGGGGCGGGTGGAAGCGCAGCAGAAAGGTGCGGAGAAGCTCTTCCGTCATTGGAAGAAGAAGTACACGGTGCGCATTCCCGTGAACGAGACGCGGACTGTGGTCGCTTCAGTGACACCCCCGTCGGAAGCGGAGGTAGCGAAGTTCGACGATGTTGAGAATGGGGGCTCTTGGAGTCAGACTAAAGCCTCTTCGGACTGCCTTTTCGAAAGCGAGGACGAGGTCGAGTCTACAGGTGAGCTGATGGCTCTTCCAAGAGTCTGTCTTCCTTCCTCTGAGTTACCCGCACAGGTGCCAGCACCAGAGCCGCTGCCGCCGGAGTCCTCCCCAGTCGTCCTTCCAGTGATCAAGAAGATCACCTGCCTTCGCATTCGTATCTGAGCGGTGGAAAGGCAGTAGCGGCCATCTTGTCAGACGAACCTTCTTCTCACCTTCCCAGAGGAAGACTTTCTCTCGTTGTCATTACTCACTTACACTTCGCCTACCATTTCACTTTGGGAGAAGTAGGAAATTTTCCTAACTTCCCACCTGATTTTTTATGCAGGAGGTAAGTTTTGTTTTTATTACATCTTTTAAGGTTCCGCTGTCTCTTTGCAAAGAGCTTGTTGTCGCCTTCCTCTTCTTCTCAATGCAAATGTCTCTTGCTTGAAAACTACAGGCAATTGGTCACAAGTCTTCGTATTTCATCCTATGAGCTTTCTATATCAATATATCTGTAAATGGTATAGTGTCTTACTCTTACTTTAGGTTTGCCTACGGTTTCGAATTTACCAATCCAAAACCTTATCAACTTCTATCTTCCTACTATGTGGAGTGAATGTGAAATGTACTCCCATATAGACATCCTAAGAGTCTGTAGTTGGCTAAATGAAAAGCGGAGAGTGTATTGACTGTTTCCAATTTCCCAGAATCTATGTATTTTATGGATTTTGCGTATGCCCAATGCACCGAGGGACGTTGAGATAGAGTTGATTCGATTGCACTATTCGGTAATCTATTCCTGATGCAGTTAGCGTATATTTCAACCTTCTCCGACCTGCGTTGTCAAAAGCTGATATTCCGAGTTGGATTCGATTATTGGACTCATAGATGGATTGAAGATACGTCTCAACTCTCTAATGATAATTGCTAAACTATCGAAGTCACGATGCATGACGTCACCCTGGCTACTCGTCTCAATACACACTTGAGTCTTCGATTCAACGCCATTGCCCCTCAACCACCGTGTGACAGTCCTCCCGTTTGTTTGCGCTAATAGTTAAACCTCTTTTTAAGCTCATCCCATACCTCTCTCCTTCCAACAGCCATCTTGAATCTCCTGGACTTCCACCACCTATCAACCCAACCACTATGCCTCTCTACAACGCCCCCTCAGGCCCCATCAAATACCCGGACAGCAAATCCCTCTACCCAACCCTCCCGCGCGTCTCCCTCGCCCAAGCCCTCGGCATCGGCGTCTCCGCCGGCATCCTAGGCGCCATAACGTCCTCCTCCCCTCCAATTCGCGTTCTTCCCCCCCATACTCGCAAATCAAACTAACTGACCCTCCTCAGCATGGTCGGCACCTCCAAAATCGAACAATTCTTCACCCACCGCCCCGCATCCTACGTCCCCGGCCGCACAATCGCCACGCACTTCGGCCTCTCGGATTTCTACTCGCGCCACCCGGACATCTTGAACCATGTGCATCACGTCGGGATGGGGATCCTGGGCGGCATCGTGCGCGCCGTGATGTCGTATTACGGCGTCATTGGGCCGGTTGCGACGTTCTTGCATTTGGGGTTGCGGGTGATGATGGATCAGGCGGTGGAGATGACGGCGGGCGTGAGTGATTGGCCGTGGACGTGGCCGATTAATGAGCAGGTGATTGATCTGGGGCATAAGGGGTGCTATGCGGTCGTCGTGGGATATTTGTGTGATAGGTTGGTGAGGGGCGTGGATTGGTTCAATTACTGAGGGAGGACTGGGAGACTGGGAGAAGAGGTGAATGGGCGGCGGAGAGTGAGACTGCGTCCGGTACGAATTCAGTTCTTGAAGTGTTCTACGCAAAATGTTGAGGAGCGGAAAAGGGCGATGTCCAGGTGTCTGGGTATGTGGATGGCAACATTATCACCTAGGGAACAACAACACATTGTAAATAGGCAACTGGCAGTTGAAGGGTAAGGGGTATATGCATTTTTAGTCTTCCGAAGCCCGAAAAGGGAAAGAGGCGCCCCAGAGAAGCGCCAATACTGAAGGTAAACAAAATCCAAATCTTATGTCAAGAAGAATCCTCGAATCACTCTTTATTTCTTCTTCTTCGCAATCCGCTTCATAGCCCTGACGTCCTTCTTCAACCTCGCATCCACCATCTTGTACTTGCCCTTCGTGCCCTTCGGTCTGCCCTTGATACCGTTATTATTACCCCTGGCAACGACAACAGCAACCTTCTGCTTTGGCTTCTTCTTCGCAGCTCTGCTCATCAACCTTGCGATGCTCTGCGCCTTCTCCTTCTCCGTCATACCCTCTTCATCGGCCAAAAGGGCACTCTTCTTCTTCAGCTTCTCAAGACGCTGCGCGGCCTTGAACTTCTTCCTTGCCTTCGCTTCTCGCACTTTCTTGATGGGCCTTGCGTTCAGCGCACGTAGCTTCTCTTTGATGGCAGCAGCGGCGGCCGCCGTGGTCGGGCGTTGAAGCTTGGAGTGCTTGCCTTCGTCATCGAGGAACCAGTCCGGAAGACCTTCAGTGTCTCGGAAGGAGTAGCGGTTGAAGCCGTCATCGAGCAACTCGGCCTTTGTCTTCTGGCCAGTCGCAAGTTGGTGTGCAAGAGTCATTGCTTCGGCGGTGATGATGTCGATGTCGGGACGACCGTTCTTCATAGGCGTGTCGTCTGCCTCCCAAGCGGATTCGTCCCGTTTCACTTCTTCTATCTCGTTCTCATCGTCGGAGGAGTCTTCATCTTCTTGAACTGGCGTGCTCTTGCGAGATTTCTGTTTCGTCTCAGGTTCCTCCTCGGCGCTTTCTTCTGCGCTTTCTTCAGCATTCTTTTCGGGAGTACCATCAACGTCGATCCCGCTATCTTCATCTTCCTCAAGCCCGTCGAGCCCGTCGATTCCCTTAAAGATGTCCTGGTCAAAGAACCTCGCTGCTCGTTTGGTGAGGCCTCCAGTTGTGCCACTGTCGTTGCCAAGGTCGGTAACGAGACCCTTCGGACCCTCTTCCTCGTCATCGCTGAAGTCGCTGTCCTGATCTTCGACAAGCTCCTCATCACTACTATCCTGTTTGTCTGTATCAGAAAAGCCATGCCATTCCCCATCTTCGTCTTCTTTCCTTGCCCGCTTGGCTCGGTACTTGGCGTCTCTTGCTGATCTCTGTTCCACATATTCATTGTACTGCGCATCCAGTTCCCGCTCGAGCCGATCTTCTTCCTCGTCACTCTCCTCGGATTCCTCTTCCGATTCTTCAGGCTTCGGCGCTTCGACAATGGTAACCATCCTTCCCTTAGCAACCTTGGCCAGCGCACCAGCCTTGTCAACGGCTTTTAGATCGAACATGGAGTCCTGTCCCATAGGTCCTGACTGCTCCATACCAATGTCCATAGGAGTCGTCATGTTCATCTGCATGCGCACAATCTCTTTCTGCCTCTTCTCATTCTCCAAACGCCGTTGCTTCTTCTTCTTCTTGGATTCCTGCTCCTTTAGCCGTTCCAACTCTTCCTGGATCTTCATTTCCTCATCCATGGACTCAACCTCGGCAACTTCTTCGCCTTCCTCCTCCTTCTCTGCATCCTGTTTCTTTGTCGAGAAGCCAAAGATCTCGCGTACCCTCAAGCGCCATCGTAGCAGACGCTTGAAGTCTGCCCGACCCAATACCTTCAAGTCGGCGCAGCAGTCGCGGATTTCTTGAGTGGTCTCCGGAAGTTTAGAGATGGTGGCGATTGCAATATCTCCGTTCGGTTTCTGATCAAAACTCAACTTGTTCAAGCTGCCAAGCATCGCAATGGGATCCGTTGTCTGGATAAACTCGCTGACGGGCGCCTCCTTGAACTGTGTCCAATCACCCTCCTCATAACCCTCCCGCTTCCTCTTCTTCAGCTCAGGTTTGAAAACTTTCGCCTCGTTATTCGGTGTGGGATCTGCGAGTTCGGCGAAAACGTAGCGGGGATCGACGAATTTGGGATCAAGATGTTTCGGGGCTTTGTAGCCGCGGCAGACGACGAAAATCTCCGCAGAGACGTTACGGGAAGACGGCGGCTTCGTGGCTTCCACCTTGGTGAAAAGCTGATTGAACACCCAGAGCAAGCTGTTGTAATCTTTAGATCTGAACACTTTAGTAACAAAGGTTCCGCCTTCAACCTGCTTGCCGTTAGCGAGGGGCACGATTATATTACCAGAGAGAGGCCCCGTACCAAGAACTCAGTGGCGAGTTTCATAGACTGAAGAGCGAGCTCGGCCTGTGTAAAAGCGTCCTGAACCCAAGCCGTACCCACGTTGGGGGCTCCATCGTGGAGAACGGTGTCCGCCTTCCAGTTTTTCAGGTGTTGTCGGAGAGTAGCTCTGCACTTGTCCGTCGTGATATCGCTTTGGAATGTGATGCAACGGGGGATGGGCTTGATGGGTGCAAGATCAACACCAACGATGAGAGCGCCAGCGGGCATGCACTCGGCGGCGACTTGACACCAGGACCCGGGGGCGGCGCAAAGATCGATCAAGACCTTGCTCTTCTCCAGGAAATTGTATTTCTTATTCAACTGGATGAGTTTGAAGGCGGCACGGGCACGGTAACCCTTCTCCTTCGCTAACTTGTACCATTTGTCGAGACGGCCTTTGCCATGCTGTGAATTGTCAGCTCTGCGCCTGGGCAGTTTACGGTGCTTGGTCGTACCTTCTTCTGGATCGCCATGGCTGCGTTACTGAGACGCCTCTACAACAGGCGTGGAATGGGAGGAAAACGTTTGACGACGAGCAACAGCTGTCGTGTTGCCTTCTCTGCGGAGGCGGGGATTAGATTGAAGTTTTCGAAATTTGGCGGATTGCATATATGCACGGGCCATCCAAGATGCAGAAGCGGGTCTAGTCCACACTTCCGATAGTGATCTATAACGTTAACTCGCTTTACTGTAGTATACTATTTGGCTGCGTTCCACATGCATTAGATAGAGTGGTAAATCTCGACACTTTGGTTTTACCTGGTTTTTTTCTGCATATTCACCATACGGGGCAAGCTACATCTCGTGTTTCGCTCTTACGAGCCAGGTCTTGGCGGCCGGCTCCCTAGCGAGCGCGTGTACAGGGCATACTTCAGACGTCATGGATGGCTGGTTCGCTCCACCTTTCAGCGGTGTTAAGGTAAACACTCCGCACACAATAACCTGCCGGGCTCCCACTCACATTTCCGCGTTCAGAGACCATTCGCTTTGCTCAGCAGCCTTTCCTCACATGTAGGCATGGGCCCACGGAAACGGTCGAAGCCAAATCCCAAGGCTCCAGCCGATATCACCGACCCCCGCCCTCCGAACGATCCAGATGTCAGTAATGAAGCTACACCAGAGCTAACACCAAAAGGAAGCGAGTTACTACAGGATACATCGTCGAACAAATCCCTTGTCGAAAAGCCCTCAACCTCCGAGTCGGCTGGACGCACCCCGAGCAAGAACGAGAGTCGGAAATGGCTGGGCGGGGGTGGCAGCTGGCGGTCGAAGGCCCCGCCCATAGTAGGGAGCTCCAAAGAAAGTATTGGCATTGGAGTTGCGGGAGGAGTGCCTTCACAGCTCCCGGATGAACATGCAAAGAAATCGCAGCCGCAATCACCCGCCAAGTTTCTATCGAAACGGAAGTCGAGCAAGGGCGACGCGATTCCCGCTTCCATGACCCTAATGAACATATCCTCCGACGGCACCATAGACCAGGGAGAAGCGGTTGAGCCAAATTCGCCAACAGGGCCCACTGAACCACCTCCACCAGTCGTTGATGAACCGCCCTTGCCGCCAGATCCTCCAAAGCAACCAAAAGCAGAGCCGACAGGCACGTTCGGCTGGCGAGGCTGGTGGTCCAGACCCGATGGGTACTCAGATCCAACGAAGAAACAAGGTACAGAGGAAGCGCAGAAAACACCATTACCAGTACCTACCCCTTCAGAGGTCGATGATAGCGGAAAGGAGCTGAGAGATAGCGCGGCCATGGCCCAAGCGAAGGATCCGGACACTGAAATGAAAGAGGCGTCTGCCATAACTTCAGCTGAAACAGAGAACAGCCCTATGAAAGATGCGCCTGCGGTCGCTCCTCCGGACGCACCGAAGCCGGCGCCAAGTTCATCCTGGTTCTGGCTATGGAGTACAACCCAGAATGCTCAGGCGCGCCCGAAACCGGCCGTTGACGACAACCAAGAGCCAGCCGAGACGAATACCACTCCCACTGCCTTAACGGAGTCTGAAGGAGCGACGCAGGCAGAGTCAGTTGCACATGCCCCAGCTCCTGTCGAAGACAATATGCCCACGCCGCAGCAAGCCCCAAAGCCGTCCGGATGGGCATTCTGGTTCAGCTCAAAGCCGAAGACTGACGGTGCCCCTTCGGGCGGGTCGTCAAGTAAACAAGTCGGCGAAGTAGCGGTCTTCAACACACCATCTCAATCGCGTCCTGAAGCTGCGCAATTCAACGAAGAACAACAACCGCAGGAAGAGCCTCCAATAGAGCCTTCGAAACCAGCGAGCGGGACTTCACTGGCTAAGCGCTCTATCAGGTCACTCCGTGGCCGCCCTAAGGCAAAGGAAACCTCTAAAGATGCCCAAGTAGAACCCGCACCCTCTGGCAAGACCACCACTCCCGGGAAGCCATCACCGGCACAGCATTTAGCACAGGCTGAGACTGCCCAACCATCTCCTCCGCCAGCCAAGGACGCGAAGAAGGACAAACAGGCCCCTCCCAACCTACTTCTACCAGAGTTCAAGAATACATACCACTTGGTCCAGAAACCAACGTATTGGCAGCAAATACGGAAGTACTTCCTCGGGGACGAACCGCCTATGCCACATCTTCACATCAACCCCTCTCCTCCGAAGATAAGGAAGGCCGTTGCAATTGGTGTACATGGTTTCTTTCCAGCGCCCATTGTCCAGCGTGTGCTCGGCCAGCCGACGGGCACATCTATACGCTTTGCAACTGCCGCACGGCAAGCGATTGAAGACTGGACTCAGGCGCAGGGCTACTCCGCGGAAATTGAACAGATTGCCCTAGAAGGAGAAGGCTTCGTTTCTGAGCGTGTCAATACGTTATGGAAGCTTCTACTGAATTGGGTCGAGCACATCAGAGCCGCAGACTTCATCATGGTCGCGTGCCACTCGCAGGGAGTACCTGTGGCCATCATGCTCGTCGCTAAGTTGATTCAATTCGGTTGCGTGAATGCGGCAAGGATAGGGGTCTGTGCCATGGCAGGTGTAAATCTAGGGCCGTTCATCGAGTACAAGACCAAGTACTTTGGTCCTACCGCTGCGGAGCTATTCGAATTTTCCAACCCCAAGAGCTTGGTGAGTCAAATGTACCTCGCAGCTCTTGATGAGGTGCTACGCCACGGAGTCCGAATCCTTTACGTCGGCAGCATAGACGACCAGCTCGTCTCCTTAGAGGTAAACATTCCGTCACCTCCAACCACCAATGTCAAACTAATACCCCGCAGTCCTCCACCTTCTCTACCATCTCCCACCCCTACATCTACCGCGCCGTCTTCGTCGACGGCCGCATCCACGCCCCCGACTTCCTCACCCATCTCGTCGGCTTCGCCCTCAAGCTCCGCAACCTCGGCCTACCAGACCACGGCCTCATCCGCGAACTCTCTCCCGCTCTCGCAGGCTCGCTGTACGGCGGCGAAGGCCACTCCCGCCTCTACGACGAGCAGCGCGTCTACCAGCTCGCCGTGCAGCACGCACTCGAGACGACCAATCTGCCGATCCATTCGACGCATCACCAGCAGCAGCAGGGTCGGCGACCGTCGACCTCGGCGTCGATAGCGACCTTCAAGGGCATCCATATCCCCGTCCCCGGCGCGAAGCCCGACGCCAAGGATCCGTATGCTCTGCGTGTGAAGGACTACGATGCCGTGGGGTCGGGGAACCAGAATCCGTTTTTCCTGCCCTGGGCGATGAGGGGTTTGCTGGAGGAGGAGTTTGTGAAGAAGGAGCTGGGGGAGGAGGTGGAGGAGTTGCTGGGGTTGTTTGAGGATTGGAGGCCGCAGGGGAAGCAGTTGAAGGATGTCAAGTTTAGGCTTGAGGCGGTCAAGAGTAGGCTCTAGGTAGGGGACGGTAGAAGGGAAGGGGGAAGGGAGGCTGGGAGTTGGGTCGGGCTAGGGAGAGTGTGATGTCGTAGCGCGCATTTCGCCGGTTGGCGGCGTGCGGATAATGCGGATGCTAACCTGGGCTGCGGGTTACTGAGCGTGTGATATCCCAATGATCGGAAGGGGCCTGGCTGGCTGGCTTCGGCGTTTCACGGAGATGCATAAGAGGAAGAAGGGACGGAAACACGAAATCTTTCTGGCGCATTCCTTATGATACCTTTGCTGATAACATGATTTTTCTTCCTTTCTATCTGGTGGAGACTCGTATTTCGGGACTGGAATATAATTAGAGCCATCGATTCAAACTCTCTTGCCTGCCCTTCTTTCAGTGCGAAGGTAATCATCTAGATCCCTCCTCAGTCGGACTCCCGGCACCATGGATTGCGTGCTGCTGTGTAGAAACAGCGGACTGCATTACATACATAGATTGCTGTCGACAGTCGTCACGGCAAGTACTCGTTCGAGCGCGTCGTTCACCGTATGCATGAATGCCTCTCTCGGCTCAAGCTCCGTACTTTTCCCACCCCATGGACATTGCTTCGTCGTCAAACAGCTTTGTCGGCTTAGATGAGGCCCTCTAGGGGTCGTCGTAGAAGATCTCCTTGTACCGGTGCGTGGCGTCGACTACGGCGTTGGCGGCGTCGAAATCTGCGGCGATTTTGTTAGAGTAGCAAATAGATGGCGGGCGCAGAAGAAGCAGAAAGACGGTGGGAGTGGGGAGATATCGTGTAAAATGCGGAAGCGGGGGATTTGGAAAAACGTAGATTGACAGAAAAGGGGGGAGGACGAAAGGTAGTAAACATGGGAGTAACGGAGGCGGAAAAGCGGGACAGGATGAGAACGGATGGATCGAAAAGCTGAGTCCGAGGTATCTCACAAGAAGGAAATCGTTGAACCCAGAAGATACGGGATAGTAGATACGAGAGAAAAGAGGGGCATAACATACCGATGTTTGTCCCAAAATCCGTCGCAGCTTGCACCTTGACGCTCAACTTGGCGTCCACCTTGCCGATGATTTCTACGGCGTGGTTGAGAGCGAGATGGCAGTCCTGGATATGGATTTCTCTATTAGCGATGCATACATGGCAGCGACGACCTTTTCGTCGTTCCCGTCTTGCATGTCCACACAGCCTTACTCCACCTCCCGCCCGTCCGTTAACTTGAAAGGAAACGAAAAGAAAGAAAAGAAAAGAAACACACCCGATTCAATACCAACTCTACATTCCCACCGGCATCAATCTGCGCTGTCTCGCCCCGCAGCGCCGTCACTTTGCCCAGCATGCGGACGGTGCGGTACTGGAACTGCTGCAGGTGGGGGGCTAGGATGCGCGGGGTTTGCGGGGCGTCCATTTCGGAGATATTTGCTGAGTGTGGTCTGAATAGGAGAGGATGAAGGAATTGTAGGATTATCAACGGGGAGAGATGGGAGTGAAGGTGAAGATCAAGAGGAATGTCAGTTGATGGGCTGAGGTGAAGTGAGGTGAGTGGGATGCTCCAGTTTTGTTGCCGCGGCGCGTCGCGTGTGGACTTGCATTAGCGCGGAACGGGTGCACGTGATTCCTCTTTACCACTGTTTATTTATTCTATTTATTCTTCCTCGATTTAAACTAGCTTCTACTGTGAGAGCTAATGCAAAATGCTCATGGATGATTAGAGACGTTTGGCACCACGCCTAAGGAAGTACCTTTATCAACCATAAATCCCTTATGCACGGAGACACTCATTTCCTAAATCGTCCTATTCGGTCGCAAGATCGTCTCCGTCCTCCTGCAGACGCAATAACGATGGTACCTGCTGGGCATGCGGTTCGCTCCGATCTTGGTCGGTTTTGTAAAATATGGCCCCTATCCGTATGAGACTTCTGGTCCAGCAACTGCTATATCAACCACAACACCAGACCAACCCATGACCCCATCATCCACCAAACTTCCCCCATCCCTTCGCATACCTCGCAATGAGATATATCCCTTTGCTCCCAAAAGTGAAGAAAAAGAAGGGGAAAGAAAAGAAAACACCATCCCTGCACCCCTCCAGTTCCCAAAGCCCAAGCTCCAAGTCCAGAAACACCGATCGGCGACCTCTACAGTATAGTGTTACTCTGTAGACACGGCACTCGATGCACCAACGTTGAAACGGCGACCATCATAACGGCGATTAATGTACCCCTTACTCCGTACTACGGAGGATATAATGACATAGTATACAAGAAATTTCCCCTAGCGCCGCCCATATCGCCGCTTCCCCCGCTTAACCACCAACCCTGCGAATCAGGGACAACAGCCCCTTTAAAAGCACTGATATGCCAGATACCAGAGTCTGCAGAAGACGCTCCGAAACCCGCGCTGCTGATCGCTATCAGGAACGGCTCGATGTGATATGCACGCTTCGGACCGAGTGAAGATCTACACAGTATTTATCAAAGGGCACTGATTAAAGGGCATACGAGTAAATAATAGCGAGCATACCAGTAAGACGTCCGCGCCGCCTCTGAATGGCTGCCGCCCCTGCCTCGTCTAACTTCTCGGCGTCCTTGGCGAGGAACATGAACATTCACCCTCTTTTTCCTATGTTCTTACCCTTCTAGCTATAGATCTTAGGAGGCAACCCCTTAAAATTTTAACTGCATTAGAAAGAGCAGCTTCGAAATCCTAAGTCTGCCTCTTAAGACCTTAAATCTAGGTTGCCGAACGTACGTGGCGGCGGCGCGAAAGTAGTGAGTTACTGGTATGCTCGCTATTATTTACTGGTTGCCCTTTAACGAGTGCCTTATCAAAGTGCAAAATGCCGTTGGTCGGGCGAAGACCCGTAAGCATTGTGTTATCGAGGAAATGGCAGTAAACATGGCTTGCCGTCAGCGTCACCGCATACTTAGGCAGGCGTACGGAGTAGATCCCATGGGGCATACAAATGAGTACCGTGGTGCATATCGTACGATATCCGTAGGCCTGGAGGTGTGTGAGACAGGGCTGACGGTTGGACGTCTACCTCGCTCTGCTTAGCGAGGAGGAAAATCCATTTGCTTTTTTCTTTCCCTTTTTTGTGCAAACGAGAGTTGGTTCCAAGAAATGTTCGGGGATTGGACAAAGAACCAGATTTTGTGCTCGAGTTTGCGGTCAATAATGTCACTCACCACGACGTTGGACAGTTCCCCGCATGAATGCCAACGCTCACCTTCACTTCTCTCCCGATACGCAAGCAAATGCAGAAAGGCACAGCCCGCTCGATCGATCTCGTTACACCCGGCTCCCACTATCCAATCAAGGCAGGTTCCTTTCATCCTGTGCAAAGGAGGGGTGCATATGCGGAGCGAGAAAAAGAAAATGCCGTCCGGCCCAACCAGCGATGTTCCCAGGTCCCCGTTACAGCGACACGCATCTGCGGTGCAAATGCCATTTCAGGCCTGTGCTCGGTGTCGCCGAACGAGGATTGGGGGCTCTTCCGCGTGCCGTGGAAAAGGCGCAGAAACAGCGTGACGAATGTTTGACGTCTGGAAGACGTGTCGAGTATCGGTGGTACCTTCCTTTCTGTGACGGTAGGGCTTCGTAGACGCTGGGTGGTTGGCAGATGGCTGGATATCTGGGAGACGATGATGAAGTCGAGGGCTCGAGTACTGGTGATTACCCAGAACAACCCTGACAACCGTTGACCCTAACGTTTTGCATCGAGTCGTGTGGGGCAGCTAGCAGTCCGCTGGTATTTTGTGGGGCGGGCAGTGCCACTTCCCAGAATCGTGGGCTGTTGATTATAAATAACGAGGGCCTGTACCTACCAACAAATACGTATGATATATGCAGGGTGCGTTGCTTATAGCCCCGATACTGTGCGTTGGCTGTTTTGTTTCAGTCGATGATGGATCTGCAGAAGGTCAATTCCTTCACATGTCGAGCGGCCTTTTTATCATTCGAGGGACGTGGCCCAACTGGCAAGCACCAAGTTGTGTGGTTTGGGTCACAGACGACCATCCCAGGATCCAAGGCCAGCGGTTGCAATATATACTTGCAACGGGTTTGTGAAATGATGATTGAGGTTGTCATGGTCTCTTAGATCGGCGCAGCTACCATTACTGGATAGATTGGAGGTAGGTCAGCTTGCTCCTTTCTGTGCAACACACCTGGAGGAGCTCTGCGGCTTGTTCGCTACAGTCAGTAACGATGCACCAGTTGCTTTTGGGGAAGGGAAGAAAGTACCCAGAGATCTTATCTGAGTGAGGAATGGCTGTCAAAAGGTAGGGTCGGTTCCCGGTTTTGCCTCCTCCTGTTTCCTGCACGCGCATGCCTGGACTCTGGAGGAACTTTTGACGCAAGCTTCAGCATCGAGGGTGTGACCCTTGAATCCTGGCTGCCCAGGTAGGTATGCACGAAACGGCACTTGGAATTCGTGCGTGGCATCCTTGTCGTGCTACTGAGCAGACTTATGTAGCAGATGCACACAACGCCTTGCCGGACCTTCGTACGCATACAGACTGTGAGTTGTACCGGTATGTAATAATCTTTCGCAGGTCCCACCCATGCTCCAACAAAAAGACTTTCAACAATCAACAAACTTCAGCGACATGTGCAGCCTGCAGATTGGCTTCCTTGCGGCCCGACAAGAGTATCGTGGGAAACCGAGGCGACGGGAAGAAGCTCAGCCATGGCGCATCCTGTCCCTGGGTATCTGAATCCTTCCTCGATACTGACGGATCCTCTCCGGTAACGGTGCCTGCTTCAGGCCGGCCTGAGGCCCTGGGAATGGTGTTGCGTCGCATCGCTTACTGCTTACGGTGAGTGGCAGTGTTGTACTCGGTGCTCGGGCAGTGGTTCGTAACGGGAGAAGCGATTGAAGATCTCACGTGCTTTTTTCGGTGGTGATACGGATCTGACTCGATCTTCCACGGATCGCTACCGCAAATCTACCCGTAACCCGCTTCGCAATCTGCCAAGGCAGTGGGGCGATGCAACCTGCTGAACCTGCTAAACTGGCTCCCAAGGTTAACAGCTGCAACCGCAGCCGAGGTCTAGGCTGCATGCAGACTGGGTGCAATTTTTTCTGGCAGTGCGGGCATGGTGCACATCAGTCATCACCATCTCGGCGGAACATGGCCGAAAGGGCAATCTGTTGCCGTCACCAGAATTCTCCGTCCTGCGTCACAGTACGGAGTACCACAGTGGGTATTCCCTATCCCGTATGTCGCGTATGCACCGTCCGATCGCTCGAGTAGTGAAGCCTGTGAGGACAACATAGCATCCACCAGAGAACGGAGTCCTGCCCTCTTCGTTTCTGGCCACTGCTGCATTTCAGCCTCGCTTGAGCGAAGCGGGTTGGTAGACAAAAATAGAGTCGGAATTATCGGTGGCATGCTGTGGCGTTTCTTGGGATTCCTTCACCGCGGTCGGGAGCCCGGTCGGTTAGGCATTCCAGGCTTGTTCGTCGGTTCGACGTTGCAAGCCACAAACTGACGTGTGGCTTGCCAGAAGACGAGCGCAAGCAAGCGCCTCATCATGCTCTGTGAGGAAAGCGGACATGGTAAGTGACGGCCGCGTACGAGGTACCGGCCTCTTCTCCCTGCCCTGCGCACCACATCAGGGAACCAACGGTCGAAAGTCCCTGTCTATAGGTCTTGGAAAAGGAGAGAGATGGCCCGAACACGGACTATAGCAACGTTCGCATGGTCAGAAACGGATGCTTCGCTGGCTAGTCGTTGATTGGAGGAAACATGTATGTAACCGCTTTCATTGGGAGCTATCGGGATGGCGTCAACCGGAGATGCGAGAGATGCGAAGGCGGCACGACCGTGGTTGATACTTGTAATACCCAGAGGGCGCACTTGTTTGATGCCGGCGGCCCTCAAGGGCCAGCCAATGCCACAAGGAGCTTCAACAGCACAGGATTGTCGCACCAAACACGTGCCCGCTGACATCGGCCCTATCACGTCGCCAGAAATAACATGGAGATGCGTATGCAGCTCCTCCCCGAATCGATGTAACCGAGCTCGCTCCCGTCAGTGCCAGTGCCCACCAGCCACGTCGGACCAATATCCATGTGCGCCACAAAGCTGGGACAGCGCGTGTGCGGTGCTTAGAGAAACATGTGGCGGGGAAAGTGGCCTGATTTCTGGCTGCACGCGTTACACCAAGGCGTTGTGGAGGCATCTCGCGGAACCATGGCCGCGATCTGGTTAAAGGGTTGGGCGCGAGGGGCGGCAGCATCTGGAGATTGACTTCGGGACTCTGCTGCATCGTGTGGGTTCCTGGCAGCGTCACGAGAAGAAGCACCATCAACCTTTGAGACCTGGTTGACTCTGTCGCTTTGGGGGATGTTGGCAGATGTAGTGCAGAGGTGGGGGTTCGGGTCAACGCCGTCCGCCGGCTGTATCGCTTTGCCTTGCTTTGCTTTGGCTCAAGTCTGCCGATTCAGAAACCCTGCCGGAGGGCATCCGGAATGGATCAGGTGCGGTGGTGGACATTGGCAGGCGGCTGCATGAACGACAACCGGCGGCAGGCGATGATATGATGGGCGCAAGAGCACAACTCTGTGTGGTTGAGAGTGGTGGGAGAGGCGGTGGGAGGCTTGTCACTTGTGGAAAGCGACACAGGCTGGGGACGGCAGGCGGCTGCACGAGGGGTGGTTGGTCCTGAGCTTGATCTTTGAACCTTTCATGCCGTGACCCATCATCTCACATCGATCATCGAATCGCAGGCCGATGCCGTGGTGCGCTTGTTCGTCCCGAACCCTCGGGAGCCAGGCGGAGCCGCCCAGCCTGAGTTCGCAGTGCGCCCATGATTCGCTGGGCCGTGTTTGCGAGCCCTCGCGGGGGTCGGTCGTCTTTCGTGCTTGATGCGTGTTGCTCGTTGGCGATGCGCCGATGCCGCCATATCAAATCGTGAAGAGGGTGAAGGCCGCCCTTCGTCGAGAGCAGAGAGTGGGCTTGTCTAGGGAGCTCGTGCAGCGGCCGATCGGTCGGCCGGGTCGCAGCAACGGCAGCGGGCCCTGCTGTTCGAGGTGGGTGGATGGCGGTGGGACTGCTGATCTCTCATCTCTTTTTACTCCGGCAGCGCGTGAAAAGGGCTGCAGGCGACACCCGGAGTGGAGCGGCGGAGCAAAAGACGAAACGGCGCCAGGATCCCAAAACCCAGCATTCCCACACGGGTTGGCCACTTGCCTGTGCGCCGTCCCATGTTGGATTCCTTGCCCATCGTACTCCCAAAGGAGAGCAAGCTGTTGGGGGTCCCCGGCTCTGCCTCTCCCAGACCTGTCCCTTCCCCGGTCGCGCAACTGCGGCGTGCGCACAGTCGTCCGGTCGTGCTCATCGTCAACTCTCCTGCCGTCCCACAAACCCCCCAAGAGCGACGGCTCGCTGTGTACCCAGTGTCGGCTGTGGTCCCATCTCCGATCCCCCAGCTTGCTTCCTGCTTGTCATTGCTGCTCTCCCTGCGAGCCTCCTCTCTTGCATCCCCGGGTCAAGACGCAACCATGTGCTGAGCACCTTCCAAAGCTCTTGCACGTCCGTTGACGTAAGACTTGAAAGCACAGCAACACAGGTCCGCTGCGACGCCGCTCACGACAAGCCTTGCATCGCGGCGAATCACAGAGTGCAACAGCGTGTTTGGATTCATCACAACACCCCATTCCTGCGAAGCGGGGGTTAGCCATATCCGACGACACCAGGACGTAAACGCCGCTGCACCGAGCCAGGCACTTACAGAACAAATACCGAGTTGCCAGAAGAGGGGCGTGTGCTGGTTGCAGGTTGCAGGTTGCAGAGAGCTGGTTGCTGGTAGCGAGTAGCTGGTTGCCGGTAGGAGTTGGGTGGAGTGGAGTTGGACGGAGGGCAGAGAGGAGACGAGAAAGACGAAGAAGAAGACAGGAAGAAGAAGAGGCCGGCGGGCGTGACATCACAGCAACTGGACTGCGGGCAGGGTCGCGACTTCCCTTCAACGCACCTTCCCTCGAGCTCTATTACATAAGGCAGGAGGGAGACAGAGCAAGTAAACAACTTGTTCGACCTTCGGATTCTTTTCAATCTCGATTTCCATCAACATCGGCTCCCACCTGGGCAGACGTCGCCAGATCTCCCCGAATCTGCTCCGCTCCCCCACGGACCCTTCGCTCGCGGATCGTGGCGGCGCATCTCGGCGGATCTCATCGATCATTATTTAGATCGAAACGGCGCGCGGGCAAACTGCGGGCGGGCGCCTTCCATCTATTCATCGAAGGAAGCACGGCAACCCCGTGATCGTCGTTACAATCAATCACAACCGCCATTTCCTGCGCAATGGCAACGCTGAGCGGTACCAGCAGGCCAAGGTCCGTTTGTTTGCTCCCTCCACCTTTCACCTGCTTTCCCGGCTGCCACTCTGCTAACCCTTACTGTAGCATTGGCTTGCCACCCATTCACCCCCTGGACCAAGACAAAGTCCATGTGAAGCGAGAAGAGGCCGAGTACGCGAGGAGGAAGTCGACCCTCTCCATGGCCAGCCCGTCACACCCATTCCCGGGCCCGTTGCATTCGTATAGCAATCACCAATCGTCAGGCGCCAGCTCACTCCCGGGCCCGTCCGGAGGCTTGCTTTCTCCTCCAGGATCGCGGCGTACCTCCAAGGAAGACAACAAAGACCAGAGGCCACCTGCGCGACAGTCGCTGCCATCGATACATGAAGCCCTTGGTGCAGAGCCGCCGTCTACATTATCATCATTAGCATTCCCACCACCTCCTCCGTCCGCTCCTGTGTCCGCACCGCAGTCGCTTTTCCCCCCACCTTCGACTGCGTCTGCCGCGGACCAGCGGGCAAGGACTTTCTCCGTGGACCATATCAAAAATCAAGCCGCCCAACAACCCTCCGCAGCGTCTCGAACTCCGTTCCTCAAGCAACGCAATTCATCCGAGCATCCTCCGCTACCACCGCAGGCGCGTCAGACGGACTCCCCGCGCTCGACCCTGTCATCAGTCCATACGCATAAGATTCCGGCATTACACCCTCTGAATACCGGTCGTTCGGATTCCATTTCCACGACACAGCCCAATCAGCCACATTCATCCTTTCCTCTCCAATCTTCCACCCCTTACCAGACGTCCGCACCTCCATCGGCTGGATCCATGAATACACAATATGGATACCACCAATACGCCCCTGGCTACCCCTTGTCCGCGCCCGCTCAAACTGTGCCCAATTCCGCCTACCCGCCCTCTGCATCCACATATTCAGCTCCTCCGCGGTATCCCCCACCACCTTGGCATAATGGCGCTACCCAACACACCCCTCTTGACGAGAAGGAGAGTTCCAGCCACTTACCTTATGGTGAAAGCGTCAAAAGACACCTTGAGACTTTCGATCTAGAAGCGTCTTTAAATCAGGTACGTCATGTACAACCATGTCTTTGTACGTGATTCTCAATGTTTCCAGATGGCAGAAGGCGCAGGCCGAATCGCAGACTTCTCAAAAGACTACCGTCAGAGAGCTCATTCAAATGTGCGGAGTGGGACATTATCTCAGATCGTACCTGGCCTGGAAGAGGTGGATGAGATGTTAAAACAAAGCGAAAAGATCCAAATGTCCTTGCAGAGAATGCGCGGGATCGTTCTGAGCCACCAGCAGGCTAGTCTTATGGAGCAACCGCATGAGTCACATTATACCCGGCCCGACGACTACACGCACAATGGTTATCCGCAGGATGCAAAGGCCAACGCTTCATTCACGGGTCTCGATCCCAACAAGCGAAGCCGAAAAGGGGTAATGTATCACCTGGTTTACAGTCACGGACTCAAGCTCACTGTTGTTAGCAGCGCGCTGCGGCACCTGGCAGATGCCATAGCTGCAACCGTGCCGAGACGCCGGAATGGCGACGAGGTCCCGACGGCGCCAGGACGCTCTGCAATGCATGCGGTCTTCGTAGGTGCCTCCACTGTAGAGTGCTTCTCTTCCGCTGACTAGATTTAGATTGGGCAAAGCTCAACCGTAAAATGCCAGAGCCCGTAGGGATAGACGAACTCCGCTATAAAATCGCAGGCCACAGTTCGCCGCCTGCGTAGAAGGCTGGTGAAATGCTGGATCCCAGCATATTGACGATGATGCGCATTCCAAACTTCGACCAGTAATGACCATATCGTCAAACAAGCGTCTCTTCCAGAAACGGGGCGTCGACAAGTCCACGTACTCGTGTCCTAGTATACATATGCTATGGATGCTTTGGAGGAGCTCTCCTTGAACGGCCGCCCACCCGCCTGATCGACCACCGCCGTTCATCTACCGGTCCTCGATCTCTCGACTACCGCGCAAGCCACGCCACACCATTTCTGTTTCCCTCGTGTTGTTATATCCGGGTTGGGTAGCATTCTGCAAAAACTGTGGGCGTTGGGGCATTTCCGCTCTGTTTTATCTCTTGTTGTACAGGTTGGAGGCGCAGTGCGACGTGCAGCGGATGCACAGCGTTCTCCTTTTTCTCTCTCTCTCTCTGATTGTACGACTGTCTGGCGTTTTTAGGGAAGATACCAAGGGGTGGGATGTACGAAGTTGGGTTGTTGGAAAAGGGCTTGGACATGGGGACAAGGGCCAAGAGGACCATCTGTAATGTATGCAGCCCGACCAAGAATGGAGATGGAATAGAGGCGAGATTTTGACGTCTTGCTATCTGACGGAATATGTGTTGAATGAGGCTTCACAGAGGCACGAATGTGTGGCACTGTGTACGTTGGTCTCACTAATATTCACAGCAAGACGCCAATCCAGCCCGACATCTTCTTAACTAGCCGGGGAGGGCCCCGAAGCCGCCTGTTGGTTGTTTGCGTGCCGGATGTAAGCTTATCTTGTAGGTACCATATTAGTCGCTCTGCAGGCTTCGAAATAGGAGAAGAAAGTCCTGATCGTATTATCAACTCAGCGGTCATTCTTCAACCTTCATTCTTCACTTTCCATTTTCCAGTCTTGCCAGCTCGTTCGCTCAACCCTTCGCCCCTTGTCGCTTAGTCATCACCGCACCTCTCGCGATAACACTGCGGGAGCGAGTGCTAGGGTTTGCTCTAGCTCTACACGCTGCGTAGTTTGGGTTGTCCGTAGGTCCGAGTCTCTACATAGTTGGCACGGTATTCTGTACGTCGTTTGGCAGCACGACTGCTGCGGTGCTACATTTGATTGGCAGGGGGGATTTTAGTGGGACCGAAGGTCAGGCGAGGAGGGGGGAAACTGATGGGCAAAGGATTGATTGTGTAGTTCCTCTTTCTCTTGAAAGGGGATTGCTGTCCATAGTATGGAGGGCATTTGCATATAGCTTTTGCAAAAATGTAGATGGAGCTGGTTGAGGATTGAAGGACTTGCTCTACGCGTATGCATCACAGTGTCCAACTAGCTAGACTAGCATCGACGATGCATGGATCGGACGCGTATCAGCACCAGCGGCGGAGGCAGATCGCGCCGTGTACGGTGTGCTGCGTTTCGGATGCGGGTACGTGCATCCGCGGCTGCTGTGGAGGTGGAGTAGGGAGTAAGTGAGGGAAGTGAGGGATACGAGGCGTCAGGAGGTGTATAGAGTACAGAATATGTAGTGTTCAGATGCGTATCGGAGATCTTGGGTATCAATATGGGAAAGGGGGGTTTTGAATATGTGACGGGTACGAGGCGTCAGGAGGTGTACAGAGTCCAGATTATATGTAGTGTTCACATGCGTATCGGAGATTTTGGGTATCAAGCTTGCAAAACCGTGCGATTGCGCAGGACGGATGATGCATGCGTGGGTGTGGATTCTCGTCTGGTGACAGTATACGAGATTGTGGCGGTTGGTGTTATCGCGGGTGAGGTGGTACGGAGGGGTGGAGGGGTTTGATCGAGGTTGGAAGGGAGGCATGCGCTTCGGATGCGGTTGCAGCAGAGTCGGATATCCTCTTGTCACCCACCTCTATTCACTCCTCAGGCCTGCCCTCTTGAGCCCTCCTTTCCATCCGACCCCTCATCCGAATGGCTTCAAGTTGATATTCCTAAGGGTTCCTCTTCGCATCTACAGAACACGTGGGCGCGACACAGGTCGCACACATCTGCGTCCTGTGCAGGTTCCCCGAGATAGATATCCCGCTGTACCGTGTAATTCGCACAGCGGCGTGCGGAGACTCTCTCGCGCCCTCGACCCAACGTCGTGCTAGGAGGCGCGGTGAGCCACGGTGAGCCACGGTGACGCAAAAGAGGAGGCACGGCTGTGTGCAGTGCAGTGCAGTATTTGTAGTACAGATGGCTGCAAGGCAAAGTAGGCAAGGTAAAGCGAGATGGAGGACAACATGATGCACAGGACAGATGCGAAACTTTGGATTTCGCGATCGGAAAAGCCAAGAGTTTCCCAAAGCGGGAAGGCGACGCGGGGGAGATCTGGCCAGGGGCGGGAAGAAACGGGGATCTAGCAGAACAACTATTTTTGCAAGGTGGGGTGGAGTGGGGTTTTTGTTGGGCAACCCACGCGCAAGGGCGGAAAACCCCTCCAGTTCCTCGTCCATCGTATCCCTCCCATCGGCATCCACTCGGCGCGCCGTATGCGACAGATTTGTAAGCGAACAAGAGGGACGACACGCCCTTTCGAAAACCACTCCCTTTTTGCACAGGTTGACGGGCATTTCTTTTCTTTCGCTCTTCCTCAGCTCACCGATCATGCTCGCGGGATAAGGAACGGGATACGATCATTCGTGTGACGGCCTTGCATGAGATCTCGCAGGACTTTGCATCAAACATCCTCGAACCGTGTTCCTGCTGTGTACGCCTCTTTGATCATCTGGGTTCCTCCCGCAGCCGAAAGGCCTTGTATAGCCCTAGCTGCCAGGCACGAAAAGCGCCTCGCGTACCTGGCTGAAGACCGGACCGAGTGACGGTACGGAACGGGTACGGACACGGGCACGGGCACAGATCGGGCGTGCCAGTTTGTTTGAGTTTGTTTGCGGCACGGTAGAGGAGGGACAAGATGGGGCTGCTGTGAGAACACCACGAGGACTTTGTCGAGGCTGCATGCTAATCTGTCAAAGAGCCATTGGCACGCCGCTGGAGTGGCCCGAGGCGAAGAAAGTGGCCAGCCATGTGAGGGCTTGGGGGATTGAAGTAGGCCTCTCCAGGGGATGCTCGTGAATGGCGTAACGGATTCTTGGCTGGAATTGAGTTGACGAGACTTGCAGCAACTCCTTGCGATCTGGAACCATGCAAAGGGGAAAGAGAGGGATGCCATGCTGTGGGGTGATGAGGCAGGTACTCCGAATTCTCGTGTCATGGTTGGGAAACAAGACTAATTGACGATAGATAGAGTATCTCGTCGTAGCATACGATGAGGATGCTCACAAGGTGAGGCTATCGCTGAGACAGGCCGATATTCTCGCTGCACTGGCTTCGGATGAGAAACTCCTGAGCCAGGGCGGAGGCGTCCCTGATCTCGAGAGGGGGTCTGTTCCGTAAGGTGATGCACTCTTCGGTAAAGCCAATATGCTGACTCGGCAGGGAAAATGACATTACGGCTCCAGTGTTCCACCCCGAGTTCGGCAGATTCATGCTCGAAGCTACGCCCGGAAAGCCTTGGGGAATAGGCTTCAAGGACCTGCTAGACGTCGAGCGGAACATGAAGTGGCGGTACTGGATCCCCATCATTTGGGCACATTGACAAACCAGCTACTGACCGTGCTGCAGACGAAAGATAGCCAAGGAGCATATGGACAGCACCGAGTTTCCCATCACACTGACTACATTTCCCAGTCTCGGGCGAGAAGACTGCACCATCCCTTCGTATCCCGTTTCTGGCCCCAAACTACGGTCACAGTTCGTCCCGGACGAGATTGCAAATCCGCATATCAGGTTTCCCACGCTCGCTGCCAATATCCGCGCTCGAAGAGGACGAAAAGTGGAAATCAATGTGCCGATTTTCAAGGACGAGAAGACTCCGTGGCCGTTCAGGGATCCCACTGTCAACTATGATCTCCACAAGTGGCCTGAAGACGACGATGTTCGAAACGGAGCTGCTAAGGAAAACTACATTTACATGGACGCCATGGCGTTCGGCATGGGAAGTTGTTGCTTGCAAATCACCTTTCAAGCTAAGAACATTGAAGAAGGGAGGAAGATGTATGACCAGCTTAGTCCACTGGGTCCAATTCTGTTGGCACTAACGGCAGCGACTCCGATATACAAAGGATTCCTCGCTGATACTGATGTACGCTGGAATCAAATCAGTAAGGCCGTGGATGATCGGACGGCAGAAGAGTTGGGTGAGAAGGTGGGTTTGACACTAACATCACAAGGACAAACCGCGCTGATGCAGTTTAGCCCCTCAAGAACGACCGCTGGCGGGTGCCCAAGTCACGCTATGCTTCGAATTCAACATACATATCTGAAGATACCCGCTTACGGCCTGAATACCTAGATCCCAACCTCGTTATAGACACCGACCTCAAGAAAAGACTAGTTGAAGGAGGCATGGACGACTTACTGGCAACTCATTTCGCTCATCTCTTCATCCGCGACCCCATTGTCGTCTTCAGCGAAGATCTAAAGGAGCTCGATCTCACCAAGGCCGATCACTTTGAGAATCTGCAATCCACAAACTGGCAGCATATGCGGTTCAAGCCGCCCCCACCGGGCTCCGACATGGGCTGGCGCGTCGAGTTCCGCCCCATGGAGATCCAAATCACCGACTTTGAGAACGCCGCTTTTTCCATTTTCATTGTGCTCATCACGCGTGCCATTCTATCCTACGACCTCAACTTCTACATCCCAATCACCCGGGTGAGCGAGAATATGGAAACGGCGCATAAGCGCGACGCAGTGAATACGGAGAAATTCTACTTCCGAAAGGACCCGTTCCAGGTGCGGTCGGTGGAAGGTGGAGCGGTGAGTGGGAATAGCAGACCAGCGACTCCGCCCTTACTGCCCGTGGAAGAGGAATATACACTCATGACCATCAACGAAATCATCAACGGCCAGCCCGACAAGGACGGGAACGGTTTCCCTGGGCTGATTCCCCTGGTAGAGAATTACCTCGACAGCATGAACGTAGATGTCGAGACGCGCTGCGCGCTCGCACGGTACCTGGAGCTTATCAGGAGGAGGGCTGACGGCTCGTTGTGGACGGCGGCGAAGTGGATCCGGGAGTTTGTGAAGAGGCATCCCAAGTATGCACGGGATAGTCAGGTGGATGATGAGATTCAGTACGATTTGGTCAAGACGGTGGAGGGTATTACGAGAAGTGAGGGGAGGGATGGGGTTGGCGCGGAGATGCTGGGGAGGGGGAGGTAGGGTCGAGGAGGGAAGAGAGCGCAGTGGAAGCGGGGATAGAGCTGCGAAGGATGATGGGTGAATATTTGGGATATGAGATAAGCTAGGTGGTTATTCGGGCATTGCGTGCGTGACATTTCGATGGGTTTCTCGGCATAGCAACTGCATCTTTGATGAGCATTCGCATACATATTTACACGGTATAGACATCTATCTCTGCAAAAGTTTCAAGTTTCCTCATCAACCCGGACATTCGGAAAAGGATACAAGGCAGTCAGTCTAGTCGGTAGATTCCATCATAGTCGGACCATGGCCCCGCCTTTTGCCATCGATTTTTCTCCGGATGCAGCCGAGTTATAGGCGAACGGACATGTTTTCCGCTTCCACATGCCTTGCGAATAGGACAGTGGTACTTAGATATTCTGGGCACTTTCTGCTTTGCCTAGAGGCATTGGTCCGGGGGGCATTTGTGGGTGGAGCCATGTGACTTCCACTGTATCAATATCCCGATATTCTAGCAATGGGAATCTCTTGACCCCCTTGGCATTAGTACTAATGGGAAACGTCTTCCCCATTCTCCCTCGATTTCCGTGGAGTCGGCGTCGAGTGCGGCGATGAGTGTCTCGGGGGCGCCGCCCATGAGTCGACCTGGCACATCCAAGGTCTCAAGCCCGTCGCCTCCCCCGCGCAAAACAAGCAGAACTGGAGTCCGCCCAAAAGGAACGAAGAGGAATTGCGTCGCCTGCTTCTTTCAAAGGTTTTTGCTCGCAGCGTGCGAGAACACTCTCCCTCATTGTTGTCGTCGTTGCACAACAACTTCTGTCTGCAGGGACAATTCATTCATCCATCCACCCGACTTGCCTCGTCCCGACATTCCGCCGAGACGTCCGTGCACGCTCGGCGGCCTCTGAGAGAGTTCATCATCAATCAATCCCGTCGCCTCTCACTCCCACCTCCCACCTCCCACCCACTTTTGAATCATCAGCCGATATATCACACCATCCCGTCCCAACGTCCTCGTTCTCGTACACCCTCGAGAGCCCTTATCTGATTGCGCAGCTGCGTTGTTCCAACCCCCCGGCTCCTGCACCGCCGCTGGTCAATCGCGCATCTCATCCGGGTGTCCTTCCGGTCCGTCCTCCCTTGTCCCTTCCAAACGGGGGTGCCGCAACAGAACGGTTGCGCTGACTGCGGTTGAATCACACAGCTTCGGATTGATCGCAATTCTTCATTATCTGCACTGCCATGCCCTGAGTTACTGGCCCCTTAACGCCTGGTAAATTTCTCTTTCACTTCTTTCACACCCTCTCCCCTCGTCTCGCGCTCCTTTTGCGCCCCCGCTGCGCGTCGCGGCTGCTGGCAGCTGTTCCTATGCCGCCATGGCCGATCCGACGCCTAACAGTGCCACAGATGACGTACTCGAGCTTGAGAAGGTCGCTGTATGTCGCCGTCATCGTCGTCGCTTACCTCTGTTCTTGGTGCAAGGCTGACATTTCGCTATCGCTCTAGGTCGGTCCCTACTGCATTTTTGATGCCTTCAAACCTCGACTGAGCCCGGACGCTCATTGTACCACCACCTCGACGCCGCCTGGCCGCGACGCCAATTCTTATAAGATGGATAATCTAAACATGACCACCGGTTACCCGTACAGCAATCCCCTTTGGTCTACTGCTGGTGCCGACATCACCTTGACAGCGCCTGCTACCGACGGTATAGACAACTGGAACGAATTCATGCAATGGGGCGAACCCTCCCAAAACACTGATATAAAGCCGCCCAACAACGACCAGGGGCCGCTCCTTACCCAAGACCCAAAATCGTCGCTTATCGAACGACGCCAGAGCTCGAATATGCCCGGCACGTCGCTCAGCCTGCAACCCGAAGCCGTTGCTCTCTCCGCACCTTTCCAGCCCCAGATCAACCCCACTCCCTACACCTTCGGTGGCGACATCCAAAACCCACCCGCATTTGACTTTAACCATAACACTATCAGCCCCCCTTCCAGCGGTGGCGGACAGCAACAGGGTGGAGTGTTCCCTTCGCCCATATGGCCGCAGCAAGATAAACAACAAAATACCGTTCTCTCCACATCCGAATTCGCACCAACACATGTGGTCCCAGTTCAACTCCCCCCGGCCTCGACTCCGAGCTTACAGCACAGCCCAACCTCTCAGGCGAACGCGCGGACCAGCTCGTCGTCAACTTCACCGTCCGCGGCGACATCGCCCGAATCTATACCATCGAACCCTAAAAAGCGAAAATCGACTTCAGAGGAGAGTGAGGTTCCGGCGGCGAAGAAGGAAAGCAAGCAGCCTCCAAAGAAGACGGCACATAATATGATCGAGAAGAGATATCGGACGAATCTGAATGACAAGATAGCTGCCCTGAGAGATAGTGTGCCAAGTCTTCGGGTAATGTCGAGACAAAATGGAGGCAATGAGGAGGATGACGATCCGGAGGATCTGGAGGGCCTTACCCCAGCGCACAAACTCAACAAGGCGACAGTCCTGTCGAAGGCCACAGAGTATATCCGTCATCTGGAAAAGCGAAATAAACGCCTGATGGAGGAGATCAACACGTTAAAGAGTCGGCTGGATAGCTATGAGAGGATGGCGACCACAGGGTTTCTGCCTCTGGGCGGGGCGGGTCCAACGGCTGACGGTAGGTATCACGAGGATTCGTTTGCCAGCCATGTCCCGCCCATGATGCAGCAGCCAGTTACTGCTCCTCCCCAGGGTCTCATCCCAGTACCGCATGATATGGCATCTCTGCACAGAGGACATCCTGCACAAGCCCACTACGCACCGCAGCATGGATCTTATGCGCAGTACACTGGAGTCAACCGTCCTGGAGCACCTGGCCCTCCTGTGGTAAATGGACAACGTGGCAGCTCGATGATCTCAAAATTGATGGTTGGGTCTCTCGCGACTCTGATGCTCGTGGAAGGTTTCTCAGAGCCCGAGCAGTCAGGGGATGAGCCGGCCGGTCGTGGACTGTTCTCCCTGCCGATTCATTTGGCCGGTATTCTGGCACCTCGGATATCCATTGGAGGTGCATCAGCTCAGATTCCGTTGGCCAAGGTCCTGCTGTTGTTCGGTGCTCTGTTCTACTTCCTCGCGCCGCTATTCGAACCCAAACCCAAGTCCAAGAAGAAGGCTGTTCCGGAAGTCCAGTTGGCGCGCGCACCCTCACTTGCCTCTTCAGTTGAGGTTCGCCGGTCAGCTTGGCTCACTGCAATCCAGACTGTTTGGGTGCCCAAACACAATTTTTGGTTGGAGGTTGCAGCGCTAAGTTTGAAGACTTTGAAGTTGAGTTTGCGGACGATCATAGGATGGCCAGGATACGCATTCCTCATGGGCACGACCAAGGATCAGGAGGCTGCAAGGGTCAAAGCATGGAACATCGCACTTGATGCTCAACTCACGGGAGGCGACGAGGAAATCAGCAAAAGCAGATTGGTCCTCACACTCATGGCCTCTGGAACGCTACCAAATACACCTGCCCGACTGATGCTCAAGGCACTTCATATCCGGCTGCTCCTCTGGGAACTGACAAATACCTGCAACGGTGGTTGGCGATTCCTCGATGATCTCAGTGCAAAGGTGGCCCGGAGTTACTGGAATGCCGCACGAAGTGAGCAGAGAATAGCTGCCAATATGGCTTCGAAACCGGACAGCGAGGCTGAACCTTTGCCGGATCATTTGGCTGCACTTCTAGAGATTGAGTGTGATGCCGTGCTGATGCCCCACATTATCCAGCGCGCATACAATCTCGCCTGGAATCGACCCAGCGCGGAGAAGACTACGGCGGATGAATCTATGGATACCGTCGTGGAAGATTTCGCTATCTGCACCCCCTTGGATGCCCTTGCGGCTTGGTGGTCCTGCCACGTCCTGAGACGAGCTCTTGCTGCCTTCTTGGCGTCGAAGAACGGTGCAGCAAACGCTGCGGTCAAACGCAATTTGAATCTTGCCTCCCAGACAGCACCACCGACGTCACAGGCTCACTTGAGAGCATTGGTAGCACAGTCTGTGTTGGAAGAGGAGGACCGGTCAACACGAGTCGCAACTGCTTTCGGAGCCCTGCCCTCCTCGTTGTCATCGCCACACTCGAGGAAGCCCAGCAAGCCCGCCCCACCCGTGCCTCTGAATGTCGTCGCCGAGACTCCAGTGGCGACGGACGTCCAGAACGCGCTTACGCTTACGAAATGCCTTTCACTCGTCGAGTCTGGCAATCCTGATGCTCGCCGCCGGGCAGTTCTCGTCATCAATAATATCCTCCTTCCCGAATCCTCCATGTCTCTTCTCAGCTTTGTTGCAGGTTACAGGCTATTGAAACATTGCATGCAGGACTCAGAACTTCGGAAGGACGCGGCCTTTGGTCTGGAGCGGTTGCTCAGCTCGCTGCGGATCTGGATTGGCCGTGAGCCTGCTAGGCGCAGTGGTCTCTCTAACAAGGTTCGCAGGCGGATCGTCAGCCAGTGTTTAAATGCCAGCAAGACCTTGGTGGGCTTGACCATGCCGGAGCAGGTCGATGATGGCTATGTCAGTGCGTGTTAAGCGTGACTGAAGTGGTTATGAGCCAGTGTTTTCCTGCATTGAGCGGTTGTATTCTATGATTCATGTGCGGAGCGGTACTTATTGGTATATACCATGGGATGTTGGTCTGAAGCGGTACCCGGTTGGAGTTCTGGTATTTGGGATATCAGCGTATATGCTCTGTCTTCATCGGCTGTCGCCGTCCATTTCCTTCTTCTGCTCAAAGATACCGATCGGGGTTTCGACTTGTATACATGCCGTCTAGAAGCTTCCCAGACTTGCGGCTACGTTTTCTTTCCGACTGCTCGTAGCTTGGGATTGTCGGTGGTTGGGATGTCTGGTTTAGGCTACTCTGGTCAACGGAGCGTATTCGCTGTGTATATGGGTCTGCGATGATGAGGATAGGGGATACCTGAGTGAATGAAAGCGTGCTTGGTGGGTCAAGCGGCAGATTTGCTTCAATGGTCGGATTACTGTCCGCTCGTCACAGGTGAAGAGTGTATCCTTGGATGTTTGTGGATTCGTAGTGCGTTGTTTCCCGTCTGCGTGTGCGAACGAGGAGGGTGGAATGCATGGTCATGTGATCTTACGGATCCAGCCTCCACTACCTTTCCCTCACGAAAGCATATACTTCCTCCGGGCTCAACTACAATCTATCTCTAGTCTCGTTTGATATGTCTATCATTCAATTGTTGAGTGCCTGCCAGGGTACTCAACTCAACCACCGAGTCTTATCGATAAGAACAGACGTCCATCGTACCTCGGCATCTATCGGGAAAAGTACTCCAACTCTCCCTCTCCGCTCACGAAATCTCCGACCGAACATGCGTCTCAGCCAATTCCTCGATTCTTCTTTGCTCCTCTTACACTTGCTATCCCACATACCATGATACGATAATAACGCAATCCACCGAACCCACGTTGAACGTTCGCACCTCCATTACCCTCAATCCTTCCATCCAACCGGCTCCCACCGCCCACTCTCACCGACAATGACCCCCAAGAACCCGCCCAAAGCCATCCTCTTCGACATCGGCGGCGTCTGCGTCGTCTCCCCCTTCCAAGCCATCCTCAACTACGAGCGGGAAAACCACATCCCCGTCGGCTGGATCAACTTTGCGATCCAAAAGGGTCCCCACGACACGGGCGCATGGCAATTGATTGAGCGCGGCGAGGTGGAGCTGAACGATGAGTGGTTTGAGAAGTTCCGGGCGCAGCTGAGCGTGCGGGAGCATTGGGTGGAGTTTGTGGAACGGGAGAGGGCGAAGGGGAAGGGGAGGGAGTTGGGGATTGGGGAGGTGGGGGAGGCGGTGCCGGAGGTGCCGGGGGTGGATGCGAAGAAGTTGTTTTGGAGGATGATGAGGTATGTTAGTTCAATTACTTTCTTTCTTTAGGTCGAGTTTGTGGGTTTAGGAGACGGGAGTTGAGGGGAGCGTGGTGCCATTCTCTTTCTCCATTCTACTCCAACCTCCTCCAGCACCACATCGCATCCAATTATCTCTCCATAAACGGCCTAACTAACCCTCCCCCTCAGACTCTCCCGCACCCCCGACCCGCACATGTACCCCGCTCTCCGCCGCCTCCGCCAACACCCCACCCTCATCCTCGCCGCACTCTCAAACACCATCGCCTACCCCCCCAACATCGTCGACGACACCGGCGCCCCCTTCCAAAAGGGCCTCATCCACGCCCCATCCCCCAACCCCTACGCCAACGACTCCCCCGACATCGCAGACTGCTTCGACGTCTTCATCTCGAGCGCGCACGTCGGCCTGCGCAAGCCCGATCCCCGGGCTTACGAACTCGCGGTGCGCGAGTGCGATCGCGTGGCTAGGGCGAAGGGGTTGCCGGGGATAGAGGCGGGGGATGTATTGTTTTTGGATGATATTGGGGTCAATTTGAAGTGGGCTAGGAGGAGTGGGTTGAGGACTATCAAGGTTGAGTTGGGGAGGACGGGGGAGGCGGTGAGGTTGTTGGAGGTGGAGACGGGGTTGAGGTTGAGTGGGGAGGGGGAGGGGGGGGGGGGGGGGGGGGGGGGGGGGAAGGCGAAATTGTAGGGTGGATTTATAGAAATGAGAGAGAGGGAAAGGGAAGGGAATGTGTTGTTGGATTTGGTGTGTGCTCCGTATAAATCAATCGAGCGAGCGATAGAGTTGGACAAGCTGTTAGACACAGAGGAATCGTTGATATTCGTATTCACTGTAGCCATCAATCCTACCACATATCTCCACGAACCGGCTAGAAAGAAACGGTTTAGCATGCTAACAACGTATCTCCAAGTTCTGTAGTGTGTGAGCAAGATTCGACGAAGGTTCTTCTACCAATCTGTTCTCTTGTACAAAGGTAGTATTTTACTATCCTAGGGCTGGTAAAAACCTGCGTATTCTAAACAGCGTGATGCACTAGACAGTATTTGCATTCCGTTAGAACCTACACATGTGTCTATGTATCCACTAATAAACACAAAGCGCCTTTTGAAGCTCTAGAATAAAGATATTTTACTCTATGGATTATAGTTTAATTCTAAGGCTTAGCAACAAGAAGGTTTGCAAAGGATGTATATGTTGCAATCACGTTATTAGGGGTATCCGCTCCGAAACATTCCAGTGGCTTGCCGCGCATGACGTTGGAGCCAGCTAATAAGAGACTGTCTTGATTCAATAACGTTGCCCACTAGTGCCGATATGACCGCAGTCCTAAATGTGGTGTCATCCAACTTGATGGAAAGTAGAATACAGGAGGGCAGATGCCTGCGGCATTCAAATCCGTCATAAATATCCCGGGTCCGTGGCCAGTGGACGTAGAGTCCAAACGACGCAACGCTCCGACGCTCCGCCAAACAACAGTGATGGAGGGGTGCCTAGCACCTTCTAGGATGCTTTGAAGGCCTTTTTGGTGCAAAAGAGTACTACTGCTTAGTTGTCCGAGGGAAAAGAACTCCCGTTCTTTTGTTGAAATGATCCCAAATGCTGATGTCGTAGCTTCTCCTTGGCGTTTGACATATAAGGCGACAGCGCGGCTGGAGACAGGTTGATATGACGGCTCTACAACTTGGTGGCCGTTCACGTTGCTTTGGAAGGCCCTAAAAGTGGGCATGTTGACGAATGGGCCCAATGGTAGATCCAAGTTGTCTCCGCTCGGCAGTTCTTGTCACGTCGGTGTTTCGATGTTTGGGCTCCGTAGGCTCCAAAGGCAACGGGTGATGTGAAGGGTTCTATAATGGGAGGTGCGGTTATCGTGAGTTGCAAGGTTGCGCTATATGGCAGGTTGAAAAGTTGTGTCGTGAGCAGGATTGGGGAAGAGGTTGTAGTCACAAAACCTGGGTATATAAATCGAGAGCCACATAGGAGCGACTTCCTTTCACGGCGCTGGATCACATGGCGCAAGGCGCTTCTACAGGCTGTGTTTCCTCTCCTGGTGACAGCCTCGTAGGAGACCGAAGCGCGGCGGTGAATGACTGGCTATGTCAGCGATAGACAATATACGCGATAGGGGGAGACCACATACTATATCTCGCCTTTAGTCCCTGTTAGATTTTTATTTTTCAAAGTATATAGATTGAAGTATGCTTCAGCCCCGCGAAGACGCATCTCTTCTAATACGGGTCTCGAACTCGCAGATATCCGGTTAGGTCGGTGCATTTTTGCTACCAAGTCGCAGTCTATATCTCCCGTAGCATAGCGTAAATCCAATATAAGCAGTAGCATCCTCTACTCTAGGAGCTCGTATCGAAAAAGTAAGTGTAGTAACTCCGTCCCTTTGCCGAGTCCCGCTCGCAGTCGTACCCATGTGTAGTTGGAGATGGCATATGGAGCCTCCTCTTCTGACATTGACCAGTCAACTGGATGAATCGCATCAGGGATCCTTCGGTTGCAATCAAGCTTTGCTTCTTAAAGTGTTGTAAATGCGCCCTTACATAGACTTGGACGGGGACCTCCGCGGCGCTGCCTTTGGAATCGAGCAGCTTCCGACAACTCTCCCAACGGTAACGGCAGCCAAGGCAGCCGAAGCTGCCGAAGAGTTGGCTTCTGCGGCAGACTTTCCACACAATCTTGAGCTACATCGTTCACTTCAAGATGTGATTGATGCTGGATTCTCCTTGTTAAGATGCCAACAGCCGAGTGATCCGTATTTCCTAGGCGCCTCAAGAGTGGGCCTATAAGTCCATAGAGGTAGGGACGTGGTAAACGGTTCGTCTTCCTCTAGTCGTCAAATTATTTGAGCAACGGAAAATAGAAGTTTGGATTGCAGATATAAGTAATAATTAGCGATTATTTACTCTTTACTCTTTGGTTTTACCCTAGGGTAGTTTGTAGTTTTCCCTGTAAAGCTTGACGACTTCTCTTTTGTCAATACTTCTCGCTTCCTGTCGTTGTTTGACAACTGACTTGGCATTTATGATATATAGAAAGCAATTGTTATACCTTTAGACCTTCCGTGGCGATCCTTAGTTGGTGAGCCTCTGGGCTAAAATGCGGCAATGCAAATGTTGTGTTCGAAACCTACAAGAATCAGGCAGTAAACACTGCGATTGCTACGAATCCTATCAGTGTTCAATCAGCAACAGGAATGGTAGAAGATCGACGCCACCAAACTTGTCTGTAAATTACAAGCCTCAATTGAGAAGCAAATGCCAAACATAAAGCTGGAATGCGTATATTTAACTGTTAGAGGGGCAAGAGCAGAGACCTAGTTATACACGAGAAGGTCGCTGGTAGCTTCCTACAGCAGAATATTCTTCAATGCATTTATATGCACAACGCATTATCTCGTGTTTTTATATTTCGTTTATCAGCCGTAAGGATCATTTAGGTCTTCGACTCCCAGCTCAACCAGGCCCCAGTTTGAGTTTCAGTGCAACAACACCTTCCTAGTCTCCTCTAAGAAATCTATATTCCGATCATACCACAACTTCATCAGACGAAGCATACATCGCTTGCTCGGATTCGAGAGGATACGTTATGGCTTGTTGCATAAGGCTTGATCTCTTCCCCATGAAGAGCGCACAATGAGATTGGACTGCGATGTCCTCTTCATAGGGTAGGCAAGTTAGCCGCCGCAGGATATTAGTACGGACATGGTGTTTGCCAGTCTACGGCATTGCAGCCTTTCACCGTAGGACTAAATGCGCCCTTTCACCAGCAGCTTGCAACGGCATATAAACGATGGCAGCAACTAAGATATGACTTCTTCCACGCAAAGAAACCATCGCCTCCTACCAAGAGTGAAGGGGAATGCGTCCGCTCTGTGCGCCTCGTTGTTATATACCCGCGTTCACCTACTGCAACCGTCTCTTCCAGACCCTCAACCACACACAACCTCCAACCAACCACGACCGGCTACAAAACGCACTTCCCAGGCAGTCATACAACACCCATTAACCCACAATCCTTTTCTTGTCCCTTGTATCTCCACAGCCGATCTAGAACAACCTCAACCCGACAGCTCGAGCTTCCCTGGGCTAAACCACACCCAAACCATCTCCTTCTAAAATGCTTCCTGAGCTCCTTGGACTTGGCCTTTATCAGCGAAACCCTCGTACCGGTCGTCGCCGCGGAGGCCCCGAAGTCCGCCCACCATACCAGCGCCAATCTCCCCCTGTCATAGGACTGCTTTGGAAACGCCTGGGAGATACGGAACCCTCTGCCTCTGGGATTATAACACGGAGAATTGAACACAGCTTCGATCTCGACGAGATACAGACAAGCTCAATTCTATATAGAAAGGCTACCCAGAAGCTCGCTAAAGGAACATCCTCGCCCGCAGTTATCGTTAGTTGGCGTCATCACGAACCGTTCTCGATATACATTCACTGGCTACGTGTACGCGAGTTTGTTGACGGACGTGGATACAGCAAGTACTTGCCAGACTGTATCCTTCTCTCTACCAAACTGGACGACCTGAGTTTCCGGGCTGAGGTTATATCGAAACTTCTTGACACAGTGATCCGGTCAGGGCGATCACTATCAGATTGGATAAGGTACCACGCCGGCAAGCCCTTGACATATTTTGGGCTTGATGTGTCTCTGGCCTTGCCATATGACGCACAGAGGTATATACTCACGGCGATGGCACGGGAGGTGCGTCGTGAGGACGCTGTCCGAATATATTCAAATGCGCATCTTTTCCCTGAGGCATTGTTAGTCGCAATCGAAGCAGAGCGCCGGAACAGCCCTACCTATCTCCGTCCGCCTTTCCGTCCGCAGAGGACCACGCTTGCCACCAATCCTGAACCAACAGCACCACGAAATCGGCGCCAGAACGGGGGCACGTTAGACGAAGATGATCCATGGAGCAACGGCTACGGCTACTGCTCCCCCTCTCGTGCCCAAAATACTGGAACCACTCGCGGGACGGACCGAAGGAGACAAGAACGAGCTTCCGCCAGGTCACAACGGGAACTTGAAGATGATGGGATCCGGGTGATCCCCTCTGAGAGCGCCGAGCAAGCTGAAAGACACTCCGCTTGGTCACAAGAGGAGCACGACGACGATGGAATCCGGGTAATCCCCTCTGAGAACGCCGACCAAACTGGTGCCAATTCCCCGTTTCCTGACGCACGGCGAGGTACATAAGCTGCGACTCGGCAGTCCGGTCGAGGATCCCATCCCGAAGAAGGCGAGCTTCGACAAAACCGCTGGACCGACCGATGTTCCGCGGAAACCCGAGTTCAACTTCCTGAGCAACCTGAGGAACAGGCGGCACCTCCTCCATCGGAGTTGGTTAGAGAGGTCGCCGAGCCAACTTCCATCCAACTTATTTCTCCTGAGTTATCCCCTCATGTCGGCGCGGTCACCGGCTCTACGGAATCTCTTTCTATTCGTTGTGCGGCAAACCTTAACGAATATCCCTCTCACGTATATCGGGACTCTACCGACGCATCAAAAGCAGAACAGGGAGACTTAGGCTCTGATAATAATAATCTATTCAACTCCGCGGCTATATGGTCGCAAGTGGAAAGGCAGGAGCCAGGTGAATCAAACAATAGTGCCTTTGAGCTCGACGCGAGCCAAACTCGCCAGTCCCTTACAGACGACCAGACTCTCTCAAGCTCGGCTCCCCAGTGGGCTGCTATGGATGGGAGGTGCGGATCACAGCCCGATGCCGGTCCAACGGAACTGGATGCCCGCCAGTGTCGTACTCACTACACACCAAATCAATTACTTTCCAGCCAACGTCAGTGGGCAACGAACAGTAGGCAAGGCCCTGCCTTGGAGTGTCGAAGTCGTTTGATGGTTAGCTTGAGGGGAGAAACGGCTGCTGCGATGATAGAAGGATTTGAAAGTCTTCCCGCTTTCTCCACGCCGTTGTAGCAGGCTTACGCAGAATGGCGGTTCCCTAGAATATCTATCAACCCGTCCGGGAAAAAAACAAAAACATACAACACCACGCTATTCGCAGCTGGTCACCCACGCTACTACTCAACGGGCGCTACACGGCTTATATCTGGTCGATCGGACGAGAGGCCTAGGTTTCCGTGTGCTATGGTCGTATGTGACAGGAAGTGGATAGGAAAAACTTATATTCCAAAACCCATCTGTGGTCAGAAGGGCATCGCTTGCTACACCTTCAGGCCCCAGGAAACAACCTGTATGAAATGGTTTTGGAGTGTACTCGCGCTACAGGGATAATATCTTTAGATTGGGGTCAGCAAAGGAGCCAGGATGCGTGCTACGGGGCCATCTAACTTTCTCTGGTGTGTCGGTATTGGTGGTTCCTTCACGGTTTATCTCTTGTGTGGCATGAAATGGGTGGGTATAAAAGTGAACTATGGAGATTCATATTCAGAATATTCTTAATTAGCACATCCCTAGCACAACAGAATTGGATTGATCAAGACAATGGTGCTTACATCGCAGTCAGGTAGGAAACACAACCTCGTAACTTTCATATTTGTGCAAATTCTTAAATACCTTGGATGATTTGCATAAACACGAACAAGAGATACGACAGAATACGCATCTCTTACGGCAAGTTAACTACTACGAAGAAGAACAAGCCTTAGAATGTACAGCTTGTGCTACTAGCTACCGTAGGGTATTTGTTGCGTTGCAGGTAGAAAGAGAAGGAGGGCAAGCTTAAACCAAACTGGAGCAAACGCGCCTACAATCTTAGATCAACGCATATAATAGCTGCTGACGGAGAAGCTTTTTAGGTAAAGCAAGTTGTGCATTTACTATAGCAGTTTAGAACGATTTGTCTGTCCTTTGGTATATATACTCTGTAAAATATATAATAACTGTTTCAGAACATTGTACTTCTAGAAATTGCAGAATGAGTCTACATTTTCGTTGGGAGACACGTAGAAGAATGTTCGAGGCCCTCTATTGTTATATACCGCGCCTGGTCCATAGGTCTACTCCTCATGCAGCGAGGGTGAGCTGTCCATGTTACCTATGACCGTAGACCCACCGTCATGATCACCGTAGTCGAAGTCGTGGAAGGGGCATCCCAGGGGCCGAAGCCTTCTTGAGTTCGTGGATGTCGCGCAGTTGCGTATTCTCACAAGACTGCGCGGCGGTGCATCATCACATGCTCTCCGCATAGTTTCGAAAGCACAGCTCTTCCCTGCGTCAATGGTAGATGCGAGTGAATTAAAGGGAGTATTTCAACTCGATTTTCTTCTGCTGTGTTATTTGCATAGAAGCGCTCACGCGATCTTTCTGCTCCCTGCATTTCACTGCGAAAATGGGAAGGGCTTTCACCACCCAGCTTGCGATGGTACAAGATCACGGTAATTGCTAAGATGAAACTTTTCACACCTAGCGAAGGCATTCGCCGCCTTGCCAAAACAGTGAAAGCGCAGCCACTCGTGTCGGTCGCTCAGTTATATATTTATGGTTCTCTATCATGACCCATCACAAGAACACGCTCAACGAGCGCCCGCAGCTCACTACAGCCTTCTCCCGGTTCGCCCTCCATACAGCGCCAATAACATCCTCCAACTTCTTTAAGCCACAACCTGCAAACCACAACCGTCGACTCAAATCAAAGTCCATATTCATTCTCGGCGCATATCTCCCACCTTTTACGGTTGCCCCCAAAATAACAGGACCTGACCCAATCTTCCATTTGGTTGCGAAAAAAAAATGTACCTAAGATATTCGCGAAGGGACGGTACCATTCGCATCTGTCGCGAAAGCGAGGGTCCCCGTCGGGACCATCGGGACCTTCCAGTCTCTTACCGCCCCCAGGTTACCATCCTCACTCCCCTCATCCGTTAATCGAGCCGTTGAATAATCCTTTTGGAATTAAAGCCCCCGAGCCATACAACCCCATCTTCAACCCAATGGGGACTTCCAGAGCTGAGTTTCAACAGCCATATCACCCCATATTGAACCTGAGCGAAGTTTCGGATTTGGGATCCATGAGTCGTACAGTCCCAGCTTGAACCAGACGCGGAGTTTCCGGAGTGAGTTCCAAGAGCCGTATGACCCCGTCTTTCAACCGACAGGAACTTTCAGGCCTTCTCACCGTAGACAAAATAGGGCCGTGAGTCCTTCGAGTTCGGTGGCGGCGGACCGAGGGTCAGATGACGATGTCGATGAGGCAACTCATTCGTCTTCCCCTTTCTTAGACGATGGATTTCCTAACCGTAGGAGAGCTGAGTATCTGAGCACACGTGGAACTGGCCCGGAGACAACGACAATTGATGGGCGGCGATTCGAGCGCAACAGCCACCCTGATGATAGACAACCCGTTAGCCAGTCGTCACACTCGCCCAGTTCTGCGGAGAATGACGCTTACCTTACATCCTACTACGAAAGGGACGGGAACGAGCGACAGCTTCCGCTCGACAAAGAAATGGAGGTGTTACTCAGGAAGGGAGCCGGCATCAGGATACACGGAGCCCCATGCCAGAGGAGGATGCGTATATAACATTCTACCACACTCGAGATTGGCTACGGGCTGCAGCCCGGCAGCAAAATGCGGCAACTAGTGCAGAGATACATCATGAGTGGAGCACAACCCCAACTTCACCACAACGAATCGCGCCTAACGCTACACCTCAAGTTAGCCCGGTCAACAACAAGACTGAACATCTTACTGTTCGTTTTGCAGAAGCCAGCCTCCCTGATGGCCCTTCTCAAGCGTATACGGACTGCACCGAACGTGGACCTGGCCGCCAAACCGGGTATGCTACTACAGCATCTACCGAAGAATACAGCGCGACGATTGCGGGTTCAGAATATGACAATGTCCATCTGCTCAACAGTGCAGAGACATGGGCAACCGAGGAGAGACAGGAGCCGAATGGAATCGAAAATTGGTCCCATCGAACTCGACCCGAGTCAGACTCAGCAGGTCCTCAGCGATGAGCAGGTACTTGCAAGCTCCGCCGATCAGTGGACGGCTGTGCAAAGGGACTATCCAAACTAGATGCCGGTCTAACTTCCATGGCCCTGACTGAGGATCGGCTACTTCCTAGGGTTGGCTTCGAATTTCAAGAGATTATCAAAATCATTACATTTGAGGTACTGTCTCATTGCTTGATGCCTGCAGTGATTGAGGTGTTATGTTTACTAGTTTGAGGAAGATCCAGCTTTATGTAAAGCAATTACGTGCGGTCGGCATCTAAAAGGCTTGGAGTATACTTTTAGGCTAGAAACTTCTGAAACAGTTCTGTGTATTTATAGGACAGGGAGATCTCTTCGGGCTACAATGCGTGATATAAACACAGTAAATGTTGAGAAACGATCAGATATTCCTACACTGTATGATGCGACAGTCTTGATCTCAAGAGAACATCTCTTCCATGACGTGAATCACATAAGTGTCATCTACGTAATGACTCAATCTCGATACCTTAAGATACTATACTTTACGAGAGCTACTGAAATGGAAATGCATCAGTTTACACCTTTCTAGGGAGACGCAACGGAATAACCTTTATCTTTCGAATTATAGCAACTAATGAAATTCTCCACCCCCGAGTCACATCTAGACAGTGCCCTGCCGCCATTGAAGCCGTGGCTAGGGTTTTGTCAAGGACATCTTTTTTGCATTGAGATCCTTCTTGTTTAACTGTAGTATGAACTATAGCGCCGTGTCCCATCCTTAGTTGGGTGGCCGAAGCATAGTGCTACTCTAACCACCTCAGTCCAGTAAACGAGCAGCTTCTTCCCCTTTCCATATATCAACCCTGTTAGGGTCATCAGTAATTGTGCCGTTCTTCAAGAGCTGCATCTGTAACTCCACAGTTCATTCCCTTTTACAGCATGATTGCTTATTCGCATAACAACCTTCCAATCCAGTTCCTTAACCAAACTCTCCAGAGGACCTGAACAAGCAAACTATACCCGATTCTGCAGAATAAATGCCCATCAAACCCTTTTGGCATGTTCATATATACCATCGTGAAGATAGCGAAGCTTTCAAACAGGCGTTGCCGTACTTGGATCAAGTCCTCAAAAAGGACGTCAGTATTCTTTCCTGAGATTAAGGACAGAATACTGCATCTGCTACCTGTTTGTCAATCCAATGTGGAACTGTTCATTGCTCCAAGTCGATCTCTCTCGAACTGATTTCCACAACTGCGTTTTCAGCTCTGTATATGTAGGCGAAGAGATTGAGTGGGATTTGCTGGGATTTCAATTGTCCTTCTCAACAGAAAAGATAGAAGACGAGACAGCATAGGGTTAAGAAAGCTAGCGTCCCGCAAGACAAAGAGCAGGAAAGACAGACACTGGAAATCCAATCCCAGACATGCTGTCCTCCATGTACGCAAACCTTCCCACTGGCCCTCCTTCAACGCTTTGAAGTTCGTGGAAAGCTCGGTAACTACTGGTTTTCAGTCGGAGAAAGATCGACTTCGATGGGAGAAAGAGAGTGTAGCCGATGAATAGCTTCAGTACATTTCTAACACGAAGCCGGATGGTTGCCACGTTTCATGCTTCTGTCTTTGTTCCATGGGCTCTCGACGAGGATATGTGAGACTCTTGGTGAAGTAGCCAGAGAAGAGGAATATCCGGCTGCGGTGGGGAAGATACGCCGCTTATTGACGTGATTGAATTGGATGACTTGGACGATGTGCACAGGGTACCTAAGGGATGAAATATGTTGATTTCCCATGTGCCCCTTTGGAAGCGTTCATGACGGACAGAATCTTCGGTGCATGAGAGAAGACCTGGTCCCATAGCAACTCAGTGGAAGGGAAAGAACAAAATCATTGGAAATATCGAGCGTCCAAAAAGAGACTGCCCTCATTGATTGATTGTATCATTCCGTATTCCTCGTGGAAACTCACACGCAAGCACCATGAAACACCCGACATAAACAGCGCAACGCTACATAAAGACTCCACGTAGAATACCGTCAGCCGTAGCGCCCGAAAACTCCCAAACCGAAAAACACCGCCAACCCCAAACTCATTATTCACACCGACGACCAAGTCGCAGCACCAGGAGGATCGGAGATGAGAAACCAAACAACGCCACATCCGACCGCGTAACGTACGATGGGGCCGGACAAAAAGTTCGTAACAGTATAGACATCAGTGCTGGAGAACGAGACAGATGCCAGACGCCTTTTCGATGCCGCTTGTGATGCCAACCAAGATCAACAACGAAGAAGATACCAACTATGCTCTAGACGTAAAGCTGGAGAGACATCATAACGTTTCGTTTCATGCTTGCGGCTGGGCCTTGGAACGCATCAACGACGGGTTGCCCACGCTTCCCACCCTGCCGCTGGTCTTGCGGACACCACTCTTGCCCTCGACGCTGCGCCGTGACGGGCTGGTTCGGACCTTGCCCACGCTGAGATTGCCTTGGCCACTGCCGCTCTTTTCCCGGGCTGGTGTCTTTGGATGCGCTCCAGGTTCCACGTTCTCGATGTCACTATCACCGGTGGAGTAGACTGGGGCATATGACGTGGTTGTGACAGTCGTGCTGATGGATGTCGTGCTGTGAATACGGCGTTTGTCCTTCTGAACGGGTGACCGCGAAATGGCCCTCGCCTTATACTGCATTATCCGTAGACTGTACTCACCGTCGCTCTCACCCTCGAAGCGCGTTGGGCGTTTGACCTCTGTAACAGACTTCTCAAAAGGCTCGTTCTCGTCGACACGATGAGGAGATTGCCTGACAGATCCGTAGAGCTTGCTCGTCTTTCGCGGCTGGCCTGGCGTGGGAGCCGGCAGATTGTCGTCCAAAACGCCGATAGTCGATCCTCCGTTGCTTCTCTCGTTGCCCTCGATCTCGCCAAGAGCAGTGCGTTTTTGGGACCCGTTCGGGGGAGTAAACGTTTGCCCGTTGCTCGTCAGCCGCTGCTTGTGCGAGGCCCTCGGGGGTGTGGCAGGGGTTACTTCAGCAAGCTTCGCCTTCATGATGTCCTCGAACCACCACTCTCGGAAGGTTGCCTGGTTCAGATGGAGCCAGTGCTGTTGAGGTCCAACGACCATTCCAGGTCGCATGAAGCGCATATACGCAATCGTCTCATTGGCAGTGAAAGCATGCCTATATATGAGGTAGGCTCCGATCAGGCATCCTGTGCGGCCAAGACCAGCTTTGCAATGCACAGCTATGCCCCGTTTGTGGACGGTGATCATCTCGTGGGCCAGGTTGATGAATTGTCTAACAAGGCTGAGTGGGGGACATGTTCCGTCATCGAATATCATGTTGAGGTGCTGTATTCCGAGGGCAGTGAAGTAGGATGATGAGTAGAGCTCGGAGTTGAGTCGCACTACCAGGCCGATGTTCCTGGCAGAGAAGTGCGACAGCACATTCTTGAACGGAGTTGGGAGATCTGAGCGCTGAATCTCGGCAATATTCGTCGGTAGGGTGGAATACATGGGCGATGTTGGTGGTATGACGTGGGTCGGCTTGTGTTGAGGCGACGCAAAAGCAAGGAAGTCTGGGGTGACCCAGTTGAAGTCTCCCATATCGACTCGCTCATACTTCTCGTATCTGTCTTGGTCAGCCAAAGAATGCATAGATGGGGAACAATACGGACTCTTCCAGACTGAAGTCCTCCATTCCGACCAGGCCCTCCTCCTTTGCTTTCCATACGCCATACACAACATCTTGAATGCTGAGGGTGTAGTCCGCTTGGCTGTAGCCGGCGTCGCGGAACGGCATGCACGGAGGATCCATTTGCGCAATGGGAGCGAGAGCCAGGTGAGGGGGCCACGATTGAATAAGGACCATGTAGCAGGCGAGAATACAGGCGGCGTTAGCCCTGCCTACGCAACGTGTCAGCATCCTACTCCAGGTTAAGAACATGGGTGCAAAGCATACTTCTCGAATCCGCATTCGTCCAGAACACTACTGGTCTGTCATTGCCTGCCAACACCTCGTGCAGGTGGATGGCGAAACGGTAGAGATGCCCAATGTGCAGCGGGCCAAAGTCGCCATGGAAGGCATTGTAAAGCAGAGTCTTGTCGATGGTGAAGTAAAGAGGAGCTTGCCTCGGAGCCTTCTCCCTCGGGCCCGATTGCGCTCTTGCCGAGCGCTTCGAAGGTGAATTGTCCTCTCGAGGGTAGGGAAACGGAGTATTCGCGTCTGGTGGATGCGTGTACGAAGCCAGGTACAGACGGTCTGGAGTGAAATTCGGTCAGTGCTTCTTGTTCGTGCGACATTATCATGTTGTATATGCGTATTGTTTTGGTCTCTTCTCACCTTGGATGTACTCAATAACCTGGCCATAGCTGGCGGTCCTGGTCGGCGTCCTCGCTGCTGTTGCGGTACGCATCGCGGCTACCCTTGAGCTCTTGCAGAAGGTAGAATGCGTGACCTTAGGAAATTGAGAGGCAGACTTGCGAATGCGACCAGAAAGGGAGCCCGGATGCGAATGACAGCGCCGGAAGCAGAGCTGCGACTGCGCGAAATTCAATCGAGTGCGTCGCAAGAGGCGAAGGCTGCTACTGCAGTGGTCGCGCTGGGATTTCGAACGTAGCGGCGACGCAGTAGAAGAATAAAGGTAATGATGCGGGCGGAAGTGGATGTGAGGAGGAAAGATGTTGTGTTGCTCTGAGGCTTGCATGTTTGTTGTGCCTCGAACACAACAACAACACTAGTCCCAAAGAGGGATGGCCTAAGAAACACTAGCTTCCCTGGCCTGGGCGACCCTCGGGCCCACCACTCACAACACTCACTCGTACGGCTTCCCGTCTCATCTCCCTCAGGATAATTACACCTTAACACCACATCATATACTGACCATTGCCTCAGAGATGATTAGAGAAGGGCGAACAGAGGGCTGGCTCAAGCGGTCCGTGGAAACTCTACCTGCGTGGGCCGAGTTTCATGGCGTCAAGTTCAACGGAATCCGAATTGGGCCAATGCCAGGCTTCGAACACTATGGCTCAACCGTCATAGCAACTCGTCGCCTCGTTGCTGGTCAAGAGGATCCGCTAATTGTAGTTCCGAAGGAGCTGATTCTCTCCCGTCAGAACATCCAAGAATGTTCCAAATCCGATCAGCACTTGAAGGAAGTCCTTGATGCACTGGGGGAGTTTGGTCATGTTGGGGCTTCCCCCGCCGGAGCATACTCGAGGCACTGCTAACCTTTGCCTAGACTACTCGAGGCGCCGTGCTCATCTTCATGATCATGCAAGCCACGATATCATGCCCGGATATTAAAGACGTAGGGGTCTTGAACCCGTTGAACGAGTGAACTTTATTCATCAGCTGCTTCGTTATTGTTTCTGACTTGTTCAGATATATCAAATTTCTCCCAGATGAACTTTTGCCGACTTTCTACTCCGACGAAGAGTTGGAACTCCTCACAGGCACTACGCTAAGGCCGGCAGTTCGTGCTAAGATGAATAGCCTTCTACGAGAGTTCGAGCTGGTTCGCACTGCCACCGAGAGTATTGACTGGTGTTCCAAGTATTGGTGGAATGAAGACAATGGGCTATTCACATTCGAGGATTGGATGCGGGTTGATGCAATGTACAGGTCAAGAGCTCTGGAGTTTCCTGGAGTCGGCGACTGTATGATGCCCGTCATTGATTTCGCCAATCATGCATCGGGAGATGATACGGGGGCGCTGTATGAGGCTGACAGTGACGGGAACGGACTACTCCTTCTGCGTAGGGATATTCCCGAAGCTGGTGAAGTTACCATAACGTAGGTACCTTGTGTGGCTCTGTGTATAGGTTACGCTGATCACATCACCAGATATGGAGATGAGAAGGGCGCTTGCGAGAGCATATTCTCCTATGGTTTCCTCGAGCATAACACCAGTTCGGCAAAGACCATGTTCCTCGATTTGGGAATTCCTGATGACGACCCATTGAGACCGGCAAAACTAGCAGTCAATACAGCTGCACCTGGATTTCGCTTATTCGACAAGGATGATGGCGTTGACTGGGAGAGTGACTTCGTCTGGCTCGTAGCCATCAACGAGGAGGATGGGCTGGATTTCAAGCTGAAACAGACGGTGGACGGAGGGCGAGAAATCTCAGCGCAATGGAAAGAGAAAGAACTCGACGATACAAGCAAACTTCGAGGTTACCTTCAGGGTGATCCACTGTGGGAGGTCTATCAGTTGCGCGCGGTTGTCCTACTGCAAGATCGGGTTGAGGCCCAACTCCATACACTGCACGATTTCGACTTCCCCCCACGCAGAGCCACGGTGAGGGAACGCCCGTGGCAGCTTGCAAAACGTCTACGGGACCTGGAGTCACAGATGCTGCAAAAGGCGAAGGAAGCCCTGGAAGAGCAGGTAAGCATATCTCGCAGACTGCAGACCCTGTTCCGCAGCCACTCTGCTTGGAGGAAACGGCTAATGCGGGCAGAAATCTGCGCTTCTTGACTCCAGCGTGGTGCAGCGATATCTTGGGCTTATTGAGGAGGATGAAGAACCGGTGGATTTTACCTAGAGTGACTGAGGACCCCACATCAAGAGGCTCCTGTGGCAGGCATCGCACCCAATATCATGGAAATGATGGCGGCTGGACAACACCTTATATTGTGGTACCCTGTGTTAATCTGCAGGCCGTCCCCGCCACATTGCTGCCCTGAGGAGATATTAACCAAAGGCAGAAGACATGCAACGGAACACCTCGATGGCTGGCAGAATAGTAATACGGACGGAGTATCGTGCAATGACTCAGCACCTTTGCATCAGCGATAGTCCTGGTATATGGCTTCACGTTGGCTGTTTCTTTGGGATTTCGATGGCTATCCCGAGGGAGTTTGGGGATGAAGAACGCAATGTACACAATTATGTACACCGGTTCAGGCGAGACCACAACAGTCAGACGGCTCGCTCAGGCCGCAATTCCGAACCATGGTGCATATTCTGCAGGTATACAGCGACACAGAGCAACGAAATAGACGCGCAATCATCGAAAGGATACAGTTCGAATCACAGAATATCTAACCCATCTGCGAGAGAGTGGTTATCTACCGCAGGGCTGGCCGGTTTCATCAGAGCGAGTGGAGCCGTCCCAGTGCCCATCATGAGTGGATACCGAAGCACGCTCACGACAGATCCATCCCATGTCTCAGCTTCTGGAAGGATGCGGCAATATTCACGCGACGCCGTGGCCCGTGGCACGTACAGTAAATTGCACAATCGAAGTGCAGGTGGCACGGCGCCAACATCAGTGACGCACAGAACCGGTCCTTTCTCCCCAGACTCACTCCCTGCTCTACCCCAGAGTTTCCACAACACCACGGACGCACACAAGCCATGGCGATGACGCCGGCCGTAAAGGCGAAGCATATCAGCGGGGCAGACAGGGTCACGAAAAAGGAACGGGTAGCTGCCGAGAAGCGTGAAGTTCAGTTCAAGTGAGACTTCTTCACTGGTGGAGTCGTGGGCGCTATACACAGTAGAGCGGTATAGCGACGTCGCCGGGGGCTATCCTGGATCTTTCTCGGGTTTTCCTGGCAGATATTCGCGGAAACTTGCAACTTGCCAGGCAAAGGTCTTTTCCCCCGCATGCACCGAAGTTCGAACGGCACCAAGTGGTCTCCCCCCTGGCGTGTCCCCAATAAGGTGCCAGGGCCTATCCCCGGCCAAACCCAAACTTCGCCGGTTGCTGCAAGCTGCCACGCTGCTTGGCTGCTCGTTTCCCTCCACACTTTCCGCCAGACTACTTGACTCAGTGTCGCCCCAGCTCGCCTCAGGATCTCCTGTCATCCCCACGTTCCAACGTTCCTCCTCCTGCACCACCCGCTGTCGACCTCCTGCATAGCTCCCACGACCAATATCAATATCTCAACTCCCTCGTCGACCCGGTTCTGCAACGTGCCATTCTGCTCCTTTTCGAACCCACTATTTCCGCTCCAAGGTCTCGGATGGTGATCGCCTTTTGCGGGCGAGATCACGCACTGAGTTTCCCCGGGTGGTGCGAGAAACACAGGAAACCCGTCAGCACATAAGTACCCCATCGATACGAAATACTCCAACATCCACCATGCCTGGTATACTTCCGATGAAGGTGATCAAGGTTGGGTCCAATGCCCAGTCGCGCATTGCCCAAGCCTGCGATCGCTGCCGCTCCAAAAAGATTCGATGCGACGGTATACGGCCCAGTTGCACCCAGTGCGTGAACGTGGGCTTCGAGTGCAAGACTAGCGATAAATTGAGCCGACGCGCGTTCCCAAGGGGTTACACGGAATCATTGGAGGAGCGAGTACGGTGCCTGGAAGCCGAAGTGCGTGAGCTGAAGGAGCTTCTGGATGAGAAGGATGAGAAAATCGAAATGCTCTCAAGGATACATTCGCACTCGCCCCGGTCAAGCCATTCGCCACGGAGAAATACTACCACCTCTCCGTCGCCGCTGAGGGCTGGGAGCGAATCGCAGGACAAGGACGACGTCTTCAAGGTTCAACAGGCGCCGCTGCTTTTGGATGGCGATGATCAAGAATCGTACTTCGTGGGGACCTCGAGTGGTAGAACCCTTATAGGTGCGTGAAGATTCGTTGCAAACCTGGCCGACCCAACTAATCTCTCGCAGAGGCGTTCAAGCAGCGAGTTCTCGAGTCCGGCAAATCATGCCCAGATGTCAACGCGAACGCCCTCCTCGCGCGTAGCTCCAAACCTGTCGCACAGCAATCGCCAAAGCGTACTATTTCGTACAAGGCGCCGCCTCGTCTCGTGTCGGACCAGATGGTCAACATCTTCTTCCAGGAATGGGCTCCTCTGTTCCCGGTCTTGCATAGACCCAGTTTCCTCTCACTGTATGAGCAGTACGTGGCCAGCCCCGATTCCATGGTCGACAAGAAGTCCGTTGCCAAACTCAATCTTGTCTTTGGCATCGCCGCATTGTCAAGCGACGTAAGTGAATTTACTGGCTCCCACATGAACCCGCTTACTGATTCACCGAAGCCCCGTGATGGCCAGGATGTGGAATCTTTCGAAGCTCAGTGGCAGAGCGCGGTTGACAGTTTCATAATGCATAATGACCTCGCGACCCTGCAGTGCCTGGTGCTTGCTCAGATATTCTGCCTCCTCAAGGCAGATTATGCTCGGGTGCTCAAGTACAAAGGTCTGGCTGTCGGGCTGTCTCAGCGCCTGGGCTTGCACCAGTCACAATCTCGCTTCGCACTCAATGCGCTGACGAGCGAGACGAGGAAGAAAATATTCTGGTCACTCTATACCGTGGACTGGTAAGGTTTTCCAAATCCCGCATATTGTTGCCATATTCACCTTGACTAGCTTGTCCGCTGCCCACCTTGGCCTTCCCAAGTTCATCAAGGAGGACGATGTGCACTGCGAATATCCAGTTGATGCTGATGACGAATATGTCACTGAGAAGGGTTTCTTGCCTACCCTGCCGGGAGAGTTTACCAAGCTCTCAAGCGCACTCGCCCTCTTCCGCCTTGTCCGTATCCTGTCAAAGGTCCTCACCGAGTTGTATCCCGCCTCGGCGTCGTATGATGTCTCCTTTCGGACTATAGCCTCCTTGGCGGATGAGTTGGAAGCATGGTCGGAGAGCCTCGCACCGCATTTGAAGCTCAGGTTCCAACAAGATAAGCCTAGCACGAATGTCACCAGCAGCAGATCGCCGATTCTGGTGAGTCTACATGATTTCAACGCAGCAAAGCGCAAAGCTGACGCAATGCAGTCCATGGTGTACTACCATATCCGGTCGCTCATCTACCGCCCAGCACTCATCGCCAACCTCGGAGACAAGGCCTCCTCGGCTGTCGTTGCAGTAGGTGATGCTTGCAAGCACATCATTCAGATTGTAGAGCTTCTCGACGAACGCAAGTTGAGTTTCTCATTGTGTCTCAACCGTAATGACTTCCTTATCCAAGCCGGCTTCGGAATTCTCTACCAAGCTATCAGTCTTGACCGAGATGGCAAGCTTATGAAGGAATGCAACCGCCTTATCTGCACGGTCATCGAAATGCTTGAGCATGGGTCTGCACCTGGCGCCTCGAAATTCCGCCATATTGGGTGCTCATTGATGTCGATGCCACGCGGCCAACATGGCCCAATTCCCGCTCTGTCAAGGCACAACTCGGAAAGTGCAATGGCAGCTCCTATCGATGCTTTCCGGGCCACTCAGAAATCGCTCAAGGCCATCGCGGCCCGGCTCTCTCCGAATACAGCGAAGGCCGCTCGTCCGAACACGAAGGAACCGCGTCGTGCTACGTTGCCAAACCTCTCTCCCGCCATGGGGATCCACGCCAACGCCTCATTGACCAGCTTGTCGTCGATACGATCAGAGCCACCTGCTCAATCCGAACCTACACTTAGCCCCTTGTCGCATCGGTCTTCTTTCTCGGTGCACACGAACCGACGACCTAGCACCAACGCTCTTCGACAGAACCAGAACGTCGACTTTTTATCGTTCGGTCAGGACCCACTAACAAACTATGGTTTCAGCGCCGGTTTCGTCAAGAATGAGGTCTCGCCTGCTGACTGGGAGCGCCTCCTCGGGTCACTGGACAGCGGCCAAACAAACATCTATGACACCATCTATGGGGGCACTCCCGCCGATGCGCTGATCGACTGTCCGCCGCTCTCCGCCGGAGCAGAAACCAACCTGACATGGTCCCCGGAGTCTTGGGGATGGAGCAACCCGGTAGAGCAGGCAACCACTCAGAGCGTGCTCAGCTTCAGCGACGACAGTCTGGCGAGCAGCGGAGAGGAGTTTGGTAGTTGCGCCGATTTCGCCTCGACGTCCAGCAACGACAGAATCTACCAGGGCATCATGATTCCCGATATGAGCACGCCAACGACTAACATTGGTCTGGCGGGATTCGATCCGAAGTTTGCGATGTAAACGATTTCGCGAAATTTGCGCATGGAGCTTGAGGTGTAGGTGCGTTTCTGGTGTTCAGGATGGGGTTTATTGGGTTTGCTTGTACGCGCGGAGTTTTCTGAGTCGTTGTGTTAAGGGAAGGTTACTTTTTCTCCGTTTGCCGGATTTCAGCGCCTCCATTTGGTTGCGCGTTTACCTGGATTCACACAAGCACTGAGATACCAATTAAAAGCTACGCGATTGGGGTCTGGAGGATTACTTCACTTCGGCCTACTGGCGTCCGGTCGTTATGCTTATGCCGGGAAGGGTGGTTTGGACATTTTTAATATCGTTCTTTAAATTTAACATTTGATATTGTTATCACACTATTGAACCATTTTCTACAGCTATCAACTGCTGTCCACAATGTTTATTATAGAGCATCTCTATTCACGAGGGGTCAAACACCCAAACTCCACCTAGTCGAGAGGATTTTCCTTCCCAAACAAGCCCTCACCTCCCCTGTTCCTTCAACTCGGGCTCCCGCGTGTTCTCCACATGGGAATACCCTTCTCCATCGTTGGTCTGCACCAATCCAGAATATCCACAGTTTGCTGGGCATCCGTTGGATAATGTCAGAGACGTCATTCGCTACACTCTCTCCTCCGTTCAGCAAGGGGTCCGCTTTTTTGGACAGTAACATTGTTTCTCGGAGAAATTTAACCGACGGATGCACAGAAGGGGATTCGCGACGTTTGACTGTCGATTTCTAGGGGATAGATTTGGGGGGATTGTCTCTTCGCGGGTTGAGATTCATGAGGGATTGCTAGGTGAGGAGATGTGCATATGATGTGGATAATGGCAACTTTTGATGTGTGGGTACGAACAAGTGGTGTGGTAGTTATTGGATTCAACCTCACGACCACTTGGCCCATCGCGATCCGTCTTTCAAACCGTCTTTCAAACCGTCTTTCAAACCGTCTTTCAAACCGTCTTTCAAACATAGCAATATGTAATGGCAATGTGCCGTGCACAACTACACAATCGACTTTTCTTACGCCTCCGTCTAGATTACTTCCCCATCCATCCCCTTCCCCTTCCTCAATTAGTAGTCCCCTCCCCTCCACGCCTTTACCCTCAAGAACAGAAAGAAATCTTCTTTAATTACTGTTACGTACCCACCTATCCCCAATACATAGCTTCGGGTTCTTTCTGCCACCCCAGGGAGGAACTGTGTGGTATGGATACTACGGGGGCATGAGAAGGAAATGGATTCCTCGGTGCGGTTCAGCGTCACACATGAAGCCACAGTAAACGAATACCATTGCTATATACAGGTAACATGGACGTGAGTAACGCGTGAACATACATAGTACAGGCAAAGTACTGTGTATCGGCTTGAACGGAGTAGTTTCTATGATTACTGATGGTCTGGCGATCAATAACTTATCATATACTTGTATGTACCTGCAAACCTAGCATATCCCTTGTGTTTGAAGCTACAATATCATCACGACCGCAACATTCGCACCCTTTTGAAGTCCACCATTCTGCTGTTCTGGTGTTCCACTCTTCCACTCCACAGCTTCCCCATCTTCCATCCCCCAACTCCATCCCAATCCTCTCCTCAGACTCCACTCCCCGGACTTCGAAGCTCAAAATCTGCTTGTCCACCTGTCTAGCCCTCCAGAGTCCAGGCCACCAATTCGACACCCGATTCAGATACCCGGACACCCAGGCTTCGTTCTAGCTTCCCCCAAACTAAACCCAGCTAGTGACAAGGGGGCCAGATGACATCACGAATACAAACCGTAGGACCGACTTCGAGGTTGACATGACTCGTGGACGGAGATAATTTGGAACACCGAAGAAGGTCATTTCGTACTGGCTGGAACGCACAATGGCCGGTTCTGCTTTCCATGACGAAATGTACGGAGTATTCTATTATTCTCTCGTCGTGAATCTCGAATGCTATCTAATAAATGGGGCCCTCATCGTTTCAGTGATGCAGGGCACAATGCTTATACAAACCGACTACAAGTACGTCCAGTTCCGTTATACAAGCCCCGCATCCGCCATCTGCAAGTTCTTCGAAACCAGGCATACGCTCGGAACTCATGAGGAGGAAATCCGGGGTATGGGGTAGCGCGACGCCATCCAGGCGCTCTACTGTGTAATTCGCCGGCATGTGGGTGCGATAGATGGAACGTCCGGTTCACGGACGCGGAAGAAATAATGTCCATCCCACGTCACCGCTTTCTTCAGCTCTACTGCGCTACGATCGCTAAGGCAGGTCTAGTCTTGAGAGGTGCATTCGTACGAGGCTCTCTTCGGATGGAGAACCTGAGGACATACTGTAGGAAAGCGAGCAGGCTGGACCGTAGTGCATTCGGGGTGTCAGAGGCCCAGTCTACGAACTCGAGTTCGATGTGAGTGTTTCGCAGGTTCCGCAGGGGTTGTACAAGATGGGCATCACGAAGAAGATTGCATGTGCGGTTGTTTGCATATAGCATCCAAGCCTTCAACATCCAGGGGTCACCATTGGTGATTGGCCGCCAATGCTTGGGAGCCCAGGACGAGCAGCTTCGATGCAAGACCTTGCCTAGGCAAATGTACTGTGTATCCAAGACCAAGATGGCGGGCGAGAACGGAGGAGGCTGCTTGGACCACACGACTGGAATAAGGAGCAAGGGCAAGAATATCTTGACCGAGGGTATTTTAGCGGATCAGATGAGAATTCGGGGGATGTTCGCATGGCACGTGGGCAGCCAGGTGCAGAGGCATACGTCAACGTCACTGCCGCCGTGGCGAGTATCGTGAAGCGCCGATCGTGATCGCTCCTATCGCAGAAACTGGTCGTTCAGGTAGTCGACGAAGATCTCCTTGAGGCGGGCCTTGGAGAAGTTGTGCTGTCGGTTCAGCGTGATGAATTGGCGGCGGATGCGCTGGAGTTGAGGCAGTGTCATTGGTGTTGCGGGGAGCTCAATGGGCTTGTCGACGCCGGACACGGTGATTTCGCCGCCGCCTTCGCCAGGGTGGTCCTTCTGGTATGTCATTATCTGTGCGAGGATGTCGGAGGTTGTCTTGTCGAGCTCATAGAGGTAGTTTTGCTCTGTGGCGGGTTTCTGCGCCGTTCGTCAGTGAGCTGAGACCCTTGATGACATCGAGGAAGGAACTCATACCAACACCGTCGCCTGGTTTGGGCGCACAACTTTTGCCTTCCCGTCGCTGCCAATCATGGCATCCCATATCTGGTCTATCGGTGGTGTCTTGTCTTCGTCGAGGACAGTGAAAAGGGGGCTGTCCCATCGTGTCATGCCATTCGGTTCCTCGTACCTGAAGATCAGGTTCTCGAAATCCTCCTCGTCATAACCTCCATCCTTATCCTTGTCCTCAAGCAGCTGTTTGTTTATCTGACGGCACTTGTCGGCGGGCGTCCCTACGTGTACCTCTGGGATGGTCAGCTTCAACAAGGCCCCACCAAGCAGAATTGTGCCCTACTCACCACGCAGCTCGGCGTCTGGACAGCCTTGGCCTCGCAATACAGCTGGTAGCGGAAGCCCTTGATGTAGTTGAGGCCATCGGCAATGACAATGTCGTCGCGGGAGAGGACCCTCTTCACAGCGGAATACTCCTCGGCCCGGGCATCCTTCTCGGCCCTGGCTGTATGATAGACGTTCCGCGACAGTCCCAGGGTCTGGTCATTGATAAGGTGAACCTTCAGCCGGCTGATTCGACTATCGGCAGCGCCCTCCCTCGCGATCCGGGCCTCTAGGGCTTCCTTGAGCTGGAGCGAGCGCGTTGTCTTCCCCGCGGAGGGGTAGCCTGAGACGATGATGAGCTATAGCTGGCGTTAGCGGAAGGAGACACCCCAAGGGGTGGCAGGAATACCGTACAGGCATGTGCACGCTCTGGGCCCAGCGTGAACGCTGATAGATGGAGGAATACCTGAACAACTAGTAGTAGGCTAGGAATTTGGGGGCGATGACGAAGGGTCGAAATTTCAGAAGCAGCTCCCGCCCAAGCCGAGGCTCGATCCCGATAGATATTAAGATTGCGACCAACAACCAACAACCACGACGGCCTTTCGATCGATACAAAAAGGTCACCGCCAATCCGCGCCTCAGCCCGGCGCCTTTACTCTTGCTACCTGTCTTAATCCGTCCTCGTCGATCTGCCTCTCTCCCACCGTCGCTCTTCTCCCGCCGGCCAAATTTCCATATTGACCCGCTGCCTTTCACCAATCTGTCTCTTATTGCAGCCCCATCGTCTAGCCGTCGCTACCAGTGTGCGCTCTGCTGCTGTGCCACGCATATACATTATATCGCGGCGCTCGCTCCCCGCAGCCGGCCCGGCTCGGTATCAGATCACAAGCCTGACTTTCTGTCCTCTTCCTACCCTCTCGCTAGTTAGAGATATATAGACGGCGGATATTCAAGCAAGACAAGAACACAAGTACATTCAACCGATATAATGTCAACCTCAACAACACGACCCTCCCAACCGCTCTCCCGCCCAGCCTTCCCTCCTCTCCAGTCCTCTATCAGCACCGAAACCCCGAGTCGTCAGAGCTTCAGCAGCACCATGAGCGCTTCATCCACCACTTCCGCGCCGCTCCCCTCGCCCTCGACATCGTGCCCACAGCAACAAGGCTTCTTTGGCTCTCTCAGTCAGCACCAGAGCCAACAACGGCAGCAGCAGCAAGGACAACCACAACAATCACAATCTACACATTACGTTCATCCCTCTCAATACCACTACCAGCCAGACCGGCAGAACGCGGGACAGACGGCAGCCGAGACAAACAGCTATCTCAGTCAGGCGGCATTACTTGCTGAGGCGGCGAAGCGAGCACAGATGGCGGTCGTGATGCGAGATATCGAGGGCATGGAACTGTAGATTTCTACTGATTTCGACTATGCGGACGCTCGGTTTTCTGGATATATCCTCTTGACCACTGCCACATCCAACATCTACTTCTAGGGACAGGACTTCGAGTCCACGTGCCATCACTCGGCATTCTGCTTCGGGCCTTACTGTGATGGTGCAGCTTTCACATGTTGCATCATCCATCTGGCTAGAGAGAGAGGGAGGGGCGTCATCCGACTTGGGATCCAGGCTCATGGCTCCGATCGGCCGCTTCCTGTGTGAGAAGTGGATTCCCATTTTCCTTTCACGTGTAAACGGCCGTTACTCTTCCCGGTCTTCTTCTTTTTCTTTTCTTCACCACCACTTCTATCTCTTCTTCGCTCCTCCTCGAGAACGGGATACACAAGGAAAGCCATGCAAAGTCCCGTCTCAAGCACCCCTAAACCACATGCCCCCCTTTCCTCTCCTCTTCTCCTTCTCCTTCTCCTTCCTCTTATCTGATATCCCCCTTACGAAATGAACTGAACTGTATATACATACCCAACGACCACACGGTCACTCTATTTTCCTTCCGTCTCCACTCCCCCTTCCCTTCCCTTCCCCTTCTCTTTTCTCCCTCATATTCCTCACCCACCCACTTATCTCCCCTTCTTCCACCCTCTCAAGCCGTCACGCCTGGCTTCGCCGCCAAATAGGCAGGTATGGCAGACTCGATTTATGTATCTTTTATCTTATATCTTTTTATCTTACATCTTTCTTTTCGTCCGTCGGGATGAATGAGACAAGGGCGGTTTCACATACGGTACATACATATATATATAGGATAGGGCTTGGAAATGGATGTATGTGCGAGTACGAGATGACTCGATGAATTACAACATCTCCCTCTCCAGTCTCTTCCTTCGATAAAGGAATGTCAATGTCAGGACCGCCGTGTATGTTGTGCTGTGATCGTATTGATAGAGTATTTTTGAAGTAGTGAGAGTACTTCTGCATCGATACTTAATGCTAGAACCCCATGCATGTGCAAGACTGCAAGACACCGCCTGCGAAAATGAGTACCGTATGCCCAGTTTTTGATATTTTTTCTCACAGTACTTGTTTCTGTGAGAAATCAATGGTCCACGGTTGCAATGTTCCATTCCTTATTTTTGTAACCGATTGCTTCCTTTCATCAGGGCCGTTCGTATATTCATTACTCGCTCACTGGCGAAATCCCCATACATCTCCCCCTTTCCCATTACCTCAATGCTTTTTGATAGGAAAATCCCCCTACGTATACACCTCCTCGGTAAACGCATTCAATCCCAACCCTTCCTTCGCGATATCCTCGCCCTTCAAAAACAGCAACGGCATCTCCACCAACGTGCCCCGAATCTTCGCCAACTCCTCCTTAACCTCCCTCACGCCCTGTTCCCCAGGCGAGAAATTCTCCGCAACAACATGGCCCCACTTATACTGGCTAGGCCGCTTCTCCTTGTCTTTGTCGCCAGCCGCCTCGTTGAAGAATCTTCCATAGTACTCGTCATATTCTTTCCACGTGCGCACGCTGTCCGACGGCACGGGGTGGAACACTTTGGCGAAGGCCTCCGTGTTGAGCTTTGCGCGCCAGTTCCAGTGCGTGAGGAATTCTTCCGAGAGCGGGTCGGCCACGATGCGGTCTTCCTCGCTGCCCCAGTCGTACGTGTTTGCTACGCCTATTGGCTCGTAGTTGGCATCGGGTTGGTCTATGATCTGCGGTTTCAGCAAACCCAGATGTTTGCGGAAGATCTGGCGGCGTAGCGAGGCTGCGAAGCGGGAGGCCCGGTAGGGGCGGCCATCCATCAAGGAGTCGACGGGTGTAGGGTCGTGGATGATGATTGCAATTTCAGAGTCATGGTCGCCGCACTGAGAGCGGTCGTTGAGGTTGGCGCTGCCGCAGAGGACGATTTGGTCATCGGCGATGAGGAGCTGGAGAGTCAGTTGGGTGGCACAAGTAAATTAAGGGAGCCAAATCTCTTACCTTGCTGTGAATGTAGAGTTCCTCGCTCACAAAGGCGTCAATCTCGCTCATGGCTCCGCCTTCCCATGGAACATTGCGGATGTCTTCACCACCGAGCATGTAGCACCCGCTCACAGTGTCCCACCGGCCGCTGCCGAGGCCCTGTCGATCACCGATTTGAGCCGCTCCTTGCTGATACTTCTCGTACGCGGGTGGTTGGCTCATATAGCTACTACCCCCGTAGCCTGAATCAGATCCATAGGGTCTGCCTGCAGAGGACTGGCTCGGTGTCCCCTCCATCTCATAGACGCCATACTCTGCAGTGGGCGGGGGACGATAAGCTTGATAGTGACCCCTACTGGCTTCGTAAGCCATATCTCGCTCGTTACTAGCCTGTTGATATGTGACGCCGCTACGTTCTTCAGCTGCACGCCTGTAATATTGAGTCAGTTAGGAAATATCACAAGGAGTCTGCGTATGGGTTACTACTTACATTGCACCGCTCACGTTGATACGGTCGTAGCTCCGCAGGTTGTAGAAGCGAAGATAATCCATAGGATTATAGCCAGCCTTTGCAATAGTTTCGTAGATGGAGTTACCACCACGGTTGATAGAATCGTATTGAAACTCCATTATCGCCCTTGTGCCCAGGGCATCATCACTCTTCAGATCGCCGGCAAATGCAGGAACTGCAGGAATCATGACAATCATCTTGAACTTTTCGCCGTTACGGGCGGCGCGCAGGATACGCTCGACAATAGCTGCACCAATCTTGTTCTTGATGGGCTTTTGGAGATCACTAGAAAGCTCAGCAACTATGCAACTCGACTGGAACATGAAACCTACGAGGTTGCAGTAATAAAGAATTGCTGCTCGATATAGACGAAGTGCTTACTATCTCTGATGATCTCGCAGTAGGCATTTTGAATTGAGCGCTAACTTTATTAGTCACGACGATTTCGGATAGAACATCACTACTGACCTCAGTAGTAACGTTGTGACTCCATTTGGAGACGCTACGGGCAATCTGACACTCGATGCCGCCTGATTGAGCGCTGTGCTCGGCATGCGATTGCCCCTGGTGATTACCGCTAGCTTGCCCGAACTGGTTCTCCATTTGGTGATAGCCTTCGCTGAATCGAGAGAGGACTTTGCTGCGCAAACCACCACTCCGCCCGAACAACCCGCGTTCACCTGACTGGTCATCGTCGTTACCACCGAAGCCGCGGTCGCCTTCTTCTCCATCGAATCCACGCTGCTGAGGTGCTGGAGGATATTGAGCTCCACTCTGGGTATCGGTGAGCCGAGTATAGCGTGATGCCTTTTTGCTGTACTTCTCGTCGTAGATAAAATTCCACCGTTGTGTAAAGTGGGTGCGAAGATCTTGAACCACGGGGCCGGAAAGGGAGACTGAGACGTCGGTCCAGCCCATTCGTGAGCTTATGGTTCTGTCCAAGTTATTCTTCTCCCAGTTTACCACATCGTGAAAGTCTGAAATATCATTAGTTCCTGTGCACAGAGCCCCCAAGAGCTAGAGGCCTAGGGTTGTGTGATTGCAAAACACTTACCCATGATTCTAGCATTGTTGTAGTCCTGGCCTGGGAATACAATGCGGTCGAGGTCACCAGGATGTGCATCTGCAATTGCATGCTGATTTGTATCCTACTGCAGTCAGCCCATGGTTGCACTGGTACGTACGCTCAGCTTACCCATCTACCGTAACAGGCGTCCAAGCCACCCATGAACGCAATGTGCCCGTCTATCAGACACAGCTTCTCATGATGAGCCCAGTATAAGACTGTACCATCGTGGGCGCCATAGATGGCCTTGAGGCTATCCCCCGGAAGTTGTGCGAGCTTTGCAGGGCTGAATGACATATTCTGGAGAGAGGTCAAGAAGTTCGACTGAAGCACTTTGGTATCCGGCAAATGGTCTGGGTGCCGGAAGACGGAAATGTTGGGGTGGAGGGCTTCCAAAGCGTGTTTGGTGTGCGAAGAGGAGACTGTAACAGGAGGTGCGATTAGCGGGTCGGTCCGTTCCACTTCCTCAAGAGATGTGAAGATGACGTCCAAGCCAGCACGAACAAGGAACTTGGTGACGGAATCCGTAGACTGGGGGAGAAGAGAGTGCAGATATTCGGGTAGAGTTGGATTCAACAACTTACGTGTTAGGGCTTGTGTGACCTCCTTATAGACGATGATGTTGATCTTGACGCCTCGCTTCGCAGCAGCTTCCAACATGCGATCAATTCTGTATTGCTGAAACTTGGCTGGCGGTCGACGGAGGTATAGCTCAGGGGATAGCCACCAGTCGAGGATCCAAATGGATTCACGGGCCCGCTCGAGGGCCACACTGAGAGCCCAAAAATAAGAACATCTGCAAGAAGGAGGCCCTATCAGCAATCTGGTTCCCAAGCGGAGTTCCTCAGCACTTACCCATCGACATACCACTTGATGTCATTCCCATGTCTTGTAGGGGCGAAGCTCGAGAAGCGATGCTGCGAGTGGTACTCTTGACCGAGGCCTTGAGGCTGAGGCTGCTGACCAGTAGATGAGGTGTGCTGAGGCTGGTCTTCTCTTCCGGATATCTTGTCCTTGATATTGGTACCGATTCCGTGCACGGCTTCGTGGAGCTTGTCGAAGATGAAGGAGGGTGACTGGTTCTATTACAGTTTGTCAGAGATTAGAGGCACCAATGACACTAGGGATGGTTGTATAGTTACCTGTTCCCCTTCCGGCTTGCTTCCACCAAACAATCGCCTGCCCACGTCGCCAATGAAGCCGCGCTCGCCCTCTTGCCCCTCCTGACCTTGGGCGCGATCCTGGCCATGATAGTCGCCGTATGCGAGGTCATCGTTGCGGGGATTGTACGCCATGGTGAAAGAAGCCCGGCCCTCGAGTATAGACCAAGGCGTGGAAGGTTGGTGGACTAAGGGAGGGAGGTCTGCGGGGAGCTGAAGCTTGCAGGTGGTGGCTTGCCAGGTACACTGGGGTTGCCAACCACCCCGCTCGCCATTTTCGTCATCCCTTCACATCCCTGCAAGTGAAACGAGGTAAACAGCAGCTCGCTATTCCGGCCAGAAGGGGACTCCGAATGGCCAATAAGTGTGTGATGGATGCGTTGTAATGCATTTTCCTGATGCCAGTTGAAGCTTCACAGACTATATTGGGTGACGCTAGACCCCTCTAGGCCATGCATGTGAATACATCTACCCCGCTCCGTCCTAGAGTACCACAATCATCCAGCCAACTCCCTCAGTGACGTCGAACAGGCTTCCATCATCATTCATGATCATTTAGATACACAGTAGCTTCAGGTATTCGAAAATCAGCTCCACGGTGCACTACGCATAATACAGCCAATTAAGGGGCATGGCATCTACCCTTTCTACCAGGCTTCTTTCTCGTGCCATTGCGCCAGTGACGCGTGCTTCTCTCCCGCTAGCATATACAGCGAGAGGCTATAAGCATTCCACCAAGACAGCGAGCAAGCCAATTGCTACTCTAGACGTAAAATCTGCTCTGGGATCTTGTTAACCATCAGGCTAACAGCTATAGACGTCCCTCAGCCCTCGCCTGCCCCCTTCCTCACCGACTCTATTTGAAGCAAAGAAACACAAGGGCCTTAGCTTCGAAGCCATCGGCAAGGAACTCGGCCGTGATGAAGTCGCCATAGCTGCTCTCTTCTACGGGCAAGCCATGGCATCCCCCGAAGACATCAAGAAGCTCTCCAAGCTCCTCGACATTCCCGTAGAGCAGCTCGAGTCGGAGCTAGCCGGATTTCCGGACAGAGGCAGGATTCTGGATATGCCTCCAAAAGATCCAACCATCTATCGTCTGTATGAGATTGTCCAGAATTATGGGTATGCCTATAAGGCAGTGCTGAATGAGAAGTTTGGGGACGGCATTATGAGCGCTATTAGCTTCTCAACCAAAGTGGAAAAGGAGACGGATGAGAAGGGGGATTGGGCCAAGATTACGCTGAGGGGGAAATGGTAAGAATCTCTTTTTGTGCTGGGTGACAGCTTCTAATGATAATGATTAGGCTGCCATATTCCAGATTTTGACCCAATCCGTTTCCCTTCCCGACATTTATATGCAGAGCTATTGGCTAGCACTTAGAGACGCTCAATCTGGAAGTGGCGCACTCGCGGGTGAGTCTAGCAGCAACTCAATACATTTTTCAGATCGAAAGTTGTATTGTCCTCCTTACCTAACCATTGTGAGTATGAACAGGAGTTGACGGGGCATCGGCACTTGTAGTTCTCCGCTCCCACCGCTCCTTCCACATGCGTCACTACTACGCTTTAAGTCCCTAGAAAGCCAACGCGCTCTCACCTCTCTCTTCACCATCACTCTTCCTCCTCACGCATCCTCCTACCCTCACGTCTCACACAACACTCTGCCAAACCACAATACTTCAGACTCCTTTTACTCGCGAGCTCTGATCGTCGCCTTCTGCCTTCTTCTTCAACATCAAGAAACGAGATCTCCGGTCCAAGGACGTCGCAGGCTCCCGAGGAATCAGCATGCCTGCGCAACTTCAGCCCATCAGGCGCGTTCGGTGCACCTACGAGGACTGCCCGGCATCTTTCAACACGGACAAGGAGATGAAGGCACATAAGCTGAGCGTCCCAGAACACGACTACTGTCAAAAATGCGACAAAGACTTTCCCGACTACGACGCCTACGTGCATCACAAGACTCTTGACCCATACAAACACAATAAAGCCTGCCGAGTCTGTGGAGAGGAGTTTAGGAGCGTACCGGGCCTGAAGCGTCACATAGAGCTGGTGAGTCCATATCACACTGTGAAACCCCTGGTTGCTCGTCGTTAACATCAGGCAGCGGCATAAAGTCAATCAAGAACTGCCCTGTCTCGGCTGCAAGGCAACCTTCTTCAGCCCATCCCAGATGATCGAACATCTCGAATATGGACACTGCCACGTGATCTCCGCGCAGGAGTTCCAAGGATACATAGTTCACAAGCATCTCATTGCCGAGATCCTCAAGGGTGGACCCGCTTACGAACGTTTTGTGCAGAAGATCAACCTCTATCGACCGACTGTCGACGATGATGTAGAGGGAGGTGTCGATCTTCTGGATACCCCTAGCGACCATGCTCCCGTTGGCATCGACCAGGCGTGGGAGGTTCTCCAACCAACCAAGATTGACAATACCACACTGAACAAGCTAGAAGCCTGCGAGAACTATCCCCCACTTCCACCTTCTTCGATAGCCACCCGATCGGAATTCGACCTCTCATCCAGGTTCGGAGACATGGCTTTGGATGACGATACTCGGTCCGTTGCCGCCTCGAGCACCGTAGTCGGGAGAAGAACACCAATTGCGCATGAGGTATCTTCAGTTTGGGCAAATGGGAGCTCTGCGAAGACTCTCTTTCCTCACGCCCAGCCCACTCCTGCACCTAGCGAGTGGTCGATCCAGGAATATGATCAGCAGAAACAGATGACGGAGGGCATCAACATTCTCAGCACACGCTTCTGGGATCCGCTCAGCGACGATTGGGAACCTGAAAACTTCCTCGAACCCGTCACCCAGAAGTTCCTCTGTCCTTTCCCTTGCGAGTAAGTCCCACGTGAAGACCATCATACCTGTTGAGGTAGACTAACCATCTTGTAGATGTAGCTTTGACATTCCCAGCGACCTTAGCAACCACATCATCTCTGACCACCGCATCATCCGCATGCGCTGCCCGTCGTGCCTGAAGCTCTTCCAATCCTGCTCCGCCCTCGTTGGTCACTGCGCCTCCAGCACCACGAAATGCCGCATCCGCAAAGCCGACAACTTCGGTACCTTTCTGGACAGGCTCACGGGAGGATTCCTCGGCGTTGAAGAGGAGATTCGTCCAGACCACAAGGACCAGCAGTACACTTTTGTGGTCGAAAACCCGTATACGAAGCAACCGGAGAAGTATCAGCCGACTGTTGCTACGTATTTGAAGTACACGAGCACGAAGCCGGCCGCGTTCAAGGAGCCGGAATCGACGATTATTATTGGAGGTCCGTCCAGTGAGAGAAAGAATCCACTTAATGGGTGAGGGGGGGATAAGGTCAGCTACGTGTTCACCGACTCGCTGGCTTCCATGCACTGGAGATGGTGCTTTGACCTGAGTATCATCCGTCTCAACATTTTCTTCTCAAAAAGCAGGGCGATAATCCAGGATTTAGGAGCTTATGCATTGACTGCTGGGGTATGATGATCGGGTTTCTTTTCCCTTTTTCCCTTTTTCCCTTTTTTTCTTAATTACTTCTGATCAGAGAGAGATTTGCCTCAAGGCAGGGAATGGCACAAAGGAGGAGGGATATGACCTTCATCTGGGCTATTCAACATGTCACTCAGCTTTGAGGGAGCAATATGAGGTTGGAGAGTCTTCCAGTTGCGGGTGCTCCGGTTCTTTTCTCTTTCTCACGGTCTCAACTTCTGCTCTATGACAACTATAGTATACTCCATACCCTAGCGTGTTTCTCAATGCCATTGAATTCGAGATCGGAAATAGTGGCACTTGATAAAGCTTGCGCCACCACTCATCTTCTCATCTGCTAGAGAGCTAAAATGATGAGGATGTGAAAGCTACGATTGCACACTCTTCGATTCATCGCCCTGCATCTCATGGAAACTCAAATGCAGCCATCAACGGCAAAAACATTACATTTCTCTTATTCTTACCCCTCCCGTCGTACTTCTAACTTTGCCAACTCCCCTCCATGCAAATTCCCCCTCTTCCCTTGAGCGCCGCCAACCCCTGGTTTTCCTCTCCCCACCAAACCTAACAAGAAACCAACTGACTGATGCAGCAATATGCAACCGACGCTCTCGTGAGGATGAACAGCAGTACACAAATACACTCGGTAGAATAACAGAAACAAGCATATAAAAATAACTACGCGTTTCGAAACACATCAACCACTCCCACATCAATCTATAGCACACCGCCACCCGCCAACAACGCCCTCGCCATCAACGCGGCCGGATTCTGACTCTGATCCTGCCCCTGCGTGGGATTGTTCTCGGCGATGCGGATATCGAAATCGCCCATCTTGCACCAATCATACACGGGCTGCAGAGAAAACCGTTAGCTTTGGGTCCGTGAATGGAGTCCAACACATCACAAGCCCACTTCCTCACGCCGGGGCAAGAGAGAAAGAAAGGGTTGATAAGAAAAAAAAAGAAAAGAAAAGAGAGATTACACTTACCAAGCAGCTCAAATACATGCACCAACTACACTCATTCCGCCACTCGTAGAAATTCTTCAGCAGCAGGATGAACCCGATAAACACAGCCACCAGGCTGCCCGCACGCACGAGCCACCACGCCCACCAGAGCGGCTTCCGGCCCTTGAAGAAGCCGACCGGTTTCTTGACGAAGGCGTTCAGGGCCGGTTTGCCCCCGAGGGCGCCGCTCATGGTGGGATTCTCGACCGTCGAGTAGGGGGGTTCGTCGACGCCGATGCGTTCGCGCAGCGCGGCGGGGGAATGCAGGAGGCAGATGCCGAGGACGAGGCCCATGAGGAAGCCGCCAATGTGGGCGAAGTTGTCCAGGCCCGGAAGGAGGCCGAGCACGAAGGCGATGGCGAAGTCGAGGAGGAGGAAGAGCAGGTCTTTGACGGGCGAGGGGCGCGAGTTCCAGTTGTACAGGAGGTCGAGCAGGACGAGGGCCAGGACGCCGAAGAGGGCGCCAGAGGCGCCGGTCGAGGGGAGTGCGGGGCCGGCGTAGTTGCCTCCTAGCACGTTGCCGAAGATGCCTGCGCTGAAGTAGACGAGGGCGAAGCGGATGGCGCCGATTTCCTTCTCCATATCTCGGCCCAGGGTTAGTTGGAGGAGCATGTTGAAGCCAATGTGGATGATGCCGGCATGGAGGAAGATGGGCGTGATGAATCGCCACCATTGGTTGGGCTCGCGCGAGCGGTCTCTGAAAGGAGTCGGATGGATTTGTTCGGGAACTCCGCTGCCCATGCCGCAGTGCTGCTGGAGTGTACATTGACGGGAAGGTGAGTTTAGATCGTCGGTTGTGCTGTTGGGGCAGGGCCAACGGAACACTTCTGGAAAGTCTGTTACGTTTCTGATGTTGTGCATGCATGGAGCATAACGCGCTCCCATGACGATGAGGGTTCCTGGACCGGGTCCTATCATGATGTTGAATCGTGGCTTTGTTTGTATAGGTGAACTCGTAAGAGCGGCTGCGAGATGTCAGCTTTGGCGTTATGAGAACTCAGGAGCACAGGAGTTTAAGGACATACCATTCTTGGCCAGTTCGCCTATAAAAACACCAATTTGAACGACAGTCAAGATATACACCACCCAGGTTATCCTGCCACTAAACCAGCCTTTCTTTCTACTCCGACTATACCTTGTAGGACCTGTCTGATAGGAGCTGCCTTCGGGATCCATCTGATATCCCGTCGAACCTGACCCCATCTTCCCTTGCGAATGTAGGGGTATTGCGTTGTGATCTGTGAAGGGGTCGCTATGATGTGGGTTTGAAAAATAGGGCTTTTGGGGATATTGGTTTGTCGAACCATGGTATGCTGTGTCGTCGTAACCCATGGGAGCGGGATGTTGCGCCAGGTTCTGGTGACTGGTCGAAAGGTAGTCGTATTGGTTCGTGTCGTCAAAGGGACTTGTTACGGGCGATATTGAGTGTGTCGACTGAGCGCCTGGAGCAGGTGGTAAAGGAGCATCGGTGCGGTTGTCGGAATGAGAGTTGCTGGCCCCGAAAGACGAGTAGTAGTCGTTGGCGGCCATGGTCGGTGCACGCTCTCTGGTGCAGCCGAGTCGTCGTTGGGTATTGCAGACGAGCTGTTGGTGAGTGCACCAATATGATTCGAAGGAGCTAATTTCCAGGGGGAAGTTGAGGAAGCCCTGGAAAGACGGTCGCAAAATCTCGTCGCGGCGAACTTCCTGGCGAATGAACGAAGGAGCGCGTGACGCAGGTCAGTGTTGGGGTCAGCGCTGGGGTCCTTTTGAGGTGAGAACTAGGCTGGGGACAATGCGATCTGGGGCCGAGGGTGAAAGAAACTGTGTCCTTGCGGTAGCGATCGTGACGGCCGTGACAAGCACTGAGGTGTATGCGAGAAGAGAATGAACAGAAGTCTCAGTGTGGTGTTGAAGGGAGAGTAAAAGGAAGAGTGATGCACACCTAGTTCCAAGGCTGTCGACCTTATGCGGACGCTAACCCAGCCGTCCCTGACGACGCTAGCGCCACAATTGCACAGCCCCCGCTTGTGCCAAAGATTGTCTCCAGATGCGCCAACCAGAATTTAGTTCCCGTCGATCAGGTGTTGTAAATAGATCGAGTGAAGTCACCGCTGCGCATACTCTGTACACAGTTATGCAGCGCCAAAACAAACCCTCCAAAACAGACAAAAAGAACTACACAGTAGTTTGCGCTTGCGTAGGGCTATATCTACTGCGGTGAAAGAGAAAAAAAGAAAAATGGCAAGAAGACAAAAGGCAAGCCCCGTCAGTGTACCCAACCAAGAACAGCAAAAAAGAAACTCGAAGTCGAGAAGAGAAACTCCAACCCTATAACGGACTCTAAGGGAATCGAGGCCAAGGCCAGCATTTTTACTTTTTAGGTGTAGCCAGCGGGATTCGAACACGCGTCGCACATGATGCGGTAGAGTCGCGGGCCAGGCGACAACACCACGTCCGGATGGTGTTCTTGGCGATGAGATTAGGGGAAGCTATAGTTTATATACTACAAAATAAATGAGGGTTACTGTCTGTACTAGATTCTATGTACTATGATTCCAGAGACCAGAGACCAGAGACCAGACACAAGTGACAACAAAAGACGTGGCGCAGCGGCCTACCCCCTTTTCACCCACAGCGGTGTGGCTTCGCATTCGAGCTGACGTATACCTTTCGCCATCAGCCTCAATCAGTATAATTCATTGATTCAGCTCTGGGTGACCTGCGCCGTACCGTTCCGCTAGACCTACCCATATGCTGTCACAGTAAACGCATGAGGGTACGCATAACAACAATCATGGACAACAAAACGCATTTCCACACAGACCATTGACACAAGGACATCATACAGCAATCCGAATGGGGTATCATTACTCAAACGCATCTACACAATCTACAACGGCGGCAGCACCTCTCTACAATTCGGACACTGCAACCTATACCTCATCCACCCCTCCAAGCACGGCGTATGAAAGATATGCCTGCAAGGCGTAACCATATACGCCCGTCTCTGCAAATACATCGCGCCCCTCCCTGACGCCGTATCGCCGGACGCACCGCTCGCCACGACGGGGACCTCGATGTCCGTGGCGCAGATGCTGCAGTCGAAGACTCTGATGCCCTTGCCTTTGGACTCGCCGGCTTTGCCGGTGGAGCCGGAGACGTCGTCCGTGTCGGCGGATTGCGAGGAGCCGACGGGCATCGTGGCGCCTTCCTCGTCTTCGCGGAGGACGGGGTGGTAGTCGTATGCTGGGGGAGCCCAGCCTTCGCGGATGAAGAAGCGTGGGCCCAGGATCTCCTGGCTCTTTAGTACGACCATTTGTATCCAAAGCCATCCCGCTAGAACCGCGAGGGCTTTGAGGTCGCTGATGGAAAACAGGACGTTGTTCGGGATCGCGTAGAAGTAAGCGATGGGAATAAGGCGGACGAGGCTCTGACCGATGATGAAGTCCCAGCGCAAGGCCTTGCGGCAGTTGCGCATGATGTTCCTGTAGATCTGGGGACACCAGCAGGAGAGATAGAGGAAGCAGAGCGTGTTGAAGTAGATGGCTCGCACTGTAGAGCGGACGGTCGTGAATTGGAGAGTGAGGAAGAAAAGAACGATGAGGAGTAAGCCATAGCGGCTGTACAGGGCTCCCAGTTCAGCGCGGCTTGACCTCGGGGTCGTCGTTGTAGCCGCCGGTGTCGTCGTTGCCTCTGCTGGTTCATCTTGGTCCGGTGTAATGATCACAGGTGGAGTGGCCCCAGGACGGGCTGCCGAAGCTGGGAGGGGTAGACCACCCTCTTCTGTGGAAGGGGGACTAGGGGCTAGGTTGGCGGGAGTTGCGGAGCTTTGCGTAGTGCGGGAATTCTGTTCACGGGCTTGCCGTATCTCTTCCGTGACTTGCACTGCCCAGATATCCATTAGGAATCTCAGTTCGAAGACAACGGAGAACAAGGACAGGAACGCCGTTGCATATAGAACCAGCTGCGAGGTCCCCAGGAATAGATGCATGAAGATGAGGGCCAGGAAAGCGAAGCCATCCCCCACAGCAAGCATGGCAATCGTGTAGAAACTAACACGATTGCGCGTTGAAGGAGTAGATGTTTCCTTCATCTGTCTAATAAGAAGAAAGACCTGGAGGAACAGGGCCACGGCAAAGGTGAGAATGGCATGTCTAGCCCTGTCGTTGAACTCTTCGATCTTGGCTCCCAGGAGGTGCTTGAATTCCGAAGGGGAGTGCACTGGTGGTCCTTTAGATTCAATGACGAACCCGCAATCAGGTGAGAATCCGACCATGGACATAGCAAGAGGTGAACGCCGTGGCAGGGGAGCTCCAGTGGGAAAGCGTAACTCTCGCTCCAGCCAGTCCATATCTACGGACGGCCCGTGCATATTCGGATCCGCGCTGGGGTGTTGGAACTGGATTGGGTGTTCCTGTAGGTACAAAACAAATTCGCAATGGGCACTGCTCATCATGCCTTCGGTTGCACCTTCTACTGCGGAGCTCCACGGATTCCAAATTGGGTAGACGCGACTGACCTGCCGTTCGATCGTCTCCTGTATGGTTTGGTTGAGGAGCTGTTGTGACTTGGAGTATAGGTGTTGCGAGAGCTGAAAATGAGGGAGGGCAAAGATGCCTCCAAACCTGTGCGAAGTCAGTGCTGCTCAAGACAGCGTCTCAATGTGGAAGCTCACTTCTCGCTTGTCGTCGTCAACACCATGCCACCATGCTTGGGATAATGCACCCCATTCACCATGAACTCCCACCAATTATCCCCCAACGAATCATCATCTCCAATAACCACCCTCGCAGCCACCTCGGAAACAGTCCCGTTCCCATCCACCCGCATCCTCCCCTCCGTCTCCGTGAAATGCAACCGCACCGTCCCTCCTGACCCGGTAACATTCCGATCAAACTGGGAGTTCGGGAACGGATTCTCGTAGCGTGCAGTCGTATTCAGGTCCCACGGCAGTCGCACCTTCGACAACGGCGAGCGGAACCACTGTCCCTGAACGTGTCCACTGATGTTCCGGTATACGGGTACATTCCATGTAGCGTCCGTGGTGCTATGAAGCAATCCGTCCGCTGCAGGGCCCAACACATCCTTGACCTGCTCCGTCGCGCGCTGCTTCACCGGTTCCAATAAGTCCCAAGAAAACCCCTCCTCTTCTAGCAAGCCCGAAATGTTCAACCACTTCTTATTTCCCGGGTCGAAGTCGCCATAGCTTGTACGGTTCAGCAGGTCGAGCTCATATCGCTCCTGATCAAGAACATCGTCGTATTCTGAGCGGACGTTGAATGGTTGCTGTCCCTGCGGTTCGTTGGAGTTGAGGAGAAAGAGAAGGATAATAAAGAAGATGAAAGATCTGGGGTCGCGGCGGACCTCCATCTAGGGTTGGTAGGGGGATCATCGGAGCCATGAATGGCGCGCCTGGGGAATATGTAGGCAAGGGGTTCAGGTCGGTGACGTGCGGAGCTGTCGGCGGTCCGGATGGATGACTAAGCTATTGTAAGGGGCAGGTTGGTGGGCCAGGCCGGCCACGGACGTGACCAGCCAGATTTTCAGTTTTCGTGCGAGCGTACAGCGCGAAAAACTACACTCTTTCTTAGATATCTACGCAACGGCAAAAGATTTCTTTTAGATTTTTTAAGGTTAGCTAGATCTATATAAGAAGAAGCTATAGTTAGTTTAATTTTAGTAAAAAAATATTTTTTATTACGTAGATATTTAAGAAAGAGTATATCTTTGTTCTAGAAAGGACTAAAAAAGCGTCTTCGTTCTTAAATAACTACGTAACAACAAGATATTCCTTTACTAAAATTAACCTATAGCTTCTTCTTATATAGATCTAGCTGCCCTTAAAAAATCTAAGAGAAATCTCTTGCCGTTGCGTAGATATCTAAGAGAGAGTATAGTTTTTTCTGCCCTTAGGCAGGGTAATTTTTGCTAAGAACAGGCACGAACCTAGCCACGCAGCCTGCGCAGGTCGCAAGGGCAGGTTGCCTGCGCAGAGAGAAAAGGTGCGCAACCTGCAGGTTTTCTTAAATATCTACGCAACAACAAGGTATTTTCTTAAGAAAAGTTAGGAGTACTTCCTTACTATAGATCTCTAGTAGTAGCTTCTTTCTTATAAAAAAAATATGTTGTTGTTGCGTAGATATTTAAGAAATTCTGCAGGTACGCGCATTTCATGTTCTCGCGAAAATGGCCTGGCCACCCTTTGGCCGGCGTGGCCTACCAACCTGCCCCTTACAATATTGCATGATATATTATCGACCTTCGCAACTGTTCACATATGCATTTTTCAGGACTCGAACGAAGTAAGTTGCGGTAGAGAATAAAACGAGGGGTATTTGAATTATGATATAGACAGAGAGAAGTTTCAGGGGCGCGTCACGTTCGTGACTCCTTAACACCTGCGCAACGCCTGCCTACAGGAGCGTACAATGAGACCAACTGATTTGTACAACCACCAACCACCAACCACCACCGCTATGCGCTTTACTTATCTACGAGAAAGCAATCTTTTCGTTCAACCTCCCCAGATCAGAGACTTAGGAAGTTACAGGAGGGACGGCTGGAAGGGAAGCCTCGAGATCAACGCGCTGCACGCCTTGCCGCAGGTCATTGCTGCTGCGGACCAAGTTCGAGAAATACTTTCGAGCGACTTCTGCCTCCATTCTGGTCTTGGAAGTTTCTTCCTTCTTCAGTTGCAGCTTCTCGACGTTGCGCTGAAGTCCAATGCGGACCTCGTTCGCAGGTCCCTTCAGTGATTTGCGGACCTCTGAGCTTATGCGCAACGCATTGGAATGCGTGTAGTCGATTGCCGCGAGTTGCTGGGCAAGTTTTGCGTTCAGTCGATGAGGGAGGGTTTTGGGGATGGAGGTTAGGACGTAGGAGATGCCGAGAGCGACTTCATGCGATGTTAGTGAATCCAGAAGGAGATGCATGATTTCAAGACTTACTGCCAGCAATCAAGCCAGGAATGATGAGCCTCCTGATGTTGTGAGAGCCCATTATTTTGGCTGCACCCAGCACCCCGTCCAACCAGCCGACACCACCAATCACCCGGCCTCCCACCATACCCGCCACAGTGACAGCCATGCCTGTACCAGCTACCTTCTCCTGCCGTTCCCAAAGACTGGCAATATCAAAGAAGTCCCAGAGATCGATCTCTATGTCAACCTGCCGCGCAAGAGCGTGCGTCGGTTTCCTGAACATTCTGTCGGTTCTGAAAATAGTGTCTGCATAGAGCTTGTTTCCAAGATGCAGGATGCCCAGATTCTTGATGGAGTTGTAGCCCAGGTCAGCTTGGGTCCGGGCATGTTCTTCACAATGGCGGACTGTTTCAGTGATCTCATGAAGCATCGCATCGCGAAGATCTTCGGCGTATTGATAGGAGGAGAAGAAACCAGGATACTCGATTCCGAGATCTTGCCCTCCGACTTTGGAGATGGAAGTGTTGATGGTATCCCGCGTATAAACGTAGACTTCGGAAGTCGTGTCCTCGACCAGCCGCTCGACCTGTTCGCCTGCCTCAGTCCTCGCCTTTTTGGACTCCTCGAATTCTGGCTCCAGTATTTCCATCTCCTTATTGACACGATCCAGCTCTGCTTGGGCAACATCACGATTGATCGTCGCCAGATTGTGCACATCACCCAGGACGTTCAAGAGATACGTTTTCGCTGGAGCCAGCTTGGACCTTGCGCGTTTCTCGAGGACGAACCGCCGTAGAGAGGCCTCGAGGTCCTCGAAGTCTCGGATTCTTTCCGCCTCCTTGCCTTTCCCCTTTCCTTTACCAGAGGGATCATCGTCTCCATCATCATCCCCTGGAGGACCGCTGTCTCCCATCATAGGAATGGCGTTACTGGATACGAAATGCACCAGCTCGCTTGACTCCTTGAATGTTGCCGGGCTAAGCCCTTTTACCTGCTTAAGGATCATCTGCTGGCAACGCTCCTGGTCCCGAATGACATCAAAGCCGTTGACAACCATGAAGATATATGCCTTCTCTCGGGCGGCACTGAAGATGAAATTCTTCGCTGACTCCGTGAAGTGATTGGCCGCAGAGACCACAAAGACCACAACATCAATCTCCTCCTGTCTCGCGAAAACTGCAGTCGTTTTGAGGGAATCCGCGTTCAGTCCAGGAGCGTCGATGAGGGCGATATCCACTACCCCATTATTCAGCAGGGACTCGTCAACCGCCCGAATGTCCCGAATATAGATCTTGCACTGCGAATATCGCTCATTGTCAACCACAATCTTTTCCAGGTCCTTGAGATCGAAGACGTGGTATGTGCTCTCGTCGTTTCGATTATATTCAAACCCAATGGGAACAGCGTGAACTTCTTCCACTCCACCATTTTCCCTGAAATCGAGCACTTCACAAAAGATGCTGGTGCACGGCTGCTGGTCCTCTGGCAGAACCTTTCTGCGAAGAAGAGCGTTGCAGAAAGTGGACTTTCCTGCGTTCAGATCACCGGTCACGAGAACTTTGCTTGAAGTGTCGTCGATTCTTTCCTTTAGAGCGTAAAGGTGACGGATGCTTTGCTGGATTTGACCATCAAGTAATGAGGCAATGGAGCCTTTTTCCAACGAATGCACTAGGTCAGTCTGTGTTCGCCCTCCCATGCGTAGCTCCAATTTCAGTACTGAGAAATCCTGGGCCAATTTGGGTGTAATCAATCGCGGTTCTGGTTTGGGCATTTGTGAAGCAGCTGAGCTACTTTCGGCCACAGGGCTTTCCTCCCTGATGGAGGTCTCTGCGCGCCTCAATGGCCTGGGACGATCCGAGGGTGGCTCCAAGTCTCCAATTGCGGATTGTGTATGTTGGAGACCGGGCCGGGAGTCGGTACGAGCAAGTTGCGCAGGATCTGGCTGAACGGCAGGATAATGTGCCGGCCAGTTTAGGTTCATCTGCTGGAAGCTCTTCAACGTCTCGATGGTCCCATGAATGGCACGACCCAAGGTGTTTTTGTTCTGGTTGTAGCGGAGCTGCAGCACATGGCTGCGCTGCCGGTCATATTCGGCGTTCCCACTCCCGCCTTGTAAAATCGTCGCCGAAGACGATGTGGAGCCGTCTTCGCTTGAAGGAGGATGCCATCTCGATGATGAGCTTTCTCCGCTGGCTAGACTGGTGCCGTATCCAGAGTCGTGGTCCATGATCGGAACGTCCTCATCCAACATGGACATTAGTCGAGAGGCAGCTTCGCCTGTAGAGCCTGATCCAACCGTCATGTATCCCGGACGAGTTGGACCTCGTGGAAAGTAGGAGTCGGGAGGGTCAGGTCCGCGTGAGCTTGAGCTCGACGCCGACGCCCCAGATGCCAAAGGGGCGTCGGCAGCTTTGTCCGAGTTCATGATGTGGCACTAGTCGGAAATCAGGATGATTCGTCTCGCATATCGGATCGTATTCGGTGGCAGTCGGTCGCTTGTCCGTGGCGGGCTGTGCAAGTCCTTCAATGTTGTTGAAGGGCGACGAAGAGAAAGAATGATGAGGTGATGTCCCGTGTGGCGGTGACGCCAAGCTTGAAATTGTGGACCGGGGTGTGGAAAGCTGCCAAAACGGGAAGTACTGTGGAGATTTGCGCACTCCGCTCAGGTCTCTTGTACCTAGGTAGGAGGATGGTGTTGTGAGAATAAGATACGGAAATAGGCCGTTATTATTTGCATGACGGGCGCTGGTTGCAATAGATATAGTGCTTGGCTGGGGCCCGTGGAGGTGGCGCGCCAAGCGTCTCCAAGAGCAAGACAGGCGTACTGACAACATTCAACGGCAATGCGATGCAAACACACGACTACCTCCTCCGGAAACTGTCGCTGAGTCGGACCGCGACAATGAATGTTTGTTGCTATGGCTCCTGCGCCAGCGCTCTCGTAGCTGACTGGTCCCTAGATCGTAGAATGGGCGTTCGGCAAGCGTATGACGCCGGCGGAGCGGCTACGGAAGCACCAGCGAGCACTCGAGAAGACGCAACGGGAACTGGACCGGGAGCGCGTTAAGCTCGAAAACCAAGAGAAGAAACTGGTACAGGATATCAAGAAGAGCGCGAAAAATGGACAAATGGGCCCTTTGCGTATACAAGCCAAGGACTTGGTGCGGACGAGGAGGTATAGTCACACACTCTCCGAATCTGGCGTCGCCCTGCTTATCATACGTTGGTGAAGATATATACAAAAGTTCTACCAGATGCGGACTCAGCTCCAGGCCATTTCGTTACGAATACAGGTCAGTAGCAAGCTCACATGGGTGGGTATCGAAGGGTAACACGGGCCAGACGGTACGGAGCAACGAACAGATGATGCAGTCCATGAAAGGAGCAACAGCGCTTCTCGGCAGCATGAATCGACAAATGAATCTGCCCGCCTTGCAACGGATCGCTATGGAGTTTGAGAAGGAGAACGATATCATGGATCAGAGGCAAGAGATGATGGATGATGCGATTGACGATGTGACTGGGCTCGAGGACGAGGAGGAAGGCGAGGAGGTGGTCAACCAGGTACTCGACGAGATAGGCATCGATCTCGGACAGATGGTGAGTCTGGTCAAACGTGCGGGCTCCGTCCTACTGACAGTAGGGTACAGTTGGGAGAGACACCTTCGGGGTTGCAGAAGCAAGCTGTACCGGAAGGCCGGGTAGCACAAGCTGTGGGAGGCGGTGACCCTGATGACGATGACCTTCAAGCAAGGCTGGATAGTCTCCGAAGATGAGGCGACGCGGACTCAAGAGGCATGGCGATTTTCTGGAGTTTGAGGGGTCCTTCTGTTTTTCTCCCTAGTACCCACTGGCAGACATACTATGTAGGCGTGCCACATTATGATGTGATGGCCAGGATAAATTATCGAGACGGCCCGAGACCTCTCGTTTGTACTTTCGTCGCTGAAACGGACGATGTGGATCCGATGTGGCAGTGTCTGCTCACGACAAACGCCTCGAAATCTCCTGAGTGGGTATTGATCTGATCAATTGATGCTTAGGTGGTATCCGTGGACTGTATACGCTCGCACGGGACAGCCCTGCGCCACGTGCCGGTGACCCCAGTTGCCTGCCCCAACTCCAAGTGGCTGGCGCCCCCGCACCTGCGACTTCTCCTCCTCAAGCTCTCAGAGGTTCCCTGCACCACACCTCCACACCATCCTTGGGAATCTCATCGTCCGCCCTCTTATTCGGCTTCTACTGTGAACGTTCCACACCCCAGAATCCCATCATTTGCACCAGTCCTTCGCCCACACTCCACCGGGCCCGCGATTGACCGACGCGCCCCGAACTCCCGACGTCATTCGCCAGCAGGCCGCCCACCACGCCAGCAAACGCCCGGGTGTCTTTCCCTCACCCACGAGGCCCCAGACACCTCCATCTTTACTCCGTACCCCCTCCACTTTTCCACTCCCTTCGGGCCCCCTCCTGTACCCTTGGTCTCTACATTCCTCTCCTCGAGGTAGCACCGTCGGTATGTCTTTCTGCCATTCTTCTGTCCTTGCAGCCTGCGCGACACTCGGTTCCGCCACAGCACCTTAGCCCCTCCTTGATGAGCTCTCTCATCTTCCATAGAGCATGAATGCGAAGCTCAATAACCCTGAATAGATCGTTGGCGCCAGCGCCAGCATCCCAGCCGCCGCTTAGGTCCCTTCCCCAGCTAGAGCGCGCCTCCGTCTCAGCGTCCCGCGTTTCCTGAGAGCTTCGGCGCACCCATCAACCTGGCTGGAAACAAGCGTAGGAGTTTCTCCTCCCAAGGAGGCCTGTTGAACAGGATGTTTGGTACCTCGCCTGGAAAAGAGGATGAGACCAACGCAGTGGATGGCCCCCACTTTGCTGACGCGCAGAAGAGCGCATCGCCGCCAGCCGATGAAACCAGCCCTAGCAGAGAGAAACGTGGGAGCACCTCGGCATCCGCTGAGCGCAAAAACAGCGACACCAACGCCGGTAGTACGAACAAGAGGAGGAGCAGTGGCGTTTCGCGTGCGCGAGACATGTTCTCCAATGCGAAACAGTCTTTGCATCTACATGGCTCAAGTAGTTCCGGGACTGCCACCGCGGAGAGGGGTCAATCCAACATACAGAAACTATCAAAGGCTGATCCGGCGCTAAGTGTTCAGCAAGGCCCTCACAACAATTCAGCTGGCGAGTCTCACCCTGGGCCACGATCCACGTTTCGAGTTGGTGTCACCGAGGACAAGAACAAAAAATGCCGCCGGACCATGGAAGACACTCATGCGTATCTCTACAACTTCCTAAGCACGCCCGCACCGAACTTTGGCCTTGATAGTAATCGAAGCTCAGCGCCTGACTGTGACTCGACCTCGGATTGCTCCTCGCCACCAGTAGTAGAAACAGACAATGGGTATTTCGCCATCTTCGACGGCCATGCCGGTACATTTGCAGCGGATTGGTGTGGAAAGAAGCTCCATCTATTGTTGGAGGACGCAATTCGGAAGAATCCAAACACCCCTATACCCGAACTGCTCGACCAGACCTTCACTGCCGTCGACCAACAATTGGAGAAACTGCCCCTGAAGAACTCTGGCTGCACAGCAGTGATAGCAGTCTTAAGATGGGAAGACCGGGTCCCGAACCCGCAATCTTCCACAGGATCCGTTCTTCTTGCGCCAGCAGCCGTGGCAGCAGCGAAGAACGCCGCAGACGCTGGGGACAAAGGCGCCGATGCTGCTGATCGTGCTGCTGGAGACGCACTAGCTCAAGCGCAACAAGCTGCTGAGACGAAGCTTCGAAATGATGCCAGCCGTCAAAGGGTTCTGTATACAGCCAATGTCGGAGATGCGCGCATCGTCCTTTGTCGCAATGGCCGAGCCCTTCGGCTGTCATACGACCACAAAGGCAGTGACGAGAATGAAGGACGTCGCGTTGCAAGTGCAGGTGGACTCATCCTCAACAATCGCGTCAACGGTGTGCTCGCTGTAACGCGAGCTCTCGGTGATGCGTACATGAAGGACCTGGTGACTGGCCATCCCTACACGACCGAGACCGTCATCCAGCCGGATCAGGACGAGTTTCTCATCCTCGCTTGCGATGGGGTAAGTAGTCGCTCACACGACCGCCAGGATGCAACAACGCTAATCCCTTCATAGCTCTGGGACGTGTGCTCTGACCAAGAAGCCGTCGAACTCATCCGCCATATTCAGGATCCTCAACTCGCGTCCAAGACGTTGGTTGACCATGCGTTAGCGCGTTTCTCAACCGACAACCTGTCCTGCATGGTCGTTCGTTTCGACAACAAGGCAGTCAAGGCACGCAAGCACGAAGCCTCGATTGGCGTTGATGGAGATACCATTGGCACGAAGGCAGGCATCAGTGAGGCCGATGCTATCCTCTCTCAGGCGAGGAATAACGTGGGCGAACCTGAACAGTCCGTTGAGAAGGCAGCGGCCGTCATCATGGAAGAGGAGGAGTCCGAGCAAGCCGCAGAGTTAGCGCCTGAGCTGAACGCGGGAGCGTTGAAGGTGGCCGAGAAGAATCCTGCTTGAGCGATATTCTGCGGCAGGCCCTCCTTTTCGGATGCCGAACTGATTGATATGCAAATGGTGCTGTGATCTGCTTGCAAGCTGGCGGCACACGGAAGAGTTACATTCGCTATGTCCTTCTGAGGTTTTACAAGTTATCTCCTGACCAGCACTTTTCCGGGCATGTACTGTACCAAGGAAGCCAGGCGTTGCAAGGCCAATCCAAGCATACCTTTTTTTCTTTCCTTCTCATAGACCAGTCGATTAAACATGTAGTCTATATGGTGACGTGATCCTCAGTGGGAGTAAAGTGGGAGTAAGATCCCCTGGTGAGTTCTTCAGAATGTGGAATCTGTGCACAGACCACACCCCACATCCAACACGTCTCCCCTCCACAGCGCCAACCTCAACCTTAGCAGAGTCAGTGGCCGCTGGCTGTCCACCATCGTCCTCCGCCAGTAGCTGGATTCTCCTCCGCTCCGGACCCCCTAACCGCGCGCAACAACAATCTCCACATGCGGCTCCGCCTCGAAGAGCATCGCCGTCACGATGTCTGGCCCAGACGCTGCCGACCCCTCAACGCCGGCACCCGAGAAACCACCTGCTAAAGATGTAGTTATACCCCAGCAGCCTGCCATTGTGGCTCCTCGCACCTTCTTGGAGCCAGCTCGACCGATCATGCCTCCAACCCCCTTGTCGGCGATAGATAGGGAGCAGATGGAGGGCCTGGTAGGAGCTCCGAGATATACCATGTGGAATGTTTACTGATACGCGACGCAGAGATCAATACGTGCCTTTCTGAAAGTGCGGACGAGTTACGATGTCCTCCCTTTGAGTTATCGTCTCATCATGCTTGACACAGCATTGTTGGTTAGCAAGAGTCTGAAGATCCTGAATCAGAATGGTTTGTCAGCCTTGTGAACGACGAGTGAGCGAGCGCCGCTAATCACATCCTGCAGGTATCGTGTCTGCGCCGCTTTGGGACTCCAAGACCTCGACGTTTGCCGGGTTGCTTACTACCTCGGACTACATCAATGTAATACAATACTACTGGCAGAACCCTGACGCGCTTGCGCAAGTGGATCAGTTCCGCCTGGACAGTTTGCGAGGTACGTCAGGAGAGGTTATACCGGAACCCAAGTCTAACGAAGCTAGATGTCGAGAAAGCGATAGGGGTGATGCCCATTGAGACAGTGTCCATTCATCCCGAACGCCCCTTATACGATGCATGCCGAAAAATGCTCGCATCAAGAGCCCGCCGTATCCCCCTCGTTGACATCGACGATGAAACACGGCGACATATGGTAGTCAGCGTGATAACGCAGTACCGAATCCTCAAATTCGTAGCAGTCAACGTCAAGGAGACGCAGAAGCTTCGGAAACCGCTGAGAGAGCTCCCTGATGTCGGCACGTATGCCAATCTGGCGACGGCCACTATGGAAACCCCGGTCATGGATGTCATTCACATGCTTGTGAAGAAGAACATCTCCAGTGTCCCTATCTTGGATAAGGATGGTATGTGCTGATGGATACTCTTTCTGTCTCGTCGCTAAGGAAGCCAGGAACCGTCGTCAACGTATTCGAAGCCGTCGATATCCTCACGTTGATCAAAGAAGGGGCCTACGATGATCTCAAACTAAACGTGGGCGAAGCTCTGTTGAAGCGCTCGGAAGTAAGTGCTTCTCCGTGCAGGATACCCGTCAAACACTAACTTGACGAAGGATTTCCCTGGAATATACACCTGCTCCGTTCACGACCAGCTAGGGACCATCTACGATACCATCCGCAAGTCAAGGGTGCATCGATTCATCATCGTTGACGAGCACCGGAAACTCAAGGGAGTGCTGACGCTCAGCGACATTCTGGATTATACCCTGTTGGAAGGGGAAGTGGACGAATAAGCACCACTTCCATGTCCGGCACCTAGACAGCGGAGTTTACAGAGGACGGATGGCCTCTCTTTCTCTTCTTTGTAAGTTTTGGAATTGGCGGATTGCATCTGGGCAGAGGAACAGCAATGTGCCGGATTGCTGGGATCGCGCACAGGCATGTCTTGGATATGGCGAATGGGGCGAATGGGTAAAGGATTTGATATTTGAGTGATTTTATTTGGGCAGGGGGTTCATATTGCATACAGGCTTTCTAGTTATGCTGATTGTGGGACGAAGCGCAAGGGTTATGGGACTTGGAATTGGAATTGTTGGATGACTACATTCCCCTTTTGATCCATGCCCATTGCAAATGGCACTGTTGACATATATTCAGGGTATCTAAAGTCGACCGAACAGTATAACCTCCAGCTATCTTCTACTTCCTCCCACATCATCCAAAGTCAACTAAAACCGTTATCTTCCCTGGTCACTGTGCATCCACCTTGAACTATCCAGATCCACGGGACCATCCCTTGGCCGATATCTGCTTCACCTAGCCAAGCATCTAAGAAAAAAAAAATAGTGCACGTCTTCTTCAGAATCCGAATCTCTCCGCCTGTCAAAATAATCGTCCGTTCCAATCCCCGTGCCCTGTCCTGTCGTGCCCGACGCTCTTTCGCCGGCGGCTTCACTCGATCCAGAGACGCCAATCCTCATAAGATGAAACCGACGTCCAGGATGACGCCCGGGACTCTTCGCGTTGCTGACGCTCCTCTCTCGGCGAGCCGTCCCTGGATGGGTTCTGCGATGCTTGCTGGAGTGAAGCTGAGCGGGTGGAGGGTTCTGGAGCGGCGGAGCGAGACTCCCGCCGGCGAAGGCCCGGAAGCGGTCTAAAGTACTCGGCGTCCTCCTGTTGGACGGGATTCGTACTTGGGCGCGTCGACGGCTCCGGTGCTGATGACCGTTCCGAACGGCGGCGGTGGGGGAGGGCTGGCTCGGCTTGTACTGTCACCATGGTAGCGGCCGAATTATCAAGAGCAAGACGCAAGTCCATATACCCCCGTGAACGAGGCATCCGCATTCTCGGGACACGCAGACTCTGCACCGAACCATCGTCCGAGAGATCTGCGATGGAGGAGCCGGCCGGATGGATCGTAAACGCATTACAGTCGAAGAATCCAGACTCATGTGCCAGAGGTGGACCAGCAGGGTAGAACGCGCGGTTAGCTGCAAGCTGCGACGTCAACGACGGAGTGATTACGATGTCGTCGATTTGCGGCGCCTCGTCCTCGACACCGTTGGCACCCCCATCGCTATGGTCAGTATGAGATCGACACCTGCAGCCGTCGGCGCCGCAGTACATTCCCCCCGTCATCAGGCCCACGCGGTCCCGACCCTCGCACTCCCTCATGAGGCACCGCTTACAGCGGCCGTGGCGCCACTTGTGCTGCCCATCTGCGCATCGTCCCGGGGCGGTGAACTTCCTAGGTGGGTCCGGAAGCGGGCGCGGTGTTGGGTCCATGTGAAATGTTTCCCGGATGGCGGTTTTGATGGCGGTTTTGGTCCGGCAGAAGAGGCCATGTGCGTGGTTTGAAGAGGTTGCCAAAGGAACGACTAGGGGTCGGGGAGATAGGAGGGATTTGGGTCGGAAGGAAGTCGGAATGGGCGCCTTCGTGAGTAAGGGGGTGGAGGAGGCGGTCGAGGAACGGGGCGAGGGGGACTGTGGTGCAGGGGAAGGGAGGGGAGAGGGGAGAGAAGATGGGGTTGTTTTTGGAAGACAAGTGTTGGTGCAGGAGAGTGAGTTCATGAAGGAGGTGAAGCCCATGTTGATGTTAGAGGTTTTTGTTTGTGGCGGTTTGAATCCGGCAAGAGGTTGTGTGTGTTTAGAGTTGTGTTGTTGTTGGGAAGAAGTATATCAGTGGTGGTGGTGGTGTTGTGTAGAATTGGTGTTTGCTTCGAGTTGGTTTCCTCTCAAGGTTGCGCTGGTAGACGCGGTCCCGAGTCGGTTGTGGAGAAAACTGGGTATGAGTGTGTTTGGAAAAGGTCGAAGGCGAGTTAGAGGACATAGGCACGCGCGGCAGCACCGGCGCGCGTTGCCTGTGGCGAAAAGTCACGCGCTGTGAATGCATGGGCCGAATATATCTTGGCGATGTGCGTTCACAATGATTCCCCAGGAGAGCTCAGATCTTTCACCGGTGTTTCCACAGTATCTGCACTGTTTCTTCAGATCAGGGATACGTGGTTTGGAATGGATGCTCGTGCGATCAGCGTGGTGGTGTTTCCTTGGTAAGGGCGTATGGATGTTCCGTGTATGGTGGGGTGGGTGAACACATCGTTGAGAACTGGTGGTCTTTGTCCCCCTTGTGGACAGAACGTTCCTGGGTTCTGGGATTGACATTCCTTGAAATATATAAACGCATTTCATGCCCGATGTTTTATCGCCGGAAATTCTCAGCAGACACAGAGTTACGCGGGGAAACCTCTTCGGGAAAATGGCTCTCGTCGATGACACCAGGATACTCGTTTAGGAGACGGCAAGCTTCTGAGGCCACCTTCTCGGCATCGGATCCGAGTAGGGCAGATGTTCACGTCCAGTGGACCTCCCCGGCATATGAGCATCTCGTTTCCGTACGCCTTGCTTGGTTTATGGACGCATGGGAGGGGTGATGACTAAGATATCCAGGGGAAGTGGAGGATAAGTGGAGGACAAGGGGAGGATAGACGGGCGAAAGACAAGGTAGAGCAGACATAAAGACAATGCCTTCCTTGGTGGCTATCTGGCATTTGGTGTCTTCGGACGAGTGGAGTCAGGAAGTGATTCGAAGAGGTTTCCGCTGTCCTCAATAGTCCGAATGTCGTCCTTGCCGTCTGAGGGCATATCTTGTCCTTCTCCTTCCGCCACCTAGAGCTACCGCCAGTAATCTCGAAGATTGAAGATCGCGTCCTGTACAACCATATTGCGAAGATTCAACCGCATTATGCGCTCGGCGCCACGCTCACGTTGTTCTCGCACGTGATAGATGCATATCCCGACATATTACTCGTTTGTTCGACTTCTTTCCAGTTCAACTATCCCACACCGATCCAGGAGCAAAGCCGTCTCATCTCCCTCCGCAAAAATCTCCGCACCAATGCCAACCATGGCGTTTGAGAGGGCTGTAGTTGCATTGGTGTCGGTGTGCCTTGCCTGCCATCCTCTGCGTCCGTCTCGTCGTCTGCCCCCTTGGCTGCCTTGCTCTTGCGGTCGGTCGTGTCCTTGAAGGCGGCAATGGCTGGCTCGTCCGGGACGATGTTTTGCCGGGCCTTCTTAGAGTAGCGGGTTACCTTCTTTGCCTCCTTGACCATGTCCACCCTGTGTGTGTCCGGCCTTGCTACCGGTGTTGCCTAGGCACTCCGAACCTTCGGCGTGTCCAACTCCAACTTCTCCTTGGTGTTGAAGAGGGGCGCGGCAACAGAGACAGCGCCGTCGCCGTGTACATCCAGCCTTACGTCCCTTGGACCGCCCGCATTCACGATGCCCAGTACGAATTCGGCCCGAGTGGGCGTCTTCCCCTGGTTGAGGGCTTCTTCCGGCGCCTCGTCCCGGGGGTAGACCATTCCCTCGTGGAAAACGAACCCTTTGAGGTCCTCGTCCGTCCAGCTGCGGCCGTGGTCGTCGTAGTCCTCCGTATCCTTCCCTTCCGCGAAGATCTCGGCGCCGATCCCAACCATGGCATTCGAGAGGGCGGTTATCAGCTGACGCGTATTGAACGTTCCGTGGACCTAATACTTGAGGATCAGACAATCGTGGGTCTGGCCATGCGCTTAACGCACCTACAGGCCTAGATCTCCGCCGTCTTGGTCGGAGCCGGAGAGAAGACGTGTACGTTATGACAGTGGTCGTGTAGGTTCATGCCCGAAGACATGTAGTAGGAAAGCACTGGGACCTCGGTGTCCATGCCGCTCACATTGGGCCCTGGAGTCGACCATGCCGGAATTGGCGCCCTGAACGACCTCACCACTTGGTCACGGTCCCCAACTGTCATGTATGCGAAGATCGCCCGCGCCTCTGGGCAATAAGGTGCGTATATTCGAAAGATAAGAGTCCGTCAAGGACGAAGTATATGTTAAATATATATGCGACACGACCTGATTGGATCCATGCAGCAAAAGTTGGAAAGCAATATATAAGTGTCGAGGAGTTCGAGACCCGAGTGTTTCGCTTAACTTTATCGTTTGGCGAGCCCACGGGAATCGAATAGCTGTTGCGCTCTCTCTTGGGGGAAATATACCTTTAGTGGTGCTTGTTCTTAGGATGTTTGATTACTGGGTGGTTGTTCTTGCATGAGCGCTTGTGTTCTGCTTGCTCTTCATCGCACACGTATGGGTTAGATGGTTTGGAGACGGAAGAGGGAACAAGCGACGGGAATAGCAATCGCTGAAGCAATTTGATAGTCCCAACACAAGCTAGATGTGACGGGAACGTAAATCGTTGCTAGGATCAGACTCTAATATCGAAGCCTCCCCTTTCCGGTGTGAGTCTGAAGTGCCTGAGCCTGATATGCCGTCAAGGTTAATGATTTAGCAGCTTGCAGAAGGCTTTCCGCTGCCAGAAGTAGAGGACTCCAACCACATGGATGGTTACGAAATCTCGTGAACACTTACCCTCATGGATTATGCTTGCTGAAAGTTACACAAGACTCGGGTGATTCAGGAGATGATGGCTATTTATAGTTCTCAATAGTTTAGCAAACCCTCACGCCATTGCATTGCTTCTCTGCATAATGGTATGTCGCATGGATGGGATTGCAATGTGACCTCCTAGGTTGAGCATCATGCATCGTTTTTCAGAGATCGCGGATCATAAGACTTCCCATTCGGCATGCTGTCCAGCGCTTCTCCCTACAAACTAAAAAAACAGTATTGTTGACCAGGTCACCTACGTACCCATGCGTTGAAGGCGTTCTCTGATTAAGCGGTTGCAATTGTCTAGTGGGCGTTCACCATCCGGCAAACTCAGGTGCCATCCATCGTCGTCCATGAGTGAAGTCACCTTTCAGCGACTGCGTCACCTTGATTTTGCAAACTCTGGGGCGCACGAATGCAACTTTCTCGAAACATCTCGATATATAGCAGACATCATCCCAGGTAGGTACGTAGCCCTGGGGCCTGGGTACCGGTAGATCGTGAGAGAACAATCCTACCCTAGGGTATGTTGCCACTGATCGGAAGAAGTTATATCCGGATTACCCACCTCACCCCACTTGAAAACATAGCAGTCATCATCGCAATAAACTATATTGCTCTTGCATGGTGTCGTACACAGAGTGTCTTAAGTGGTTATTCTATGATAGCTTGATCGGAGTGCCCGCGGCCTGCACAGAGTCATTTCGTCCCTGCGGCGAAAAGAGATCACCGCTGACCGTCGCCACACATACGATGTGGCCTGTGGAAATTAATCGCTTTACATGTATGATGTTGACTTGGACAACCAATAGTCTAATGCAAGTATAACCGTACCAACGGAGAACCTGCGAGCGGTGTTGCATCGCGTCTCTGCCTGTGTTGGGGGCGGTGCAGTTGCATCTCACATCTATTATGGGCGCTGACGGTTTGTTCCGGGCGCAGCAACGTTTCTCACAGCCTACTCTGTCCGACTGCTCAAAAAGGATATCGTGGTCTCAAAGAGTGAGACTTAAAACCGTGGCCTTCCGTTGATAACATCCTCATAAGCTAGCATCGGAAAGCAGATCATCACTTCTGTACCTTCATCAGATTCATCTACCCTTGGCCAACCAACTTGTTGATTATGCTGGCATCAGAATCAACCGCCATCATTGCGCTCTTTGCCGCTCTGGCATATGCAGCGCCCGCTCCCACGAACGTCAATCCGCGCGCCGGAGCTCCCACACCGGTACCTATTCCCGACTCTTGCACGATCACCAACACACTCCCAGCCCGAAGTGTTCTGGACGGGTATATCCCGAAGGAATCAGTCATATTGAACGACCGCCTCTATGAATCGTACGCGCCATCGAATCCCGCGTTCGACAGGAAAATGTGCTTCGAGCAATGTCATGGCTTTGGCGACTCCGCCGATTGCAAGGCCGCTTACTGGGCGGAGAACTTCCCGGTTCCATCCCGCTATTACGGAGGAAGTGGCTACGCGACAGCTTGCATAATGTTTGGAAGGGAACTTACCGAAGACGACTTTGAGCCAGCTCCTGCGTCTCCCGGAACCGCCGATTCTCCTCTCAAATTGGCTACCACTCCCTACGCCATCAACCTCCAGTGTTGATGGAATCCTGCCAAGGATTCATGCAGCAGCCGGAAAATGGGTGTTTTATATTCTAAGACTCGCTGCGGACATAATCGTCTTCATGACTTCGTCGCTTTTATCGTGGCATACTGCTTGGTGTTTGGCTTTAGCGTTTGTCGTGTGCTGGGTAGGATGTAATGGAAACGGAATTGGGTAATACATCGTACATAATCAATTTGATTCTCATTTCGCAATTCCCATTCAACATTTTCGTTGTCGCTCTCAGATCATCAACTTTGTAAGGTCCCGCTAAGGTCCGCTTTAACGGTTAGTGAAGATTCACATCCCGTTACTGTAGCCTATGGCTGTCTTAAAGGCCATCACCTCGCCTCCGCGGCCGTTCCGAACCTACCCCCTCGTAGTGCGGAAACTGTTACGTTCTGAGCGAAACTTTGACTGGGAAACCATCAACAGGGTGCGCCCCTCCACCACCCATCTCCGCCTGGTATGCCCGATTTCCATCAACTACTTTAATTCCTCCTCTGGGATGCAACTTGTCCCACTCGTCGTAAGCCGGGATAATGTCGAACAGCCTCACTGTCATCACTAGTGCAACTCTAAGCTCTAGCATGGCAAGCGACTGACCAATACAGTTGCGTGGACCCCATTCAAAAGCCGTCCAGGAGGCTTTGTTCGGATACAGGGGATCCTCGGGCCCGACTAACCAACGCTCTGGGAGAAATTCCTCTGGTCGCACGAAAACCTCCGGACTGTGATGCATACCGAGACTGAGAACCCAGATGCTACACCCGTCAGTAGGGTGTTGTTGGCCTCCATCGGAGAGGGTAAAATCCGGTCGGCCTGTGCGGATGCTTCCTGCTGGAGGGAAGAGACGAAGGACCTCCTTCGTAACAGCCAGTGTATATGGTATTCGGTTCAGTAGTGTGGGATCGCGCTCTATGGACCTGGTGATGTGAACAACACTGAAGTCCTTTCCAAATGCAGCATCATGCTCCTCGCGGACCTTCGAGAGCGACTCTGGATTTTGAGAAAGTAGTAGGTAGCAGTAAAGTAGTGTGCTACTTGTAGTGTCATGGCCAGCATAGAGAAACATACGCAACTGTGAGGTGGCAAGGCGCTTGAACTCCTCCTTTGACATCTGGCTGTCTCCCAGCTCATCCAAGTATTTGTCCATGGTCAGTGCTATGATAGACCTGGAGTTCGGACTTGTTTTCTGGGTGGGATGTCTGCGCGCCGCTGCCAATTCATCAAACTGTTTGTCGATTTCTGTGCCGATATACTTGTTCATCCGATAGCTGTTGTAACGTTGAACCAAAGGCCGAGGACTAAGATACCGTCTGATTGGATTGAAAGTCGTCGCGAATGGCGTCCAGTAAACCTGTCTCCGCAAACAATCCGCCAGAGCACTTCCCTGTGTCTGATAATGAAGGCGATTGTCACTGTAAAGCAACCTTGAAGTTAGCATATGGATCAGTATTGGAGGTCTAAACATACAGCGTCACCCGCGCAATGATGTCGAACGTCATGCGCAATGTAAACTCCTCCAATTGAAACACGTTCCCCAATTGTGCCCGCCGTTTCAGTAACGTGCAGAAAACTTCCACCTCCTCTGCAATTGCCGGGGCGAGTTGGGTCATGTAGCCCGAAGCAAATCCAGGGTTGAATAGAGACCGCCACTGCTTCCAGGTATTTCCGTACATTGTCTGTATTGTTGGCCCGCCACTTATGACATCGAACGTTGACTTTATGTGTGCGGGCTTGTCCAGAAAAGCTGTCTCGACCTGCGATGCCAAAGACGGATTCGTCACTACGATCACTGTCTCATTGAAAGGCCATAAGTTGAGGTAGAAGATCCCATTTGGGAACTTCTCAGCCATGCGACGCACTGCGACATGTATGGTTGCGTTCCGTGGTAGTGCCTGAATATGTTCTTTCAGGGCAATAAGATGGCCAAACACCGGATGGAACTTTGGCATTGGCTTGAGCGTATGAGCGAAACTAACCAGGGATACGTATGAAGTAGGGTTAACTTACTGCACCAGCTGCCTGTAGCTTCCGAACATGTTGGCGATTATCACGCCAACTGAGCAAGATCCTAATGAACGAGCCAACGAGCGCTGTTGTGATGGCGAGCTGAACCAAAGAAGCCATGATATCTTGGAAGATGAAAGTCATCAAGAGAAATAGCTTTGATGTTGACGACGTTGACCTAGGCCACGGCCATATATGTCTACTGGCTGACCTGAAAGATCGCAGGGACTTGTTGGAGTTTCCCACCACATTATGTCTCGATGACTCTCGTACGCATATGGGGCGTAATAGTGAGCCCCAATCACTCGCGGCGGCTAAATCCGCCTAGAACCCGCCACCACAGACCAGCAACTGCGTTGGCGACAGCAAATGAGGTCTTGCACATAGAGTTGTAGATTTCTCGGCCGATACTTCTGTCGCGCGAAACTTGAAGGCCTAAATCGCACACCTGTCCTGCAGGATCTTTCAAAGTGATCCGGAAAGGACAAAGTGGCAGGTCGTAGATTTTGAATGGCGTCCTTGCGACGGCAAGTATCCCCAAGCTGTCAAATTGTACCTCTTCTTCTTTCAGTGCTGCGCAAGTTCTGGTCTGTTAGGGAACCTCTAGGATAGTATCTTAGATAGTATCCTGCTTCAACTTCCAGCTGCGAAAGCGTTGAAGGACATTCACTAATGACTTCTCCTCGCAAATACGCGGGCAACAACACAAGGAAGACGAAGAACGTGGTAAATTTGATTATATCTAACTCGATTCACCCAAGCCCTATACCTCCATCCAAGGTTGCAAAGTATGATTAGGCTACGCAAAACCTTTGTCACCTTAGGCACGCAAGAACGCAATTCTGCAATATTGGTACTGTGTAAGGTGGATATACCTCACGGTCGCAGCTTACACAGTCCAACCTATGTCGCTTTAGATGCTGTGCGCTTCAACTCCTGTTGCATTTCCACTACGAATTTCTCTATCATCAGGCATCATGTGCACACCGGAGAGGCCGTGGCGGCATAGCATTCGCATGAGGTGCCATGTACTTTGCTCAGTGTTTCTGCATGCGAAGTATCTTCTGACTTCTACCTTGATTTTGAGTCTATTGAGGCCACTGATGATGAATACCCCGGGAAGTGTGAAGCCTACGACCAAAGGCCCGGTATCGCCCAAGCTTTTGGTCAACCAGACAATATTGTCGGGGTTATTCCAACGGCCATACGGAATTACAACGAAGCATGGACGCTCGGGAGGCAATGATGTATATCTATGCAATGCGTCGCTGTGGAGGATTGCCAACGACGAAGATGGCGCCGAGAAGATTGTGACCTAGGTACGGCGAAGATAGAAAAGGTTACGCGGAGACAGTTTGAGAAAGCTGGGATCATTTGGAATTGAGTTCCATCGCACCACATGCCCGCCGGAGTATTCCTCAAACTGTTCCTAGTCTGTAGCTATAGCTAGCTATAGCTACACTTATAGAAACGACGATCTACGCTGCTAAGCGAGTACGACCACATTGGACAGCCGTTTCAAGTTTCAATAATGCAACCTGACTCGAAAAGTTTTCTGGTCGAAGTAATCCATTCGACTCGCCGGTTCTCGTATTTCCTCAAACTATCGAATATCGCACCAGAAATAGAAAGAAACTACATATCTGCCCAAAAAGCCGTTGGCGTTACCATGGAGCGCACGTGTCTGTAGTCCCATCTGCTATCGATAAAGTTCCAAATATAGCCGGCTCTAACCGCTTCGGGTTGTACCGCAGCACTGCCCCAATTGATCCTCCCGCGTCTCTCCACTCCAGACAATATTTCTTGCTTCTTCACACAGTAGCATTTGGATCGCGACACTTTCCTGCTTCGTGGATGGACTGTTACTCTTTTGGCTCTGTCGATGGCACGCGCAGTGCTGCATGGGTCAATAGGCGACAAAGGTTGCCTCCAATATTCCTTGGACGAACATTGGGGTGCGACGAAACTTCAATGGCGCAATTCTAGGGGTATTCTAGCAATAAGTGCTTCTGTGCATGATACATCCGTCGCTATGGAAACGAGATGCCGACGGTGTTGCCTTCGTGCTTGATCGACTCCATCCAACGACGCACCTGTGCTAGTAGCCGTGCATTCACTGCCTTTTTGCTGCCGCGTCATGAGGATTCAACTCTATCGGGGACCGTCGTCCTCTGCCGTCAACAGGCAAAAACCTATTGACCATGTAGAGGTTCAAGGAGGAATGTAATTACCATGTGTAGTATGACAGTGTTCAACGTCCCTCACGCCCACTTCCCAACCCCCTCCAAAACAACCACAAGCAATAGCTATTGCCCACTGTCGCTCCATCCGCAAGGCCAGTCCATTAAGACGCAATGGCTAAATATTCGCCGAAAATCATGAAAGCTTGAGCAAGAGGCCTACGCCCATAATGTGCTTAACGGGACGAAAGCGCATGTACCCTTCGTCACGGCGGGGGAGCTATCTACCATCGGAGTTAAAATCCCGTAAACAATACCATCGTGCCCTTCATGCTCTAAGCTCCATTAAGCTAAGATGATAGCTACCGAGGCATAGTACAAAGCTTGCACTACTCAGGGTCCATCGCTGCAGGGATGGGTTTGCAAGGTGCACGGGACTCGGCGCGCTGATACCGGACGGTACAGGGCATCTGTGTTTGGGTGGGGATTCGTGCGGGTGGGATGAAACCTCTAGTCTATTGGGACGTCAGGGTGCGAATGGTGATGTTGAAAATTCTCAAATCCAGGCACGTACGGTGAGGCCCGTCAGCCAGCTGACATTGAGGTGAATCGGGACAATGGCTCGCCACCATGATGCACCCGCCACTGGAATCTCACACGTTACAACAGACCTGCAAAACGGTACATTTGAGTTTGACGTCTATCACGCTTGCCCTAAGATGGAGGTAGTAGGGGGACCGGCTCGGTTAGGTATCTGTCAGATGAGGCGATTTTCAGCCCTGGGACAGTTTCGCTATGGAGGAGGGTGATTGGTGGACATTGGGGTATCTGGACACTCCCTAAGTTAGAGTGCACCTTGCCTAATTCAGAACATGGTCTTGTCCACGGTGCGGGGATGTTTTGGAATTCCCAGGATCGGTGAGGGCGAGCACTATGATCATATGAGCATGGGCCTTGGGATATGGCTTGGGGTGGTATGTGGCTGTGGTAATCAACTGGGTTCCGCAAGTCTACCAGAGTTTCGAGTCGAGGGTCAATGGTCAATCGGCAAGTCAAACTACAGTATTTGATTGGTATTATTAGGAATTAGGTTGAGCTAGATCGTCTCGTCTGAATGATTCTGGTTGTGGATCGTAGCTAGACGAGCAACAGCTGCGCATTGGATAGCCTCTAAGGTCGCACCGAAAGCGATCTATCCCGATATAAACCAAGCGATCATATCTGCCGACAAACACCATGACTCCAGGCTGCCGATAAAACGTGGAATGTAGAGAGCTCGTAGCTTTAGACAAGAAGAGATCGTAGGCGATGTGGAATCGTTAACAGCCTGAGAAAAGGGAATCTTCTTCCAATGCCGTGCGCGCTCTGTTGATTATGAAGTCGCCTCCGTCTTCACCGCGACACTTTTGAACTCTCCGTGAAGTATCTCAAGCAGCTTCCGCAGCGTATCGGAACTGCTACTTTTTCTCCTGATTGGCTTGCCGTCCTCATCTTCGCCTTCTGCATCATCGTCTTGCGTGAGCAGTTCGATGGTTTTTCGCAGCTTTTGATAGGCCACGTTCAGCTCCGTATGCGAGACCTCGAGCTTGTTGTACTTCTCCGTGAGGGCAGCGAGTTGGGTTTCTAAGTCGCGAGCGTGTTTTTCTTTGCGTTCGCGAAAGGCGCGCTGAGCGGCGCGATTCTGTGCTCTTCTCCTCTAGACCGAGTTAGAATATATCTCAGAGAGTCGAACAGTTCTGGGACATACCCCTGAGGTAGTGTGTGCTTTCTCAGTTGGCGCAGGGGCCATGGTGGGAGAACGGGCGGGCTCAATGTTTGGCGGTGGGCGCGGACTGCAATAGGGGCTGTCGTGATCAGACCCCAAGTCGGAAGGGGTCATTGGCAGAGTATATGAGCCGAATTGCATTGGTTCCTCGACAATGTGTGGGTAGTAATTCTGATGCATCGCCGCCGGGAAAGATTCGTAGATGGAAGAGACCTAAGTTTTGTCAGAAGAGTCGCACGGCAATTCACTTTCGGTAGACTCACTGGAGAACCACCGAGACTGGGAACTTTGTGAAGATCGGGGGGAAGATCCAAAACCGTTGTCTGGTGCGCAGGCATGTAATTTGCTTGCGGTAACCAGTATTCGAACGTCTGAGATTCCATTCCGAGGCGGTATTCGACAGTGATTATGAAAAGGTTAAGCGGTGCCAATAAGACGACTCTGAGGATGCCGGTATGCTGATTAAAAGCTTTTTCACTCGACAATTTAGGTGGTGGGTATGGGTGATGATGAGAAAGCTTGAGGTCACGGATGTAGAAGCTGGGAGATACTGGAGCTGGAGAGGACTGGATTTGAGATTGAGGCTACGAGATCAATACCAGCTGAAGGCTTATATTTAAGTAGGCCCTCGGCAAAAGCGACGCCTACAACCGGAGCATCCTTTGAGGCGTAGAGGGTCAGGACCTTTGGAAAAGACCGGCAGGGCTGGCCTGCGCATACGTGCATCCCGGTGGCCATCAAGGGGCCAAAGCTGCCCGGCATGCCACTCCGGAGCCATGGACGCTAGCAGTACGCAAGCTTTCTGGTGTTGTTATTCTTGCATGCGAATGGGTCGGACGGTTACACTCGAGGGGCAGCGGAGCTGGGGTCCGCATCGAGACGCACGCTAGGCCAAATATGGTGCTTGATAAAAGTCGTAGGGTGTGAACTGGACCATTCCCGATACAGTGGCTCACCCTGAATAATTAGTCAGTCAATAGGTGCCTTACTAACCTCAACGTGCCTGAGTGACGTAGGTAGTACACTTCTTCAACTCCTCGGCAAAGGCTGGCTTGATTGGGCACCTTATTACTGTGTATGCCCGGTAAAGAATCCCTGAGTATCTCAAGGTTGAGTCTCCATCTACCCTATCACAGGCGCCCGGAAGCCGCAATATTGGCGTTCAGTATTTCTCACTTTGCGATGACAATGTTCGACCGCAGCCTCGTCCGCATGCCAAAGTACTTCTCTCCACCATCCTCAGGTTGAGGGAGGCGAATGCCAGTGTTGGGGTCCAATTCGCCATTCGCTTTGCGGTGACAGCCATTTAATTGCTCAGCGCCGGCTTGCACATTGCATCGTATAACATCGAAGCGACCGCCCCAAGTAGACGATGTGTCCGGCGTGTTACTATTCGATTGATATACAGCGCAGGGCCCAACCGGGGGTATCTCGGGCTAGGCCGTAAGCTTGCGTCCTTGTCGCTGGCCCCGTCACCGACTTTCTGCGTCTAGGATGTAGGAGGGAGACACAGGAGCGAGGTGGCTGCATAGGAATTCCAGATCTCTAGACTCTTGCTGTGAAGGGTCCATTTCATGCTAGGGTCCAAAGGGGCGTTGGTGGGGGGTATTGTCCCCCTGTCCCCTCAAACCCCGCCGGAGATGGTCAGATCTGGACCAGCGGAACACGAACTCGACTACGTTTGAACAAAGAACGCACTGCAACGGTGCCGTCCCGTTATCGTGGCATGCGATACCTGAATTGTAAGAACTGGAGTGGAGGCGGAATGCCGACGGCTACATACGCGGCATCATTCACAGCTTTCCACGAGACCGTACGTCATGCCGAGTTGCCGACTTCGCCGACAACAGCATACGTCGAGGTACAGAGGCGCCAAATCGCCAATCCTCAGTTACAGAAGCTTGGTTTTTGAAGCCTGGGCTACGCGGCGATAATGGTGACAGTTGCGAAGTCATGGGGAGACTATGTGCAGCCTGTGTGCTGGTTTCACCGCGTAGTTGCGCCCCTCAACACTCCCTTGCGATATGCCGATACCTATCCGGCTAAAAGGACCGCCAGTAGAAAATTGCGTGTAGTATCGCACTGTATTGGCCATAATGTGGGTTCTCTCATCGAGGACCACGCTAGGGGTGCGGAGTGTATCCCTGGACTCCTTCCCTTAGGACTAGCAGCTGGTTCACTGATTACTCTTCAAAGACGACCACTCAACGCCCGTGGACTAGGCCTCCGCTATTGACCCTACCAGAGCGGCGTCTCGCTCCCTAGTCCTCCGCTTATGGCGTTGCGAACAGCGCACGCTCGTCAGATTCACTGCCAACCCGTAGTCTCTGCAACGACCATAATCACCCCATTCCCGTCCCGAAATGCAGCCTCTTTGGCTTGAGTGATCTGTACTCGACCGAGCATCGCGTATCTCCTTAGACGGCACACGCCTTATCTGATCCTTTAAGCGAAACAGTAGTCAGTAGGCTTTCGAGCGATTGTGCTTCACCTTAGCTGCTGACCAACCCAGATCTCTGCATTGTCAACCACCATCACACAAGGTTCGGCCAATAGGGCGACGTCTGCCCAGGGGTCGTCAAACCCAGATCAGTCCCATACAAGAGATTCCCAGACACTGTGGGACCAGGATGAAGCAACGCATATGCACATAGAGCAATGAGCTCCCACATACATTGACTCAGTTTGCCATCAAGCCAATTCACTTTGCCTTTGGATTCAATACAGGATGAGCTCCGCGGTACACTGTGATCTTCTTTGCATTGCAGTGGTTGAGGGGCCTAATCCGCCATGGTAGTGTATTATCAAAAGCCGGAACGGTCATGGTATATCATACTCGCCGTAATAGGCTTTGTTCTCCGGCTTTCCCTCATAGGACCCTTTGTCCGTAGCCTTGAACGTCAGTTTTGGTTATGTCTAGTCTTACCTCTCAGAGTGTCAACTTCAGCTAACTTTGTCGGTGTGCAGTGCCTCAAGGCAATCACTGTTCGCACAACAACTACTTCGTTTTTTCGGGAACCAGTGAAGCCGTCTTCAAGTCCAACTTCCAAAATCTCAGAGGAATGCACAGCGGTCTAAGTCTAGTCGTGCCCAACAAGTATTAGCTCACTGTGTCTCCATCAGTCAGCCAAGTCGTGCATATGCATACCCACGCGCATTCTCTGAGCGGGAATACCGGTTGAGAAGGATGTTTGCACAGACGCCCCGGAGTAGGTTCTGCTTGAAAGATCTACGAGGCGGCTATTCGAAAGCGATGCGGCTTTTGCAAGTGGCTGAATCCTAAGTTATGTCGTAACTGCATGACTCTCTGTTTCGTTTTGTAAAATTTCAGCTATCGGTGCAAGGTTCAACACGCATCCACATCCACTCCACCTTCAACCTTGGATTGCATATGCATTTAATTGACTTTGCCCTCGAAAGATCTCTTACCACCACCTGGGCGTGCGTCCGTGACCGGATAGGAGAGGTTGATGTCAGGACTCTTCTTGTGAACCCCACAAATCAAATCTGCAGGCGAAGGCTCTAAGACGTCAAAGAGAGGAAAAACGACTTCAAAACTCATTCGGGGGGGAACCTCCCATCGATGGAGAACAAGTGCACTTCCACACAGTTCCGCAGATAGGGTTCGATGAATATGATCGCCTTCTTCTGACATAAACCCTTCTTGTTTCTGCATCGAAGCTCGATTACATTCTCACTCCACTGGATTCTCCTTCTTGCACGGTTCCTTGTGTTCGCTCGTCTCCTGTCTCCGAGATACAAAGCACCTCACCCCGTCTCACCTCAGGGTATCAACAGCATCTGTGCATATATAATAGACTCAACCGGTGTAGTTCGAGCTAGTTGGACTTTAAGTACCTGCTAGGGTTTAGCTGCCGGTCTGAAAGTACGAGTAATTCACCATCTAGCAGCGGGTGCGAGGTCTAGACTTGATTGAAGGACGACAGATATACATTTCAGACATCCTAACTTGCAAAAAAACATACATAAACGTGCACTTGTGAGTCACCCCCCTCATTACACATGTTGTGTTAGGAAAAGGAGAATGTATAACTGTCCTCGCAGTAAACCGGCGGCATGATTCATATCATGATTGGGTTTCCAACGTCGAGTATGCGGGCAATCTCCGGATGGATATATACCGAATTCCCTCAACTACATCTATTTGCAATTTGGGATGCCTAGTGTACATCACCACCCAGCCATAAGAATCCCCCGCCTATAACCTTGAGAGAAACAAATCATCGCTCTTACACAGAAGTCCCCGAGACGGCGGTTACAGAATCAGAAGCGCCCGCTGTAAAGAGCGTAGAGGAAGATCCTATAGTGCAAAAGCAGTGGATATCCCGACGTGATGGAATCCGTCCGTACACAGAGATGGCTATGCGGTGACTGGTGCTCGTGGTGCCGGACTGAAAAAATGACACGGCGTAGCGAGCATTTCCACGGACGTTCGCGGTTACTACGTATCTCTTCTGTCCTAGTCTACTGTGTAGGTTCAATAGGTGGAACGATTGCTTAAACATTAGTTTTCCTTATGCATGCCTAGGTCTAAGATGCCATGGTATTATACATCATTCCTCGCGACGAAGAAGAGGAAGAGAAGCTGAGGAGAGGATTAGGCCCGCTGGGGCAAGGCCAGACAGATATACCAGTTCCGTCCCATTTCCTTCCCGTCTATTCCATCTCCCAGTGGTGTGGTGAAGGAGTCCAAGTGCACATGTGCTTTTCTTCCCCTCCCAGCTATCAATTTCCATCCTTGGATTCCTATGGTTATCTCGAGCTGCAGCCCCAATCCCGCCGTCGAACCATTGCCTTGAACGCCTTGCTATCCATGAATACCATGCCCTAAAGTTCCGCCTGAAAGTTCCGCCTGGTGAGATGGTGCCGCTAACGCCCAAGTTTTCGAAGATGCTGATCGACATGCTGTTCGAGATGCTGACGCTGACGCCAATGCCGAGTTTGCTGCCGTTGTTCTCGCAAATGCGATGTGCTAAGTGCTTTGAATCGCCTCTCCCGTCGTAATGTGTCGGGGTCGCGAAAAGGGGACAGAATATGATGTAGAAACAGGCTCTCGCCGTAAAGCGAAAGCATCCGAAGAGGCCATACCAACCCATCCCAAATCGCCAGATTATGCCCATTCGCTATTTCTTCTGCTCAATCACGCTTCTGAAATATTTTCAAGAAACTCCCAATATTGATCTTGTCATCAGCGATCCAGTATCTCGCTTTCTCCTGTATCAGCGCCTTCTGCATCAACTCCGCCATACTCTGCATGAGCGCATTGCCTGCATTCGTCTTCGTCGCCTCTTTGCCAATGGTCTGGTGGCGGACGAATTGGCCGGTGCAGTTGCTTATGACGCGCGGATTGTTTTCTACGATGCCGGGGAAGCCCATGGCGTCGTCACAGGGGATTTCCTAGGGGCTTCGTCAGTCGCTTCCATTATTAGGAGTGACCTCCTAAAGAGAAGGTCGTTCGAGAAATAAGAAGGACCTTAACACTCACCACAATATTCCCGTGCGGATTGAAGTCATAGCGCACATACTCGCTAAATGCCCTCTGCTCGTGGCTCCACTGCGTGGCCCACTGCTTACAATCTTTCCACCTTGCCCCTGTCGTACACTTCCTCCACGCATCCAGCATCTCAAAGGCCAGCGGCAGCGCCTGCGTGACGATAAACCCAGTATTCAGCACCACCTTGCCCTTGGAGTCGGTGCTGATATGCTGGTCACCGTTGACGACTTCCTCCGTGTCGATGGGCATGGCAATGGTGGTTGCGTGGCCAATGCCCCACTTATTGAACAGCCACTCGAGCGGGAGTTCAAGATGCTGGATAGTAGCGTCGGCGTCAATGAAGACGACGAACTGGTACGAGTGTAGGAGGTCGTAGAGCACATGGGGCTTGATCCACGTGTCGTGGTGGTCCTTGAGGCTCTTGGCGGCGAAGAATTTGTAGTCGTAGCCGTGGATTTGCGAGTACAAGAAGTGGTTCATGAAGGCAGCGGAGACCATCTGGCCGCCTTTGCTGGCGTCGAGGGAGGCGTAGTCCATGGTGGTCGGGTTCCACAGCTCATTGTCGCCGGTGGGGATGCGCGTGTCCATGTCGACGATGAGAATCTTGGAGCCCAGAGGACTCGTCCAGGCGGGTTCCTTGTCTGGGAGGGTGAACTGGCGGCCGGTGGGGTCCTGGTAGGTCTTCGCGGTCACGGAGTGCCGGATCGACTTGTAGAGACTGTGTATGCCTTGCGAAAACGGAACATCTCCAAGTAGGGGCGCATCATGATCACTCCCGCTCGTGCAGATTCTGGAAATTCGCTGTTAGCACATGTTGGCCCCACTCTCCCCAGTTCCCTAGTGGTAGCGCGTCACGTACCGTTCGGCGGCGGAATTAGCAGTGTCCTTTAGCGTTTGTATGGGTGTGACGCCCTGGTGGAATGCGGAGAACAACAGCAGCAGGACGAAGAAGACGGCCACGCCTACTGCAATGATCCGATGGACGGAGAGAACGGGCGGCATCTTGCAGAAGGGGGTGGATAGACGAGCGTGGGCGGATTGAGAGATTATTGACGGATGCTGTGGTGGAGAGAGGAGGGACAGACGCGAGACAGTGATATGTACTCCGGACGGGAGCTGGCGACGGTGGGTATCGGCAGCCACCCGTTGCGGCAGGCGCAGTGGGACGACGGGACGTGCAGGGGCGAAAATTGTGTTCAGGCAATAATGGGCAATGGGGATTGCGGATTCGCCCAATTCGTGACACCCAGGGCCTTAATGTGTTGGTGAATCCTTTGCGACAAAAGAATCTTCAGGAGCGTGGGACTGTGTAATGTCGTGAGATTACCCGAACGGGCTTGCTGGCAAGCATATATGCTGGGACCGCCCCTGTTCCTAAGTTATCCGTTCTAGTCGGGGCACTGGGAAGTAATACAGTATGGCGGGCTTCGCTGAGAACCCCCTAAAATGCTGGAAGCTGAGGGTGAGCAGGGCAAACGGAACAAAGGGGTCCCGGTTCGCCCCAAAGATGTGAGCCGCTGGGCTGAGTTGGCGGTGTGAGACTAATCGATCAAAAGTGGGCCTCTGAATGTTTTTAGCGAGATGCCAAATTTGGAAACACGATACAGCGTACTGTCCGGAGAACTCCGTACAACTTTTCCCCTTTTCCTTTTCGTTTTTCTCTGGATGATTTCACGCTGTGGAGTACGACAAGTAAGCACTGCGTAGCGCCTGGGCAGCAAAGCTTGTTAGGCATTCTACAGGGTTGATTTTCTTTGAAATTCTGAATGTTTCCCTGGCTGGAATTCATATTCTTAGAGACACCAGGTAGTTATCCAGAAAGATGGTTGTGATGAAACCGGTTCCTGATTACGCCCGGGAGTACGCTGATGCAAGAATTCCATGGCCTGTGGAGCTGGTAATAAATTGTCCTGTGGTACGGAGTACAGTAATGGAACCATACATGTGCTGTGTAGGATAAGCACTGCAGGGCTGTAATCCTTCCCGGCGACACCGTTAATCTTCCAAGGGTTCCGCCTGCTTCCCTACCTACACAGTACGTACAAGAACCTCCAGAAGATCTGACGATTGTCATGTCCAACTGCATACACAGAACACGCTCGTACGTCTCCAGTGCATCTCCCACGCGTCGCGGTGTCGTCTGGAGAACAGGGGCCGCCGACGCGCGCGAATTCTCCGACCCGTCGGGAGTTAATCAATACGGATCGCTACCGACAGACACTCGGCACTTGCCGTTTCCCAGAGCCTCACCAGGCCTAAATCGGTCTTTCACAACTTCGCTCCTGGGTCCGGACAACATCGCCGGCTCCGATTCTCTGCACCTTCGACGACATCTCCTTCAACCGTACATCCAGACATCCTTCACCAAACTTACCCTTGTATCTCCGACGTCCTTTCTCCGTCCCCCTCGACACCTTTTTTCGCGAATTGTACCAGGCCTAACGCTGCAGCCCGCGGCTCGAGACAATTCAAGATGCGCTTCAAGCAGTAACACAGTCAGCCTTATATAACAAGGCACTTATAGAAGCTCCTGCTACGCCAGAGATTGCACAAAGCTTTACGGATAGAGCTGCCTTTACCCTTTAACCTTGAAGATGAATACAACTCACTGCAGCGTATACACGGCAGAGGCACGACACCAGGTGCTCCAGCCGATGAGAGCCGTCTCACCCGAACTGAGAGCTCTCGGGATCAAAGGGACTAAATAGAGGGCCATGTTCCTCTTGCCTAGACTGTATACCTCCTCGTGCCACATCTTCCCAACCCGCTACGACATCGATAAATCTCTCCATCTCCTCCCATGAGCTCATGCACGTAAGGACGGAGAGCCAGGAGTCGACAAATCCAGGAGGACGGCTTATATTCGTCGAGAGACTCCATCTCCGCCGGTCTGCCACTGGAACAAAAACGAAGCTATGCGCTTCCCGTCAGTCGTCCATACACAGTACCCAAGAGTCGCCCGCCTTTTACACAAGAGATCTTGGGCACAGCAAAGACACATCGTCGCTAGTAGCGTCGGCGGAATCCATCTGTATGTAAGTGCACACCACGTACAAGTACAACATGCACGCGGTACTTTGACCACCTTTGCATCCATGGATCCTGGATCTCTACGGCACCTCTCACCGTCATCTGAACGTTCAACTACAGTTACGTACTATGTACATGGTGATCAGGCTTCAGACTCCCAGCATCACCACTTACTGTGTACCTCACGGAAACGATATCCGAGATCGACCCGTCGACTATCCAAAGCCTATTTCAAACCCTCATCACGCGTTCTGCAGCAGCACGTGTCCAGCGTCAATCCTGAACGATCACTCGTAGCTAACCCCGATCTTCGGACTCGAGACAACATATTCCGTTCCACGGCCGCAGTCCACGCCTCATGCCAATAATGCCTCACCCAAGAAATACCAGTACAATAGTGTGTACATACTGTGTGGGACTGTGTATTAACAATCAGTGGGCAATACGATCCCTTCAGCGGCACCTATGACGTCATACCTCTTACCCCTCCAACCGACGTCCCCCCCGACCCCGAAAATTCCTGCACGTCTCCAAACTTGATGATTTACTGTATGCGTTAGGAAAATGAGGCACTGGAGTTGACTTTTGCACAATCGGAATCGTCTCCGAGGACGCGTCTTCCAGTCGTGGGCCTGGGCGTTGCGAGGGGAGTTCATTCACGTAGGCCCGTGAACGGGCTGAGAAGACTCTGACATGCAATGAGGAGTTGAGTGAGTGCCAAGTTCCAATCTAGGTACTCCGTGCACAGCAGTGGGAGTGTTTCTCGTGTTTGATTCGTTGTGGAGCGACAATTCTCAGTCGCTACTGTAGATTACATAGTAAGGTCTACATACTGACTGTGGTAGTATATGAGCATAGGTTTAACCCCCCAATGTGAAGGGCAAACCGCAAACTGTGCAATTGCACCCAGCACACCTCAACTCTCCTCGACCTACCTCCTTCTCCAGTACGACGGAGTTCCTGTGTAGTTGTGATAAACACATCCTCCACAACATCGCTTCCCGGTTTCCCTCGCGCCAATCAACAGAAGATTATCCCGTCTCCTACCCATCCCATCCCATTTCAGACTCTCCGCCGCCGATCATGGCCTGACACTTGCATGTTCCTTCCCGTCTTCTGTATTCCCAGAATTAGGTTCGCGCAAATCCTCTCTCACCACCCTGCCCTCCCAAACCTCGAGTGTGATCATCACTCATACCGCCCTTGGCGATACTTGCACGTAACAGTACAGCGTACAGTACGTACAGTGTAGATAGAGTAACAACAAAAGAATACCACACTGCACACTACATTACACCCTGCACACCCTTCCGAGGCGGGCCCAAACACTCCTGCAAATGACGACCTTTACCATATCCCCTTGCGCCATGCATGAGCTGCACTGCACGCCTGCAAGGTCGACGATCGGTAGTAGGTATTGCAGGCAGTGTATCATTCGCTGCGTGAATAATGGGGCTTGGAGCGGGGGAGATGCGAGAGCGAGGTGTGGCTGCATGATGGGCGTGCACCCTGGGCAGTGGCGATGCATGAGACTACAGTACTCGACTTCGATAATCAGTGGATCAGCAGTAATAATACTTTGCTTGAGGGTGGGTTGTTGCGGCAGAGTAAAGGCGGGAGGGCACGGTGGAGGGAAGGAAGGAGAAGCGGCATTGTACTCCATGTACAACTAGACATTCGAAAAAACAGGAAGGATCATACAGATGATTCGCCATTGCCTTCACGATAAAGATGCTCGGCAGGTAGAGTAGAGTAGAGTAGATTATGCTCACCCGCTCGCTAGCTGGCTAGATATATAACCTCATATCCATAGGAAAAAGGGAAGAAACAAAGCAAGAAAAGAAAACCCGTCATCTGCCCAGCTCTACGTCCTTGCAAACGGAGCGCTTACCATGAAGCTATGGGCAGGCGGGAAAGGCCGCGGGGATATCCAATCGAAATCGCAAAGAAAAATCATTCAGGAGTTGTCGGTAGGAGAAAATGCAAGTAACGAACGAAACTGCTGGCCCGTCCACGTATCCAGCACTTGGTAGTGGGACGACGCCAGAGACCAGAGACCAGAAGATGTTGATGCAAATCTCGATGTCCATCTATTGGTTGTTCTTCTTGTTGAGGGAAGGAGTGCCGGCAAACAAAGTCGCTCGACCATGGGGGCTATCGGCCATCTAGCGGAACAAGAACCGCGGGGACCGGAAATTGGCAGAGAACATTTTTTGTGGGTTGCAGGGTATTCTATCCCTAGGGGGGAGTTCTATGCTGATGCTGATGATGCGCTGTAACGAAGGGCGAAGGGAAAGAAACGCCGGCCTAAATGCTTGCTGATGTCGAATGCAATGCCGGAAGTCTATGTGATCATCTCCCGCCGGCGGTGGTTGACCTTCCCGGCGAGGCATCACCACGGCGCAGCGCTTCCTCCTTTATGAGCGTGTCGACGTGCGAGGCAGCGTCGCTGGTAGAGATACCTGCAGTCAGGTACCCGTCGGTGCCTTCCAGTTCCAGCGGCGTTACGGGTCCTGGGCTACCGTTCAGAGGCATGAGGCGAGGGCTCGTCGGTCTGGTAGTGGGTGCGCGCGTCGGCTGGCCGGGGCTGTAGAGGTACATCTGGTGTTGGGCCTCGTAATATTGCCTGTGGTAGGTGCGTGGAGACAGCGGTGGCTGTGGGCTGTTGGGTCCTGTGGCCGGTGTAGCTGCGGCACTCGAGTTCTGGGAAGAGGCGAAGTTGGCCGGATGGAAACGAGGTAATGATGGCAACCTGAGTGCTGCAGCGGTGCCGGAGGAGGGTTGGCGGCCGTGAGGGACGGGTCGTACCCGTCGAGACGACGACGGGATGCCGAGACTCTGCATCTTGGGCGACAGTGGTGAGCCAGGCGGCGGCATGGTGTGTTGTTTTTCGGCGGGACGGGGAGACATGAGCATGGAGACGGTTGGTTTTCGAGATCGAGGGTCAGTCGCGTGTTGCGGAGGAACTGGCCGAAAGGGTGTCTCGGAGGCCTTGGGTGTTCCTTTGTTAAACGGGAGGAGAGCCCAAGGTTATGTACCGCAAGGAACAACGATGCAGCGGCCGCGCAGACTACTAATATACCAGACAGCGACAGGGTCCTGTTATGGATGGGGGAAAGGTGTGTGAGCAGGTCGGAAGATCAGATGTTCTTATTGGAGAAACGGCCAGTCGATCATCTGGGGCACAGAGTCGCCTGGCGTGCCCACGTTCCGCTGCGTGCCTGAGACAAGGCGTCCTAGCGGGAGACCCTGATTTCTGCAACCGGGAATGACGTTGAAGTTGCCTGATGGAGGTAGTCGAGCAATGTTCGGCACCTCTCTGCCGGTTTAGCGATTTCCGTGATGGTGTGTAGCAACTGGCGGTGGGTGCAGCGAGGGGTTAAGGAGGGAGAGAGGTAGAACTTGGTAGGTTGTTTGTTTGATGTTTCTGTTGACTGTCGGGTAGGGAGCCGCTCCTCATCAAACATAAAATGAGCAAGACGGGAGGGAATGTGACTTCAATGTTGGTGATGAGATGGCAGGATGAGAGACAACTTTGGTTAATAATAATGAGGGCCAGAAAGTTGGCGGCCTATAGTATATGTGGAAAGGGAGAAGACACTCGAAGTACGAAAAGGCAAAGGGTGTGTGACGAGCAGCAAAAAGCTTTTAGGGGAGAAAGACATGAAGGCCAAACCTGGAATCTTCGATCTCTGTGCAATCATCGTGTGCCGCTGCATTACCCAAAACAGGCGCGCGGGCGTCATACGTCCGTTCATTTGTCTTGGGAGCGGGCGCATGAGGCGGGCGTGGCGGCACGGTGGGCACTCGACCGAGGGTCACAGTGCCTGGGCAGTAATAATGCCTGTATTCTCTCCAAAGGGGACAGGCATCGTGGGCATCGTGGGCTATGACGCAGTGCACAGCAGCGTTCCAGGTTGTGAGGGTTTTGCGCTGGAAAATGACAAGGGAGAAAGTGCCCTGCAACCAACCCGCAAGTTCCGAATTTCCGGCGTCGTGGGGAACTTTGCAGCCGGGGAGGATCCCCTCTCGGGCGCTAATGACCGCATCTATGTACTACTGGTATGTGTCGTGCAATAACTGCAATCTGAAGAATCTCAAAGATCATGAGCAGTAATAATGATCTGAGGACGAAGCTAGCGAGCCACCGTTCCAAACCCGTCGCTCTGGTCCCTTGATCCAGAACACCCTCTAGAATTTCGAAGCCCCCTCTTTTGCCATTTGTCGGTGCCACTGTCATTCGATGAATACTTGCGCAATGAGAGACCATCACTAATGGAAACAAAAATGGGCCGCGCTACCTCATGACTACTGGCGGAGAGAAAGAAAAGTGCATCTTCGCCTCCCAATCAGGAGGAGGAATTGTCGACTTTCCGCTATTTCGCTCTGGAAACTCGCTCATCCTTTCGCCGGTCAGGTGGTTTGTGGGTCTATTAGCAAATTTCCGTACGAGCTGCGGTGTTTGAGAAAGGCGCATCACAATATGTATAGTAGACGACGGAGTCGGGAGCTACGTGTACTTCGGTTTTCCTGGGCATCGTAGCATCGTAGACTACCAAGTCCGAAGCGAGGGGACGTCGTGCCTTCATCCGTTGCGCAATTCACATCCTGCACGGCGATCTCCCGCAGCCGCATCGCGAGCCTCTTTTCTTTTTCTTCAGCCGCCGTAGTCGGAGCCGTTGGGGACCAACAAAGGGATATTGTCCCAGCTGAACGGTGTCGGCTGACGAAGAAGATGGGCAAGATGCATGAGGGGAGTCGGATTCCTCACTGCGAGGTCCGTACCGTACACTCCGTGCTGCACTCATCCTCCATCAGATCGGCATCCGAGCACAAATTGTGCTTGGGAGCACACATTACTGTGTTATTCTTGGCAGGGTTTCTATCGTCCGATGAACAACAACACAAGACGGCACGTAACGATACTAGATGAAGGTTTTTGTTGGGAGGGACGCAGTGGCCCTGTCTAGCAATATCCATCGACACAGTCGGCGCCAAGTGCCTGCATCGCCCTTCGCCCTTCGCACGTCTCCATCTCTCCATACCTAGGTATTCTTCTCTCTCCTCATCGTGCTCCAAGTTTGTCCAGGGCTCGCGCTCCCTGTTCCTCCCACTCCTGTTTTGATACCCACATGCTCTCCTTGTCCGCCATCTGCATCTGTCGTTAGGAACCTTGTTTGTGACAAAAAATGTAGAGCATCTCTTACAATGTTTGCTAGCACGGCACCTCCCAGGAAGACCATATGGCGCCGTCGAGGCGGGTCTTCTATGCGCACCTTGAATTTCTGTCTTTTGCGTTAGCGCTGTGCAGTCGGGTATGCGGAGGACATGCGCACATTCAAACGTTCCGGGTTTCCTCCAAGCACTCTGGTGAGCCAAAGCTGCTTCAACTCCTTCTCCAGACGGCTGGGCAGACCTGGGTACATGCTGCTACCACCGCTCAGCACAATGGCTTTGTATAAACTGCTTCTTACGTCGACATCGGCATCCTGGATCGTCTTAAACAGGAACTCTGCAATGCCGGGTTGTTCAACGTCGACGAGGTGCGGCTGGAATAAACATTCCGGTGCTTCGAAGCGCTCGCTGCCTACCCGAATAACGCGTCCGTCGGGAAGGGTGTATGACTCCACCAAGACTGTGGTTTCCTCGCTCAGCCTCTGGTCCAACTCAAGATCGTACGAGACGTAGCAAAGCTTCTCCTTGATCTGACGGACCGTCTCAAAGTCGGCTGTGCGATTGAGTGCGTATCCTCTCCGTAGCAAGAGAGCAATGAGATTCCGCGTCACGTCCCGACCGGCCACATCCAAACGCCGGGTGAGGTGGTTCAGGACGGTGCTCTCGTAGACCGGAACAATGTGTGTGACGCCATCACCAGAATCCACCACTACGCCGGATGACAGACCCTGAGCGTACAGAGCTAGCACGGCCTGTATCGCCACGTATACGCCTCCGAAGCCATAGCGTTCAAACATGACCTCTGCCATTTGTTCGCGGTTCTTGAGGGGGTTCATTGGCGGTTCGGTCAGGAGGATTTTGCGGCCAGTAGGATCAATCTTCATCTTCTCGTAGAAGGTGTAGTCCCAAAGATGTTGCATGTCGTCCCACCGCTTCACGATACCATTCTCCATCTGTCAACGGTGAGGTAGCGTTAGCGGAGGCACGGCGCCGGGCAGTGTCGTCAAAACTTTGCGAGAGTCCACGTACGGGGTAGGTAATCTGTAGCATGGAACGCGCCGCCGCAGCCTCGTCACCACACATTATGTCCTTGATCTTGATGTCGCCATCGCCTCCACGCTCCTCGGCACGCAGTATCGGACGTCCAACTATGGAGGGGAACTGGTGATCGGGGAAGTTCTGGAGAAGCATTGTCAACTCAGTCCTACAACTGGCGGAGTGCTTGGAACGTTGGACTCACCTGTCCGGCGTAGCCTGCCTTCAGGAAACCAGTTCCACCATCCAGAACTGTACAACACGGTCAGCAATGGCGGCGGGGTTCCCGGTCTTCTGAGAGGATTGGCATACCGATAGGCACGTCAGCCATTATGGAAATAGGAGCTCAAAGGTAGACGTGGAGGTGGAACGAGCGAGAAGCAAGCTGAGAGTCAATTCGTAGCTCGATGCCTGGTAGAGGGGCTGTGGAGTTGACGTTGGTCGCATGGTCTGTGCGCATCGCAGTGGGACACTTCCGCAACAGGCGATAGAGGTCAAAGGATGAATGCTCGAGCAATAACAGAGACGACGACTTGACCGTCATTTCGTCGCTGTACTGAGATATTTTGACTTCAAGTGCAGAAGAACAAATGAATGATTCACATATCCCATGGAGTATCATCCCCCTATACTAGGACGGTTAACACGCTCATCGCTTATGAACCGCATTGCGAACACAATCTACGAGTCGAAGAGACCCATTGATTTTGCATGGACATATAACATCTCCAAAGGTGCCCTCTGGTATACCTCTTGTTGTCGGGAGTGATGCGCTGCCCTTCACTGCCCTTCACTGTCTTGGGTTGATGTTCCTGTCACCCACCTAGTTTTTCCCAACTCAACTGCTGAAGGTCTCGGTTAATGGTCGCGCCAAGGCCCACATCTCTCTGAAAAGCGAACTTGCGACACCAAGAGACTTTTCTCCTTCCAGCCCACGACAACGACAACGCCGGAGCCCAGTCGGTCAAGATGCCTTTCTGTAAGTTTCCTCCATGAAGGCCTCGGTAGACGTGCCTTTGCGTCCTGAGGCCCCTACACCTCCGCCTTCACCCATGGACAACCACCCCGCGTCGACCGACAATTGAGTGGAGAAGAGTCTCTGCAAGTTGCTTCGAATGGGGGTTTTGAAGCGTTAATTGCTCACTCTGAGGACCACTCGCTGACACTGGGAAAAGCCAAGCTCGTGAAGAACGATGCCTACTTCTGTAAGTCTTCCAAACCCACTTTTCCCCATGCTTGCGCAGTGGCTAACCATGGTTCAGCGCGGTACCAGGTCAAGTACCGCCGCCGCCGCGAGGGCAAGACCGATTACTATGCGCGCAAGCGATTGATCACCCAGGCCAAGAACAGTAAGCTCTCAAAACCTCAATCCCGGCAATCCGAGTAGTAACATATGCAGAGTACGGTGCGCCCAAGTACCGCCTGGTGGTCCGCTTCACCAACAAGGACATCATCTGCGTATGTAGTGCGCTTCCAGTCATCAGCTCCAAAAGACTCACAGCGTGCAGCAAATCATCCACTCCGAAGTTACCGGTGACCGCGTCTTCGCCGCTGCCTACGCTCACGAGCTCAAGGCCTATGGCATCACCCACGGTCTTACCAACTGGGCCTCCGCCTACGCTACCGGTCTTCTCCTTGCCCGCCGTACCCTGAAGAAGCTCGAGCTCGATGAGGATTTCACTGGTGTCGAGGAGGCCGATGGCGAGTTCCAGCTGACCGAGGCCGTGGAGATCGACGGTGAGGAGCGCCGCCCCTTCAAGGTCTTCTTGGATGTTGGTCTCGCCCGTACCTCGACTGGTGCCCGCGTCTTCGGTGCCATGAAGGGTGCCTCTGATGGTGGTCTCTACGTTCCCCACTCCGAGAACCGCTTCCCCGGTTACGACATGGAGACCAAGGAGCTCGACACGGAGACTCTCCGCAAGTACATCTTCGGTGGCCACGTCGCTGAGTACATGGAGACGCTCGCCGACGACGATGAGGAGCGCTACAAGTCCCAGTTCGCCGGCTACATCGAGGACGACATCGAGGCCGACGCTCTTGAGGAGCTCTACGCCGAGGCCCACAAGGCTATCCGCGAGGACCCCTTCAAGAAGGTCGAGAGCGATGCTCCCAAGAAGACCAAGGAGGAGTGGAAGCAGGAGTCCCTCAAGTACAAGCAGAAGAAGCTTTCCAAGGAGGAGAGGTACAAGCGTGTCCAGGCCAAGATTGCCGAGCTCAAGGGCCAGTAAACTGGTTCGGGGCCTTCCTGTCTACCTCTATGATAAAAATGGGCATTTGGCGTCATGGGATGAATGGAATACGGCTTGGTGTAATGACTACTTAGCTTTCATATGAACCCAAGAAGCATGGCTTGAAATGCTCCATGAGACGAGACTGAAGTTTCACATCCAAACTCAGACATGTGTGAAGTGGAAAAGTAATATGTGATTATGACCTACAGCCGAGGATGGCTCTAGAAAGGGCGAACAGACAATGCCCTGGTGTTTGGGGGTGGAGTACGTTCATGTGCTGGTGAGCATAGCGCATACATCTCACCCCGATTTCGTCATCTCCAGCCAGGAGTGGGGCACTCGCTACGGAGTAACAACAGTTCAAAGAATCCACACAAGAACTGTTTGTACTGTATGCTGCTAGTACATTGCAATCCTCTAAAAAAGCAAGACAGAAACAAACAGTGCCAGAGTCAGCTTCATGTGCAAAAGCGCCGATATTCGGATTAGTAAGTATCTGCTGACGCTCATCAGCTGTCGCAGTGGACGACGCTGTCGCCACGGCGTGGCTGTCTCAATTATTAAATCACAAGTCGCCGACTCCGCTCTCCGCCGGCTAACCTGGGCCTGGACAGCTTGAGCGAAGGGGAACCCCGCTGACAATTCCACCCATATTCACAAGTCGACAACATTCAACTGCTCTCTATGGCGCTACCCTTCCATTCCTCCTGATATCATAGCTTAGCCGACCCCGGTCCGCTCCTTGGAGTTGCAACAACATGGAAGACATTCATGGGGTCGACGTTTCTTGGCTCCACCATTCCACTCGAGGTGCGCGACTCCATCGTGCTCCGCTCTCAGCCTGCCTGAGGAGCCCATCTATATGATATTCTACGGAGTAGAAGCGAAATCTAGAAGCTGACGGGAGCTACAGAACAGCACCGGTCGCAGCCCCCCGCCCGCTCCCCTCCCACACAGCCAGTCGAGCACGCGACCTCGCACAATCCGCCTCCAGCAGCCGCACGAGAAGAGCATAAAGAGCCCAGCACAGCTCCACCAGTACAGGAAGCCTATTTACCCTCTCCCCCTCCCGTCGTTACGCCGCCTTCTCAGAAAGTATCCTTGAAGCGACCTCCGCTGCTTAGCCGAGGGAGTTCCGAGAAAACAAATGGCATCTCATCGCAGACAGAACCGAAACCCACTTCAAGAAGAAACTCATGGATATCGAGCATTAGCTCCAAGTTCTCTTCATCCCAGACGTCGCCGGCGCAGACTACACACGCTCAGGCCCAGGGGTCTCATGCAGCTCTCAGCTCTGGGACAGCGTCAACATCTGCAAATGGCGCACTGAGCGGCATACAATCAGCGAACGGCGGAGCGCATGCGACCCCCGATCATTATGTCCCACAACCTCCAAAAGGCTCTTTTCTCTCAAATGCTTTGCGCCGGCTGTCTTCGGGGCCACAGGTCACCGCACCTCAGAAGGGCTGGCCCCAAGGAGGCATCTGTCCGAGAAGGGTTATGAACGTCGATACGAATAGAACCCGATGTCTGGTCCCTGAGCTGGATCAAAACAAGTTGCGCCGCGTTGCATTTTGCGTTGATGTCGAGATCGCAGGGGGACCGCGATACAAGGATGACGTGGACGAGCAAGAGCGGAAGAAGAGGTTAAGGGACAAGAAGATCAAGGAGAAAGGAGAAGGGGAAGCGCTCAAACATCCCGACGTCCTTGCGCAGGAGAAAGACCATGACGGTGCCATCATCGTCAACAACAAGCATGGGAGGGAGGTGGTTGGCACGGCGGATGCGCCGAATCCCGAAGGCACTGTTGTGGAGGAGGACAAGAAAGAGATGACGAAGAAGAAGGAAAAGAAGAAGAGGTCCGAAGCCGAGCGTAAAGAAAGGAAGGAGAAGAAGAGAAGAAAAGCTGAAGAGAATGGTAGTATACCGCTCGAACTGACACGCGACGACGGTGCCGAAGGCCCAGATGGTGCAACCCCAGGATCGAATACTACGCCTCCCAAACGCCAAAGCGGACCTACCACCGATCCACTTCGGATCTACCGACGTTGCTGTCAATTACGGGAGACTCCTGTGCTAAAGCGCATCAGTGACCAGCTGGCCAATCCAAAGATCGTATCCGTTGTAACACCTGGAGTAGTGACGTGCCTCGACTTGAGCGGATCCAGGCTACAGCTCCACGACATAGTCACGCTCTCAGATTGGTTGGCTGTTGTGCCGGTCAAGAAACTCCTTCTCGAAGACGCCGACCTGGACGACGAGAGAGTTCGCGTTATATTAGCAGGCTTACTCGCTGCCAAGGTCCCTGGGTCTCCCACGAGAAAGCATCCTTCGCAAGACCCAGGTGCGAAGAATGGTCAAGATGTTATCGAGGAAAGATCAGGCGTGGTGTTGAAACTGGTCCTGAAGAACAACCCCAAGATAGGCGTCGAAGGTTGGAAGCACATCAGCCTCTTCCTCTACATGTGCAAGTCCATACAGGCCATCGATGTTTCTATGATACCTTTCCCGAACGCCAGCCCAACTTCACCCGCTCAAGGCACTCCCACGGGTCAAGACTCCTCCCCTTCTCGACATAGGCCCACTGGGGCGGTAGCAGACATATTCTCGAAAGCCATATCGGAGCGATTGGGCGGCTCCCGCTTGGAAGAGCTGGTTATGGCTGAATGCTCGCTGACGGCCACGAGCATACGCAAGATCATTGAAGGTGTCATAGTCAGCGGTGTGCAACGGCTGGGGCTTGCCACCAATGATATTGACGACGAGGGTCTTGACCATGTTATTCACTACATCAAGTCTGGTGTGTGCCAGGGTCTTGATTTGGGAGGCAATGCGCTACGTGACAAAATTGGACGCTTGGCAGAGAGCGTTACAGAGAAGTGTCCGCTGTGGGCATTGAGTCTGGCTGATTGCGACCTGACGCCCGACTCTTTGAAGATCCTATTTCCCGCGCTGGTCAATCTACCCGCCTTCCGTTTTCTCGATTTGTCCCATAACAAGGATTTATTCGCCCACCAGACTTCGCTATGTCTTCTTCGCAAGTACATCCCGCAGCTGAAGGAACTGAAGAGGATACATCTGATGGATGTATCGTTATCGCCAGAGGGAACAATTGGCCTTGCTGAAGTCCTCCCTGAGTGCTCCCACCTTGCACATGTGAATATCCTGGAGAATCCCGCGATTACCGCAGTGGCGACGGCTACTGACGAGCCAACCCAAGAAGAAGCTGCCGCACTCTACGCATCCCTGATGGTGGCGGCCAAGCTATCGCGCACCCTCATCTGCATCGATGTCGACGTTCCGGGACCGGGCAGCAGTGAGGTCGTAAAAGCGTTAGCGAAACAGGTCGTCGCCTTCTGCCTCAGAAATATGGAAACGTTCTCTGAGATTCCAGAGCTGAGTGCAGGGGCGAAGCCAACGCCGAAGGAGGTGGAATATCCGCACATTCTGCGGAATCTAGTCCTGGATGGCATCAAGGATCCCGACGATGCGCCAACAGCCGACGACGACTACATCGTGGGAAGCACGGGAGTCGTCAAGGCGCTCAACTACTGCCTGTTGCAGAAGGCTACCGATCTTCGGAGAGCTTCGGTCCCTGCAAGTGGTACCCAGACGCCGAGGAGCAGTGCTGAAGCGACTGGCCTTGCAAAGGCAAAAGAGATGTCCAAGGATCTGCTGGAAGGCGCGCGCAATATCAGGGCAAGACTCCAACCAGCGTTGGTCAGGGAAGCTCGAGCTGGTAACGACATGGGCTACCGTAAGTGTTTAACATCATCTCTATCCATGATCTCTCGCTGACACCCCCAGGCCGCCTCCTGTTCCTCGACCAAACGCTCCAAGGCATGATCCAACGCTTCGAAGATGAATACCCCGAAACGCGCCTCCCTGCCATGGACGCCTCCTCCGCCCACAGCTCCCTCAACTCCAGCTCCCCACCCACTTCGTCCATCAATCCCCTCCCACCCACCCCGACCATCCCCGACTCCTCCATCACCACCACGGCCCTCGAATCCGACGACGACGAACCCAAAGCCCTCCGCTCCCGGCACAACTCAGACGTCTCCCTGGCCTCGCGCGCCCTCTCGCTCGAAGAAGGCCGCCTGCACCGCCTCGGCCACCGCGTCCGCACCGAGCTCCTCAACGCCAGCCGCCCCACCTCAGCGCACTCGGACCACGCCAACGTCTCGGGCACCATGGACGACCACGACCTCCCCGAGCACCTCCTGGCCCTGCGCAACAAATACCTCGGCTACAGCGGCGAGGAGCTGCGCGTCATGACCGAGTCGGTCGGGTGGGAGCGGGCGTTTGACAAGATTGTCGAGAATGCCGCCGAGTTGAAGAGTATGATGCATGAGAATCCCGAGGAGTTTAGGAGGTTCAGGGAGACGCAGATTGCGGCGTTGAGGAATCGGAATCCGGATGTTGATGTTGGTGGGGGAGGGGGAGGGGGAGGAGGAGGAGACAGGGGGGAGGCGGCGAGGAAGGAGGGTGAGGTTGTTGGAGTGGTGGAGGTTGGGGTGGGAGGAGGGGAGTAGGTTTGTGAGGAGGGAAGATGAGAGGTCAACCTGGTGGGCGTATTAGTGAGGGATTTCGGATATAGAGGTATGATGGTGTCTGTGTTTGCCCCGGTCGTATATCTATTAGCGAGTTGGTCCTGTTCTGTTCTGCTCTGTTCTGTTCAGCTCGGCTTTTTATTCCGAGTATATGGCTTCCCTGCACTCGTTGCGCTTGTTAAGTAGGCGTCTCACACCGATCCTTCTTCTTGACTACTATATACGAGTATAATACCGTCGAGGCAGGAGGCAGGGATTGGGACTTTGAGCATTTCAGGCATTGCTTTCATGATTTGAGGTGTGGGTGGGCTTCATTAGTAGGACAACACTTTCGTTGAGAATTACACGCTCTACCGTCTGAACAGCAGAGAGATGCATAGTATGCATGAAAGGAATAGGATACGTTACTAAACCAACGCCTACAGAAGTGAGGTCATGCATGATACCGGTCCTCGGCGGGATCAAACAAGGAGCAAAGTCTACATATCAACACACGCAACCCCCCCCTCACACTCCCCCAGCATCCATTTTCTCCTCACCCACCCCTTACAAATTACTCTTCCCACCCAGCAACTCGGCCCCAGCACCCGAAATACACAGCTTACCCGTCTCCTTGACCTTCGTCTGGAACACGACCTTATTCCCCACCTTCCACATCTCCGTCTGCAGCGTCTGACCCGGCAGCACGGTCCCCGCGAACCGGACCTTGATGTTCTTGAAGGGACCAAACGTCTTGACGACGTGCTTGCCCGAGATGCCGAAGAAGCACAGGCCGTGCAGGATGGGCACCTTGAAGCCTCCCACCTTGGAGAACTCGGGGTCGATATGCAGCGGGTTGTAGTCGCCGGAGAGGCGGTAGATGGCAGCTTGCTCCTCCGTCGTCTTCTCCTCGACCACGGCGTCGGGCGCACGCTTGGGGGGCGTGTGTACTGCCGTCGCCGCACCGCGATCGCCTCCCTTCTTGGGGCCGCCGAAGCCGCCGGAGCCGCGGATGAAGACGGTAGACTCGTTGTAGAAGATGTCCTCGCCCGTGTTCGCGTCCTTGGTCGTAGTGCCCGTGACGATGATGCCGGCGGCGCCCTTGTCGACGACTTCGACGAGCTTGGGGTACGAGACTAGCTTCGCTTCCGTGGGAATGGGGAATTTGCGGATCTCCAGGTATTGCTCGCCGTGGAGGAGCATCATGGGGGAGAAGTTGGGGACGATGTCGCCGAAAGAGAAAGGAGCGACGGCGTTGAAGGGGGGAATAACGCCGAAGGTGGGGAGCACCTGGAAGTTGTCGTCGCCTTCAAAGACATACGGTAGTTCGGTGCGCTTGGCTCCGATGCCCAGGTTGTAGAGGATGACGTCGCGGGAGGTGTATTCGAAGGGTGTTCCCTCAGCCTTGGCCGCCTTCGCCTCCTCGATGGCCTTGAGGTACTTGGACCCGTCCACCTTGGCCTTGCTGTCACCCTTCTTGCTGCGGTTCTGCATGTTGGCCATGATCTTGGCGAGGCCGGACGCGTTATCGTGGGGATGATCGGCGCGGCCATCGTCGAAGTTGATGATCTTCTCCCACTGGGCGAGAACAGCTTCGGGAGTGAGGTCGACGTCGACGGGGAAACCGACACCGCCCGTGCGCTGCCACCTCGTCTGGGCGAACCAGCCCTGACCAACTTCGTAGAGGCCGTTGGTGGGCTCGGGGGCCTTGTCGGAGCAGAGGAGGACGACAAGGGGAGCGACATAGTCGGGCTTAAGGGCCTGGACCATCTCCTCAGGCATGATGGTGCGGGTCATCTGGGTACCGGCATTGGGAGCGATGGTGTTGACAAAGATGTTGTACTTCTTGCCCTCGAGAGCGAGGGACTTCGAGAAACCGAGAATGCCCAGCTTAGCAGACGCGTAATTGGCCTGGCCGAAGTTGCCATAGATACCGCTGGTGGAGGTGGTGTTGATGATGCGGCCGTACTTCTGCTTCAGGAAGTAAGGCCAGGCAGCCTTGGTGCAGGCATAGGTGCCGAAGAGGTGGACCTGGTGGATATCCTCCCACTGCTGATCAGTCATGTTGGCAAAGGCCTTGTCACGGAGGATGCCGGCGTTGTTGATAAGAACGTCGATGCGGCCATAGGTCTCAATGGCAGTCTTGATAACAGACTCGCCATCGACGACGTTGGCCTTGTTGCCAACAGCCTGGCCACCAAGCTTTTGGATCTCCTGGACGACGGTGTCTGGGTTGACAAGGTCGTTGACAACGACCTTCGCACCGAGCTTGGCGAAAGCAAGGGCGTATGCGCGGCCGAGACTATATATTGTGAGTACAAGAGGAAAAGGCTTTCAGGAGGAAGAAGACATACCCAGCGCCTGCGCCCGTGATCAGAACCACCTTGTCCTTGAAGTCTAGCTTCTCCGCAGGCGGGCTGCGAGGGAGCCGGCCAGCAGCCTCAACAAGCTCCATTGCGTTGGCAGGGCCAGTGGGGTGCTCGCACTCCTTGAAGTTGGTGACCTCACTCCACTTGGCGGCAACAGCGCCAGGGGTAAGGGAGTCATCCGTCTTCAAGAGAGCACCCTTGGAACGCTCCCACCGAAGCTTAGCAATGTGACCTCCACCTGCCTCGAAGATTGCCCCCGTCTCGGTGCTGGACTTGTGGGTAAGCACTGCAACGAGAGGAACAACCCACTTGGGTTTCAAGTTCTCCAAAACCTCCGGGGGCATAACGGTCTCGGTCATGCGGCTGGCGGCGATGGGGGCGATGACGTTGCAGAGAATGTTGTACTTCAGACCTTCTTTTGCGAGAGTCTCAGTGAAGCCAACAAGGGCGAGTTTGGCAGCTGCGAAAAAGGAGTCAGAAGATGCTTGTCAGCATTTCACTAAGGAATACATACCAGAGTAGTTGGTCTGGCCGAAGGAGCCGAACAGACCAGCAGCAGAAGCAGTGCTGATCAGACGGCCATATTTCTGTTTCCTGAAGTACGGCCATGCCGCGCGAGCGCACTTGTAGGCGCCATAGATGTGTACCCGGTAGATGAGGTCCCAGTCCTTCTGGGTCATGTTCTTGAAGCTGACATCGCGGAGAATACCAGCATTGTTGATTAGCACGTCAATGCGGCCGAAGTTGTCGATGGCAGTCTTGATGATCAGGTCACCGTTTTCCACCGAGTCGTAGTTGGCCACGGCCTTGCCGCCTGCGGCCTTGATCTCGTTGACAACCTTATCAGCAGCCTACATGACAGTCAGTCAGTCTCATCCTGCAGTGCCAAAGGTGTTCGTGGAGGCGTGTGGGGCACCTTGACGGCTGCGCACTGTTTAATGCCCGTCGCCGATTGCCGCTCTGGGTCACCACAGGTGACGAAAACAGAGTTGAACGTACCTGGGAGTTCTTGCCCTCGCCCTTGAAGCTTCCTCCAAGGTCGTTGACAACGACGTTGGCGCCCCGGCTTCCGTAGAAGATGGCATACTCGCGCCCGAGACCAGAGCCGGCGCCAGTCACGACGACGGTCTGGCCGTCATACCGCAGCTCTTGAGGAGCCATTGCAGCAATCTATGTGTAGAGGAAGGAGGAGAAGAGAGCCTGGAGGTCCGTGACGCGGAGCTCTTTGTGATGCGAAGAGATGCGGAGCAACAGCTGTTCGGCAGTTGTATTCGCTTACTCTACGGCTCTCCGAGCAGGAGGAATGAAAGTGGGATTGGGTATAGGAGGATGGGGGGAGAAGGAGAGGGATGAAATCTGGGGAGACGTGATGCAGAGTCGTTATTAATGGCCTTGAAAGACCTCGTTCCGTCGTCTCGGTCAGTCGTCCATGGCGGACTTCCAAGTTGCCGAGGTCCAGTGCCTCCCGTCAGTCGAACCGCGAATCATTTTGTGGGGGGTGCACGTGACACTCTGTCACATGTCCCCGCCATCTACTCCGTAGATTATCTGAATGTCGGAGCTTGCTCCACCGCTGCCATGTTCGGCAAGTTCCTCGGATGTGGGCAGATGTTCTGAGGGACAGGAACAGGAACAACAGAGAGAAAGTCGGCAGGAATGAGCCGAATTATTATGTTTGGAGGAGTGGATCGTAGGAACTGAAGCTCGGTCTCTCCATTGTCCCAGATTCCAAAGCGGGCACGATTTGCCCAGCAACAGAGGTCCCCTGACCAGCACTCTGAGAAGCAGTGATTATATAACCTCACCCACCCGTGACCATATGTACAAAATCCTCTTTTTCAACGTATCAATTCTAACGCCGTTATATTGATTGTTGCTCCAGCACCTGCTCGCTTCTGTCTCCTGCATGCAATTGGTTTATTTAGGTGAACTCTTTTTTCCTCCTCAGAACACATATCAATTGATGGCACATTTGCATCTGTGCGCCTCACACCCGGCCTTGGCCGCTTTTTCCAAAGATCCTATGAATCTTGGGTCATCACTTCTCCTCCTCCAGCGAACGGCAGCATTGTTGCTTTCTCATACTCGCCACAGGAGTGGAAACGGGGCACGTCCGCGTTGACGCTGCCTCATCTCGTCTCCGCTCAGCTGCCTCCCTGGGATTCCGCTCTATCAGATCCGCCGACAATTCAAATGCGCTTCGTAGTCGAATGGGTAACATAAGCTTTGTCCTTGAAAATGCCGTCGGTGAGCACATCTATGCGGCCATCCACTTATCGTCTCTTCTAGTCCAATCTTGGCATATAGCTGTGGCCGTCGGCTTGATCCCTTCGCACCCATATCCCGCCGAAATCAATCTCATGTGCTCTTCCACCGCTCGGAAACCTCTCTGGGGCCGGAATAACAACCAGTCGTCGGCGAACAGTCTTGTAGATCACAAAAGGGTTCAAACGTACTCTCAAAAGACCAGGGAAGTGGATGGTCAATATCGTGTGCAGGACGGAAGCTCTGGCCTCCTTGACTGGCCACGTACCATGACGGGAAGCTCGGGCCGCAACGCAGATGTGATGGTTGATTTTGTCTCGGGTACATTCGAGAGTGTCTTCCCATCCGCGGTTCCAGGGTCAAGGACAAATGCACGAAACGGAAGCCGGTGGGCGAGGGCGGGAAACGGCACAATGGCCATTACACGTTGATAAAGCCGGATTCTCAGGTCCGGCTGACTGATGCCCATCCACAAGGCCATTGCGTATCGTCTTTTGAGGCCCTAAACAGCAGGGTCACGTCCGAATCGTCGTCATTGCATGAGAGTATATCGTTTTTCCGTCATTCTCGCATTTTCGAGTCCGGGCCCACTGTTGTTGCAGAATGTCGTCTGCAGTGCATAACATTTATGGACGATCTGCGCTATAGACTGGGTGGTCAGTAGCGAGGTACTGTCCGACCAAGGAACTTGTTCTTACATGGTAATATCAGACCAGCTGCTCACCCCTCGATGGCCAGGCACGAATCCACGTTGGCACCCTTCACCGCTGTGTGGGGAGCAGTGGTCAAAAATAACAATCAGTGAAGCTTATAGATCTAATTCGTCAAGTATGCCCTGTCTACGACCAGGGTGCTCGTCTCATATCAGGAATCCCCGCGATGCTGTCTGTGGCAAGTCAGCTTCTTTTGGTGACCAAGGACGGCGCAACTCGCTCACGCCAGTCCAGAATACAGTTGCTCGCCTGCCGTGTGTGACAGGCCGTTACTAGAGTTCACAGTAAACGAGTAGCCCTTGGCAGGCCGTCCTCCCTGTTCCACCAGCGAGTGATGACTTCGTCGGATTGTGCTGCTATCGAGCAAAACAAGGGTGAAGTAATGAAATCCTCCTTCGGGCGGATTAAAGGCAATACATGCGCTTTCTATCGATTTCCTACCCTCTAAGAATGTGTAATAATGTCCGGAATAATAATAAAGGACCTGTATCAAGGTCGTCTAGACGCATATCTTCGCAATGACATGAAGACGTTTACCCGTGGTGGCCACCAGCCGCTTTCTCTGTTCGAAGGGCTGGTAGAGAAACCACGTGCTATCATGTCCCACACGGCTAACGTCCAGGTCTCGCGCTCCGAGAAATATTTCCAGGCAAATTCGATATCATTGTTTTCGTTGAGTGGGTGGAGACGCTCTTCTCGAGAAACCTTGGTCATCTTCTACTGTACGTGTTCTGTCGAACCAGATTATGGCATTGGCAGCAACTGCCGCAACGTACTTGCTGATAGAAGCCAATGTGTCTAATCAGCTAACCAGGTCATTCTTCCGAGACCGACGTGGCGGTGACAGGAAAGGCGCGCCCTTCGACATACCTAGGATCGTGTGGCCCGTGGGGTGACTCTGCGCGACTCTTGTCCAGGTTAGACCGAAGTTGAAACTTGCGCCCTCGCAACAGGGAACATAATCTCAGCCTCGAGAATTAGAAGTCACGGACTGATGCACAGGTTAGATTAGCAACCCCAGCCACCGCTGTCTCAAATTCCATCGATCTTCAGAGCAATGTCCATTCCAATACCACGTTGGCGGTACTCATGGAAACGGGAGGAGAATCGGCCCAACGCCACAAGGTCTGAGCACGGTGTCACGGCTCGAATCGCATGTCTGCCTTGCCCGAAGCCATGCTATCTGATGCCTATCATGAGGGCTTCCGTCGGAATTAAGTCGTAGGGTATCCACCCATTTCGACACATCAGTGTATGTTGGTCGTTGGAGTGACCGCTGCGCCTTCTCTAGCATGCAGCTTTTCTGCATGATTAGGTGGTCAACCGCCAGGACAACCCGCAGAGGCATCTTCAGGGCCCAGGCAACCCCTAGCTCCCAAGCGACGGTATCGACCAGGACCACTCTGTCGAGGTTCCCGCGCCGCTCCCGCTGGACCTTGCACATCCGGATCCGCTGTGCGGGGTCTGGAAAGTGGGATAAATGCGATGTTGGCTCTGGCATGCGTGCCGTTTGGCTCCTAGTTCAGGTTCCGCGGCTATGCCATCATGCCAACTCAGTGCTCGGTCATGCCAGAGCCCATGGGGTGTTCGATCATGGAACAACGAGCTGTTGAGTTCACCTCGGATGGTCATAGGGCTTTCCAGCTCCGGTATGCCTCATCGAAGGGGACCCAGGCCTCCTTCATCTGCCTCTGGAGTCATCCGCTTTTGTCTTTTGCCGGCACTTGTCTGTTGCTCTGCAGCTCGTTAATGTTGTTTCAGGTTATCGTGCCCGCAGGCCTTCCGGCCAGGAGTGCCCATGGCATTTGTCCACGTTTTCGATTCTCCCAGCCTGGCGAAGGGCGCTGCTCGGGGACTAGGAGGTATAACCGGCGGCCACATGTGCAGAAAACTCTTTTGTGGCCGGGGTGGGTAGTACCCATCAATGTGTCGAGTTATGACTAACGAGACGAATGAAATTGCGTCACCAATCAATGAACGAGCTTGGCCGATACCCGTCGAGGCTGGTGCCACTGGCATATTGACGCGAAGTAGATCAAAGAGGAGTCTCCCATCTAACGGCTGTTTCCGTTTCCTGTAAACACGTTGGAGAAGCCATGGCGGGAGTACATGAAGACCTACGGAGGGTTATCATCCACGAGCGAGATTTCCAGAAGTTATCCATTGATAATAGGATATACTGTGTTCCGGTGGATGAGGTATGTGAGCAGGATTCTCCTTTGTGGTGTCCGTGTTCTTCGCGTACAACCCAAACCTGACGATACCCAAGCGTGAGGAGCTGCGACTCGAAAGCCAACATGACATTCTTTTCAGATTTTTTGACCATAAACTGTATCTGCCGCGGGTTAGGGAGCCTCGTAAAGTCCTCGAGTGCGGCTATGGAACAGGCGACTGGGCGGTGGCAATGGCTGAGGAGTTTGAGGACTGCGAGGTACGTGAGCTCAACTGCTCCAAATTCCGGACGATTAAGGACCATACATTCGTATCTGAGTCGGGCAGTAGACACCAAGCCCCCGACCAGATGTCTTGGCATGGTTCCCTCCCCTTGATTGTGTACGTATCGCGCCATTGCTAACCAATCCTTCACAGGTGACCGCTGTCGACATATATCCGGTGTTGATAGATCAACCTGATAACCTCACACTCTTTGGGTATAATCTTAATGATAGGCTCAACGATCCAGAGGTCTTCCAACGGAGGGCATATGACCTGATACATTCGAGATTCGTGGGACCGGGTATAAAAACGAGCAGATGGGGTTCCTATATCCGCGATATGAAATCACTTCTGAGACCTAATGGTTGGGTCCAAATCATGGAGTACTACCCCAATATCCAATCATGGAGCGGCCGGTTGGCAGACGATTCAGCGCTCACCCGGTGGTACCGAGCCTATGTGAGCGCAATGGAGCGGGCGAACCGCAATGTCCGGATTGGGCAAAGGCTTCAACACTATATGACGGAAGCGGGCCTTCGCGATGTCGGAGTGTCCATAGTTCATCTTCCCATCGGAGATTGGGATCCAGGTATGTGAACAGATCCGGTAGAGTTCTCTTGGCCCGTTGGTGTGAGAGACTTGTCTTCAATATTTCGAAGATATGGATCGGTCCGTTGCGAGGGTCCGGCAACATTTGCACGAGAACTTATAAGCCGTTGGACCCCTTAATGCTGACCAGGCCATAGATCCGAGAAAAGCCGAGATAGGAAGGGACAACATTGCCGTCGTAGCGGAGCTCCTCGAGTCTCTCGCAATTTGGCCATTCACCGAATTGTTAGGATGGTCGGTCGCCCAAGTCTTAACTTTAATCAATCTCGCCCGGTCCGAATTGCAGGATGCCAGCCTCAAGTTATATATCCCCATGTAAGTATGGCGCCCTTGTTATTGCGAAGTCGGCTAACGAGGGATAAGATATGTTGCTTGTGGTCGACGCAGTAGTCGAAACTGAGCTGGCTTAAGAGTCGCCCGGGAACGGCTCGGGTAAGAAAGAGCGTATGTGGCGAGGGTAGTGTGCCAAACGACTAGTTTTCGAAACGCATTCGGTCATTATGGTGTTTTCAAGTAATGCCATCTCCGCATTCGCATCATCCGAAAACTCCAAAGTCTCGTTCTTCTTGCTCCCACAATGAGCACGGCTTGACTGAAGTCCTTCCACGTACCACATTTGACTTCCGATTTGATGAAGCGTGGTGTATGCCTTCATATCCTGTTGCCAACAGACTTGGTCATTACCAGCCTCGGGCCCACGGGCGCCCCGAACATGCTGATTCAATGCTCTCGCCTCATCCAGAGCACCGTAAACCCATGGTCGATAAACGAGAAGGGCGGGCGGTTCCATAGGTAATTCAGCGTTGCTCAACTCTTCGAAGATGCTGATGAGGAAGCATTACAGCAGGTCCACAAGTTCCCCAGTGTTGTGAGAAAGACTGGGTGACGTGATGGCCATTATTGCCGTTGTGCAGAACCACATGGGATGGTCGAGGGGACGGGTGATGGCGAAGCCAAATGCCCTTCATTGCCGCAGTATGATGAAGGTGCATTGATGAGACTCAATCCAACGCTATCAGGACGACAACATCAAACCCTGCATGCGCGGAGAGGGGTATGATTGCAAACAGGAGGTCAGTGAAGGAGGAGGAGTGGGAGATGAAGTGAAGTCGAAACAAGGTTCGGGCTGGGCCTAGTGCTGTAGGGATCCGTAATTGGCAGTCACCAGTGACAATGAGGCACAGCCCTAGGGAAGGCACGTCAGTTGTCCGCAGTTCATCGGGCACAACACCGCTCATATGCATCGCCTCTCAACAACTTCGATCGAGGCCCAACCCTCGAACCCCTTTTGGACCACGCCACGCCAGCACCACAGCGCACTGCACAGCACCAAGCATGCAGGGGATCGCTGTTTGCGCGCCCATGGCCCGATACTATGGAACCGATACTCCAGCGCAACGACTTGGGAGGCAAGGGAAGATTCCGTGCCATCCATTGAATCCGCTTCCCCTTGTCATTACTCTCAACACAGTAACACGGCTGACCCAAAAAGTGGCCGACGGAGTCAAATCAAATCCCATGAACCATCACGCAAAAGACTTCAGCTCTGAAGACCTCACTCGGTCGACTTTGTCAACCTCCAGGTCACCAAGGCTCCCACGGCACCTCGATGCGGATTTGGAATGCAGGTCCCACTTCCCGACTCCCCATGACGATCCAAGATATCGAATCAGGACCAGTGCAGCGGGGAAGCGGACAGCACATCACATTTCAGTCACGTGATTAGAAGGGGATCTGGACCACATTCTCTCATTATTTAAAGCTGCGGGCCCTTGTTTCAGTCACTGCCTCCTCCACCAAAACTGGGCAGCTCGAGAGTGTACCTTCGGGATGTGAGCTACACAGTACTGAACACCCTCTTCTGGCCCGCAGTGGAGCACCCTTGACGTTGATGCATACATCCACAGGACATGGTGCACTGTCACGACGACACCCCACACGTCCCCTGCGCTCCTCAATGGTATCCCTGGGCTCTCATTGCCTTGGTCATTGCGACCTGTATCCGATCGTCTCCTGCGTCTTCACCGGATTATTCACGACTGTGCTCTTCTGGAATAGCAGAGGAAGACATGAAATCCTGCTTCGTCAACAGCATCGTCGACTCGACTTTAGGCTGATGACATGTTGCATTCGGCCCGTTCCTCTCGACTACTGTGCTTCCATAACCGAAGCGGGTTCGCGCTCAGACCAACTTCTGCAGCATCCCGGCATCAATATGTGGATGCAATCCGGCGGACCGGAGATGTCTTTTGCCAGATGAAATCGGCCTTTTGAGGTACCTAGGCAGAATGGCGTAGACGTTCATTTATATGGGCGGCCACGGAGCTTCCCTCAGTACACCAAAGCGTTACCACCAGCCCGGTTTTCGAGATGCGTTGTTCATCATCCTCCATAGTCCTTCTTTTGAACTTGGCCTTTGCGCTTTGCGATGCAGAGCGCTCTAGAGGATGGAATCTCAATAACTTCAAGACGCTAGTCACATTTGGTGATAGCTATACAGATGAGAACCGATTGGGATACTTCATCAACCACAATGGCTCCGCGCCGCCTGTTGGATGGGAACAGCCAGTGGTATGACAATCTTTTCAACTCTATCGTCTTTTCCAGTTTATATACCATTCCATTGAATTACAAGACTGTCATCTTTCCCTTCCTTGTTTCTTTCGCGTCTCTCAATTGAGAACACTGTCACGGGTATTCTCTTCTTTTGAATTCAAAAAGGGACAGAACCTATATAAGCACACTCATACAGCCATGCCTTCAGTCGATGATGCCAACCGCTCCATGTCTTACCACTCCTAACATCATCCTCAGGGTCTCAACACCGCTTCAGGTGGCCTCTCTTGGCCCCGCTACGCCTCCCTCTACTCCAACGCCACCCTCTATAACTACGCCGTCGGCGGCGCCGTCTGCTCCAACTCCATAACCCCTCGCTTCTTCTCCGCCATCAACGCACCCTTCCCCTCCATCACCTCCTACGAGCTCCCCGCCTTCCTCGCAGACTCCAAGCACCGCGTCCCCTCCACCAACAAGAAATTCTTCACCGGCACCCCCCGCGACACCGTCTACGCAATCTGGATCGGCACCAACGACCTCGGTAACAACGCCTTCCTCACCGACTCCCAAGTCGCCGGCAAGACCCTCAAGGACTACGTCGACTGCGTCTACTCCATCATCGACACCCTCCACTCCCAGGTCAGCGCCCGCTACTTCGTCCTCTTGAACCTCGCACCCCTGAACCTCCTGCCGCAGTACGCGACCCCTGAAAACGGCGGCTTGCCAGCAACGAAGTTCTTCCCCGAGAAACAGGGCCAAAACATCACGCAAATCTCCTACCGCATCCTCGAATCCGTCGCCACGGTCAACCAAATCTTCGCGCACAAGACGCCCTTTGAGACCGAGGTTGCGGACCGCTGGGACGGCGACGTCAAGATCGCGAATTTCGACGTTAACGCCCTCATGACGGATATGTACAGGAACCCCAAGAAGTACCTGAATGGCACCGCCGAGCCGAATGTCACGGGTGTCGTGAACAAGTGCGATGTCCAGGGGAAAAATTGCGTGCTGGCCAAGAGCCCGGATAGCTTCTTGTGGTTCGATGAGTTGCATCCGAGTGAACAGGCGAGTAGGGTTGTTGCGAGGGAGTTTGTCGGCGTGTTGAAGGGCGGGAGTAAGTGGGCCAAGTACTGGGGTTGAGTTCCCAGTGTGAGAGTGTGTGGGAGTGAGCAGTGTCTCTGCGTTGTTGGCTTTGTACATAGAGTAATAGAAGAAGATGATAGTATATAAGTGCAAACAGGGTTGCCAGATTGATTGGTGTGACTTGAGCTAGCAAAGTTCGGTTGACAAAGTAAAGACACACTGGGAATCTCCGTGTTTCTTCTAGGCCAGGGCCTGTGCAAAAGCCCCTTCCTCATTTTGTTGAGTAGTGCGTCACACTGTCCTGTCAACCAGCCTGTGGAAGAGTATTGATATGCATATACCGGGTTATCGCCTCGACAGACCAGCACCACGCTGGCCATGCAACACACAAACACGCCTCGTTTCCGTACAAATAATGAAACCCTTAGCCAATTCAGCAAAATGCATCCAAAACTCACAACTGCCGACACCATCTCTCCAGCGCCCGCTCGAACCCCTTCTCCCCCGCCACAATACCAATCTCCTCCAAACTAACATCGCACTTCACCATCGCGAATCCACCTTGCCCAAGGCCCTGCCCGGACACGACGGGTATCAGCAGTCCCAAGTCAACAAGACTTTCCCACTCACGCTTCGCAACTTCTTTGCCCCATACTTTGCTCACGGCGCCGCTTGCACTAGCGCCGCCTGCAGCGCTCTGAATCCGGGCTTTCGATGCGAGAGATACGTACTCGTCGTATGCCATGTTGAAGTTGCAGGTATCGGCGTCGTGTAGGACGTCTAGGCGGGCGGCGGCGATCAGGAGGGAGAGGGAGAGTGTGGATAGGGATGGGAGGAGGGAGAGCTTCGAGTCTGGTGGCGTGAGGGAATATTGTGCGGAATTATCCCAGGACGCTAAGACGCTGCTGGAAGGGTCGGAGAGACTGGCGACTGGGAGAAGGAAGGTGGTGAGAGCCGCAGGGACGGATTTGCTGAGGTAGTAGTGTGGTGCTAAATGGGTAGATAGGAATGTTCTTGAAGAAAACAGCGACTGTCAGGGGTCAGTCTGGAGCGTGACCATGTAGAATCCAGGCCAGACTCACTGTGATGTTCGAATTCCATGTCGCAAGAATGCCTTGAGGCTCCGCTTCAGATTTCCTCTTCCCCTTCGCTGTGGTGGTCTTAGCACCGTGTGTCGAGGAAAGGATGGCGCGTTCTTTAATAGTAAGTTGATCCGGATGTATCATGAGAGATGCCTTGCAGATCTCTTGGAAAGCACTGAATGACTTGGCAAGGGAAAGATGCACATAACGGTGACTGAACCGACTCTTGACTCTCTTCTCTAAACTGTTGGCGACATCGATCCGTGTAGTTAGGCCCAAAACAGCAATCGGGGCTTTGCGTGACTGAGCGATGTCGAACAGATTGTAAAGCAGCGTTTGCCGTGGATGCAGAGCGAACAGGTCAAACTCGTCCATTACGAAAATGACAGCCTTAGCTACCTGGTCGGTAAGCTCCCCTGTTGTCTCAGAAGGATGGGACAGCAAGGCGAGTAGCGTAGTCAGCGTATCAGCGTAGTTCTTGCCAACTCCGCCGTCTTCCTCAATTTCCATTTCCCTTCCCAGCTGCCGCCATATCTCGCGTAGTGCAATCTTGTCATCGGTATGGATGAAGCCGTTGAGACGAACAACGTGATAGTCCCCGGAGTGATCTTTTCCTACCTCTGACAAAACCCTGTTCACTAGAGTAGTCTTTCCGCTGCCACGAGCACCAATCAGAAGCATAGAATTTCCTTCTCCTGCAGTGACAGTGTGCTCCACGAGCTGGTAGACAGTCCTGTACTCCTCTTCTAAACCCACAACCGGCACGGCCCGCTTTGCCATGATGCGTTCCATAACAATGGACTTCAGAAGGTCGACGTCCGGCCCTGGAGCAAGTGACCCTTGAAGCAGTGTCGCGGGGTTTCCTTCCTGCATCCGAGATTTAGGTCTATTGAAGGGGCTGGGTTCCGTTGGGTCGATGATGCTGCCTGCAATGCTACTCCGCTCCTGCGTTTCGCCAGCATGTTCATTCTCCATATCCTCTTCCTCTTGCCACTTGTCTGATAAGCCAATAACATCATGGTTGCCGATATTGTCTGCACGATTTGCCCGCCGTGTCCGTTGCGCGCGTTTCTTCGGGCTCGCTGAGGGATGCGCACCTAGTTCATTCTCTGAGTCGAGGACTGAGGCTTGTCGCCTAGAAGATCTAGAGGATGTGATGACCGCTGAATTGTCCTCTGTGGCATCCTGTTTTGGCCTTTCGTGTCCTTCAGTAGCTGACTGCCTGCCTGATCGTCTTTTAGAAGGGGAGGATTCAGACACCTGGTCGTCCTGCAATGGATCCGAAGACTCCTCCTCTTCGTTTACTTCTGCTGCAGCGTTCCGTCTAGGTCTTCCTGGGCGCCTCCTCACAGGTGTACTACCACCTGTCGGCCTTTCCAAGTTCCGACTACCTTGTACTCGTGCATGTGCCGTTTTACTCCTCTCAGTGGGAGCATATTTGCGGTCGGGTGCCAGCTCATCTGGAGCGGCAGTCTCAGCACTGTGCTTGTACCCATTAACCAAGGAGCGGAACGTGCTAAGGCTCGCACTCGCATCGGGAGGGGTGTTCTCCTTCCCAGAACGACCTGGTGTAGAATGCAGCAACTTGGCTCCCATTCCCTTGAACGGATGGGGTAGGGAGGGGTCGAGGACCTGCTTCCCGTACTTGCGTCTCGGTTTAGACGTCTTTTTCTCGGTCGATTTAGGGGAGGGCGCCCGCAAGGGCTTGCGTGCATCGTCTTTCGGGGGTAGCGCACTCTCTATATCATCGTACACGTCCTGGTCTTCATTCCCATTCTTTCTAGGCGTTCCTCGCACTGCACTCTTATGCGTGATCGCTGGGTTTCGGGTGGATCTTCGGCCAGGGGTAGGTACGTCGCTCTCGGTTGCTTCGAGCTGCTCGTCGGATTTTGCTTGTAATCGACCAGACTTCCGAGTTGAAGGCTTCGAAGCATTGGCCTTAGAAGTAGGCTCTGTGGACTTCGGCGTCGCTGTGTCCAGCTTTCTCCTCTTGGAGGAGCGCGGTGAGTCGTCCATGAGCTGGATGGAATATCGTACTAAGCCTAAGAAACGCGGTGTGGACTCATCCTCTGCTCATTTCTTCGCATGTGCTGGGACGTGCTATTTAGGGCAGAAGACTTGTTTAAGAATCGAAGGTCGCCAAAGCGCGTTGTTGTTGCGTCCAAGCTCCACGCCAAGCTTTCCGCTCCGCCCTGTCCATAGTGCTTCGGGGCGGAAACAACCTCCTCAGTCCACCCTCAATCATCAAAAATGCAGATGCACCTTGACCATAATTCAGTCTCCATGATGTTCCTCGGCTCTGCTTAAGTTGATGGGGAGCATGACGTGGGAACATTAAGGCGCCTCAATGCTACTGGGCCTCTGCAGGTCTGACCGCTTAATTGCAACCCCGCGGCCTCCGGAAGGGCGTAAAACAATGACATGTTGCCAGCATCTGAAGATTGAGTGATGTCATGGGAAAGATAAAAAAGCCGCTTCGCCGAGTTCTGACCATCAAGCTCTTTAACGTCCTACGAGAGGGAAATGGCATCCGATCGAACAACCGAGCGTGATTTGACCCCAAATCCCCCCATCTCAGAACTTTCTTACGATGACCGCTCCCTTGAGAACAGGGACACGGGGAACGGGTTCTCGCTTCCTCCGACGGACGGAGGAAAGGATGCATGGCTATTTTTATTCGCATGCTTCATTTTGGAAGCACTGATATGGGGTACGCATGCTGATGACAACTCGTAGACAGGCACTGAGCTCTCCTAGGTTTCCCGGCAAGTTATGGCGTCTTCCAGGAGTTCTACAGTACGAACAAGCCATTTGAGGGCTCCCCGAATATTGCAGTGGTAGGAGCATGTGCTATGGTGAGGTCTCTTGGTTCCGTTCTTCAGAGCCTTCATTCACACCTCATCAGGGAATTATGTACCTTACTCAGCCTCCCATGTTCGCCATTCTAAAGCGATTCCCCAAAATGCGTCTCTGGGCAACGCCGGCTGGCCTCATCGTCATGTGCCTCGCACTCGGTCTTGGGTCTCTGTCGAATAGTATTCCTCAGCTCATCGTCACTCAGGGAATTTTTTATGCCCTTGGAGGCACTCTTGCATGGACGCCTATCCTCTTCTTCATCGAAGAATGGTGGGTGCGACGCCGAGGCTTTGCTTACGGTGTTATGATGGCAGGATTCGGGATATCCGGGGCCGTTCTACCCTTGATACTGCAGTGGCTGCTACACAGCTACGGCTTCCGAACCACGCTGCGCGTTTGCGCGCTGGCGTTTGTAGCACTCAATTTCCCGATCCTCTTCTTCTTCAAGCCCCGGCTTCCGCTTGCTCAGACTTCACAGGCTCGGGGTTTCGACATGTCTTTCTGGGGGTGTTCGAACTATCTCATCCTCCAATCCGCAAACTTGGTTCAAAGCCTAGGATACTTCCTCCCGGGAATCTACCTGCCTACCTTCGCCCGGGCATTGGGCGCATCGAATCTCGGGAGCGTTGCGACCGTCATACTCCTGAACGGCGCAGCCGCAGCTGGCTGCCTCTGCATGGGCGCGGCTGTTGATAGATATCATGTCACGACTTGTCTTTCCGTGGCCGCGTTAGGCTCGACCCTCGGTGTATTTCTACTCTGGGGATTCTCCACCTCTCTGCCACCTCTCTACATCTTCAGCTTAGTCTACGGCGCCTTCGCGGGTTGTACATCGACGGCTTGGAGCGCCATCATCCGGGATACCAAAGAGAAGCGGCCAGGAGTCGATTCGGGCATGGTATTTGCATGTCTTGCCGCAGGGAAAGGTGTGGGCAACGTTTGCAGCGGCCCACTTAGCGAAGCTCTTCTTCATGCCGGAAACTGGAAGGCTGGAATGGCGTATGGAAGCGGGTATGGTCCACTCATTGTCTTCACTGGGACGACGGCCCTGCTTGGAGGATGGGGTTCTGCAGCAAAGAGAATGGGGTGGCTGTGAGCCTGTGAACGCGTCAGCCAGCTGTTCAGCAGCCACACTTCGACAATGCATCGGATTCCCAGCATCCGGGCTTTGTCGTGCGGGAACTGCATAAATGCTCAATTGCTGTGCAAAGCTGCTGAGTTTCTGTGCACTCTTATTATACCAGTATGTTTAAATCGTTGCATGGGGTCCATCCCATATCTTATGTCAGAGAAGGATCGAACATCACCTTACTTCAGCACAAGATTTCGTCATAAGTTTCAAGCTTTCCTAATTTATTCCCGTGTTCATCCTTCGGACGTTGGTGCTCAATCCTCTGAACACGGCTGGCCATTGAGGGCAGCACATGGTGTTTCCTGCAGATTATCTATCTATCCAGCTGCCTATTATGCACATCTGTCTGACGTCGCGGGAAGTGGGGGGTTCGGACTTCCTTAGACCGGGGGCTATGCCTCTCCGGTTGTCTCATGGTCCCGATGGCGAACGCCCTCTTGTTGGACTGTATCATAATAGGATACTCCGTACCGCATACACCTCTCAGGTGCGGCGGCGAACGAGCTGGTGCTGCTAGCACAGTTCTCGTGGCGATTACCATATGCATCTAAAATCCTACTATCAGTACAAGAATTATAACCTACAAGCAAGCTATGCTTTCCGTAGATGACGAGTTCAGCCTTGAGGATACGCGCGCACTGCAGACGATAGTTCCGTGTTGTGGGATCTGTAGCATATTCCAGCTGCTCAGCTGGGCCAGAAACTGCTCTCAGCTCCCGGACACCGAGTTCCAACTTGCACATCATTGGCAGACTTATGAAACAGAGCATATAAAGTTCTCCGACGTACCCTACCGCCTGCATATGGAAAGTTGTCGAGATGATTGCAGACGGCCATTTTCCACGTGCGCCGCAAGACACAACCAACCTTGGAAAGCATGCGATTCGCGGTTGGCGCAGTGCGGCTGCCAATCGAAGCATGCCGCCTTTAGAGGGGTAGAAAAGAGGCTGTTCCTTGCATCTTGCGGCTTATGCTGACACGCGGACTCAGGGACGCGTACGGAGTCTACGCACGAAACTATGAATTCCGCCCAACCACAGTGCATTAATTCCGCAGTCAGCGAACCTCATCCAACACCTAGAGGAACAAGGGAAGGCGTACATCTCGGCGAACGCAGATCCCCTACGCAAGCCTCGAACGGTGGCTTTTGCGTAGGATTCTAAGATTAGGTAGGAGGAATAAGAGCGCTGATCATGTTTGGGAAACATGTTTGAGATACATGGTGTGCCCGGAGCAGGGCTTCCAACGGATGTAGCTGGACGGCGTATATAAGCGTGCCCCGGTTAGGCGTTTGTTAGACACAAGCAGGTGCTTTCATCCAGTCTTCCCCTTCTTGTCTTGGTCGGGCTTTCCTCCCCAAAGTTCATAGACCTTTCTTCACGATTGCAACCCCTGCTTTCGATACTTACGAAGGCATTTCTATTCCGCTACCAGCTCTTCTCATCGTCGCCTTTGATTGTTATTCAAATTCATTATCACTTCATCACACATTGCAAAGATGCGTTACTTCATCTCCCTCCTCGTTGCTGGCTCAGCACTCACCAGTAAGTCCATCCTATACACTTAACCCATCTCTGCCCATTCAGACTAACTCCACCTAGGCGCCCTCACACTAAACGAGCGTCACAACAATGGACCAGCCCCGGAAGAAACTCCCACCGACGTCCCCAGCAACGTCCCCACCGACGTCCCCAACGACGACGGAAAAGTGATCTATCTCCCCATCCAAAAGTCCAGCATAGCCGTCGTCGGTCCAACTGGAACGGGCGGCTACGTCCCCCCTATTCCGGTCCCCACAGGGGCTATTCCTACTAGTGTCCGTCACTCGTCTGGCGTCCCAACGGGAGTGTTCCCCACCGGCGTCTTCCCCACTGGCGTCTTTCCGACCGGCGTATTCCCCACTGGCGTCTTTCCCACGGGTGTCTTTCCTACTGGAGGCTATAAGCCTACCACACTGTTGACCTATACGCGCGGTCCTATCCCAACGGGTGTGCCGCCTCTTCCGCCGCCTATTCCGCAGAACCCCACGGAGGAAGAGTGGAAAGCTTGGTGGAAGAAGTGGCTCGAGTGGGCGGAGAAGTATGTTTGGGGACCAGGGGGGAAGGGCAAGGGCAGGCATGGATATGGAGAAGGGGAGGGAGAAGGACAAGGGGAAGGCCAGGGAGAAGGTCAGGGAGAAGGCCAGGGTGAAGGCCAAGGTGAAGGTCATGGCCAAGGACATGGCCAAGGATATGGGCAGGGACGCGGGCAGGGCCGTGGGCAAGGCCGCGGTCAAGGTCGCGGTCAATATGACGAGGAAGAATAGATTGCTTCTAAGCAGCGCTGGGGGGCGCCTGGGACGAAAGAGTAACGGATATGTATATATGGGTTCCAGTCCCGTCCCCGGAGGGTAGACTAGGTACATCGGCTTGCTTCAATGAATGTGTGACTATAGGGGGATAAAAAGGTCCTGCTACAAGTTGTTCACTGTTGCTTCTTGGTGCATAGTCACGGCCACACACCTCTCACGATTCTTGCGAACGAATTTCCTGAACTCCTCTGATCTCCATGTTACCTAATGCTACACATGAGTCCAACTAAACGGAGTCTTGCTGTAGCCGTCCACTGTAGGACGAAAGCATGACTTCGGTGGTATAAGGTATATCGTCTTCCGCCGGAACCACGCCTCAACGCCAATCATACATGAATCGTGACAACCCACCTATTCATCCTCGACCCCGTCCGCCCTTCTCACTTTACCAACCCAACGATCAAGTCCCACAACTCCCCACATCTACCTCCCCAAACTGCTCCCACCCCAGCTACTCGGCGCCCAACTACTCACCTTACTCCCAACATAACTCCCACTCCACCAACTTCCACCACCAGCACCCCATCCACGCCCCCACCGCCTTCTCCCACCGCCCAACCCAGTCGATCGCGTACTTCCACTCTCGCTCCTATCAGCCCACTTCAACTTCGCCTCCATCCCCTTGTGCACCAACTCAATGATCAAGAAACTGGTCGATCCTATCGCCCTGAAAAACGCCAACCCAGCGACACTCCACAGAATGAACTTCAAGTAAAAATTCTCCTGAATCGCACTCCCAGAATACGCCTCGCTGACGGCCATGGCGAGGATCGCATTGCTGATCAGCCACACAACCACCATGTACGTCCTCACCGCGCGGTAATAATCCTCCTGGGCCTGCGCCTCGGAGACACCGGGTTTAGGCACCTCGACGCGATCGCGCAGGTTGCGCAGGGCTTCGTCGTAGCCGCTGTCGATGTCGAGTTGTTCGCTGGGCATTTCGAGTTCGACGAGGTCCTTGGATTTGGCTTTTGCGTCGCCGAGATCGGTTTTGGCTACGTTGTCGCCTTTTGTACCCCATGTGACGTCGTGCGCGTTGCAGAAGGCGTAGACCTGCAGGGTGCAGATGTAGCTTGGCAAGAGCGCAAAGTATTGAGCCGAGGAGGTGAACATGTGCCATGGGTCCAGGTACATGAAGGACATCAGGAAGTAGAGGCCTACAGTGGTGGCGGTGGAAATGATTAGATTCGTAAAGACGTTGTTGCCGAGCGACTTCGGGGCTTTGGGGTCTTTGAGCTGCACGACAACGATGTAGATGGATGCGAAGGTGGTGTAGGCCATGATGACGCAGTACGCAACCATGCTGCTGAGGAACATCTTCTTGGCGCCTTGCGGTCGGTTGCCCATTGAAAGGATAAACTGCATGCAGATGAGAAGGACGCATGTGTAGCGGAGGATGTAGAAGATGTATTTGCCGATGTTGTGGCCGAAGGGATCGAGCTTCGGGTCTGCGAGACTGCCCGCGATGAAGAAAAAGGTCAGGTAGAAGTTGGCCAGAGAGAAGAAGGTGAACATCAGGGAGACGAATTGGTAGATAAACTCGATGTGCAGGAGGGTCTTGCGCCAGATGGTGTGGTCTGTTGCCCAGATCTGCTTAAAGTGAAGGAGCGAGTAGACGGCTGCGAAGAAAGCTCCGTTGAGCCAGCGGCGACGTTGCGAGATAAACTCAGGTACAGCATCTGAGTTGAAATGTTAGCAGGCGGTTTACTCTGATGGGCGATGTTTCGTACCTGGCACATCGGTCTCTCCTGTTGCCGCTTTCACGTACTTCAATACCCACTGTTCACTGCGCTTCGCCACAAGCTCCCAGCAGAGAATGCGATCCTCGGCCAAGTACATGTTCGCAGTAAACACATCGGCATCTATTCCGTGCAGAGTCTCACCCTTAAAATACTGACTCAGGGGTCCATGCCCGGTGTGATCGTTCTGCAGGGCATGGTATCGGTATGCTGAAAGCGCACCAGGAAGCACGGTGATGTACCCAAACACTGACTCTAGCGGCTTGTCCAAAATATTCGACATCTTGTACTCAAAGTTCTGAGATGCAACAAGCGGGTTGAGCAAGCCAAGCCATCCTTTGCCCTTTCCAGCTTTGATTTCTCCAGCTGCACCGGCGACAGAAGAGTCGGTATCAAAAGCCTTCCAGAGATGATAGAGCGCCTTAGGCCCGGGCTTCGTTCCCACGTCCAACAAAATGCACACGTTTGGGTTCAATGCACGGCCAAAAGCATTGAAGAACCACCGATGCGAGTTCAACTTCTTCTGATTGCGCTCCTTCAGGCAGAAAATCATTTGGCAAGGCACAATTCCCTTCTCCGCACCTTTGAACTTCAGATCAGAGTCCAGAGACACTTGGGTCGTGTACTCGTACACGTGGGCTGTGACTTCGCGCTGATTGACGTGGTTCTTCGCAATACCGTCCTGGTAGCAACCCATCGCTGCTAATGCGTCGAGGGTCCTAGGATGCACTTTCTGCCGGCCATCGGATATGATGCATACGACAATTTTCTGCCATCCGTCTTTGCCCCAGGTCCGAGATCGCGTGCGGGAGCAGAAGTGACTGATGTTGCGCATAACTCCGTGCATGGTGCGCGTAAAGTCAATCTCGTTCTCGTTATACATGGTGATGCAAATGAACAACTCCGTCTCGCGCGGTTGGCCCAGATTTTGCCGGAGCTTGTAGCCTCTGTTGACAAAGTCATCGGGATCGCAAGTGACAGCCGTGTATCGCATGTGCGTAAACTCGATGTCGTCTCTTCGCGGCAAGAAGCTGTACAAGATGGTGGGGATCTTGCACTCCAAGATCAGTTCACCATTAATGAGACGGACTTCTTTCTTCGTCATGACGGCTTGTCGCGCTCCGCGTCTGACTTGTGCCCCATCCGGTGCAGGGCCATAGTGGTCCACCTTCTCGTTTGCAACTGTGTCTTCTTCTGTCACCGTTTCATCGGACGTGAAGGAGTCGCGAGAGTACCTGTCCGTGCGGTGCTCGTCGGAGAAGACATCATCGTCATTGAGAGGAACGGTGGATAGATCCACAGTTGCATCTGAATCGCGAGACACTGGCCTGCCACCTGCGAATAAGGGCGCCGGGGGAAGCGGTCGTTTAGGGCTCCCGGGTCGGCCTCCGGCGTAGCGGGAAGAGGGTGTGCCTGGACGTGGGCTGCCATTCAGGTCTGACGGCTCGTACGAGACACTGGACGCTTGGGGCCGGGTATAGTCGGTCGAAGTCCTGGTCGGCGAGTATGGTCTAGCTGGCGAGGGTCGGTCTGGCGAAGTAGGTCGGCGGTACGGCACATAGCGCGGTGAGTCGTTCGAAGGAGGAGGGATGCTGGGCGCATTGTCAAGCACTGATGGCGCTCGCGATGGCGTCGATGAGAGCGCCGATGGTTGGTATGACGGTGATGGAGGTCTGTGGGTTTCATACAACGGTAAGCCTGGGTCCGGCTCCTTCGCCGTCTTTGAAGGAGAGAATCGAGATGTAAGTCGTTCAGCGACAGATTTTCTTCTTGGGGAGCCCGCCGCTGACACATTTGATGTAGGCTTGAGTGCAGCGCGAGCGTCCCTCAGCAGATCAACAATCGCGGCTTCGGCAGCTTGCTGTTGTCCTTTTGCGGGTGCGTTGCGGCTATCACCCAGTGTCGCGGCGGTGCTCTCCCCAACCGAGAGAAGCGATGTCGTTTCAGACGTTGCATTCTTTCTGTGAAGGAGAGGACAGTGAGGATGAATATTGATTGACATGAAAGAAAGCGATGCTAGAGAGTGAACCTACGGAACATAGCTCTGAGAGTCGTCAACATGTGTCAACAATCGCATTGTCTGCCCTCCCTGCAAGTGGGCCGGCGAGCCCTCTTCGTCATCGGCTGTCATATACGGTGGTGGTCGGCCATAGGCGTGTCGCGAAGGTGTTGACGGTCGGCGATCCATAGCGCCTGGCGGTGAATTGCGCGCCACCGATCAAAACGAACGGCGAATATGTGAACAACGCCAACGAAAGAATACACTGAAGAGATGTGCGTTCAAAAAAAATGAGGTAGGGCGTTGGAGGTGTGGCTCTGAGGCACTCGAGATGCCTATGTCAAGGTACAGTGTTTGGAAACCGCGCGTTGCCCCAGCAACCCCCGATTTCTGATTACACAGCCCCACCATCACATCCCGCGGCACCATCATCCAGGTCTTGTACTGTAGTCTAGCCGCCCTATTAACAGCGATTATGGTTTGCTTTCGCAATTGATTCTTGTCCGTTTTAGCCGCTGGCATCTTTACACAAAGACCCCCTTGAAGTACTCCTCTACACCCGCACGTCCATCCTCGTCCAGGCTTCCAATGAATCCCACATATTGATCGGGCCTGGTGATAACAACACACCCAGTTTCCTTGTCGACTCCATATCCCTTATATGCTTCTCCATGGCCTTCGTGGTAGCTCTCATCGTCAACGAACACGCTGTCATAGTCCCATCCTGTATGTGCATCAAACGGATGCAAAACTTCCGGGAAATCTCTTTGAAGTTCTGTTTCCATCCGCTTGGACGAATGCAGCGTGAGGATAGCGATATGCTTGTGAAGATGCGGTCGTATAAATGAAGAGCTGTCGAGAAATTTGCAGAAGCCGTCGAGCCTCGACTTCTGCACAGGAGAAAGAACATTTCCAGCGAACACGATAAGGCGGAAGCGTCCATCGCTTTTCAATTTCGTCTGGAAATGCCATGGTCTGGCGTCTGCATGGTTAAGCACCTTGAACGATGGAAATCGCATCCCCAGCCTGATATTGGTAGCCAGATCCTGCCTGCAGACAACTTTGGTGGGGTTGGTAGTGGACACTTTTGTGCCATCACCTTGATCGGCCGCATCGCCGTCTTTGGCTACCAGCATGCTGGCTCCATAGTCGACGGAGAGTCCCGTGGCAAAGAGATTTCCCTTGACGAATGCCTCTTTGAACTCCGACATACTGACGCCTGTCTCATCCAAGATGTCCTTAGCAGGCCGCCCAGAAAACAAGCGGGAGAACTTATGGTCGAAGTCGATGAGATCCTGAGCTATACGCCTCCGCTCGGATTGATATGTTTTGAGGATGTCCGGTTTCGCTATTCCTTTGGCGACCAAGCCGAGTTTCCAGCCCAGATTGTAGGCATCCTGCATGCTGACATTCATACCCTGCCCGGCTTTAGGGGAGTGGGTGTGTACTGCATCTCCAGCCAGAAACACACGGCTTCTGTAGTCGAAATTCGTGCCCACACGCTGCCCAATCTGATACGCTGTCCACCAGTCACAGTACTCGTAGGTCAGACTGTACGGAGCGATGATCTTCTGAGCGGCCTTGATGATAACCTCCGGGGTGATCTTGCTCCGATCAGCACGGCCAGAGGCATCTGGTTTGACCTCGATCAGCTGGATGTAAAGTCGGACCAGCTTGGATTCTCTCGGAATGACCATGAGAGACCCCGAAGAGGCGCTATGGACGGCTGTCCTCATGCGGATGTCAGGGAAGTCGGTTATGGGGATGATATCTGCTTCTTGTCAGCATAACCGTAGATACATACTGATCTATACGGTAGCAGACCTAATACACCCCATATGAAGTCGGTTGGTTCTCCTTCCAGCTGGAAGCCCAACTGTTTTCTTGTCCAGCTGTGCGCACCATCGCAGCCAACGTCGTACTTGGCCCTCACCAGTTCCGAAGTCCCGTCCTTCTCTTTACTCTTCCGGATTAGCTCATCAGTATCATCTTCGGCGAGGTTGCTTCGGAAGAGTCCATCTCTGGTTGCGCTGCCTTTACTCTGTGCTGGAGTTGCCTCCTCTTCCGTCAGGTATCTCAGCTTTACTGAAATCGGGTACGAATCTTGGGAATGATCATCTAATATCTCCTCGTTGAAAGAAAGAGTCTCCGGTATTACGCCTCGTTCAACGCGAATAGAGTCATTGGAGTGCTTCTTGATGTGATCCAGGAAGAACCGTTCGATGCGTCCTTGGTGGAGGACAATCTCTGTGAAGCGCGAAAGTCCAACCATGACATCAGGAATGCGATCAGAACGCCGTATAACGCCATCGCTGCCCGGATTCTATCTCTGTTTAGAAGCAATCAAGGCCTGGATACCGGCTTTACGAACCCACATGCAGAACTAAAATCCGTCTATGAGCACGCGACGTTTCACAGACTGATACAGAGGAATATGGGCTCGTACCTCGAGCAAATGATTTGCCTCTTTGACAGCTCTGTCTGCAAAGCCAAAGCTGTCGAAGATCTCCAGACTCCGTATTTGCAAGCCATCAGCCTGCCCACAGAAGATCTTGGTGCTACGTTTGTCGATAATTCGAGCATTGATGCCGCATCGTGCCATCCATGTTGCCAGCATTAAGCTCGTTTGTCTTTCAGCTCTTCCTGGTCATCGGAATTGTTGTGGTACTGCACACTTACCCAGCTGGACCCGCTCCGATAATCAAGCTAAGCCTTAATTAGCTCATGTATGAATGCGTAACCGAGTGAAACTGTGTGACAGTTTGGAAATAGTGAATCCTGTACTTACACATCGCAAGTTGATTCTGTCAGCTCTGTCACGGTCATCTTCTCTGACGTCGCAAAGCTATAGTTGGTTGTATAGACCTAAATTCGGGTAATAAAGACGACATGTAGGAGTGGAAAATGTAAGAAAGAACAGAACGCAAGCCAGAGCCGAGGTCCTAGATAAACTCCAGTACTAGTGAATATCCTAAGGAAGAACGGCAAGAGACATCGGAGTTGGAAGCGCAGTCCCCACATGGAAGATCCGGTTACCCCACAGTTCGCCAAGCCGTGCTCGCCTTGGAGGGTTGCACTACAGTCAGCTTATGGATGCCTCTGGCTGTGATATATTCCGATATACTGATATAACTGAACTGGCGGTTTCAGGAACACAGACGTAAGAGGGAACGAGTTGGTGGGTCATCACTGTAGATGGTTAGGAATCAGAGCGAACGCCTGCGACTATCGGCGATCGGAATCCCACGCCATCACCGTATATGCCTGGACGCAGCCGCGATCGTACCCAACGATGGCTGAGTAGGACTGCTTTACTGTAGTTCTACGATGTCCTGATGCCAATTGGTATCGTCGAGGTTGCATCACCCATCTATACCTCAAGGCTTGGGGATATGCTGGACACTCCTAGAAGCCACATCTCGTGAAAGGAATGAAAGGACTGACCGATGTTTGTGAGTAGGCCATGCTGAAGGAACTATGACAAGGACACGGAACCGATGGCGACACGTAAGTTTTAGCGGAATTCGAACTCCGGATATCTGCCCATTGTATGAGCACCAGGCCTCGATGAAGCTTTCTAAGACAGTGGCTTCCTGAAAGAGATAAGCGGGACTGACAGGCACAAGGCAAATGAGACCAGCAATTACTACACAAGCGGTAGGTCGAAGTACAAGCACTAGGCTGGACACCCCGCCTGTGAATCTGTCCGTGGAGGCGGTTTCCGAGATGCGTGGATTCGGTCACAGCACTGCTGACCATCCAGGCGAGAGGGCGAAAATCGAGCTTTTGGTCGTCCCGGACGCATACGGCAATGTCAGAATGGAGTTTCCTCTTGAAGAGATGTGCAAGGAGGCTAAAGACTACTCAATTGGACCATGACCTGTTTCAGGGTGAGTCAACATCACCTCCCCCATACTACCATGCGTCCATTGAAGGTTGTTCGAGGGTCCCAAAGGCTGAGTGATGTCTCGTTCCATCGATAAGATTGCGCAGTCTTAGATGTACTTGGAAGAGATCTGCACCGTTGATAGGCACAACATCCGCTCTGGAATATTGATCAGGGGTCGACGTCAGTTCCGTTGAGCTGGACCAGATGTGCCTCTACCCCTCTATGGATTTGTGCTGGGTTCCACAACAGAATCCTTTTCCGAGATATTTGGACCTTAAGCAGTTCTTCACGTCCACCGGAAGTCACCATACAAATGTTGGCAAAGCCAATAATCGCTGGTTCTTGAAGACTCCAATTCTCAGCATTAGATCGGCGAACTACGGTGTACGGCGATACATGCGTGCCAGTCATGACCAGAGTCCTTCCTTGCCCTAAGCCGTAATTTGGAAGCGCGAGGTCTGGAGGTAGGTGAAGTGCTTTTAGCATTCCAGAGATACAGACAGCTATCCTGGGTGTTGATTTGGGAGTGAAAGGTCCGTAGACAGCACCAAGAGAATTTGCCAGAGTGTAAGGGTGCTGAATCCAAATCTTACATTGCCCGAGTCCAATAGTAACTGTGGTCATGTTCAGCATGTAGCCACGTCAGAAAGGGTCCAATCGGACGCTCAATCGGTCATATGCAAAAGTGCCATACGTCGCAAGCATTACAAGATAGAGTTCTCCGTAAGTACCTTGTCTCACTGTCCCGGCCAACAATGGAACCCTCTCTTCGTGATAGATTGAAGTTGAAGGAGAAATTTGATCGAGGGAATGCTGCGCTTTGGTCCGGAACAGCTCCTATTCTCACAGGCTCACCTAGCTACGGGCCTGGAGATAGGTCCGTAAAAAGGAGATCACACTCCGAATAAAAAAACACTTTTGTTCACCGTGTCAAAAGCAGTGTGCATCCAAGTGTCTGGAAACGGCGATGTGACGGCGGTCATCGGGGTGATCTCCGTCCGATGCCAGAAGAATGAGAGAAAACAGGGGCCCGCCAAGAGCTTTGGAAGGAGGAGGTTGCTTCCAGGGCGGACGGTTGGTCTGAGCTGGTGCCACATACGGTTTAGCGTATCTCTGATGGTGAAATCGACGCGTCCTCGTAATGACTTGTGTTTCACACACCACGACATCGCCGAATACGCTCTGAATCAGATTTGATGATCGGATTCGCTCTGTTCCAATCTGATGTTACTCGAGACAGCCTTCTCTGACGCTTTCATTCATCTATTCGCATCCAGCTAAGCAACATGTATCAATCGACATATCATCGATGGGATAAATACCCTAGGGTATTGCTGTAACTACCCGTATCCATCAAAGCTGTTAGACTTTTGCCATATTTAGCACTGAATAAGCTGAACAGGCTAGCTTTTGGAATGTATCTTGCTGTGGCCCGGCATCGCGGAGCCTTCTATCCACCGAACGGAGGACGGGTGAACGGCATGACGCCAATCATCAACCATAACAACCACTTAGAGTAATGCGTGCTCATAGAACAATCCGCAGCCATTGCGGCGCTGGCCTTGAAATGATGTCGTGCGAGGATCTCACACAACCAGGGACTGTTTTATAAAATCACTACATGGCGCGTCTGCCGGCGAGCCCGGATGCAAAATCTTCTGCCGGCAGCTTCGCCCACCCGATCAGAGTTTCAGAGACGAGGCATATTCCAAAGCCACTGTGATTCAGCGTCTACCCCGCTTTTCAAATCATTATGGTTTTCCAGCACCCCTTGAGGCTGCTCTACTTGAGTGCCTTCTTAGGAGGGGTTTCGCATGCCCAATCCTCTCTGGAGAGGCGATGGGAAGTAAGGACGAGGCGGGCGGCGACAACTCTTGCAATCGATATCGATACGGTAACTCAAATACACTCCCAACAAAGGTCGACCGTAGTCCCCGAGAGCCCCACTGTCATAACCACTCAACTACCAACTGCATATATCGAAGAACCGAATGGTGTATATGCTGAAATCCCTTCCAACATACAATCAGGGGACTGGTCTCTTATATATTCAGATACGCTGCCCGATAATACGGAGATTCCGCACGAGCTTCCATTCCCCACGCCATCCCGCGGAGATGGCTATGATCCCAATCCCTCGGGTGTCTGGATCAGTCCAGTATATCGTCATATCTTCCAATATCCCTTGCCTATACCATCCTCTAAATCACCCAAGTAGTAAGTCTTTCACAGCCTGATGTGCTGAAGGTGAAGAATGCTGACTTTGCAAGCACATACTACCCAGACGATACTTCAGCAGCGCCTATCGATTACTACGAGGTGGAAGTAAAGACGATGGCGAAGCAGATATACCCAGACCTCCCGCCGACGGTACTGACCACCTATGACGGAGTATCGCCGGGGCCGATATTTGTTATGCCGCAAGGAAGGGGTAAGTGTCTGTTCTGACGTCTGAAGGGCCCATGTATGAATTCGAGGCTGACTCTACGACTTGCAGAGGCGGTTGTTCGATTCTCCAACAAAGGCCCATACAATATGGCAGTGCATGTTCATGGGCAATATAGTAAGCATCATCCTATTGCGACATACAGAGCATACTAAATAAACTCAGATCGCGCCCCATTCGATGGATGGGCGGCGGACTACGCGACGGCGGGTCAATATAAAGTGCGCAAGGAGAATATAGTTTCCATGATGGGCTTGCTAACCAAATCCAGGACTATTATTACCCCAACGCACAAAATGCGCGCACGGCCTGGTATCATGTGTGTTCGTCTACTGTTCTCATCCTAAGCCCCACTAATATAGCTACTTAGGATCATACCGAATTCGCTACCGGAGAACATGCGTACAAAGGCCAGGAGGGCATGTATATTTTGACCGATCCACATGAACAGGGGTTGGGACTTCCCCGTGGACAGTACGATGTGGTACTGGCAATAACTTCGAAATATTATAACGACGACGCCTCGCTGCGTTACCATACCGACAATAACCAAGCCTTATGGGGCGACGTGATCCATGTGTTAGTAACACTTCTCACTGGAAGAGGCACCAGCTTATTCGTGCAGAAACGGGCAGCCTTGGCCATATTTTGAAGTCGAACCGCGTAAATATAGACTCCGACTTCTCAACGGAGCTATCAGCAGGGGTAACTTTGTAATCCTCTCATATTGATTCGACTTCATGCTGATTTTCGGTAGTATTTCATCTTTATTTTGCAGAAGACCCATCATCAACCAATAAGGATGTGCAATTCGAAGTCATTGGGTCAGACACTGGTAAGCAACTTTTTACTCTGCTCTGAAGCTTTCCTCCTGAGTCTTCAGGTCTTCTATCCCACCCCGTCCGCACCGACGACCTCTTAATGGCGATGGGCGAACGGTATGAAATCGTGGTTGATTTCGCCAACTATGCAGGGCGAAACTTAACACTGAAGAATAAAAGAGGCATGGAAGGAGGTATCGATTACGCCGCCACGGACTTGGTCATGCGGTTCGTGGTCGGCGACCAAGTCACTGACACCTCAAACGATGGGCCTATCCCCTCCTCATTGCGCGAGATCAGGCCGCCACCCGCAAAAGGAGCACCGGATAAAAGCTTCGTCTTCGAGAGAATCCATGACCGATGGCTTATAAACGGCGTTGGCTTCAGGGACATTGAGAATCGCATTCTAGCACGGCCATTGCGCGGAGAGGACGAGATTTGGGAGATGACTAATGGAAGAGGGGGAACAACACACCCAGTACACATTCATCTCGTCGATTTCCAGATCTTGTCACGGACTGGAGGGCGAGGGGTGGTATTGCCGTACGAGGCCGCTGGAATGAAAGACGTTGTGTGGCTTTCCGCCGGAGAGACGGTTCGAGTCCTCGCTCGCTATGCCCCTTGGAATGGTGTATTGTATGTTCTCCTCACCAATCCTCAAAGGGCAACAGTGCACTGACTGAAACTCCTCAGCCTGTTTCATTGTCACAATCTCGTTCACGAGGATCACGAGTAAGTTCACCGTTTGGTTCGCAATCTATCCCTTTATAACCTTCAATAGCATGATGGTCGCTTTCAACGTCACCGATCTGAAGCGATGGGGCTACAACGAATCCACCCAGTTCATCGATCCCATGCAACCAGAGTTCCGCCCGAAAGACATCAATCCTGAGGACTACACCGAGGAAGCCATCATGAAGAAGATCAAGTGGTTCTACGACACCAATGCCTATAACCACGGTAAAGTTGCGGAGGTGGACGCCGCCCTTGATAAATCTGTGTAACATAACTCAGTGCAATCCACAGAGGGCCGGTTCCCTCCTCAGTTCGAATACAAAGCCGTGGCGTTGTGGGGCCAGTCTTATCTTCTGTGTCTCAGCTGTATGGAGTATGCGGTTTTCGATTCATTCTCAAGATGGTCCAGACTGAATATTTCATGCCAGTGGTGGCTGGGCTTTGTGAGGGCTTTCTGAGTCTCATTCATATTTATTCAAGTTTCTATTATAGACTGCTTATTCATCTCTTAAACGCCCACATCAGTTAGGGCTCAACCATCCGTCTTGTATTTTCAACACTTCCTTCTCCCTCGTTTGTCCGACATGACGCCACCAGACCGCGGCCCATAATTACCTGGCCACCCGCAGCGACTAAAACAGAACCTTCCTTGCTTCTCCAGGCTAACATGACTTCCGCCGCGACATCCACTCACCAATGAAACGCAACCAGCTGCTCACCAAGCTTGACTAGAATCCCATCCCGTCGACTCTACCTTTCGATCCATGGTCTTGAATCTTGGAGGAATGACGTCCCTTCACTTCACCACTTCTTCTTTCCATTTCATGAATGCCCCAATATCTCACGACATCTTCTAATCTCACGAATGCACCGTTATTCCACGGAAACCTCTCAGTCTACACATCTCCCGTCAATTTTTTGACTGGGGTTTCCGCTTCCTCCTCGCGTCTCTACCCCACCCTGCGATTCTCGAACCAGCATCCTCAAAATTCAATCCGTAAGGATTTATGAACAAACCCTTTGCGTCAACCTCTGAAACACTGTCCGCGCGCGCACCTCGGAGATGATAGGGGTCCCGAGGCTAGGGCCCTCTAACTTGAGGCTGGCATGTCATAGCCAAAGAAACGACTGACCGTTTACTTGCGCAGTCTTGGAGTATACGTTTTAAAGTGTAGGACAAGAAAAGGGGTCTCATATAGATCGCCCAATCATGGACCCGAAGAGCAATCAGATTTAAAACAAGGCAGCTTGAAACGCTGGGCTGACGTGTACACCTGGGAATTTGGGTATTGATGTCCCGAGCCCCACGCGTGGGGAGGAGTTGTGTACTGTGTCTGTGTTTCGGGTGGGTTACGCTGCAGGAATGATGACGTTGATGGAGATGCTCCGGCTTGGACATTACGGGCCAGAGAAATGTTAGAGCATGGAATATATAGTGGTTAGTTTTTGTCAATTCTTCCAGGTGCTATGGTGTGTTGAATACCCTAGCGTAGGGAATGTGCGCAAGAGTGAATGTGTTCATCACGTGATACGACCGGTACGAGGAAGATCTCCGAGAAAGTGCGTGAACAGGTGCACAACTTCTCTAAGGAGGGTACATAAGTGGAGGGGAGAGTATACAAGTGAAGGTTTGAAGGTAAAGCATATCTGATCTTGATTGCTCTAGTTAAACAAATGCGAGTCTATACTCTTGAGTGGTATCATATGGTGCAAGCCGAAAATATACAGACGAACCCGTCGCCTATCCCGTCTTCTTCAGTCGGAGTATTATGTTGAAGTAGAAACCAAAAATTTCCCAAATCATGAACGCCGCTAGAAATGCTGGTAGTTGCAGGACCCTGAATATCCATGAGTACCATGGAAATGATGAAACAAGCCTTATCCTTCATTCTTCAGCGCGGCACTGGTGTTCGTCCTGCTAGCCTTCAGCGCCTTCCTGTACTCGCGTTCCATACCGTGCTTGACAGCATCGAGGACAGTATCGACGGTGGCGCGAGGCTGAAAACGAGGCTTGCTTCCCTCCTGGAAGACCCCCGTGCGGACGAGGATGGAATACCACGTGTTGTCTGCGTGCCTGTCGAACTCGTTGGTCCCGCGGATGTCGGACTCGGGTGTGTCGCCGACGAAGTAGACAGTCTCGGGCGGAGCATCGATGCGATGCGTATCCTTGCGCCACTGCTGAAGGAGGCGAGTAGCGAATTCGAAGGTGCCGATCTGTGGCTTGCCAAAGGCAGTTGTTTTCAGCTCTTTGCCGGTGACGGCCTTGAACATGGCTTCCAGAGAGACGCGAAGAGCGCCCATGCCGATGCGTGTGAGGTCGTGGGAGGTGCTCCATACGACATCGTTGTGTGAGAAGAAGACAGGAGGACCCTCGTCGAAGGTTTCGGAACGGGTGCCTAAGCGGCCGTTTTTGGACATCAACAGGTCGAGGATGATTTGCTGATCCGATGCCCAATCTCTGCTGTCGGCAAAGACGAAGATGGCTTCAATGTTTATTTCATCGAAGTTGCGGTCGCGCGAGTTCTTCCACTCCTCTGGCGTGAGTTTGCGGAAGGGAGTGGTGTCTTGGTTGTATTTGATGATATCGCCAGGGGTCACAACGTCCTTGAAGCCGTAGCCCTCGGCTACGATCCTGCACTTCTCGCCTTCGCCGCCAACGACAAGGACGGTGTTGTATCTCTCAGCCATCTCCCGCATGGGAGTATGACCACAGATGAACTGTCCGGGCGAGACTTCAATCTCGAGTTGTTGGCTGAGCTGTATGCAGCGCTCGGACTCAGTCTTGCCTCCACCATTGGTAACAAAGATATACGGTCTGTGTGGTGTTAGCGGACATCGTACACCAAGAGTGGTTATGTCACCTACACTTTGATGCCATATTCGTTCTCACCGTTCAGCATCTTCATGGCCTCGATCGCCTCTGGGATTGGGCGACCCCCGCGGATGAGAACGCCATCAATGTCGAACGCGAAGGCATACTTGTCTGTGACAGTTGTTGCAGGCGGCGTCCCGGGCGTTGTAGGCGTCGTTGGGGAATCAATCTCATGTCGGGCCTGCTCCATGGCGGTGGCAACTTCCAAAGCTTGCGATGGGGCCATGAGGTGCTTTGGAGGGACCACAACGGTGGGTCCACGAGAAAGAGTCTCATTGTTAGCCTCGGCGGCACTCAGGCGGCGCGCAAAGCGGCCTGAGGAGGAAGGGACAACGACGCTTGACATTGTGATGCGTGTATTGGCAGTCGGTAGTGAAGCTTGTATGAAAGCAATAATATGGTTTCTCAAGACATGAAGAAGTTGAGAAGTGCAAATACGCGGGGGATTGAAGACATTTTGTACTCTAGCGTAGATCCTGATATATTTGGGAATAAGGAATAGAGAAGTAACTCCATGAGGCTGTGGTGGAGACGGTGGGCACTCTGTGGAGAATAGGATGAAACAGATACGGTAGCCGTCTGTGGAGAGAGGTGAAGTTAACGAATGTTTTCACCAACCACCGAGTTGTGAGGATCTTGGAGATGGTCTTGTCATTCGTCAATGAGGCGAACTCTTCTGGTTTGTTATTCGTTGTCAGACAGAACCCCGGACTATCAGCAGGATTTTTACTGTGTACTGTGGTAAGACCCTGAGGCTCAACAAAGCAGGTCGATTGCCCGCCCGCAATGGTAGAGACCGGAGCGACCCGACCGTGACCAAGGTAGTCCACCAAGTCAGTTTCACGCGGGACAAGACCAGTAGATGATTGGTTCAGTATTTCCAGGGTAGTCAGTTTGCCGTCCACGGCCGGTAAGCTGTCGCTCAACCTCTCCTGATTTTCGGCTGTCCGAAAGGTAAACAAGTGCTGGACGGATGCCATGAGGTTGAGATGATCTCGCGCAATGATGTCACTGCGGGTCGATCCAAAAATGTCCTTGGCAACTGCAACACCAACTTTGAGCAACGTCCATTACTAAACCGTCTTGTATACGGATCTGCGTTTCAACATCCTTTCTTGGTCAACCACTCGGAAAAGACGGGACCCTTTATTTTGTGCCAAGCAGAACAGTCCCTGTGGCAAAACGCCGTAAACCAGTCAGAGAGGACGAGATCGGCCAAAAGCCGAGACAGGCCGTAAATCAGGGTCTCAGGGGAAATCGTTACTGTGAGAGCTTAAACCAAGGTGCTTTGTTGTTGCCGGCGTTAAAGTCGGCACTGAAGAGCCGTAACAGGTTTGACCTCAATCACTAGAAACGACATGAGCGGCTTTGACTTGAGGCGTGCAAGCAGTGTTCCGAGTTTCCGACTTGATACCCGTCGTATTGCACTGCAATACTCTCATATGAGGTGCCCTAGGGTAACAGCTCTGGTACATTGGTCACAAGCAAGAAATCCTTCCATCACAATCACTCCCTCTTGACCGGCAACAAGATTCCGCTTCGTGTTAGCGTATTTTCACTCTGCAAATACAGATTACCAACCTCAAAAGCTTGTTTAGGTGGTCCGTATTCCTGCAATTACAAGATGAAGCTGCACCCTTAACCCGACCCCACATTCCCAAACGTTGCGCTTTCCGCCATCTTCTTCTCCAAGAAGCAGCGTGGAGAGCTTAGAGTAGGCAATGAGTGCAGCCAATCGGCCCATCCTTCATGGGAGCTCGCTGAACTGTAAATTGGCAGGACCACAACTTGCCCATCACCACCGAAGCAAACCAAGGTCATAGGGCCTGTTCGCAGTCTACCTAGATAGGGTCCGGTTGACCGCCGCGCTCTGCCTCGGGCCAACTGTGACTGACATCTCTTGTCAATGCTGAAGCATCTCCACGCATCATCAAGCATTCTCGGTTCCAGGGAGGGAATATCATCGACGTGAGGTATTGCACATTCTCTCACTTCTTGTACATACGGAGACTTGCCCATGAAACTAGTACGGTCGCCTCCCACTGAGTGTCGAAGTGACAGAGTAGCTTCTAAATACTTTTGTGAAGTCAGCTCCACTCGACTAGTCTGGCTTGATGGTAATCAAGACTAAACAAAAACTTACTATCAACCTCGACAGTGGGTGAAGTTGCAGCGTGTAAAGGGTACAAAACACGTGATGCGTGATGTACCTTCCCACCTGGGCAATCCATGAGTATGCCTTCCCAGAGAGCTGAACCAACAAAATTTTTACCTCTCTCCTCACCGGCTCTACTCTCACCGGCTCTACTTCACAGCAATCCGCAAGCACACTCTCCATGCACATCTCGACCTTATGCCACCATGAACTGGACGGGCGGCAGCCTCCAACGTCACTCGAAGAACGCTCAGCGAAGCGTCGTCAAACGACAGAAAGAGCATTTTGCCAAGGCTCGAACCACGCTTCAGAATGGCTCAAACGTGCCGGCAGTGCCATTCTGTCCCAGCTATCTTCGACCCGAGACCATGAGCATAGGAGGCCAACTTCCCCCCTTTGGAATGGGCTCGGTTAGGCATGTAGGTCACTCCAAAAGGCTTCGGACTGGTCATTCCAACGACAGGTCACCGCGGGAGAATACCGTGCATCAAGCAGCACACAAAAGAACCTATGACTGCAAAGGGATTCTTTCGTCCGCAAAGATTGCGAACACCAACCAATTAGAACCAGGTATCAACGGGGCTGGGCCATCTCCACCAGGTATGATATTCCCTGCGTCTCCATTTGTGTAGAAACCCACAAAGCCTCTAGACCGCCTGCAATGCTGACGATCGTTGTCCGCAGCCAAAGACATGCGTCCTAGCTCTCCCAACGGGACTCCAGTAGACGACCTCGAACAACGCCTGTTAGAGGCAAACAGGCGGAGACTACTACAACAACGAGACTGGGCAGGGCTAGGCCCCTCGCGTCCGGTGAAGATGCATTTTGCATCAATAAGAGAGAAGCAAAGAATTGGCAAGCGAAGAAAGGTATCGAGTCGCTCGGGGATCCGCATCGATACCCACCAGCTTCCCCGCAGCATGCCTCATCATGGTAGAGATGCCTACAGGCTTATTGATATGCATCATGGTCTGGATGCCATAAAAGTCAGGATTGGCACAGAGGCGTTGGCTAGCCAGAGCTCAGCACAGCCGTCCGAGCACGCAATGCCATGTCGACCTGAGGACAATCGAACAGAGCTATCGGACCCCATGCTCTTTGACCACGAGGACATATGTTCTTCGCAGGGGGAGGTGAAGGCCATAACACGATCGGTCAGTGAGACCCAGGCAAGCCCCGGACCATTGATGCACGACCGCAGAAACAGCCCCTCCGTCCTGAGTGACCTTCCTTATGCTGGATCTAGGTTGTCGCAGAGAAAGCTGGTGAGCTACCCAAGGGAGGGTAGTAGTTCAAACGACCTCAGGGATGTGTTAACGGAATCGCAACTTCGACAACAGTCCATCTCCCCGAGTTTCAGGCTTCTCGCACATGGAACTCACGAGCCATTTCGCCTCACTTTTGATTCATCCGAAAGGACAACGGAAACGGGCAACCTCGACGAGATGAACACCTTGCGGGATAAGGCTACCAACGGGACGACTGCATGCAGCCTCGCTAATGCAAGGTCCTCTGGATCGAGGCATGTGGAGAGCAGGGAAGATGACCAGGAGCATTCATCCGCAAACATCGACGATAGGGCCTGGACGGGTTTTGCCAGTATTCCACATACCAGCTCGAACGGTTTGGCCGACTCCTTATCACAAGTCCCGGGTGGATATGCAGAACGCGGGTATGCTGGGACGCAATATGCAACTGTCGGCGATCGGACGTACGAGCCCACGTCTTCTCCAATTTTCGCCTCTCTGCCTTCGGTCAGGAGTGCAAATGAGCACCTTTCGTGGAAAGGCACGCCATCCTTGGCCGATAAGGGAGGGCACAGTGCCACTGGATATCAATCGCACGGCATGGATGAGAGCGAGAGGCTCTGGAGGACGTTCGTGTTCGCGGATATTGACGAACTCGCAGCTGGGTCTATGCATGATAGAGATACGCATTCACCGAAGCAGCGCATGACCCTTGGAGACCGGTCAAGCAAGAAGACTTCATGCGTGGCCGTTGCGTCCTCGGCGAGCTCCGTGCTGTACCCAATCGATCAGAATCCACAAGAGCATCGGCGCTCGAGCGACACGGTACAGATTGCAGCAAAAGGCGCATCTGCCCCTAACTCTTTCCTAGGAGCGAAGTCCAGGCCCGACGTCTGCACCAGACTGGCATCGTCCGAGGGCAGTGGTCCCGATGGGCCGCGACTCCAGGACCTAGAAAACGGAAGCCTTCCACAGAGGGAGGACAGCGATTTCGGACATGATGAAGGACGTTCTGTGCCACCTGGCTCCTTGTTCAACAATGCGTCTCACGATACATTCTCTTCAGGGACCATTGAGCACGACAGCAGTCGAGATTATGCGTATCTCCTGAGGTGCGGGACACGTAGTACAAGTTCCTAGCCAGGAACAAGCTGTCTGCCAACATACGGAGTCATTATAGACCTGTGCACAGCCAGCGAAACAATCCACTGCCAATGAGGGGCGGAGGTAACATCTTTCTTACAGCTGGAGGGATTCCCGCTCTGGGCGCAGGCAATCTGGGGATATCTACTGATACGACTATGCAAATTGATATTCAGTAGAGAACGGTATAATCATGTCGACTTGGACCCTGGTGTCAGCGGCGTTGACGGAATGACTGGGCGGGCAAAGGAGATCCTATGGGAGGCATTATGGGAACGATTTATTATAAGGAAGCGATTCGATTGTCCAATTGGCGCAGAAAATATTATCTCATCACCGATCAGCGCCCCTCGGCAGGGCTGCAGTCGAATGGTCTTCTGGGGACGTGTCGCAAACCTGGAATGCTGCAGTATGGGTAGGGGCATATTGCGGGGAAAGCTGTGATGAGTGGTGGTATCTCGCGGAGATTATAGATCTCCGGTTCGGGATCGTGCTTGATCTTCGAACGACCCTCAGAGGGAGGTGCACCCCGAGGAGATATTGGGACAAGAAGCACAGTTTGGGTGCAACTGCTGTTTGAATGGTTGCACATGGTCGGAGGGCAGCCATTCCAATGGCAATGCGGCATCAGTGCATGGCATGGAGTCCAATGTAGCATCGCAGACTCCCATTGTGAGGACCAAGACCTCGTATCGAGGAGTTTTGAGGGCCACGACGGGCGAGAGTTGCAATGTCAAACGATCAGACGACGAGGTGCCTCAGGCAGCCGGCTGGCGCCATATTGTACAGAGCACTGTGTACACACAGGCAGGCCAATGGGGTGTATGTACGGTCAATGGTGGAACCCTTGGTATGCGCTGGACATTGGGGTTCAGCTGACCGGATGAAAGAGGAGTACACCAGGCCGGCCTCGATGATTCATGAATGCAGAGGGGAAGAGCTTGGAAGGTGCATGGAAGGTGCATTGGCATATTCAAAGAAAAGATGATAGCGGCCAGCAGAAGAAAGAGAAATGGAAAAGGCGATTGGGCGGTAAAGCTCGCGGTCCACCGCGATGGCACACCGCCGCGGTGGCCATGTGACGTGCGGATTGACAGGGGAGAAATGGCGGGGGAGTGGTGGGCGGATGGAGCGGGCTTGGCCAGGGGCTGGAAATCGTGGAGCCGTCTGATGCTTTTTTCTGGAACGCCGAGCGAAGCCGGGAAAGGCCAGCGAGGCATGGCCGGGGCCGAGCGAGGGAGTCGTCACGCGACTCGGACTTTTTGCAAGGGTTTGTTTGCATGCTGGGGTTTCTTCGGGAGAATGATGCAGCACCGTGGGGGTTCAGCAACAAACAACACCGCGTGGTGACGACGACGACACGAAGCGCCGCATCCTCGGCAGTCAGCACGAACGAGGAGGGGGGATGAACATGTACGGCAGGGCAAGGTCGTATATACAGGAGGACCATGGCACACGAACAGGCTGCCGGGCGGTGATCCGTGGTGGAGCCGGCAGCTGCGAAATGAGATGCGGAATGGCGGTGGGAGAGACGAGAAAAAGAGAATAATGGAGAAGATTTGATGAGGACGAGTCGCGCATCGTCTGATCTTTTTGACTGGGCCGGCAATAATAATAATGTTTCGCAGTCTTCACACAGCGGACACTGGATGATCGACGACGGCGCCGCCCCTGGCCGATCAACCCAAACCACGCCAACGGGTCGCTCAAGCTCGAGCGGGTGTCGTTTCAGCAGCAACCGAGCGTGAGCCCGACCACGTGTGGGTTTGGCTCCTTTGCAGTTGCCCAGCAGCTGGAGAGCCCAAAGAATACCAGCGATGACTTGCTGGCGCTTGGTTGACCGCCATGTACCCGTCACAGCTGACGACTATCTCACAGTGATGAATCATGCTCTGAGGGTGCCGTTGCCGTCAGTCATGCTGACGGCATCGATTGCAATCATCATTGCTGGGACCAATGGCACCACCGAGCGGCTCCAGTAATCTTACCCCTCATCTTCCCTTTCCCCACACGGGCTACGGGGTTGCTAGTTTGGTGTAATCAGAAGTGCGAAAGCCCATTCATTATCGTGGTTGTAGTCAGCATACATGATGACAGCAATAGGCTGGGTAACCAGTAGGTACTGGTACCGAGGACAAAGAAGCACCATCACCATCAGGCAATGGCCCGGGCTAAGCTGTGTTGGTGTATTGGTGCCCAGCGGACTCAATAGTGGACAAGCCCGATTACAAGCCTGCAGCAACATTATCGTGAGGGTGCTCGCAGAGTTCCAAGCCTGAAGACGATGTTTTGTTGTCGTTTTCTCCTGTAGTCTAGCATCAGGGAGGAGCATCAGGATGGGGCGTCGTAATAATAGGTAAGCAACGGCTGCTATTTCTGTCGCCGTCGTCGGCGTGCGGTGAGGAGTGAGGCTGGTGGTCAACAGGCAGAGGGCCCAACCCCGGGCTTTGATGCAGCCCAGGCTGGGATGCCTGATCATAAGCCACACGGCTTGACAGGGTCAGTCGGATCCCACGCCAGAGGTATAGGGATGGTGGCATCGAGGTGGTGACGAGCGGTGAGACGGCAAATCGGGGGGGCTTGTGTCTGAATGCTGGAGCGACGACAGCGAAAAAACAAACAGCAGGATGGAGAAGAGCCTCACTAGAAGCTCTGTGCGACGGGGCGGTGTATGACTGTGACTTGACCGATGGTCGGAAGTCGGAAACGTTGCTTATTCATCCGCCGTTGACAGCGGAAACGTTTGCGGACGTCGAGGTTCGGGGGATTGGTGAGCACCCGCTTGTCCCAAGTCGTCGACGCTTATTACCGTACGTATTGTTACAACGGTAGCTCTCCTGGTAGACTAATGAGTGGTAAATTGCGAGCAACGTCATCGTGTGATGATCAGACGTTTCAGCTAGTACTAGTACTGTGATGGCTAATAGTCACTGCCGACATCCGGCAGCGTAGCCACTCATTATTTTAGTTCTCAGGCCATAACGAACAATTCTTGTTACTCAGGACTGTGTGTGTACTTGTACTGTGTGCACTGTAGAGCAGGGCATGACTTCCCAGGACCTAGTGATGAGCAACCCCGCTTTTGGATTTCCAATAACTACTGTGTACTTACTGGCTGCTAATTTCCCTTCAAAACGAGGGGAATGGACGAAACAGAGGACGGATATCTCCTAGCCGGGTTCTGGCCGGAGGAGGCCATTGGCCGTATACTGAATTACCTGATTTGTTGCCCCATGGAGTGTTAACATTGGACGACTGCTGCGGGGTGATTGTGTGGTGTGTGGCTGCCAAGAAAGCGACGACCGTTGGGCCTCGCCTCCTCCTTCCCCTTTCCGGTGTGGGGCAGAAAAAGGGCTTTTCTCCGACCTGTGTTTCGTTTTATTACCACGAAAGTCGCGAGACCTGGTGGTACTTGAACCTTGAAAATTTGTGGGCGGGAAACCCCGGTACTAGCGCCTTCCCTCCTTCGGCCCAGCCGCTGCCAAGAAGTTATCTTTCCACCTGGGCAGCCCAAAAAAGCTCCCTTCGTCAGCTTTTCACTGCTCTTCCTTTCTGTTCCCCCCCTGCCCTTCGCGCCCCCTTGCCCAATTCCCAATCATCACCCACCCTGGCACTTCTTCCTCTTCTCCTCTCTGCAATTCATTATCTTCCCACTCCTCCCTCCCCTCGATCCCGGCCTGCAGACGCTCGCACCCTTCACCCACACGCACATCATCGCCATTCACTATCCGACCAGCTGCACCAGAGGTAGCCTTGCAACACGCACGCACGCACACCACCACCACCACCACCACCACCACCGCCCCGGTCCTGACCTGCAGCCGATCGCATAACACGGTACACACACAATTACCTGCACGCTCTCGTCCGCCTGTACGTCTATACCGGTGCGACCTGTAAGCTGCGACGCCTGCTTGCTATTCGCCCTGCACGCCAGTCGCGCCCACCGCGCTTGAAGGTGCAAATCCACCCACGCACACCCCAGAAGGACGACCTGCTCCCCAGCTTCCTTGTCTGCCTCTCCCCTCACGATGCGCCAGTTGCCTTATTAAACCGTTGCACTCGGCGCCGCCTCCGCCCTACGCACACGGGCAGTCGCCTCACTTCTCCCCAGTACTGTCCATGCAATTCTCAGCACCCCTCGACTCGCATCATGACTACATAGGCCGCCGTGCCATCCCAATGCTCCCTCCCACCTCCAATCCCGTAGCTCCCCAGCCAACACCCCCAACTACCACTCGCACCATGTCCAGGCCCGATGTCTATGGCGAGCTTCTTGCTTCGGCGCCTCAACCGGCACAGCTACCTCGTTCGCGCTCGCCCCAGCCCCAGTACATGCGAATGAGCTCCGCCATCACCATCCCCAACGCCCGCAGCCCGGCTTCGACCTCCTCCTATTACAGTTTCAATGGCTCCACCAGCCTCCAGTCGACCCCCGAGGGCATCGTGCCCGTCTCCCACTCGTCTCTTCCTCAACCCTCCTCGTTTTACCTTCCCGAGCCCCTGATACATCCACCGACTTCGACACCGCCAACTTCGTCCACCTCCGCAATGGCAGAGTTCTGGCCCAAGAGCTCTGGAGGGCTGATACGAAGTCTTAGCCGAGGTGCCCGTCAGGGCATTCAAGACAAGTTCCGCCGGAATGGATCCAGTGCCCACCGGGATAAAAGCTCCGGCCCTGTCATCATGCGTCGCCGCTCCGACAGCAGGACTGCCCTCGACAATGCTGCCGACGTGTCCGATCTCGATCTCGGTGGAGAGGCTGGCGAAGAGGAAGCCGTCGAGGACCTCATCGAGCCCCTGAACGTTTTAGGCATATCGGCAAACCGACCGTCAGTCGTCACCTCCATACCCGAATCTAGCGAGGAAGCCCCGGTACGGAAGCAGAGATTGGAGCAAGGCACCAAATTCACCAAGGTTGCCAAGAAGAAGATTAAGCAAATCACCTTGCGGTTGGATCTGGACCATGGAATCGTCTACTGGGATCCTCAACGGCCGTCAAAATACTTCTCAATCGACGACGTCAAGGAGATTCGCTCGGGTCCCGAGACGAAGCACTACCGCGAGGAATTCAGGTATTCGGAGCACTATGAGCCCTTGTGGTTCACCATTGTCTACTCGGACACGGCCCGCGCCAAAGGGAAAACCAAACAGATGCACCTGATAGCCAGCGATCCGGGCACCATCAAACTCTGGACCCAAACCCTCGACAAGGTCTCTCGAGAGCGCATCGAAATCATGGCCGGCCTCCTGAGCTCCGCCGAGAAGAGCGCGAAACTGGTGTGGCAGCGTGAAATGGCCAAGCGCTTCCAGGGTTCGGAGCACCGCCCTGAGGAAGAGACCATGGATTTTCAAGGAATCATCAAGCTTTGCAGAAGTCTGCACATCAATTGTTCCGAGGACATGTACCGATCCTACTTCAACATGGCCGATGTCGACAGCACCGGGAAGCTCAATCAGCAGCAATTCCTTTCTTTCGTCAGGCAGCTGAAGGAGCGGAAGGACATCCGTCCCATCTATGAGCGATTCGTACCGAAGGACGACACGGAGATGACTAAGACTAGCTTCTTCACGTTTCTTGCGAAGGAACAGGGAGTCTTCGTCTCAAAGGACCCGGAGTATTGGACGTCTGTCTTCGAAAAGTGCGCACGCGCTTCCAAGCCCAAGACCGTCCCGTCCGAAGAGCTGACCATGGACCTTGCTGGGTTCCAAACGTTCCTCACCTCGTCCACGAACTCTTGCTACGTCCCGTCCACAGCAAACGTGCAGCTCAACCGCCCTCTGAACGAGTACTACATCTCAAGCTCTCATAATACCTACCTTACGGGTCGCCAGGTCATCGGCGAGTCCAGCACCGAGCCCTACATCACCGCACTACAGAAAGGCTGCCGATGCCTTGAGATTGACTGTTGGAATGGGAATGACAAGCAGCCCATCGTCAACCACGGTCGCACGTTGACCACCAGCATCTCGTTCAAGGATACGATCAAGGTCATCAACCAGTACGCCTTCTGCGAATCTCCCTACCCCCTGATCCTCTCCCTCGAAGTGCATTGTGACCGTGAGCAACAAGCGCGCATGGCCGAGATTATGATCGAGGAGTTTGGCGATAAGCTCGTGCTGGAGCCGCTGGATTGGAACTCTACGGCCCTACCGTCACCCGAAGAGCTCAAGGGAAGGATCTTGATCAAAGTGAAAGCCGCCGCCGATGATGCCGACTCCAAATCGTCAGTTGCAGACCTCCCGCCCCGCACCCGGTCGCGAAGTCTCAGCTCGCCATGGTCTCGCCCTGTGCAGCTCGATAACTCTACCATTCCTCCGCTCTCGAGCCCCCCGTCGATGAGTCCTCCAGAGCGTATCACGTCTTTCTGGACCTCCCCTCGCACGTCCACGACCTCCACCAACGCCACCCTCCCCACACCTCCCCTGATGAGTTCGGCCGACGACTCGGACAGTCCTCCGGCCACCGATGTCGAGAAGAAGAAGAAGAGCTCTACGACCAGTAAAATCATCCCAGTGCTCGGTGACCTAGGCGTGTATACCAAGGGCTTCAAATTCACAGGCTTCAAGACCCCGGAAGCCCACAGCTTCAACCACGTCTTCTCGATCGGCGAACGTACATTCCGTAAGTTGATTGAGCAGGATCCGCAGACAAGGAACGCATTGGAGGAGCACAATATGCGCTGCCTGATGCGCGTGTATCCAAGCTTCCACCGTGTCACGTCGACCAACTTTGAGCCTCTGAGCCACTGGCGCAGGGGCGTCCAGATGGTGGCCCTCAACTGGCAAACGTACGACGTAGGCCAGCAGCTGAACGAGGCCATGTTCGCCGGTGGCAATGATGGGGCAGGCTACGTCCTCAAACCTGCAGAGATGCGCCTGCCGGAGCCGCCAGAGGCCAGTGTCGGCCATCGGTTGGCCCCCAGACAACTCGTCCAATTTTCTGTGCAGATTATCTCTGCGCAACAACTGCCGCGGCCCAAGAGCCTCAGCGCTGATGCGAACATCAATCCGTACATCGAGTTTGAGGTGCATTGGGCCGAGGATATGGACCGACATGTCACAGCTGAAAGCAACCAGGATGCCTCCGCCCGCAGCGGCCTCTCCAGCATCGGAGATCCGCTCCGGACAAGGACACGTATCATCAAGGGAAATGGCTACAACCCCGAGTTCAAGGACAAGATTTCCGTGTCCATCATCACGCGATACCCTTCCCTTGTCTTCATCCGATGGAGTGTTTGGAACTCGCGCGATGCGCAAAACACCGAACGCGCGCCCCTGGCCACATTCACCGCCAAGCTGGACAATCTCCGGCAGGGTTATCGCCATCTTCCCCTATTCGACAGCAGTGGCGAGCAGTATCTCTTCTCGACGCTCTTTTGCAAATTCACCAAACTGGAGCCTGTCAAGGTCCCGGAAGAGTGGGGTGCGGCTCAAACGCCCAGATGTGTCGTCGAGCACGAGAGTGTCTTCTCGCAGACGGGCAACCCGCAGGGGGGTCGCAGTCTTCTCCGGAAACTGATCCACCGCGCCCCAAGTGGCAGTAAGAAGCGCAAAGACATCACGTTCCACCGCACTTATAGTGACTCCAAAGATGACGGCTTCGATCTCCGCCACTAGTAGGAGCCAGGACACTGGTGCTGAGGCTGAGAGGGTCACAACGTAGCTTCAACCGCATTGCCAAGGTCGTCTGCTGCTTTCCCACGTCCGCTTTGCATCTCATCCCCTTCGGCACTTGAAAAGTTCAGTGCACCGCTCCATAGCTCGCTTGTTACGAAACGTCGCAACGCACATCATGGTCACGGGTACAGCGATGCCGTTTACCCGTCCGTGGCACAGCGGCCTTCCGTCAACGCAGATGCGCGCTGTCCGCCGAAATACCCCAGGTATGGCTCGCTACAACGCGTGGTCCAATGGATGCATATGCACAACGAAAATCCTGTTTTCTTCTTGCTCAGCAATTAGCTGGGCCGATCTCTGAGCATATTTCGTTTCCTCTCCACTGGCGCATCTGATACCCTCTGCATCTGCCCGCATCTTTCCTTGTCGTCTCCTTCCTTTTCCATTTGGGCGGCGGCGTTTGGGTTTATTGGGTCGGTTGGCACGGGCGCCTCCACCCTTTTCAAGAGCATGGCACGGATATCCACTATAGACATTGGCTTGCTTCAGCGCTGCGCTCGCTACCGGTGAACAGGTTCCACCCGGTCGGCCTCTTCATGTACTTGGTCGTTTCTCCGACTGCACCTTTGCGCGTCGTTTTCCTGTTCCGCGTCGTACGATGCAGACACGACGATGACGGCCTCGGTGCGATTTCTCCCGACTGGTGTGGGTCGTATAGGCTCATGCAGTGTGTGGGTGTGTGTATTGGGAGGCTATCTTTTTGTCGTTGTATTCCGTACTGCTTGTAACACCTTTCATTCATTCTCGGCTCCGGAGCCGAATTCGACGCGCTGGCTTGCCTTTGGAGTATGTGGGGTCCGACGAATGGCTGGTCTTGAGATCATGCTTGCGACCTCGTTTTCCTTCTTTCGCTTCTTATATATATTCTTTTTCTGGTTACTTGTGTGCGGCCCTTGGTCTCTGGTTTGCCTAGTCGAGGCCAGTGGGTGCTGGGGAGCGAGCGCTCGTGGGACAGACATCGTTGTTGATGCCATTTTTTCTTACCTTGCATAGATGGGTATGGGATTGGGAATTGGGAATGGGTTGTCGGTTTTTAGGGTTTCTGGGGAATTATCACCACCTGGTTGTGGTCGTGGGAATGAATCAATCGGATTGCCTACTGCAGGATACCAGCACTACTACGTAGTATTTGATGGCTAGCTATCTCCTACCAAGTAACTAAGCGTAACTACTTTGCGTATATCTGTCTCTCTCTGTGTGTGTGCATCGTTATCCATGGATATCCTACGGGCAATGGTGCGTATCTACCGCCCGTCCAATAGGTGTGTAGATGGATCGTCTCAGACGCGCAGGGACTTCCTTTCAACTTGGCTGTTCTGTACGAAGACATTTCTGTGTGTAGGTCTGTCTGCTTGCTACGTCCTCTGGGTCTCGATACTCTTTTCCCCTGTCTCTCCGCCCTGTCGTCCTGTGTGTTTCTCTTGCGGGGGTTCGGATGGTAGTGCTACCGCTAGCTACATGTTTATTTATTTTCCCCATTGTCTGGGTTACTGCGATAAGGGGGGTTGGGGGGTGAGGAAGGGGGAGCGAAGCAGCGCAACAAGAAAAGGCATAGATGGCCTAGACATGGGCAAGGGGAAGACGGACGAGGGAGTAAGTACCTAGGAGGAAGAGAGATGGAAACGAGAAAGCGATGGGGATGCGCAGAACCATACAAGACAATCAAAAAAGGAAAGGGGCAAACAGGGGAGGAAAAAGAGAAATAAGAGAAGGAACGAGCATATAGTAAGGATATCCTATCGTTGATTAGTTAGTGCATACTACAAACGTAGATGAACGGCTTTATTATATCGTAGACTTTTAGGTGCTGAAGTATCAACTTTTGCGAATCGACAGTCGCCTAACCTATAGAACTCTAAGAGACCGCTGCCATCACGTTATCATGTTCTTCAGTACACTAGCAGTTGCATCGCTAGGATATTGACTTTGTCAAGGAAAAAACTAGTTCGTAAGTCCTACGTGCTTGAAAGGAGGGAGGTGAGACGACGGCGGAAACTTCCAGAATCTAGAGTAGTTGGATTACTTCTAAACATCCTTGTTTTAAAGGGGGCAGATTGCGTTAGGTTTTCATTAGATCTAGAGGTAGGTCTGTTATACTTACACTGAAATACCTAGTCTTAATTTATCTGCAAGCTAAACCAAACGATTCGTTCCAACGATGAATACTGAATCAAACAAACGTTCCCCCCTCCAAGTCCCCAATCACTAAAATCGACCCCGAAAAGGGAGTACTCACGCAGAACCATCGTCGATGCCCATATACACGCGTCGCTGCTTAGAACAACGTTAGTAGCTTTTCACAGCAGCATGGTAAACTAGGCACCCACCGCAGAACACCATTGGCCAACATAAACTGTTACCGTACCTAACTATTCCCATTGGCTGGGGGCGTCCGGCAACCCTTCCGAACCAACACACTCAATTCCAACCTCAACCAAAAATGCCCCATTGTCACCATGTCCACGTCGTAGCAAGAATGGTGATGGCGTTCAGGCGCTCATGCAACTCCTCGGTCGCTCCAACATCCCTCACACGAACGCAATCAAATTCCAACATCCCCCGCACGGCACACGCCGCATACCTAATTTCCTACCATAGTACCTAGGCACGGGAAGACAAAAAGTGAGGCGCATAAGGACGCGCTTCTTACGTGCATGCGCCCTAACGCAAGGCAGCAAGGCAGCAGCCGGAAATCCCCACGAAGCCGTATCCGTTTCGTATACGCCATGTGCTCTCCTCGTGTGTGTTTGTCAGAGGGATGCAGGCTTCTGGCCTCTTCGGGGAAAAGCGTCGCGTGCGACCCTACCCCAGGCTTAAGTTGAATTTCTATGCGTCGGTCGAGGGAGGGTAAGACGGAGGCTCAACAAGTCATTGCTGACATGCGTCGTGGAGGAACGACTTCAGGTGGGACGCAGAAACGTTGACTTGGAGTTTTCGAAACGAAAAAAGGGGTGTTTGTGTATGGTTCCTTGCGGAAGCCCTTTCATCCCCAGCCCAGCTGGCAGTGGAAGGATGCAAGGCGAGTCAGTCCAACGGGAGAACATGTTCGGAACCAAAGAGCGACACGACGCTGCTGGGACCTCGGAAACCTTCCCACACGCATGCACGGCATGCATGGCGTGCAGCAAACAAACATGGTTCTATGCCATGTGGCTTGCTGAAACCGGTTTCCCCGAGCGGTAGGCGTAGTATTGCTGATTTTTCAGCCGAAGGAAAGCTCGTTAGTCAATGGTTGGGGTGGCATTCAGCAGAGGACGTGGGGGATTGAGGATGTTCGGGCACTATGTATGTTCAGCTGCAATGGATCGCGAACGGCCTTCCAGCTTTCTGCAATCGTTGACTCGTGGATTGTCGAGGGAGAGGATGACGGTGCCAGAATGGTAAGAGCACTGGCTCTGATAGAGTGGTCATACAAGCACTGTGTCACTAAAGATAGGTAGCTGCGTTGCATGTATGTGAAATCGCGGTGCCAAGATATCAGAAGTTCCATGTCGCAAGCAGGTCGGACAAATCCGACAATGCCTACAGAGAGGCGGTGAACTTGGCTATTATCGTACGGTGTAAGTCAGCGATAAATGGGTTGTTCTGAGCTGATCGGTCAGTGAGAATTCTGATAAGCAGCCTAGAGATTATCCAAGAAAGCCAACGCTGGGGTGATCTCCGTAGTCATTTGCAGTTACCACATGCGTGTGGGAACATGCGCAAAAGAGACAGCTCCGATGATCGGGACTGAATGCCTTGTACCAATGGCCCCGCTGGATACAGATCTACCACAGTATTGTCAGCACCAGCTTGCACCTTCTCTATGAGGGAAGGAGACCGAATGTGTCCTGCGTCTGGTCTCCTCCGTCGTGAGGCATCAGTTAGCGAGACTTCGCCAATTTTTGGTTGGTGACCTGCAATGCTGCATGACCAGCTCTGACAGCGTTCCGGTCACCCCTTGTATACGCAAGCTGACTGCAATCATCGGTTTTGCTGTGACTACAAATCGCTCATTCAGGCATGTTCTTCCGACCGGGACAACGACAGGATGGTGCGGCTATTTCCGTTTCGTACGTTGAATAACATTCAGCCGCGACTGCGGATTGCTTCTAACAGAAGAGAAGGGAACCGGGGTGGGTGACGGATAGCCGTGAAGAAGATGTACGCATCAAAGTTTCCGCCCTAACTTGGAATGCAGAAGACAGGAGTCATGACTGTCCGCTGTGTGCCACTTGACCTGCTTGCTACTTCCCCAAGACTTCCGTCACCCATCCTCTGTGGTCCAGGCAAGCAACCATCAAAGCAATTCGGGTTTAAGCGCCCTTTCCGCGAAGAGAGGAAGTGGGATCGTAAAATATCACACAGTAGATGCTCAATCCGGAAGCGAACGTGGGATGTTGCATGGGCTCGCAGAAGATGGTTCGCTTATACGTGGCCGAGTGATCTTCTGCAGGTCCAAAGTTGGCTAGCATGCCAGAATGAAAACACGGCTGCAAACACAGCCATGCTATCCCAATGGAACAGTGATCAGGGATGGCCGGAGGAAGTAGTAGGTAGCTTCTTGCGTAATGAAATTCCCCTTCAAGGAGGGACCGGACCACTGGTATGGTGAGGACGCTGACAAAGGAGCCGAAAGACGGCGGGAAAGGCTACGCCGCCTGGAGCAATTCGGTTGACGGATCATTTCTCTTTGAGGAGCAGAGCGTGCAGCAGACGTCCTCCTGCCAGGTCGGCGAAAGAATGATTGGTGCCAAAGCGATGCGATATTGCTTCTGCTCGTTTGCGACTTGCAGAGCAATATACAATCCATGTAAAACCTCGTAGGCAATCTTCACTTTCCGCCATCCTTGACACATTGATGGAGGAAGGGCGTGGTGGAGTCTAACCCTACCACTTGGCGGGCTGACCAGGAGTTGGCGCCACTCATGCACCCCGCACTTTGCAACGCTGGAAATAATGTTTAGGTTCGTTCGATCCCTCGGCCAGTCCCGCACTGCAAGATGAACCTGGGAGACGAGCGTTGGCTAGCCACTGAGGTGTCGTTGTGCTGATGCCCACGCGTATGCCGTGGCACCGAGGAAGGTTTGGGGGCGTGCGGGGATGCATCCGGTCGTATTACACCGGTTGTGGCACGGAATACGTTTGCTGAGACGGCTGAGACAGCATACCAGCCTGGCATAGTAGATTCATGTACCGGTACATTCCCATACCTCTTAACCCTGAACCAGAAAGAAAACCCGCTGTTCGCTTCCAGGATTCAAATGGGACGCGGGTATGGCCAGGTCAACGGCATGCTGTTCAAATAACGGCATCCTCATTTTTCGTGAGTTGCAGGCAGTGGCTGGCCCTCATCTTTGCACCTCTTTTTTCTGCTCTTCGTCAGTGAGTTTGACATGAACCAAGTGACTTCGTTGAGTACGAATTGGACTGGCGTGGTTGATGAGGTCCGCGTAGAACTACAATATCAACTGAGCGACAACAGTGAGGCAGGGATTGAAGGGGTGACGAATGTTTTTCTAAAAACATTAAAATCCCTTCCTCATAGAACAACGTGCTATCACCATAGTTCGGGAGGTTCATGTTTGGTGTATCGAGGTGAGTCCGGAGCTCCACTAACTGGAGCATTTTTATTGGTTCGATGGACCAATTAAGACCCGATAGATGAATGTCGTTAGGATGTGTACATCCTCTGTCTGCATGGCTGGTGGATGCATTGATGGGAATGTTGACGTCGATGGTGTCTGTAACTCGGGCGACGTTGATCGTTGTAGTGGAGAGAAGCTTTGGTCGCACGGACCCGCCTTGGCACTCGAGCGATCTTCCCCGACTACCGACATTTCGCACGACAAGCCCTAGTATCATCGTCAACAACCAACGACGCCCATACAATCGCCACCTTGAACATTTCCGCAACCACCTCCCTTCGTTGACTTGCTTTGAAGGCTGTGAGATGGTCTGAACGAGCTCACCGGGCCTGACATCGATTCACTCTCTGTGCCCGCGCTTGCGGTCCTCCCAACTCGCAACCCCGCCGCCCAATACTTTCCTACGCATAGACGCAACCCACGAATTACCGCTCTCACCGCCCTCCGTTACCCACCATGGAGGGTGCCTTCAACCACATGGGTAACCATCTGGTTTCCGATTCTGCAGCTACCATCAACGCTGGTGGTCACGACGATGACAGCATCCTGGAAGGGAATCTCTCACGAAGCACCCTGACAGGCCCCCGCCGGCGACGAGTCGACGACGATGAGGAGACTGATATCTATGACGATGAGGATATGGAGAGCATGGTCAGCATGCCCGTAGACGGTGCAAACGGAAAGGCTGGAGCCAAGGTCGATGACGACGTTGAACTTCCGCCTCATGCGTGCGCGTAAGTAGGATGCCTATGCGAAATGCCTCACAGCTGCTGATCAACATACACAGGTATTGCGGCATCCACAACCCTAGCAGCGTCGTAAAGTGTCTCTCGTGTAATAAGTGGTTCTGCAGCGCCCGTGGAAATACGTCGTCGTCGCATATCATCAACCACCTTGTCCGCGCCCGCCACAAGGAAGTCCAGCTTCACCCGAAGTCTTCGCTCGGCGACACCACGCTTGAGTGCTATAATTGCGGAACCAAGAACGTCTTTCTTCTCGGCTTTATCCCGGCTAAGTCGGATACCGTCGTTGTGCTGCTCTGCCGCCAACCGTGTGCAGCCATGCCATCCCAGAAAGATATGACGTGGGACACTTCGCGATGGCAGCCCCTGATTGAGGATCGTTCTTTTCTTTCTTGGCTGGTTCCTGCGCCGTCCGATCAGGAACAGCTGCGTGCTCGCCATCTCAGCCCCCAAATGATTGCGAAGCTAGAGGAATTGTGGAAAGACAACGCAAACGCAACCATTGCCGACTTGGAGAAAGGCGCTGGGCAGGAGGAGGTCATCGCCAAGGTTCTTCTTCGCTACGACGATGCATTCCAATACCAGAACGTATTCGGCCCCCTTGTCAAGATTGAGGCCGACTATGACCGGAAGCTCAAAGAATCCCAGTCCCAAGATAACCTCATTGTCCGCTGGGATATGGCGCTCAATAACAAACACACGGCCAGCTTTATCCTCCCTAAGCTTGAACTCGGTGACGTTAAGCTAGCTGTCGGTGACGAGATGCGCTTGCGGTACACCGGGGAGCTTCGCCCTCACTGGGAGGGTGTCGGATATGTGATCAAGATCCCGAACAATCAATCCGACGAAGTTACCATTGAGTTACGAACAAAGGGAGACCACAAGTCTGTTCCCACGGATTGCACCCATAACTTCAGCGCCGACTACGTTTGGAAAGCGACCTCCTTTGACCGTATGCAGCATGCCATGAAGACCTTCGCCATCGATGAGATGAGCGTCTCAGGATATATTTTCCACCGTTTGCTTGGTCACGAGGTTGGCGTCGCTCCAATGAAGATACAGATGCCGAAGAAGTTCAATGTTCCTGGCCTTCCCGAGCTGAATCCCAGTCAGATCAATGCTGTCAAGAGTGTCTTGCAGAAACCCTTGAGCTTGATTCAGGGGCCCCCAGGTACTGGCAAGACTGTCACCTCAGCGACCATCATCTACCACTTGTCCAAGATCAGCGGTGGCCCAGTGTTGGTGTGTGCACCTTCCAATGTGGCCGTCGATCAGCTCTGCGAGCGTATCCATCGTACAGGCCTCAAGACAGTCCGTGTAACAGCCAAGTCCAGGGAGGATGTCGAGTCTTCTGTTGGATTTTTGTCTCTGCATGAGCAAGTCCGCATGAACGATACCAACGTCGAACTCAACAAGCTGAACCAGCTGAAGAACGATGTTGGCGAGTTGTCCAGTCAAGATGAGAAGAAGTTTAAGCAATTGACACGCGCTGCTGAGCGGGAGATCCTTAATGCAGCAGACGTTATCTGTTGTACCTGCGTGGGTGCGGGTGACCCCCGGTTGTCCAAGATGAGCTTCAGAACGGTCCTCATTGATGAGTCCACGCAGTCCGCTGAACCAGAATGTATGATTCCCCTTGTTCTCGGGTGCAAGCAGGTGGTACTCGTCGGCGACCACCAGCAGCTGGGACCGGTTATCATGAACAAGAAGGCTGCTACTGCCGGCCTCAATCAGTCTCTATTCGAGCGTCTGGTCATCCTCGGATGCAATCCAATCCGACTCCAGGTGCAATACCGTATGCACCCTTGCCTGTCCGAGTTCCCCTCCAATATGTTCTACGAAGGTTCTTTGCAGAACGGCGTCACTAGGGAACAACGTTTGCGCCGCGACGTGGACTTCCCATGGCCGGTCGCAGACAACCCAATGATGTTTTGGTCCAACATTGGTGCTGAAGAAATCTCGGCGTCTGGAACATCATACCTCAACCGCACGGAGGCGTCCAATGTCGAGAAGATTGTGACGCGCTTCTTCAAGGCAGGCGTCCAGCCAAGTGCCATCGGCATCATTACACCATATGAGGGACAGCGCAGCTACGTGGTTAGCTCCATGCAGGCTACCGGCACCTTCAAGAAGGAGAACTACAAGGAGGTGGAAGTTGCTTCGGTCGATGCCTTCCAAGGTCGTGAGAAGGATTTCATCATCCTCTCCTGCGTCCGTTCCAACGACCACCAAGGTATTGGCTTCTTGAGCGATCCTCGACGTCTCAACGTTGCCCTTACCCGAGCCAAGTATGGCCTGGTCATTCTTGGCAACCCGAAAGTACTGTCCAAACATCCCTTGTGGCATCACCTGCTTGTTCACTTCAAGGAACGCAACTGTCTTGTCGAAGGTCCCTTGAACAATCTCCAGGTCTCCCTTTTGCAGTTCGGCCGTCCGAAGCAGACCTACCGTGGGCCCCAGCGCTACCAGATGGCTTTCCAGCATGCCAACCAAATGACGGCTGCTCGTCAAGGCTGGAACGGGGCAAAGCCGTCTCGCCAGGAGTACAACGACACGGGGTCCATAGTGGGTTACATCCCTGATGATGTTTCATCGGTCCACTCGTCTGCTCTTGGTGGTGTCGGTATCACCAACTTCCCACCAGTGTTCCAGAATTTCCAAGAGAACTGGCCGCTGCCTGGACGTGCCGGGCCTGGACCTAATCGCAAGACTGCCCCTGGAAGTGTCGCTGGTGAATCCGTTGCAGCCAGTGAATTGACGGACAATCGAAGCACAATCACTGACGGCCCAGGAGGCATCAGCCTCACGGGCTTGACCATCAACGACTACCACAAGCCAACTTCGATGAGTCAATCGGATCGCTTGAACCGCTTCGTCGAATCTACCCGGTCGCGCAACGACCATGTCGGCACTGGGTTTGGCAGCAACCGTGCTCTACGCGGCCTCGGACATTTCGATGATGACGACACTCGAAGTGTTTCCACGGCATTTGCTAGTCAGATTGGTGGTGGGGCCTACGATTGATTGAGAGTGGCGATCCGCAAGCACTGTTTCTTAGCACTGAGCAGCATCACAACGCCCAAGTAGACCTCGCCGTATGCCCGATTACTGCCTTGTCAAGGTGCCGACGGCATCTTGTAAGCTCCTAGGGCGAGCACGGAGCGGCCTTGGTACTGCGGCCGGGCCCATTGGCAGCATCTTCTTGATATCGACATCCAGGGTCTTTATCCACCCACAGCCTCTATCACCTCCTCGACCAGTCGCCACGAGATCAAGATCCATGCACGTTTCCCACACGTGGGCAGACGGAACGGAGGACGGGTCTGGCTTGAGGTCGAGCAAACAATGCACGGGTAGCGTCCGTCTCAAGGCGCAGCCACTACGACCCAGTTGCAGGGTGTCGACGCACCTTTAAGCTTCCTGGGGCAAGTGTATCTCAGAATGTTTACTGTTTCCTCCTTTCGTTTCTTGTTTTGCGCGGGTAGTGAGTGACTGGGGGGAAGGGAAGGGAAGACGAGAAAATCATACTCGCTGGTGGGGTGTTGGTGAGCCTGGGATCTAGTAAAGGGGACGAGTCCCTCGTTTAGGAAGAGAAAATATAGAAAATACAGAAAATCATACTCGATGTCGAGCTAGCTTTAGAGGTAAATCGGGTGTCGTCATAACGCAGTGCAGTGCCTCACGGATATTTTGCTTTCAGGACCATGGGATCCGGCACCCATTTCTATGGAATGGCAACAGATTCTCGCTTTGTACATGGTGGTATCTAACTCTATCACGCGATTCTCCGCCCTCTACTGTACTCGCTTTGCTTTACGCGGGCGCGAAGGGAAAAGATGACAGCAAACCTCCGCCGTACCATGCATATATACAACACACTCCCCGGAATTCTAATGCTCAAGAGGAAAAGAGAAGACTAGATGGCTGGTCAGATGTATACAACCGATCGTCGGTTCGGCCCGTTTTTATGCAGACATAGAAGTTGCCAAGGATACAAGGTCGTTCTCTCTGAAAGAGTAGATGCGGAGTACGGTAAGCAATATGTCGGGCCAGTCCCCGTACCAGTACCCAAGCCCAAGGTGAGGGGAACCGGACTGCGTGGAGAAAGGATCCATCGTGCCATACCATGCGGGCAGGACTACCTCGAATCCAAGCTCAACATATGCTTAAACTTCTCAATCTGCAAGTCATCATCGTCAGCGGTGTTCCATTCCATAAGACGTGAAAGAAAAAAAAAGGGAGAAAAGAAGAAAATAAATATGCCCAATCCAAAACATACCTTGGTACTCAAATACCTCTCCACCTCCTCTCCCCTGACGCCCATCCTCCCCTTGGTCCTCCACGCCAAAGGCACCATAGCCACCCTCTCCCTCACCACGACCTCCCTCCCGGGCCCCTCGACCGCCCTCACCTTATCGGGATTGTTCGTCAAAAGCCGGATCCCCCTCTCGCCGCCCAACCCCAGATCCATCAACATGGCCGTCGCCAAGCCATAGCTCCTCGCGTCCGCGGGGTGCCGCAGCATGATGTTGGCCTCGTACGTGTCGTGGCCCATGTCCTGGAGATTGTACGCTTTCAGCTTCTCGCCCAGGCCGATGCCCCGGCCTTCCTGGCGCAGGTAGATGATGCAGCCGCCCGACGGGGAGAGCGTGGGGTCCGCCATGAGGCGCGCGGCTTCGTCGAGTTGTTCGCCGCAGTCGCAGCGCGCGGACCAGACGGTTTCGCCCGTGTAGCATTCCGAGTGGATGCGCACGAGGGGAAGGGAGGATGTCGAGGTAGTAGTAGTAGTAGGTTGGGCGTGGTCGCCGGAGAGGGACGACGTCGTTGATGAGGCCGACGGGGATCGTCGTCCGCTCGCTACGGCCGTGGAATCGGAATCGGTTACTGAAGGCGGTTTTACTGCTCCAGTAGTGGTAGTAGTGGTAGATGTGGAGGAGGTACTAGACTTCGAAGTCTCCGCCCGCTTAATCTGCTCGACGCGCGAACTCGTCCGGCCGGGATATAATCTCCCCACGTACGCGCCCCTCGTCATGCGATCCAGCTCCGTCTCCCCCGGGCGCTCTGCATCCAGACTCCGCGAGCGGATCTGGTTCCCGAATACGATCGCGAGATGCTCCTTGGTGTCGACGTTGTTGCGGTACACGTGCAGCCACATCTCGTGGCCGGTGGTGGTGGGGATGCGCGCGCGGACTTCGCATTCTACGACGGGAAGGGTCTCGAGGAGTTCGGGTCGCGGGGTTTCTGGTGATAGCGAGGTATCTACGGGGACGGAGCGGGGAGGCCGCGGGTGAGAGGGTGTCGAGGTGCCGGGGGTCGCGGGGGGTGTGAAGGCTGGGGAGATGATGGAGGGGGGAGGGCCGACGTGGGACGGTTGGGACGCGATTGGCGCTGGGATATGACCGGTGCCGGCGGGTAGCAATCTCGATTGAGACTCTGAGGAGAGGCTCTGATCCGAGAAGTTGAAGTGGTCAGACCGAGGGGACCGGAATGGTTGGGGGGATTGGAGGGGAGGAAGGCCTGGGGAGGCATGGCTAGGAAGTTCAGTCATGCCGGGAATTAGTTGGGTTGAGCGAGAGAAGAAAGCGGAGCGATGCGTAGGGATGTGTAAAGGAGGGAAGAATAAGGAGGGTCAGTCCGGTGGTGGGAATGGTAAAAGTTGCAATATCCGCATTGGAGGAGGGCAAGTTCGAGAAGAATGGCACCGAGGTCGACGACTTTCGCGGGGCAATCCGAGTCGGAACTGCGCCTACCCGGCCGACACCACCGAACGTGGAGGAATGACTAAGCATCACGCCGATTGTCAGCAATTCCCCCGTCATCACCCAGGAATTGTCATGGACAAAGTGAGATGGAATGGGATGGCACATGTATTGTAAGCCATTTAACTGACTTGATGCAGGTGTTACGCTGCTAAGTCCGATATGCCCCTCGATCATCACTCTTCCGAGTCACTACACTGATTGACTCCGATTCCTCGGACCTTGTCTCCCCTCAGTCCACGCGACGTTCTCTGCCCCAGACCTCATCCGCATTCTTCTTGCCTTTCGTCTCTGGGACATACCATCCAATGAAGAGGAAGAAGAATGCAGACAGCGCCGCAAAAATGAAATATACGTTCCCATGGAGCGCCGCACTGGCCAAGGGGAAAAATTGAGCAACGAGAAACGTCGCGATCCAGTTTGCGGCTAATGCAATACTCTGGGTGGACCCTACAGCCTCTGACCCTACCAATTCGCTCGACAGGATGAATGGGATCGGCCCCAGACCAAGTCCGAAGCTGGCTACAAATAGTAGCACGGCGACTGCAGAGAGAATACTAATAGATCTGGTGATGCCGATGGCGAGGAGCAGCGAGCTGATTCCCATGCCAGCAAGGGAGTTGAGAAGACATGTCTTTCGGCCAAGACGTTCGACAAGGGGTGCTCCGGCGGCAGTGACGATGATGTTGAGGGCTGAGACGGCAAGGTTGAGGAGGGCCGAGTTGGATTTCAGAAGGGTGGCAAGGAGGGAGACGCCGTACATGACGATGCTGTTGATGCCTGGTGGATGTTCATCAGTAAAGGCGAATCGTGTGGGAAGTTTCGGGGAACAGTACCGCTGAGTTGCTGGGCAAGCATGATCATGATTACGGCAATGACGGCCCTGTAATGATCTGGATGACGAAGCACCTGCATGATGCTCAACGTGGCCTCATGGTTGGAGCCCCGTTTCGATGCTGAGGGTTCGGTCCGAAGTTGCGTGCCGTCTTCCTCTCGCAACAGGGCCTGCTCTTCGCCTGTGAGAGAGTAAGTGACATTCCATAGGGTGTAAAGTAGCGGACCTACCAACGGGATCGTCTGTGCCCGCCACACCCCAAGCACTCATTTCCTCATCGACGTCGTAATTGCTACCCCTGATCTTCCTAAGAATCCTCTTGGCTTGGACGGGATCCCCATGGTCTGCCACGTATTTCGGACTCTCAACCGTCAACAACAACCCCAGGCCCTGTACTACACCAATCGCGCCTCCGACGGCCAAAATGATCCTCCAAGACTGACCCCGACTCAAAAAGTAGCCCAGCAATTGCGTGAGCAGAATGCCAACATTACACATAATCTGTGTAAAGGTCCCAAAGAAGCCTTTCTCCGCAGGCGGCGCAATCTCCGAAATGTAGATGGGCACAACGACGACTGATCCTCCTGCGCCCAGACCAGATATCAACCTCCCTACTGCCATGACGGAGATGTTGAAAGTTAGAGCCTCGAAGATGGGGCCCAGCGAGAAGAACAGCGTCGTGAGCAGCATCGTCCTCCTCCGTCCATAGCGTCCTGCGAGAGGACCGGCGGAGAGCGCGCCGATAAGTCCCCCAAGCGTATACGTGGACCCGACTACGCCCCATTCGGTGGGGGTCATGGGGATACATTGTGGGAGGCCGGCAGCAGCCGCTCGGATCGACCCTTTCTTGCAGCGGATGACATCTTCAGGAGCGTTGAGTTCTGCCAGGTGAAAACCGAAGAGTAAGGGGCCGAGGGTTGCCACGAAGAGGGTGTAGATGAAGTAGGGGGTGAGGCCCCGGAGCCATGTTCGAGGATCGGTCATGGTGTGCGTGGGGTGTGCGTGGAAATGCGCAAGACGGATGCTGGATAGGCTATACAAGCTATGTGAAAGAAGAATACTGCGTCCGGTGTGTTAGCAACGGTTGGTGATCTTGTGGTGTTTTGGCCCTCATGTAGCAGGACCCTTGGTGCGGAGGGAGATAGGGTGGTGGTGCAACGTGCAGTGAGGGGGATGTCGCACCTGGCTTCACGGCCTGCGCGAGGCCTACTTAGAAACGCCTATGTAGCGGTCATTGAGTAACGGAACGGAATGCGGCGTGAGACGTCCAAACGAAGGTATGTTGGGCCTGCGAGTCTTTGACGACGGGTGGCATCTGCAGAAGGAGGGATAGGAGGAGGTTGGGAAACGACGACGGGTGAGGGTCAGCGACGAGCCGTCCATCAAATGCAACACCACCAATCTGGGAAGCAAGCAACGACATTCAGCCGTCAGCAGAGTGAGCACAACAACTCCGCAGATGGAGCAACCGACGCTTCCCAGAGCCCCTCTTCTGCATATTTATTGCAGCGCATATGCTGCAGCAATAACGATCCCTATCCAGCCATCAGATATCAGTACCGCAGCTGTCGAGCTCCCACCACAGCGCTGCCCTGCACCGGCCTCCCCCCAGCAGCCCAACAACAGGCTCGCTCCACATTGATCGACCGGCAGCCTTCCGCGGCGGACCTGCGCGCCATTGCCGACGGGTTGATGACTTGTCGCGACTCGTTTGCGGAAGATGAATTGTCCTTCGCCGACTCCTCCGCCGTCGACTACCGGTACGACTCCTGCACACCCGCCATCAGTCGCCGCCTCCGCGCGAGCCGCCCTGCGCTGCGCCCTATCCAAAGTTCAGGGTATGCTCCGTTTCTTTTTATACTCTGTACCCATTTTCTTGCCTCGCCGTTTGTTTTCTTCAGCTCGCGTTTGCTGCCCTTCTGCCATGCTATCTCCGTTGTGGATTTGACATCGGGTGGCGCATGCACCTCCTGACCTTCAAGTTGGCCACATCGTGAATTCTCCATAAACATTATTTCTCGGCTCCTGCACATCTCCATATTCTTTTATATCCATTTTGATCCCAGCAGAAACCCAGCAACTTTCACATTGAAGGTTTCTCCTATTGCTTCATGTTCCTAACTCTCTTCCTTGTCACAGCCCCTTATTAAAATTCTTTATCTTATCGTCCTGACCAGATCCCTCGGATTCTGCCCAAGCCATGTTCTCCGGCTACCACACCAAGAAGCGCGTGAACGAGCGCTACAAAATCGTGGGCTTCATTAGCAGTGGTACCTATGGCCGGGTGTACAAAGCCGAGGGCCGGAACGGCCGCGTTGGCGAGTTCGCCATCAAAAAGTGACTCCAGGAACCTACTCTTAAAGAAAGAAAATCATTTTGACATGTCACAGGTTCAAGCCGGATAAAGAGGGAGAACTTCAGTATTCAGGAATCTCACAATCCGCAATACGAGAAATGGCCCTGTGCACGGAGCTGTCGCACCCCAACGTCGTGCACACGGTCGAGATCATCCTCGAGGAAAAGTGCATCTTCATCGTCTTCGAATATGCCGAACACGATTTGCTTCAAATCATACACCACCACAACCAGACACAGCGACAGGCCATCCCCGCTCGTACCATCAAGTCCATCTTGTATCAACTCCTGCAGGGCCTGCTCTACTTGCATCGGAACTGGACCATGCATCGCGACCTGAAGCCTGCCAACATCATGGTCACCAGCGCAGGAAAGGTCAAAATCGGCGACCTGGGATTGGCACGCCTGTTCTACAAACCGTTGCATTCCTTGTTCACCGGCGACAAGGTCGTCGTGACCATCTGGTACCGAGCTCCGGAACTTCTACTGGGGGCCCGCCACTACACGCCAGCTGTTGACCTGTGGGCCGTGGGGTGCATATTCGCAGAGCTGCTGTCCTTGCGGCCCATTTTCAAAGGCGAGGAAGCCAAAATGGACAGTAAGAAATCCGTCCCCTTCCAGCGGAACCAAATGCAGAAGATTGTCGAGATCCTGGGTATGCCCAGCAAAGAACGCTGGCCTCTCTTGGCCGCCATGCCCGAGTTTGGCCAGCTGTCATCCCTAGCTGCCGGGAATCCACGCCTGCACCGGCCTCAGGGCCTGGAGAATTGGTATCAGAACTGCCTCAAGAACAACCAGTACCCGCCCGGCTCGTCTGTCGATTCTCCAGGTCCGGAAGGGTTCTTGCTCCTCCAACAGCTGCTCGAGTACGATCCGCAGAAGCGCCTGACTGCCGAGAAGGCGCTCCAGCATCCCTATTTCACCACGGGAGAGAAGCCGTCGGACAATTGCTTCGAGGGCTCCAAGATCAAGTATCCGTGCAGGAGGGTGAGCTCGGAGGATAACGACATTCGCACGTCCAGCCTGCCGGGTACCAAGAGAAGCGGTCTTCCCGACGATTCTTTGATAGGCCGGCCAGCGAAAAGGCTGAAGGAAAAGTGAGCGTCCTACGATACACGATTGTACAATTTCTAGGAGTGTTTATGCTGATGTCTGTTTTCTAGCGAATATGGTTACGCATTTCGACGCTGAAATGGCCCTGGTCTTTCGGTCATCTTGCGGAACCTCCCACCTCCTCGTGGCACGTGACCTCGCCTCTGAGTCTTGGAGAGGCTTCGAAGGCCTAAGCCACTCAATAACAGAGGATCTTTGTGGTTCTCATTGGACTCATTTTTCTCGACAATTCTTAGCAATTCCTCAGCAAGCGGGCAGTGAGTACCCATCGAATGGACCTATCCGACTTGCACAATGGCACTGAGCGGGATAAGACTACGCAGAAAGAGGAGCACACAGACACTCAAACCACTGCAAACTCGGACTTTGAGCCTCCTTTCCTCGTCGGTGAGATGTACAAAAGATCATTCGAGGACGGTCAAACCAGCCAAGGTACAATGCCTCCTCCATTCCCACATGCTCCGGAGAAGTTAAACAATCCCGATCGTACTCAAGCCATGCAATTCTCGGAAGCCCTGCTCCAACTTCGAAGTTTGAAACACGGAAAGGACTTGCACATGGTGGTGGAATGGGCAGCTCGTGGTCATTCCCTCTTCGGGGTGGTCTGGAAGAAGGCACCTTTGTGCAACTCACTGAAGCAACAGACGGGAGATGGTTGAGAGCTGTGCTTCCCATGCTCGACTGTGCGTCTTGCCACGGCGCCTTTTGAGTGGGTGTCCACAGACGTTGAGGTGCGGCAATGCTCGACGCCTTGACCGCTGTGGCCCAAAGCTAGGCGGGAAACAAGGTCATTGTCAAACGGAAGCGTTCACCGGCGCGGATGCAAACGATATCAAATCTCCCAGATCGAAGTCACTCAATGTCGCAGCAAGTGCCTCCACTTGGGGCGGCTGGGCAGATTTGCGGTGACCGGGGTTGCAGGAACCATGGTGAAGAATATGGCGGTGGGCGGAGACGGAACAGGAAGTCACGCCCATCTTATAAAACACTCGTGCTCCCGCCTCTCCCTCCTCCTTCTCCTCCCTTCTCCCTCCACCACAACCTTCCTTTACACTTTTACACTCCTTTCTTATTCGCTCCTTTCCAACCTCCCACTTTCAGTCGCTCCTTCCTATCTCTGCGTCAAGATGAAAATCCCGGTTCTCTTCGCCCTGGCAGTCGCCTCCGCCGTCAAGGCCGCCCCCACCGATGTTCACCAAGTCTCCGCCCTCGCCGAACCCGTCAAGGATGCCAATGTCCCCAAGCTCGACGACCCCAACTTCATCGGCCGCATCCTGGATGCTCACTGGTACTGGCGCCGCATCCACTGCGCCCAGGACCTCACGTGGGATCCCGAGCTGGCCAAAGCCGCCGCCCAATCCGTCAACGCTTGCACCAAGAAGATCCAGCATGTACGACCTCCCATTTCTTGCTCCACCAACATTCAAAGAAGCATCTGTTGATCCGTTTACTGTAGGACCGCCCCGGTAGCAACCTGTCCGCTGTAGGTCCTTCTCCCCGGACCTACGAGGATTGGCTCGAGTTTGCCCGCCAGGTCGTCCACGGCTGGCACGAGGAGGAACTCAAGTACCCGTACCACAACCCGCACTACGAGGCGGCGTGGGGCCACTTCACTCAGATGGTCTGGCGCGACTCGTCTCGTATCGGCTGCGCCTTGGCCCATTGCCCCGACGCCACTTGCGACTTCCCTGGCCGCCTGTATTGTTGTAAGTTGATCGCCGAGCAGTGAATCTGGGGATCTATACTGATGATGAGAACAGTCTACGAGAATGCGGGCAACTTTGTCAATGAGGGCGCTTTCCAGCAGAATGTCTGGGGCATGGACTGCCGTGATCCGGAGCACACCCGCGAAGGGTAAAAAGTGTGCTCGACAATGTCTGGGACTGGTCTTGGTTGGCGGTATGGATGATCTGGCGCGTGACATGGTTCGAATAAGCACAGCCGACTACGCATCTAGACCCTTTCCTACCTCATGGCAGTTACGATTCCTGACGACTCCTACGAAACTGCATCGTTCCACTTAGTTGGTGGGCATTTCTGCGTGATTTCGGCCCTACCATACTAGGCTTACTGCTTGGGCCGGTATATACGGACTGGTAGGCGTCGATAACCGGATAGAGGAGAGGGAAATACACTGATTTCTTTCTTCTCTCGCACTCGTCTCACAGTTCATGAGTGATTGAAGTCTTCGTGATGTAGTCGTCTCCCCTGCCCAATGTGCCGCCACGGAAACCATATCCTAGTTTTTCCCGCCATATTTGGATTCGGAAGAAACCCAACTGCACTACCAGTCCATGAAAAAACTGAGTTTGTGCACCGCTTACCCATCAAAACGTCGTGAATACCGTCAAGATGGTCAAAAATAGCCACAGTAAATAAAGTACGGATGTGGGTAGTATGTCTATTGTCGTTAGAGTAAGAGCTACATACTACACCCTCGCGCTTTAACAAGTCGCCATACATGGCCCTCAGCGCGGCATCAACCTATCTTCCATGGGAAATGAATCCAAGATGGACTATGAGAAGAGAAGGGAAGGGGAAAGATGAGAAGCCTCAAGTTGAGTGGTCTTGTGTCGACAGTCGATGTCCACGTTGATGGTTTTGGATTGGTTGATATGCGTGGGCTAGATAGCGATTTTTCTAAAGGAACGAAGGAAGAAAGAAAGAAAGAAAGACGGAGATCTGTGGGTTTGAGGAAGAAATGAGTAAGAGGGGTGGAGGGAGGGAGTTGGTACGTGAGCGGCAATGATGTGTGTGGATTAAAAAGGTTGAGGTACCTGCCCCGTATCACCATTCCCCATTTGCGAACCAAAGAGTATCTGAAGTAATACCGCAAGCAAACGAAAGGAAGAGAATGTGCCCAAAAATAAAAATGCCACCATGCAAAGAATGGATGTGTGTCATGTGCAATGCAAAACACAAACAGCCACCGTACCCTAACGAGGCCGGAATCGAGGAGAGCGACAGTGAGAAGAAAGGGAGGGAAAAGATCAAAGGACCGCCCTAAGCCATGAGCAGCGGATCTCGGAAATGCCCATGCAGATGAGAGGGAAACTGACAATACGAAAAGCCCAAAGCCTGCGGGATCGGAGGGCGGTCATGCATGGCAGCGGTCAGCGATGTCTGCGCGGCGTCTCCCCATGACGGACCTGGCCAAATATCCGTGGTGGTCACACTCTTTTTCCAAAACCACACGGCTCCATGGCGCAGAGGGGTTGACGGAGACTTGGGAGTTGGGTGATGGGAATGTGTATACCGCGCAGGATCCATCACCATCTCCATCGCATCCCAATCCCAGAAAACCAATCAAACGTGGCCATACGCATCTTTCTCCCTCGACGGCCCCTCACCCTCACCCTCACCCTCCCTCTCAGCCTTCACACCCCACTCCCTATCCACATAAATCCCATCTTCCCCCTCCCCCCTCCCCTCCCTCCTCTTCCCCGCCGACACAGGACTCTCCATCTCCTTTGCCCCAAAACTGCTCACAAGCGTACTCGCCGTCCCCTTCGAGCCCCCATGCATGAAGCGGCTGCTATTCGGGCTTCCAGCGCCCGAGCTACGGCCGAATTGGTCCTGCACAAGGAGACGATGGACGCCGCCGCCCGAGGAGGCGCCTAGTTCGTTGTCCGAGGCGACGACGCCGGCCCAGATAGCGGAGAGGGGCAGGAAGAGGCACACGACGGTGAGGGTCTGGGAGCCGAGTTCGGGCACGTCTTTGTTGAATTGGAGGACGGCGAAGATGGCTGGGATAAGTCAGTGTTTAATCCTCGACAGTCAAGATGGAGAAGAAAAATCAACTGGACGGGAGAAATTGTGGAGAGATGACATACCTGGAATCACCATCGTCTGCGCCCCCATGATGAAGACAATCTGCATCGGCCCAAACTGCGTCATGCCCATCCTCCGGCGCGAAATCAGCGCGTGGCCCAGCTTCGCCGTGAAGACGGCGCAGTACACCCATATAGCGACGGCTTGCATGATGTTCATCTGATCCAGGAGCCATTGATATTCAACCATGCCATACGGCGTCTCCTTGAGGGCCAAATCGTTGCTGATGACCGTGACGGCGAAGCGATATCCCACGGCCACCAAGGCGATGGCAGTGGTAACACACATGATGACGATACGCTGCCAGGTAGGAGCCGTCTTGCACACGACCCACACCTGCATGCTGAGCGAGGCCATGATGCAGATGACAAGCAGCAACGTCATGGTATTCGACGCAACCGTATTCGCCAGGTCGGCATCCGTGTCATGCGAAGTATCGGCGGCGAGGATGCTGTAGACGTTGAAGTAGTGGCCCGTCAGGTAGCGGGACTGAAGTACGGAGCGAACAATGTTGACGGCCAGGCAGAGGGCGTTCAGGACGAAGATTGCCGAGCGGCGCTTCTCACGTCTGGTTAGGAGGAGGAGCATTACCAACAAGACGATGGAGGCTCCGATCTGGGTGCCGTAGTTGATGGCTAGGCGGACGCCGAATTCGCGGAGGTGGTCGACGTCCTTCATGGTGACGTTGAAGGGGACGCCATCCCCGCCGATTAGGGTGAATGGTTGCTCGAAGGGATTGAAATCCGGGGGGAGAGGGACGGGAGATGAAGTTGGGGTGGCCATGGTGGTGGAGGAAGTTGACGCTCTGGCTCCGGAGGCGTACTTGGGAAGTTGAGTGGAGCAAGGAGGGACGTGTGTTGGATTAAGGCGTAGCCGGGCGGCTTGATAGGCAATGAATGGCCAAGTAGTTGCAGGAATGGGAGGCGTGGGAGTAGACAAAGACGAAGTAGAGAGCAGTTCGAGAACTCCGGCTAGGGACGACTTCGGGGTTTGAGCGAGGAGTTGAAAGGAAAGAAGAGGAGTAATTGCTCAATCTAAGGAGCGGAAGACTCTCAAAAGTAGCCGCCAGAAGCACAACGGGGGCGGATACAGCGAGTATAATACCACTGAAGCAATTGTCGATAACAGTGGTGAAGATTGTTGTCTCCAGGTGCCCGCCAGTTCTCATGACAATGCTAAGGGGATGAGTCGCCTTGCGAGTCACGATCATGAACAACCAGTTTCTCCACGAGGCCCCACTGCGTAGGAGGTGTATACCGTGCCTGAGACGCGTAAGGAGTTTAGTATTGTTCGTCCGACGGTGAAGTGAACCCCATCGCCTCCAAAGATTTCCAGTGCACAGGTGCATTCGCTGAAGATATACGCCGAAGGTAAGTCCTGTCTTACTTGAATTTTTGAGAGCGAAATAGTATGAAGCCATGAGTGCTGCTTCCGGCCCAGGTGGTTGAGGGTGCAGATTAGGTAATAATCCCTTAGTATTGTTCTCATTCTCACACCGGTGGTCCTGCTTTGAGACAGCATCTTTAATGCGGTGAGGACCGCCATGGACCACTCTCTCGGAGTGAATGGCCATGGTTAAATGGTCTGGAGTAAGCCAAACTCCATGTTGAAGGGCGCCACAGGCGCGTAGGAAGAGAGTGGAAGGGTTGACGTTGAGTTGTGAAGTGTGATAGTAGGAATGCTAGTCCAAAGTAGTGCTAGCGTAGAGGGCTAGTGCAGGTGCGGCCGGGGTCCGTCGGCCCTTCCAAGGTTGGAACCGCACCAACTTTCTCGTGACTTCGTGTTTCTCACTCCACGTCAACGCGTCAAACAACTCTCAACCTCCAAAATGGGGTGGACATTGGTTGACCAAGCGGATCCCAACGCCGAGGCCGGTCGGCTCCGTCTACGAGACAATCACACAACATATCTGTCCCTAGCAAGTTCGGATGGTCGAGTCGTTCTGAGTGATGTTTTGCAACGTCGGAATCGTGCATTGGCAGCCCTCTGTAGGCTGCACGGATAGCATGTCCGATGATTATATTGCTAACCAGGCCTAGCTGTCGGAGGTTGGGGTGTGAAACTCCGTGCTCTTCAAGATCTTGCCATTCACCCTGCTCATCCTCGGACCAACCCACTTGCCGTCCCAAGTCAGGAACAATATCATGTCGAGAGCAACTCGGATCAACCAGAAGTCATCTTCCTGAGACCCGACGACAAGATCTCATTTCCGGACCTAGCCAACCCAATCACCCTCGTTCTGAAATATGACACCTCGGAAGTCCAAGTCGACTCCTCCGTTGCTGGAGACGCAGAGGTTGCCGAGTCAAAAGACACCAACGATGCATCTAATGGTCGTACACTCAAGCAAAGTGAGCAGGAAGAAGAAGAAAGTACGGACACTGATGATGAGGATCTGGATGGCACCGACAGGCGTAGAACCAGAAGTACCCCTAATCCCTCGCTGTCACGGTCAGAAATTGTGCAAGAGACTCCGACAGCTAACCGAATATATCCAGTGAGCGAGTTTTCTGCCGGTCGGGGAGAACTACGGAGAGACGATACCGTCGCTGAGACTGTTCCTGAGACTGTCGCTGAAGAGTCTCCTGAGATGGACGAGGGAGCAGAACCTAATGCTGCACTGGAACTGGAGCAAAACGGAGCGGCAACACCGAACGATGAAGTCGAATCTCGCAAAGAGATTGACGCAGAAGCAGATACTGTAGCGACTGGTGCTCCATCGACTGTTCAGAATACCGCATCCTCCGCCCACAACCCCACCCCATCCCCTCCAGAAAACGAAGACGAAGACCACACCATCCTACAAGCCCAGTCCAACCTAACTGCCCAGAGAAGCCCCTTTGTCCGCATCACCAAAACCTACGGCCGTCAAAAACGCAAAATCCAACTCGTGGATCCCCAGGACGAGGAAGAAGAGGAAAAAGAAGAAGAAGAAGAAGCATTCGAATCCGCTCCCGCTCCCCCCGCGAAACGAGCAAGGAAATCCACCAACGCCAACGAAAAGAACCAACCCACCACACCAACTCGTCGCACCTCCACCCCCGCAAAACGCAAACCCCGCTCCTCAGACACCCGCAGCCTCATGCCGTCCGCCGAAACAAACGTCAAGAACTACTGGAGCACCCGCACCCCCAAGGTCGCCTTCAGCAACTCCAAAGCCGCCGAAATGAAAAACCTCATCCGCTTCCTCAAATCGCACCACGGCACCGTCGTCGACACCGTCCAAAACGACAACTCGTGCAACCTCCTCGTCGTGCGCGACGGCTCGCTCCGCAAATCCACAAAGTTGCTCACGGCGCTCGCTTTGGGGATTCCCGTCGTCACGGATGAGTGGCTCCCTGCGTCGGCGCGCGCGGGCACGTTCCTCCCGCCAGCGGATTTCGTCCCGAGTGTCGTGGAGCAGGAGATACAGGTGGGTTTTGTGCTGAGGAAGGTTTGGGGCGTGCCGCAGTCGCGTGTTTTGCAGGGGTTGAAGTTGTTTTTTACGCCTGCGCTGAGGAGGTTTTATCCCGAGTGGGCCGAGGTCGAGGAGGTGTGTCGTGTTGCTGGCGCTGAGGCTGTGGGCGCTATCAAGTCGGCGAATAGCGCCTTGAAGGAGTTTGGAGATGAGGGGCCGGGTGAGGATGTGGTGTTTTTGGGTCTTGAGGAGGGGGATCCGGATGCGAGGGGGTTGGTTGAGAAGGGGTTTAGAGTGTTTAATCGAGAGTTTTTCACTACGGGGATTTTGAGGGGCGAGGTCGATGTGCGGAGTGAGGAGTTTCGCATCAAGGAGGTTGGGGGGTCGCAGATGGAGAAGGGGAGGTCGAAGGGGAGGAAGAGCAGGAAGGCTTGATTGATCTGGATGGTTGGATGTTGGTGTTCCGGACATGAGGGGATTGGCGACGAGGTTCGTATGCGTGGGATTTCTTTCCGGTACCGGGAGTTTCTCTGGGATGCGGTTCACCTCTGCTTTATGATTCAACTGCATCGTGGTCATGATTTCTCTCTCACAGCATCATTTGGGGTGGGTTCATGGCCAGCGAGACGCTTAGCGTGGACGATGGCAGTTCTATTATGAGTCCGAGTATGGTCTATAATGACGGCATGAGAGCATATCGGTTATGGCAGGCATTCGGGAGACTACCTATGGGATATTTAGATAGGTATATGTGTAATGTCGCATGTTTATCACGACGAAATATAATGGAACCAATTACTGAAACCCGGGTTTGATGAAGACAGCATGTGGATGTCTCCAGATCAAACATAGCCGAACAGCGCACCTGAACACATGCAAACCTTCAGAAGAAATCTTGACTCGAATGAGCCAAACCCTTAATCGCTATATATACTCCCATGCAAAAAACCCATATATCCCAACCAAAAACGCCTCACCGTCCATCCCCCCAATCAATCAAAAGCATGCTTCTCCTTCCCGCCAAACGCGCCCAACACGCCCATCCCCCCACTTCTCCCGCCCCTCCTCCTCCCCCAAACCTCCATGCCCAAATCAAACATCTGCCACGCCCAACCCCCGGCAACCATGACCCCACTCACCACATTCACCAACCGCACCAGCAATTTCAACACCCCGCCCCACTCCTCCGCAATCGTCAACATGATGGGCTCGATATCGAATTTGACGAAAATGCCCGGGACATATGTCTCGGGGACGTCGTGGCTCTGGCTCGTGACGGCGTACTGGTTCGTCTTGATGGCGTGGTTGGAGTTGAAGACGTTTTTGGCCGGGTGCGCGTTGTGCGGGTGGCGGTTGACGGCGTCGAGTAAGGGGAGGAGGGAGATGTCGTCGGTGTAGATGGTCGGGACGATGGAGAGGTAGTATTGGTATTTGAAGAAGTGGTTCGGGGTCCAGGCGATGGTGTTGTCGAGGGGGTTGACGAGGGACGGGTAGTATGGGCCGAAGGAGAGCTCGTTGATGATGTGCGAGAAGTTGAATGCTGGGTGTGGGACGTCAGTTTGTGATCGTCGAAGGGATCCAAATCGCCTTCTTCAAGGAACGGAGAGAAACGTTGAGGAAAGAAGAAGCCTGCAAAGAAAAACTCACCCTTATGATCCAAATGCTCCCCAAACTCCATATACCCGTGTCCCCTCGCGGTGATGTGGAAATCCCCCTGCACCTTGTTCCCCTCCAGACTCCCAAAAATGCGACACGCATCCAGCGGGCCCCTCGCCCTCGGCGTCTTGGGGAACTTCTTCCGCTTCCTCGCCGCACCCAGCTGATCGTGCACATCCCACAATTCCTCCCACCCGGGCAGGCCATCGTCGCCTTCGCCCAACTTATGCACATCTCCCTGCCTCCACTGCGCCCAATTCGTAGGGTCCTTTCGCAGCAGCTCGCCCGCCAGTGTGCGGTCGCCGGCCGCGTCTTGCATGTTGACGTGCAGGTCTGCGCATTTCATGGCGACGACGATGTCCAGGTTGATTTGCAGGTCGTGCGAGACGCCCTTCTCGACGGAGAAGGTCTCGGTGGTTTTGCCGGCCCACCAGCGCGAGAACTCGGCCCGACAGAGGTAGATGCAAGCTGCTATGAGGGTGAGGGTCCAGAGGGACGAGTCGCGGCCGCGCGTGAGGTAGGTTTTCTTGGTTTTGGCTGGGGAGGTGTTAGTTGTCAGAAGTCAAGGGGAAGATGAATGGAATTGAACAGTTCACCCGCTATGTAGACACCTCTTTCATGTCAAAACCATAAGATAAACACCAGGCTACTTACGAAAAGCATCAAAACTCGCCAACCCCCCTTTCGCCTGCCCAAACGACTCCTCCGAGAGCCCACGCTCCGCGAACCCGTTCATGGCGCTGTGGTTTGGCGAATACATTGCAGCAATCGGTAACGAGGGCGCAGCCTGCCCCAGCGCTCTTATTCCCGCCCAGAACCGGAGAAAGGGATGTGCGTGTGTGACTGTGGATTGTTTTGTTACAATGTTGAGAGGGCTGCTTGCGGATTATGATTAAGTTAGTCGAGGATGGTTGAGGACACCTCTGGAGTTTCAGCCCTATCAGATGGAGGCGCACGGGCCAGGGGTGCTACAACATCCACAGATGTTCACCATATTTATTAGTGGCGATCATACCGTATGTCTTCCTCGATTCAATTGTCAACGTATTGTATAGCGGTCTGAGCCAATGTTTTTAATGCAAAAGATATCAAGATTGCCTGTCTGTCAAACCATCATGTCCCTATCCACGACCACTCTTCAAGCTAACCTCCTCGCTCTGTACCTAGGTAGACTCTCCCCCAACCAGTCTTCGAAGAGAAAGAACCTGAGCACTGAACCCAAATAGAAGGAAAAAAAGAAAAGGAAAAAAATTGGACACAGTAGGACTTGAACCAGGGCCCTCCATGGGAGCAAAAAGGTCGAGCAGCCGAATCAGTGCAGTACTGCGTGACTCCAGCCTTGGAGACCACTAGACCTTTCTCGCTATCCTGTAATCAGGGCGATAATTATGGCATTAATTATAGCTTATATAGAAAATGATTGGTGTTGTTGTTGTTGTTGTTATTGTTGTTTTGCTGCAGCGCCCTATCCACCGTCACTCATACAATCACTCGAATACCTACTCTCCCCCCTCCCCCATCCACCAACCCTCTTCCCAACCCTCTCACTTCCTCCCCTCCATCTCCCCACCCTCAAGCCCGGCATCCCTCTTAACCCTCTCATCCTCGCCCCACCCATACTTCATCTCCCTCGCCTCCTCATTCTCCGCCGGCTCCAGCTTCCGCGCCGCAGACGTGTCGGTCGTGTTCAGCGTCGACGAGCGCGACGGCTGCTGCGAGATGCCGGCCTTGGGGTTGCCCGCGCCGAAGCTGTGCGATTCGGCGGCCAGTGAGTCCGAGGTCACGGTCCCGACGGCTTCGGGGATTGCGTTCTTCGCGGCGGGGTCGGATGTTACCTGGGTGTGGGTGTTAGGGAGTGGTTTTGAGGTTGGTGGGTGATGCATATGGGGTTGTAAGGGAGAGGGAAGAGAGGGGAGGGGATGGATGGATGGACCTTTTTTCCGACGCTGGACATGATGAGTGGCTGATTGAGGGGTGTTTACTTGAGGGGGGAATGGAGTCTGTTTGTCTGGAGTTGATCTTCGTTAGATATTTTCACGACGATTCTGATATTTCTCAGTGATAGGAGTTCAGTCTTCTGCGGCTCTGCGAGCAAGCATTTTCTATCAATCGATTATCATTACTATGGTATGATGTCACCATGGCACCATTTCACATCTACTCTGGTACTACACAGTACTATTGCCCGACCAATGCACCTGGTGAACGGCCTTTTAAGTCGTTCCCCAGAAATGGCTGTGATTGGTGATGACGTGAAAGAGTTAAGCTGCGTCGAATAGGAAATCGGTGTTTTCTGAGCATGCTATCTGCCATACCTTCTATACACATATACTAGAGTAAAGAGCAAAACGTATGAGGGATAGCTGAGCGAGAAAGTCATGCTGCACAGCAAAATACAGACTTGGAACTCAAAATTACACATATGCGGATGCAATAAGAGCAGATGATTATTCATGATTTCATTTCATATTCATTGCAGTCCATGCATGATGCATATCCCCATAAATCCGTGGTCTCCGTGGTCTCGCTACAGCAACCAGCCAGCCACCAGAAAACTTTAGGGACCCATTACTTAACACCTCAAACCCCTCTTCCATCACCGCTCCTCCCCCCCTTCTACTTACTCACCCCAGAACTCGGATCATTCTTCCCAGGATACCCATAATCCTCGCCCGTCGTCCTCGCCAACCCACCCTTCTTCTTCGCCTCCCTCGTCACCGCGTCGTCCGGCAGGCCCTCGAGATTATCCTTCATCTCGCGCCCGCCGCCCACGGTCGTAGGGTTCTCGAGGTGCGTGGGCGCACCACCTTGCTGGCCCGAGCCCACGTTGACGTTGCGTGCGTCGGCGCTGTTCCAGTCCGAGGCGACGGGGGGTTGGTCCGGGAGTGGGAGGTTGGATTTGCGCTCGTCGATGAGGTCGGATTTGGATTTGGGGGCGCTGTGGGAGGGGGAGGGTGTTAGTGGGTGGTGTTGGAGATGGGGGGATGGTTGGGAGGGGGTGGACTTACGACATTGTGGGTGTGTTTGGTGGATGGATTTGTGGTTGGTGTTGCTTGCTCGTGAATTGGATTCAAGTGATGGAGATTAGGTGTTTGTTGCTGTGTTTAGTTGAGGAGATGTTTTATGGTCAGTGAAGGTTCAATTGTATATATGCTCCCGACTCAGGCGGTGACGTCATAAAGCGCGAAGCTTCTCAGGGACTGCTCTCTCCCACCGAATCGCCAAGCCGAAGCCCACTTTGTGGCGTCATCGGTGGAGCTGCTTGCTTGTTCAGAGGATGGAGAGAGGGAAGCTTTACTTGTACACTCCACAGTGAATGGAGACTTGCATCATCCAGAGTCGGAGTCGGCCATGAGTTGCTCTGGCACGTCGACGGATATCTTAGAGAAATAGCCGTTCTGTTAACTGCTCAATCAACTTATCTTCCGAAATACTGTGTACTGTGTAGTTCGTCTTTTCTTGGCTAAGTCTATTCAAGCATATGGTCTTCAGGAGGATCCAATTGCTAGAGGGTGTTCAGCTGCCTTCGACACGGGAAGGAAGCTTGGCACATAGATCTAAGCCACATCAACCACCGCATCAGACTGAAAAGTATTAATTACATTGGAATCTCCTTGGTAGACAATAACAGGCCAATTGCAAAGCTTCCAATGCCTGTTGCCCATACAAGCTGAGAGGAACTATTAAATCTCTACTGTTAAATTCCTATGAATTCGTTTTCCGCCAATCATGTTTCTCTAACCCTACTATCCCATTCATATGTAAAACAACCTAGTGAAGTATAGGTAAATGATTTAGAAGGACATCCATCGTACAGCCCAAAGCTCGACCTTTCGATCCCCACGGCATGCCTCCAGATGGAGAATACTCTCCAACCACTAACGCCATCCGTGACAACAGCTCAGCTCCTCATCGACGGCGAACCCCTTAGCGACATCATGAACAAAAGAACCACCCGCGCCTCAGGGAACAGAAGCCCAATTTCGCACGAACCAATCCCGAAACTTGATTGGTCTGATATCCGGAAACAATGCGTTCAGATAGGCCGGTGTCGAGAAATCATAGCGCCCTTCGGCAGTAGCGATGAGGGCGAGGAGACGCCGTTGTTTTGCGATGTCGCCTGTCATTTCCGCCACGGATAGCTGGTAGCGGAGGGTATCGGGGTTCTGGTAATGGATATTGGTGTACGGCCGTCCTGCTGAGGGTGAGCTGGCGTGGACAAGCATGATGGATGGAAGACTCTTTACCCCTGTATATCTTGATGGCTTCCACGAGTGCGTTGACACTCATTCTCTCCCCACACATGGACATTTCTGCAGGCCACTGTACCATGTCCAGTGCGCGCACTACGAACCTGCCCACATCATATGCCGAAGTGAGGCAGACATATGCCAGGTTATTCGCCGCGTCGTAGACAGGAGCATCGGCCATCATGCGCCTTGCATCCACGATATAGTCCCCCTCGTTGCCGTACCCCGTACTTACTCCTATGCGATGCGCCCGCATCCCGTTGACGGAGAACCTTTCGTATAGGATCCCACAGACGAACACGGTCGACTGTATGTAGCTCTGATAGTGCTGAAGATGGGCAAGCGCCAAGGCTCTGCCTCGATCGAGAGCGTCGTTCGGTGACCTCAGGCTTGGTCGACCTTCAAACTCGGCAGGAGCAAATCTTCTTACACGACATGCCACGGCAGCTTCGATCAGTCTGAGTTGGGCATTGCCTGTGACGGTAGAGATGACGGTGTCTACGCCCATCAAGGCGTGTTGCAATGAGGCTGTGCTCGTGTAGTCGACAACCTGACATTGGTAGCCTTGAGAAGCCAAACCGGGCTGATGCTGATGGCTGTGTCAGTTGGTTTGCGGAACGGACAAGAGGAGGGACACAAGAAAAGGTGAGACGGATAGCTTACACTCCTAGATAGTATGATGAGCTGATGACTAGTTTGGCTGTGGATTTCCCGGGCGATGGTAAGAGCTAAGCCGCAGGTGCCAGCGACGGCTATGCGCATATTGGAACGGTAAGCTTTCGACATAGTCGTTAGTAGAAATAGGGATATGGGAATGAGAGATGGTATGTATGAGTCGGTGACTCCAGAGAGAAGGGAGGCATCTTCTGCTCATTTATCATTTCAACCTTGAATTCCATTCATACCAATCATGGAGAATAGCGGGATGTCATGCCCCATCCCTCATAGTGATCAGAATAGAAGGTTTCAACTCACAGATAATGGAGCGTTTTGGGAAGCTTGGCCGGGATCCTGCGTTCCACTATCCAGCTGAGATTCACTGTTCGTTACGAGGCCCTAGGACGATTAGGGTAAATGGGGTTAGGGGTTTGAGGAGCTCGCCCGAAACGAGATGGGATGTATGTGGACGGTAGTTGACGGAGGATACGCCGTTGCTCTCGCCAGAAGAACCAAGTAGTCTAGTCTACGCAGTGGGCACCGAGGATAGTTGACGTGTTTTACAACACCCAGATTGAGAGACCTGCACCAGTTTTGAGATTAGTGGAGGCCGGCGGCGAAGTGTGACTATCAAGGTGTATGAGCCACATGAAATTGCCTTATTCTGGGGAACCTCTCCCTGCCAGCCCTACGCCGAGCGGATGATTCGCGGGAGCCAGGGTATGTACCAAGGGCCCCGTGGAGAATTGCATGCTGTGATCAGAATCTTGTCACCGGTATTCGAAGGACAGGCATTCATTGGACGAGCTGGGTTCTGACAGGGCACTGATGCCTAGCAGTGGGTGACTGGTGAAGCCTATCCACAGTCATTGCGACAAACCAAGGGCGCATCTGCGCACTTAGTCCATGTGTTCGGTGATGGATTAGGAATGGTAGTCTGCGAGGGAGACGTTTTGGTGAGATCCAATAGTAAGCAGAAATAGCATTCGGACTGGAAGTCTGTGAGCATGGATGTGCGGGAGGAAGGCTAGGGAAGAAGCGAGAACGGTAAGCTAGGCTCAGCCGTAGCGAGGTTCATTGACATACGCATAGGGCTGGCTTACCGGAGCTTTGGAACGGTGTGCTTGCCCATTTCCAGGGCTACGCAGGAAGAGGCTTCAAGTGGCTCCGACCCGATGCGTGCAGTCACCATGATTCATGTGGTGTAGAGATGCGCGACTTGCACTGAAGGCTGGGGACCACTGCCAGCGGAGCTTCCTCCTGCGTGCTGCTCCTCTAAAGAAAGGAAATGACTATGTGAGAGATGGGAAACAAAAATAGAGAAAGGACAGCGGCAGCTGGGGCATTGGAAGCTCGCACAAAATGCCAAAGACGGAATGGACTGATTAGGGACGTGGAGGACTCCAATTCAAGAAAGCGAGCGGGGGGGTTGTTGACCAAGGAAGCAGTGATTTTGGCTCTGGGTGACTTGGAACCGATGGCCTTGCCAGCATAGAGCCCTTGGCTTGGTTCATAGAGAGCTGGGGAAGCAGAAAGGTGGAAGTCGGCAGCTCATTGGCACCGTCAATCGAATGGGTGAATAGTAAGTGCAGGCGGAAGTACACCCTTGAGCTGTTTGTTTCTGCCTGGTGGGCCGGTGACGGTAGTCCTCCCCGTCCAGACAGCGAATTGGAGAGAGAAGAGAGATGCATATTGAAGTCGTCGAGGGGCGCCGGCTGCAGATTACCACTGACTTGACAACGGATAGATGTGGAGTAGCAGCCTTCTTGGACTAATGCAGCACGGTTCAGCTGCCAAGGTCGAGGTGTTTGGGAGTTGTGCGTAGCGGTGGGTTATCAACGTTGGGTAACGTAGTCAACGGTTAATAGTTGCTAACCGTTAGTAACGTTACTAACCCTTCCTAACCGCTAACGTATCTAGGCTACCCTAATCTAGAACGCTAAGCCTATAGAAGCCTTAGCTTAGGTTATTCTATAAGCGCTAACGTTTATTTTAGTCTAGGCTACCTTCACTAGTACTATATTAGGACTAGATTTACTAACACGTGCTCTGTTTACAAAGGTTAGCAACAAAATATCCATATAAACACGTTATTAACTAAACCGTTGCTAACGTTGTAACCGTTTATTAAACCCAACCCATCACTGGTTGTGCGAGAAGGGAACGCATGGCAGCCTGGAGAGGTGTTCGGACGGGATGTTCGGCCATGCCGTTGGCCGGGTGCCTGCTCAGCTGTGAAGCATGAAGAGGATCAAACTGTGAAATGCCTGTGAAGCTGGGGAGGACGGGGGAACGGGGAGAACGAGGTGGATGGCCTCGGGAGCCATGCCTGAATGGGAAATTGCCAAGATACCAAGATGAGGCTTGGTGATGTGGCTGTGTTTATCACGAGCTTTCGTGTCAGGATCCAAGCTTCCGCCAGATACAAGCGATAGTCTTGATGACCAAAGGTAACTTGGCCTCCTGATCGATGGTTCTTCGATGACTTCGATGATTCTGTTCGAAAAACAGAGTCTACTACTCACTCGGTACTTCCTTCATTGCCGAGTGTGCACGAATTGTTGAAGCCGGCACAACAACTTAACGATCCTCTCCCTCGCAGCCGCCGAACAAGATGCAGCCGTCAGCAAAACCAGCAGCATGCCACACAATTACCGCTATGAAGAGGTGGCGGTGCAATTCGGAAGACAAAGACCCTTCAGCGAGGTCTTATGTCGTAGCGTAGACTCACTACATTGCAGCAGTAACGCGCACTTTAGGGCCTTAAAGGTCCTAAAGTGCTGCCAAGGAAGTTAGTTACTTTACAATCCGACTTTGAACCAATGCAAACTGGCTCCACCGGCGCGTCGCGGTGGTCTACGCCTTGGAGACGGGCATTCCGAATGCTCGTGCAAGTGCACAGACGCAAATAAGAGTCTCATTCAATCGATTATGAGTTTCTCTAAAACCGAGTAGCCAGTGTAGCCGCATTATCAGAGACACCAGAACCCTTCACCTGCACCTGAACGCCATTCAAAAGGGACGGGGACAGGAATCGTGCCCATGGTTGCTTCGAGCCCAGCAACAGCGCGAAAGTGCCAATTGATCTGTTAAGATGCGCGCCATACAATTGCCCTAAGCAGTTAGAGGCATGCAAGACATAGTTCAAGAGGCTCTGTGCTTCCGCGAACCACTTTTGCCAGAGACGCGACCGAATCCATGCTGCACCGAACGCGTCCCCAGGCGCTTCCAGCATTCCACCCATCATCCCTCCCCTCCCATCTCAACCTCTCCTCACTCTTTCTCTGCTCTGTCTGACTGCTCCTATTTTCTGCAGTCGTTTCCAGTCGCTACCACACAGCCAGTGCACGATGCCTGCATCGTCATCACCGCCTGCATCTTCACCCTCGTCCTCCACCGGCGCCACAAGCTTAACAAAGACGAGCCCACACGCTGCGCTGGCCTTCCTGGTCCATTCACCCACCACCGTCGCAAACGACTTGCCCCCCGACGTCGATAATCGTCCTCTTGCACGCCAAAAGCGAAGGCGTACCAGGTATGGCGTTTTTGATTTTCTGTGTATTTGTTGATCGCCGTCCTTCTTTATTTGTTGTTCTCTTCGCGCGACGCGTTCAACGTCTATTCGTGCACGTGCTCATGTGGCCCCGCCCTCCACACCTGCAACAATCCCCAGTGTTTTGCTAACCCACCCCGCGCATCCAGCAAGGAAGATGAAGAGATCCTAAAGGCCGAATATCTCAAGAACCCCAAGCCGGACAAGGCGGCAAGACTTCAGATTGTAGCAAAAGTAGCCCTTGGGGAGAAGGAAGTGCAGGTTAGTTGGCTTGGATGCATGCCCTTCCATCCCATCTTTAACACGTCATCCCCTCCCGTGACTGAACTGACTCCGTCTAGATTTGGTTTCAGAATAAGCGCCAGAACGACAGACGCCGTTCCCGCTCGCTGGGATCCTCCTCGTCCGCAATCATGTCCGACTCTCCCACGATGTCAAACCCTCCTTCCGAAGACGGATCGAGTCCATCCGGAAAAGATGCCTCGGAAGAGCCGAAGGTGCCGACGCACAAGGAAGAGATGGTGATATATGAGGATACCAAAGAAGAGGCCGAGCTGATCCTCAAGCGAGTGAGCCAGGACTCGACCACGACCAAAGAACCGGATAATGCAACCACGACAATAGTCGAGTCACAAAGCACAGTGGCCTCCCAAGCCATACCCGTTTCAGATTCTCTAATCTCCGTCAGTGCTCCCACCGTTGAGACCGCTCCCACGGAGCCCAGCGCCTCTCAGAATGCTTGCGAATCATCCCAGGGTCCATCTCAATCGAGGAATTCTTGGATATCAAACCGCCGTAGCGCCTCCTTCCGCTACACGGAAGAGTATGCCGCGGAAAATGCCACCTTCCCGGTCCCCACCCCGACTACTGAAGACTCATCTTCGTCACGTCCGCTGAAGCGCGCTCACTCCTTTGTCCGCCTCTCCATGGCCGACGACGGCACTGCACGCGTCATCACAGATGCCGACAAGACTCCCTCACCTCCTCACCCAAAATCCAACCCCTTGGCCTACTCCCGCGCTGCCGCCGGACTCCGCAGAAGCTACAGTGCTGCAGGCCTGAACGAGCGCCTTGCGGCGGCCTCTCGTGGCGAACCGAGCCCCAAGATCCCCAGGATGGCATCTTCCATTGGTCGCAGCAGAGATTCACGTGCGTGGGAGTTTTGGTGCGACCCGGATACACGCAACAACAGCGACTTGACGACGAGGGCGCAGCAGGAGGGAAGTGGCAGTGCAGCGGATGCCATTGGCCTTCTACGTGCGAGCCGGCGCGTCCTGGGTAACAACCAGCTCCGCCAGAATAGTCCAATGTTATCTCGAAGCGGATCAGCAAAGGCAAATGGGAACACAACGAAAAGGGCCCGTCCACCTATGCAACGCGCGTCGACTTCCTTTGGCCGCCTGCAGACGAAGAACGCCAAGGGAGGGAAGGGCGACGACGCCGAGGTCTTGCGGCCATCGGGTGACTCCGACAAGGAGAATTGGGATCCCGATGAGCATCTCCCTTCCTCCCAACGCCCGCAGCATCCCCAACCGCGCCCCTCTTCCCAACGTGCTCGACGGCCACTGGGCGAGAACATGGGACTCATGTCCCAGAGCTCTAGTCTTGGGAGCATGCTGGCTCGGGAGCGGCAGCAGCAGCAACAGAGGAAGAATGGCGTTTTGACGCCGGGGCACTCCGATCCGGAGCAAGACGATGAAGTGCGGAATTTCATGAATTCGGGGAACTTGAGCGCAGCGACGAACCTCAGTACGGCCGAGGAGGCCGGATGCGTCGAGGGGCTGTTGAAGCTGAGTCAGGGGAATTGGAGGTAGTGCCGCCGGACCCTATATTGTAATCCTTGGTGTTGGAGTCCACGAAGCTGGGTTAGAAGGTTGATATCTTTAGTCATGGTATTGGGGGCCTTGACGAGGAGGGTGTGTTGCACTTGGGTTGGAGGACGTCGTCTGGGCTATCCGAGCATTCTACAGTTCTTGGCCTCGAACATCATTGCGCATCCTTATCCATTTCCTTTCGTTATCACTCTCTTGCTAGCATTTCAGCGAGATTCTTATCGACGATATTCTTTGCGCACGGACGAGGGAAATCTTTGTAGGGCGTTTTGTGGAGTTTATACAGCGGAGTAGAGATACGCACTATACTTTCAATACATGACGCCCATGGCGATGCTATTTCTCCTTAAAACAAAATCGCCGGGAAATGTTATGACCGCATGCATGTGCGTTTGCCTTGCGGGATCTGGATGCTATGAGTGCGAATGATTCTAAAATAGGGGAGAATCCGATAGTGGATGATGCCCTAAAGGGTGGGTGAACTGTGTGTGTAATCGATCCATTATATCGTTGGCTTGAAAGTATACATCTGCCTTCTCAATCCGCAATCTCTTGTCCCAAGTGATTGCTGAACAAGGGAAACGCCAACAGCACCCTGTTGACATTTTAGTATAAACCATAAAACCCCCCAAGGTTCCAAATGTCCGTTCCCGTGAGTACCAGTTCGTAGGACATTTCAATGACATCGTGGCGGCCCCTCCCATCTCGCACTGCGCTCTCGTCTTTCACAGTCTCCCCTTCCCTTCTCACTCTCGCACCCACCCACCTTTCCTCGGGTCCTCACTTCCTCCCCTCTTCCTTCCCAATACCCAATACCCTCACAATCGTCCGTCACCCATGCTATAATTCTTGTAAAGCCTCATCATCCCACCACCCCAAATCGGACCCCTGAAAATCCTCGCCCGTCCGGGATCCATCTCCTGCACCTTCACCTTCGCCTTCGCCTTGACCTTCTGTACACCTCCCCTACCCTCCTTCCTCCCCTTCCCCCTCTCCCTCTCCCTCTCCTTCATCTCCTCCTCCTCCCTCCTTTTTACCCTCTCCTCCTCCCTCAATATCTCCCCCCCAAACACCCCCTGCCTATCCAACCCAACATCCATCCCCGGCAACCCCAGCTCCACGCACTCTCCAATCCCACCCCCATCCCCCTTCGGGCCCTCAACACCCAAACTCAACCCCACGCCCGGCCTGACCCAGCTAAACGGCTCTCTCCTGCTCACCCTCGCGCGCTCCTTCTGCAGGTCCTTCCAGTTTGGAAGGTATCGCTCTTCCCAGGCGAGGAATGTGAGGGTGCGGAAGGCGGATGTGAAGGATGAGAAGGCGGAAGGGAAGGAGGAGCCTAGGGGGGTGAGGAGCGTGCGGTAGGGGAGGTGCGAGGGTGGTGGGGTGGTGGGTGTGGGTGGTGGGAGGGGAGTTATGGAGTTGAGGGCAAGGAGGAGGGAGGGATGGGGTTGTTGGGTTTGGGATTGTTGGGAGGTGGATGAAGGAGTTGGAGTTGGTGGTGAGGATGTAGCAGTAGCAGTAGTGGTAGTAGCAGCCATGCTCGTCGTCATCGTCGTCGTCGTCGTTCCCACAGCCATTGCACCACCGGATCCCTGCGCCGAGGCTGGAGCGTTCGAGTTCGCGGGCGGGAAGTACCGCACAAACGTCGCGTACGTGTGCGGCAGGGCGTGGCTTTCGTACAGCCGGATGATGTATTTTGCGTGCGCGTTGCGGTGGAAGTTGTGCCGGAAGAGGGTGAGGTCGTACGAGAAGCCGAGCCGGTCGAGGTAGATGTGGTGTGTGTCTGTTAGGCGTTCAGCTTTTGGGGGTGCTGGGGATGATGGATGGGGTGAGGTGGTGGATGCAGGTGGTGGAGGGGCGGGGTGGGATTGTTGTTGGGAGGAGGGTGTTGAGTGTGGTGGTGTTGGGAGGGTGTTGTGGAGGGCGGGGTGGGATTGTTGTTGGGAGGAGGGTGTTGAGTGTGGTGGTGTTGGGAGGGTGTTGTGGAGGGCGGGTTCCTTGGGTGTTGATGATGGCGTTGGGGCGGGAGGAGAGAGAGAGGAACGGGGAGGAGAAGATGGAGGGGTGTCGTTGGCTTTGGAGGCTTCGTTTTGTGGATGCTCGACGTTTGTGGTGTCTTCCTCGGGTTCGGATCGCTTCGCCATGTCGACCTCTCCGTCTTCGTCCTCGTCCTTCTCGGCGGTGTCTTCATTCTCCTCCATCTCCTCCACTTCCATGTGTTGGTCCTGGTCCTCCTCAGCCTCCCCTTCATCAGCCTCCATCTCCAGCTCCCCGCCCTCCTCTCCACCCGCGTCTTCGACCCCAGACCTCCCTCCCTCCATCTCCCCGTCATTGCCACAACCGCCACCCTCTTTCCCTTCCTCCTCGTCTTTCTCAGCATTCATCTTCTTCTCCCGCCCCTCCCTCATCTCCCTCTCCTCCCGCAACGCCGCAAGACTACTCATGAAGAACCCACCCCCCGAGACTGCGCTACGACGACCGCGGCACGAAGAAGAGGAAGACTTACTTGTGCCCAGGTCCTCTCGCGCCTTCTGCGTCTCCTTGGCGAACTTCGCTCCTGTCAATTTGTCAGTCTTAGAACCTAACTAGGGCGATACACAAATCATCCCCAAGGTTCCTGCCCAACACAAACAATATATAAAAACCATGAACCGCAGTGCGTATACACCAATAACCCATCATATTCAGAAACAACCCCATCACAAACATCGCATCAAAGACTCAGAAGATGAAAAACTTGATGTCCACTTACGATCATACCTCCCCGCCAACCTCTTCATCTTCCGCCTCTTCTTCTTCTCCTTGTCGATGGTGCTCCAGAGATACTTCTTCTCGGCGAGTTTGCGCTTCGCGTGCAGGGAGTCTTCGAGCCAGTCGTAGCTGACGATTTTGGCGCCGAGGTGCGATGCGGCTTGGACTGCGTGGAGGGTTAGTGATGTACTTGCGGCCAAAGAGATGAAGATGAAGAACGGCATGAAGAGTGGTGAACTGGTGCTGAATCACCGTGTGACAGACAACAGGAGGAAAAGGACTCACCGTCTGCCGTGTTTCTCTTCCAAGCCTCCTTCGACGCAACAAGATGCGTGATCCCCTTGCCGACCTTAGACATCCATCGCCCGTCGTTGTTCTCGACCCAGCGCTTGAGATCTTCAGGTTTTGCGTCTAGGTTGCCAGTGCAGGCGATCTGCAGATGCTTGAGACAGCCCATGGCGAGGAAGGCGTGTGTTGGGAGCGCTGGGCGCTTGATGTGGTGCTAGTTTGATATCGATGTTGCGTGATAGTGATGGATTGATGAATGGGTGGTGGGATAATGGAGCGTTGACGAAGAATGGAGTGGAAATGGAGATGGAGGAGAGTAGGTGGGCGAATGGGGTGTTTATATAGGAAGGCGAGGAGCCGTTTGGCCGAAGCGCTGATGACAGACGAGCAGTGTGGAAGGGGCTTCGTTGAGGCGTGCGGCTCCTTTACTGATGCATCTCGGAAAGGTCGAGTTTGTGAGGGAGGTGCAGCGTAAATGGGCCGTGGAGCGATGACAGAGTAAAAGAAATACGAAAAGCTGTGGAAATGAGGGCTCGAAACGAGGACGTCACGGATGATGTGGCTGGCAGTGGGAAAAGAGTATGACAGTCAAGGGATAAAGGATATGATAATTCTGAACAAAATGTAACGCTTCGTGACTCTATCTCCATTCAGTGACTTCAATACCGCAAAGACTCAGGGGTATCCGCACCAGTAGCTTCCACGCTATGCCCCCTTAACTGCCTTCACAAACGCCTTGATCTTCTCGAGACTCTGCTCTCCTCCTTCCTCTACTCCACTACTAACATCCACACCCTTCACACGACTGCCATACTCTCCCAGCGCACCAAGTACCTGCTGCACATTCTCCGGATTCAGACCTCCAGCAAGAAGAATCTTGACTCCGTCATCTTTCGAAAGAACGTCTTTGACATCCGACAAATCGAGCTGCTGCCCCGTTCCACCAGCGCCAGCGTCCAGCAGTGGGAGCGCATGGTAGCCGCGAAGGCCGATACCGCGATCCTTGGGGCTGAAGCTCTTAATGACAGGTACAGGAATCAATTTTGCCCACTCCACCGGCTCTCTGCCGTGCAGTTGGACGAGGTCCAAACCCAGGGCTCTTTGCTGTTCCAGAACGTACTCGAGAGGTTGGTTCTGGAAGACTCCTACCAACAGTGCGCGATCCGTAGAGAGGACATGGTGAGACGAGGCGTGATCGAAGAAATCAGTAGCTAAGAGGGATATTGGAGTGGTTTGAGATGTGGAGCGCTTCGTCTGATGTACGACTTCGGAGATGGCGAGCGCCGTTTCTCTTGACACGGTTCGTCTCCGACCGGCAGCGAGAATAATCCCTATCAGATCCGCTCCGGCCTCAATGGCGGCCTTTGCGGCTTCAGGGCTTCGTGTTCCGCAGATCTTGACAAGAGGCCGCGTGCTTGCTTCAGGTGTTGCTGATGGTGATGACCCCCCGAGCAGATCGGAAATGAACTTCGCTGTATCAGATGCCCGCATCAGGGCTTCACCGACCAGAACTGCACCAACACCGCTCTTGAGATAAGGCTCCACGTCCTTGGGGCCCGCAATACCGCTCAAGGCACAGACTATGGTTTCCTTCGGCACCATATCCATCAAGCGACTGGTAGTTTCCAGATCGACTTCAAAGTTGACCAGATTGCGGTTGTTGACGCCGATAACCTTCGAGCCCAGGTTGACTGCAATGCGCATCTCGTCCACGTTCTGTACCTCAACCAGGGGTTCCATACCCAGCGACTGCGAATACAGATACAACCTCTTCAGAAGTGCTTCATCCAACATCTTGACAATCAGCAGCACAGTATCGGCGCCTGCCAACCGAGCCTCAAGAATCTGGTACTCGTCGAAAATGAACTCTTTACGCAGCACTGCCGGGCGGTTGACCATTCCTTCTAGGCTCTGGCGCACAGCTCGGAGGTCTTCAATGCTGCCCTTGAACCACTCGGGCTCGGTCAGGACAGAGATGACGCTGGCGCCGCTTTTCGCATATATCCTGGCCTGCGACGGGGCGCAGGTAGATAACGAAATGATGCCTTTCGACGGAGAGGCACGCTTGATCTCAGCCATGAGCGAAAGCCGATATGGCGATTGCCTTAGCCTCTCCGGAAATGAGATCTGGGGAGGCGCAAGGTTGAGATCATACGCAGCTTGCAGGTCACTTGGGCGCTGAGAGGGGATCTTCTTCTGCTCTGCAACGGCAGCTTTCCGGTGCTCATAGATCTTCTCAAGGATTGAAGTCTGCTTATCCTTCTTGCCAGAGCCGCTGGCAGCCGTGGAAACGGCCTTTGAATGCGCCTCTTTCGAGAGTCTTTCGTTTTCTGCCCACGTGCCGCCTTGCATGTGCAAGAAGTTCTTCAGCATGACCCTTCCTTCGGCAGTCAGGATACTCTCCGGATGGAACTGCACCCCTTCAATAACGTATTCTTTGTGGCGCACTCCCATTATAACCCCCTTTCCGCCGTCAGGGCCGGAAGCGATCCAAGATGTGACTTCGAGGCAGTCTGGGAGAGTCGGATGTGTTCCCGCGAGGGAGTGGTACCTGGTTACAGGTAGGTCTTGAGGGATGTTCGCGTATACGCCCTTCCCATCGTGTCTAAGAGGCGACGTCTTGCCGTGAAGAATCTCGCCCGTAACGTCAACGCGCCCCCCGAAGGAGTGGTAGATGCATTGCCTGAGTGAGTCAGGAACAGCGCAACCATGCAGAAATGCGACGCCACTTACTCCCCCATGCAAACTCCTAGTATGGGAATCTTTCCGCTGAAGTGCTTGACCGCATCATTGCTCACGCCTGCATCCTTCTCTGGGTGGCCCGGCCCGGGACTTATGACTAGCTGCGTCGGATTCTTTGCAATCAATTCTTCCAGCGTAATCTCGTCATTGCGGAAGACGGTGACGGTGGCACCCTCAAGAACGAGGTATTGGTAGACATTCCAGGTAAAGGAGTCGTAATTGTCTATTAGGATCAGGTTGGAGGCGGAAGGGATGGGCGGCGAAGGCGAAGGGTGGTGAGGGGAGTGATCAATGAGGGGCGCAGTCATGGTGTGGATTGTAGCTCCCAAGAGAATATGGAAAACTGAGAGAGATACAAAGAGACGCACACTGAGTCCACGCCGTGATTGAAGGCTGCTCTGCCCTGTATTTGTGAAGAAGGAGTGGTGTCCTCTGCGGCCACGATGCTCGACTCACCGGCCTGTCTATTCGACTCATACAACTTTCCCCGCGGCCCGTTCCATAAAGTGCCTGGCTTGGCGGGCGGTGAAACGCACGGACCATCAAATTGATTCGCGCGTCAAGCTTCGCGGCAACATCTCAGCAGAGAAACAGCAACTTTGGCACCGTTGGATTTCCCACCGCCCAATTTCACTCCGTTGAGTGCCCACCTTTCCCCTGAACCTCCGCATGGCCATTGGGTAGCCCAGATCCACAAGAGCGCATCCTAGCGCTGCCATGGCTCCCGTCCAGCCAGCGCCTCTGCCCCAGCTGGATCTCTCAAAATGCTTCACAGGCGAGCAACAGCTCATGTACAACACCTATTAGTTCCCCCCTTACATGTCAGTACACTAACCGTGGCAGTTCCTGGGACGCTGCATATGTCGCTCTATGCGACCCTGACGCCGCAGCGAAAAGCCGGGCCTTGGAAAGCTTCCTCCATGATCCGGCAAACAAAGCTGCTCTCAGCACACCATGGCAACCGTTCCCAGGGCCGTCATCCCAGGAGAAGGCCAAGTTCGACTCGAAGACTGCGCCTATAAACGTGACGCCTTCGCCGAATGGCCGCTACAACATTGATGAGATCAAGGATGACAGTATATGGCTGTCAAAGCTTGTGAACATCTCAGAAGACGCCGCGCTCCGTCTGGTGATTCTGGAATGGCAGGCTCGGCCTTCTTATCAGCTCCTAAGTGGTCTTACAGAAGAGGAGGCGTTGAGTGTAAGCGATGCCGCAGGTCTGTCAAGCTTGGGCGCATCCACCATCATTCCCAACTCGGCCATCGTCACGGCCCCCTCCGGTCTTCAAGACGCCCAATTCAACGCCGTGGAACAGCGTAGGCTTCGTATCCTCGAGATCTACACCACCTCGCGTATCGCAATCCTCAGAACAAGCCAGCTGCTCAGATCGTGGAGCGAAGGCCCCCGTCTTAGACGAACCTACGGTCAAGACTACCGTGTATGTAGCGCCGGGACAAGCTTCGACTGGCTGGAACAATTGGGTAGTGACATCAGCTTGGAAAATGATTGCTTAGATCGGGTCATTCAAGCAGTGGAAGCCAAATGGGATGGCCTGGACACCGGATTCACCTGGGATGTTCCAGAACCTGTGCAGGAGGGTGCCGAGATTCTATGGATGGTTGCGGAAATCACAGAGATTATCCACCTGCTTCACATAGCGCTCATTCATGCAGACTTGCTAGAGGATAGTTTTGTGGCGGCCAAGACAGTGGACCGTTGGTTCGCGCTTATGCAGAAGACGGGCTTCTTCTCGACCTTCTCCGTGGTAAGCACATGAGCCCTGATTTGATCGTATTGTTGTACTGACTGAATGTCAGCCATTGACAGATCAGCAACACCTTGTGGCTCTTCTACAACTGCTCACGTCCCTTCTGTCCCTCGCCATACTGAACGTCAATCTCGTCTTACAAGACTTAGACTCCGGACGGAACACGTCTTGGCCCGCGTCTTGCTACCTCCTCGATGGTTCTTTGCTAGAGAGAATTACGATCACGTTCGGCGAGGCGAAGAGTCTGGGCCCTAGTCCCGCCACCCCACCAGCGTTTGCCTGGGCCATCATCATATGGAGATTGACGTTATATGCAAGCGATCTGGAGCAAATGCGGGAACAGCAAATCCAGGGCAGTTCGGACGGACCCGAGCTCCCACCGAGCGCTTTAGAGAATGCGGTCCTTGCGTTGAGCAACCTGAATTGGGACCTATTCGAAAAGAGGATGCCTTTTGAAGATATTGCGGAGAGTTGCTCCGAATTTGGTGTCCTACAGATCATAACACGACTCGTTGAACTTGCAGTGAGGTACTTTGGGACCGGCGCAGACCGCATCTCCCGAGACCGCTTCCGATTTCTCCTATTGCACCTTGTGCGGGGTGCGATGAGCTGCGGCATCGTAGCTTACACAGAGGATCTCGTCGCTTGCGTTCATCGACTGATGGTAGGCGACCGATCGTTCCGCAACTGGATCGAAGCGCATGCACCGCACCACGTCGATCCAATCACTGCGTTCTGTCTTAACGATGTCGCCGTTATACGCCCTTTTGTTATTGACGAAGCGCTCATGCGTTACGCATACGAGCCCATGTGGATGCTTCAACTGCTCAGTGCCCTTACGAGAGGCGAACGACCCAGCGAAGATCCACTATCGACCACTACGAACCTTTTAGCAAGGACCGATAACTTCATGCAACAGTTGCCTGCAGGTTTCAGCTCCTACAATCTTATCCGTGAAGAAGAGAATTCAAACTACATTTCTCTCTCAGAAGATCTACCGCAGTTCGAAAGCACAGCCAGTGCGCGACTGAGACTATCGGGTAGGCTACTGGGATCGAGCAGTCATGCCACCGACGACGACTCTATGGTCATTCCAGCTGGAACAATAGGGAGAATCGTAGACGACAACTCTACACCCTTTATCGCCATGTGGGAGTACCAGCATTCAGCCTTAGATTACCTGGTCGAGCTGCTCTCAACATTCATGATGGGTAGCGACAAAGTCCAAGTCTCTAACCAGCAAGCGGTTTCTCTGGAAGTTGCGGGTGAGACAATAGGACTTTTTGCCGACCTCCTACATTCATCGCTGCGGGAAGGAGAAGGAGCGAGCATGGCCGAGCTTCTTAACGCTATGAATATCGACACTGATCGACGCCATCAAGACACTATAAACATCGTGTTAGCGATTTTCGATCAAGCGCTGCTTCTGCAATGCCAGGAGCCTGGAGACACACAGGTACTGGAGTTGCTCATAAACTGCGTCCGCTTCCTCCAAGCGCTAATCCATCTCATACCACACCGCGTGTGGCCGTGGCTAACCCGCAGCTCACTTCTGGACACCGAGGGTAAGGGTGGAAACCTCGCTGGAATCCTGATTGGGACAGAGGTGGTTACCGGTCGTTACCGGTTTCTCATCGGGTGCATACAGCTTTTCCATTCTTTGGTTGAGGATGCTGTTGGACGCTCTGTTGCTCGAAAAGTTCCAAGCAAAGCGGTGACACGATTCAACGCAGGCCCAGCATTGGAAAGTGGGACATCTGATAAAGCCATGGGTAACGTTCTCCTCGCTTTTGGGAAGACGCTTGCCACCGTCTACGAGAGTTCTCTGGGCTGGAAGTTCGAGCGCTTGGAGGACAAAGTCGAAATACACATCGGCATATGCAGCGCTTTCGATGCCATAATGCATTATGCTTATGGTGTTGACGACACCAGCGAACTGGGGTCAAAACTAACAAGTCCTGTTGCGCCCATCGCGGAACACATCACTACGCTCTACCTCTCCACATCTCAGCGAGATGTGCCAACAAACCCTTTGTTGACGTCACTCCTATCTGGGGCTACTGTCAACAAGGAGTCCTTCTCAACTATGTCTGCTGCATTGTGGAAGCAGCAAACGGAAACGGCTCTTGCATTTTCGAACACACTCGTGCGGGTGGCCATTCTTACCGACAGGCCATGGACTCACTTGGAGGAGCAACTTTTCAAAGCGACACCTCTGCTATCACGTCTGTTCCTGGCTAGCGATTCCTATACGTCCCCGATATTGGCCTTGCTAGAGACGCTCGTACGAGGCGCCGTTCGTGGTACGGAATCACATGATATCAGGGTGCACGGCGATCATAGCAAGTCAACTTCCCAGGAACCACCGTCTCTACTTGGCCACTTGAGCTCTATGACGGCAAAGAACTTCCTCAAGGTCATGTCACACTGGGAGAGACCACTACGGATGGTAGACGTTCAAGTTCAGGTTTGGAAACTACTGTCGGCCGTGGTCACCTGTAAACAACAATGGCTCTCATTGTATCTTCTCACAGGCAGCACTCCACGAGAGTCAGTCAGAAAGCAAGCTAATACCAGCAACACCTGGTCTCGCGACGAAGCTCTGACGTATCGCGCCATCGACTCCATCACGAAGCTGGACTTTGACAACCAAAGTATTGATTGGTCATTGTATGCCTCAATGCTCGAGTTCATCTCCTCTGCATATAACCACTGGGCTTGGGCAATGGGAGATTTCAAGCAGCACAGGGACTTCATCCAGAAACTGCTTGCGTTCCTGAAATGGATACCTACCAAACGTACCGACCCTAACAGCGCTGCGGGTGCGTTGACTCGCTCCTATCTGAACAAGTTTGCTGCCCTGACTTGTGAAGTGCTCGCCATGCACCTTCATACCTCCCGCCAGATCGGCGATGTGGCGCCCCTGAAGGATATAATCCCAAGTCTAGGATATCTACAAGAACACGCCCTACGGCTCCCATCTTACAATGCTTCGTTGCACTCCAGGTTGAAGCGAAACTTCGAGAAGCAATTCAATGGCATCTCGCTGACCAGCCTGAAACGCACGATGCTGGACCCCGCTCCCTTTGGTCGCGCCTTCTTCTACGACGTTGACCTGGCAAACAAGCTGTTCAGATTCAGCAACAATTGGTCCGGCCCCAAAGGCACCCAGGGTCATGGTTTCGCTGCCGAGGTGGTGCTCGCAAACCTCAATCTTGGGCTGGTAGAAAGTGAGGTCCAGCTTCTGAAGGGCTGGAAACTTCTGGCAGTGGAATTGAGCCATGTGGTGAGCAAGGATGTGTCCCTTTCCAGAGTTTTGATCAAAGTCGTGCGGGATTGCATGACGACGAATGCAGAGTCGACGCTCCCGGAAGCCTTGTTCGGGCAACTCACCGTTCTACGCGCGGATTTAGCGTTTGTCCTCCTGCAGAGAATGGTCAGCGCGAAGACAAACACGCCAGAAGCTCGCCGCTTGCTGATCCCCGTCTGGAGCGCGGTTCGTGCGGCAACAACAGACTTCGACACAGTTTTCGCAAGTGACTCGGTAAACTACTACCGATCACTACTCCGCACCCTCTACCTCACGCTGCAGTTCCACCTTATGGACGAGTCTGCATCGGATGAGGATGTATTCTTGCGCTCTAGTTTTCGAGGGTCTGTCCCGGCCAGCAAAAACACTTTGGTTGAGCCGATATCCAACCAACTGCTGGAGATCCTGGCGGACGCAGTCGCGCGGGGATTCCGTAGTCTAGCCACCCAACTTCATTCGGAACCCGGGTCTGTATCTCCCTCTGATTTCGCCCTTCTTACCGCAATCCTCCAGACCATCCTTAGCATTCCGGAGATGACGACATGGCATTCCCAGGCCGCGCTGCTCTTTTCCAATAGCAATACGCTCCGCTACGCAACCAGTCTCTTCTCCTGGTCCGACAAACTTACAATCCAGAACAATGGGGTTGCAGATCCCGTGTATGGTGAGCTGAGCTTGCTCTTCATCCTCTCCCTTTCAAGCATGCAGACCTTGGCAGAGTCAATGGCAGTGGAGGGTATACTTTCGCAGCTGAACTCGGCCAACTTAATGAATTACTACCGCCGGTCAGGTGGTATGTCCCCGTTTGATTCCCCGGCCCGCATCTTCACCATCTGGACCAAAGGGATCTTGCCTCTGTGCCTCAACCTTCTCCGGGCAGTGGGGCCGGCCATTGCAGGCGAGATTGCCGCGTTTCTGAATCAGTTCCCCGAGCAGCTGAATCGGGCCTCTAACGCACTCAACTTTGGCAAATCCACCACCAAGATTACCTTGTCGATAGCCTCGGAAGCTCACTCCCTTGCTCTCATCACTAGTATTCTTGACAATGACCGAGCACAAGGCCCCAGGCTAGGGATTCAATCCAACGATATCCCGGACTTGGACTGGGACCGCGAGAACGTGAAAGAGGATATCGAGAGCTGGCTGACTAGAAGGGGCCTATTGCGGGAACGCATTGTTGTGGTTGATGAGCGGGATGCAGCCCTCTTCGAGAAGCCAGCGTTAGATGACTACGAGAATATGCTCGAGAAGCGAGTGGTGAGCGAGTTGACTGCTGCTGGGGAATGCTTGGGGTTGGGAAAGGGTACTTGATGCAGGAAGTCCGTCTTGAAGTGCATTTAGCGTTTCCTTAAAGGGATGGTGTCTGGAAACGGTCGGGTTGGATCCATCAACTTCATCACAAAAGCGATGATGGAGTTTGAGGTGCTGGATAGATTTCTCGTTGCTTTGCCGGTGGTGTTCGCGTGATGGTCGCTACGTCTTAATGTATTCGTCTGTTCCTTTCAATTTGGGTTCCGGTGCCATCAGCGGTCTCGCTAGATCTATCCTTCAGGTGCTCGAGGAATGATTGTGCGTCTCATCCGAAACCAGACCCTGGCTGACGTGACTGAAAATGGGGAGACTTTGAACAGTCGGGAGCTTAGTAGGCTCACGAATTTATCTCATCATGAGCAATGCTCTCTTCGGTCATCATGAATCGTCAGGGTCATCCTATCTACAGCGAAATCATGCGGCATGACAGCGTTCGACTTTCACACCAATCCTCAGCACTCCTCTCACCTCTACTCGTTCTCCTCCCCACGCTAATACTGATAAAGATACTCCACCTGATCATCCACCTCACCGACGCCTTCCTGCCCCCTCCTCTCCCTCCTCGCCCTCACCCTCCTATTATGCCCCCAAAGCAACCCCACAAACACCAAACACGCCACAGCCCCCAACACCGTAACCCCCAACCCGGTCGCAAACCCGGTTTTATAAAACGGCGCCTCCGTCTTCAAAAACACATTCGCCGCGACGAAGTTGGCACAGTTTCCTAGGCCAAGAATAATTGCCGTGCCCACGGCCGCACTCGCCCTGCCGCGCAGGTTATTCGTCATCCACGCCGTCGTCATGCTCATCTGCAGGAACGTGCCGCCGCTCATGGCGAAGAGGCTGAAGTAGCGGACCCCTACGCCGACGCCGGAGCCGGAGCCGCGGTGGGTGCTGTAGACGAGTTGGATGATCCAGCCGACGAGGACGAAGGCGATGCCCGCGAGGACGAAGGGGAAGCGTCGGCCTGTGCGGCTCGAGAGGAAGCCGCCCGTCACTTGGAAGAGGATGCCTGTGAGCCAGATGGGGATGCTGAGGACTTGGGCCATGGCGGCGCGGTAGCCCAGTTCGGTCAGGATGGTCGGGAGGAACGAGGATATCGAGGCCGCGGTCATGTCGCAGCAGAAGAACATTAGTGTGCTGCGGTAACGTTAGTCTTTGCCTTCGTTTGGAAGAGAGATGGAAAGTACGGGAACCAAATCTTGTAGTCAGAGAGGACTTTGAACCAGTTTACGGATTTGAGGTCGAGTTTCTGGTCGCCTTTGTCGAGGCGCAGTTTCTGGAGGAGGTGGGCTTTTTCCTTTGGGGAGAGGATTTTGGTCTTCTCGGGGAAGTCCGGGACGAGGAGGAAGACGAAGAAGGAGATGAAGATTGTGAAGAGGCCTTCGATGATGAAGATCCTATTGGAGTTGTGAGTCGAAAGAATGGCAAGGGCTTGGGGGAATCGGGAAGGGGAGAGAGAAGGGGACGTACCATCTCCAGCCTTCTTTTCCGGCTATTCCGTGCATGTTTCGAAGTCCGTAGGCAAGTAGCTGCAGATAGGTTCTGGTTAGTACTGTCCAGTGTCATACAGGAAACGAATACATACACCGCTGACACAAGGACCCAGCACGCCGAAGGTGAAGAAGCAGGCAAATCGCAACGCAGCCTCTTTCCTCGTATAATACTCTCCAATCAAGAACGCCGCACCTGTACATCAACATTAGCCCTTGGTCTTCACTAATCTTCTAAGCCCCCTAAGTGGCAACAAAAACGTACCAGCAGGCAAAGTCGCCTCGAAAATCCCCATCAGAAACCTCAGCGCCAACAGTCCCCCATAACTATGTGTCAACCCCTGACACATGGCCACGACACCGAGGATCAACATATTGAGTCCCAGGAAGACATTCGGTTTCACGCGCGGTAGGCCCATGATCATGTTTGATGGGATCTCTATCAGCACAAAGGGAATGAAGAAGATCCATATGCACGTGTTGTAACCCTGCGGAGGCATATTGAGGCCTTTTTCCAGGCCTTCGATGCGTGCATTTGCAACTAGTAAAATCATTAGCTATTATGATTCGGGTACATGGAAGGGGAGAGAAAGAGAAACATACTGTTCGTCCGGTCGAGGAACAAAACGGTATATGTACATCCCAGTATAGGAATCAACCGCAAATCCATCTTGAGCGTATAATTCGACGGCGCGACGAGCGTCTCGATGGCGACTGGTTCGGCGCCATTGGCCATGGATGTCGCCGCTGAGCAGCCCTTCTCTTCAGTAACTGCGTCCCTGTCGTCTCCCATATTGGATGACCGTGCTGTGAGTCCAGAGTAGGCCGAGTGAGTCCCTACTACTGGGTTCGAACAGCTGACTTGTTGGGAATCCAGTAGCAATAAGAATTAAGCTCCCGACGTCCGGGTACGCCACGCGCTTTCTACCGGCAGCGGGGAATTCGACTTAGAGGCCCTGCGAGTCAACCGCTCGGTTCCTATTTGTCACTCGAATGCTTCGAGGAGAAGACTGCGCTCTAGGGGTCCCTTGACTTTGCAAGCAAATGGCAGAATCACTCTCGGGCAACGTCCAGAAAGCCTAATACTGTGTACCTGCGCTCCTCAGACGAGGGTTAGCTACATAGAATCGCTCGACACGAGTATCCGATTGTTGGATCAGCAAGCTGAAAGAGAGAGCAATCCGGATGAAAAAGGTGTGAGCGAACGACGGGACAGCCGTGGAGGGGCGATGAAGGAGTGGTCCGGCCAGAGGTAATGCTGGCTTGCAGGGTTTGCGGAAGATTGGAACTGGGCTAGTTTACATGCAGGATTACTATTACGGCGTAGTTGATATACAAGAAGTAGACTATAGGCTGCGGAATTTCTTATCAGTTCTTGTGGTTCATCTGCTTTCTCAGCAGGTTCTCCACGATGGACATGAGGAGGTTCTTTCCCAGGGTTCCATGTCGGATTCATATGGAGAAAAGAATAAACTTCCGCATGTTTCTGGAGGAGCCCCACGTTGAGAAAATAGAGAAAAGCCCCTGCATTACGAGAATCAGAAGAAAAACCAGCCAAAGCCGTCAAGTCTGTTGGACAGAACGAGAAATTCAGGTTCCGTGGCCTCTAGAACCCTTGGCATGCACTCGGAACAGGCTTGGTTTTGTTCCGAGGCTGCGCCTGTACGAATCGCGACACCCGAACCCAATCAGATGGCTAAACGACCCCTCCAACCATTTGCGAAAATGGTCCAGCAATGCCCAATTCAGATTTTGCATGTGCTCTTGAGGTCAGAAAAGGAACGATGGTGGTGCGGTGGTGCAGTCCCGCAGACGCGGGTAGGGCAAGCTTCCCGCACCATGGTGGATGGTGTTCAGGCCGTGGACTTGGGAAGGTTGCGACTGTATCCTGCGGTACTCTGTACAACGGTCCATGAAGGATTGCCAGGTTGACAGTGCCGACGGGGTAGTCTACCCGGTCATTGCGAGAAGGGACCAGATGTACGTTGATCAACGGTGAGCAACTTGGGACAGAAGTAAGCATGTCCAGACTTGGAGAGCAGAGAAAATCGGATTGTACCAAGACGCCTGGCTGTTTCTCGTAGCAGGTATTACCGATTCCATATCCGTGTCAACCATCGTGAACAAAGTTCGTTCTTCCATCATCCCTACCAAGGAAAACTGTAGAAAAAAGGCAAAGGTCTACTACTGAAGTTGCTGCAGAGAAGAATAGTCTATCCCACGCTATGCTTCCATGCAGCAATATGCGTCAAACACCACCGAACGAGATGCTGGACAGTGGTCCATCATTTCAGGAAAAGTAACGCCCGCGGGAAAGGAGTTAGACGATGAGGAGCTATACATTGTCAGTCAGGCTTCTTTTTAGAAAGTTACCATCACAGAAATATGCATACCTTCTCGACATGGTCCTCGCTCTCAATACGGTTGAAGGCCGCAAAGATGGCCGCACCGGACAGCAACCACATCACCGGCACCGAGGCCTCAACCAGATTCGGCCTCTCGACCGCCTGCGCCATCTCTACCACCTGCGCCGCCTTGGACACGGTGGACTGGGAGTTGAGGCGAGCAAGAGCCGGGGTGCGCTTGCCCGCGAAGGTAGCATGTATAGGGAGACGCTTGGGGAGGACGAAACGAGGAGCCATGGTCGTGGGAGTGAAGCTCGTGAGACTCGCGATCGTACTTTTGGTGTTGAGAGTCGCTAGCCGCGGTATTGATGGCGGAAAGTGGGTCCAGAAGAATGCGGAGGCGCTTGCTGAGTCGAAGACTGTGAATGCAGAGATGAAGAAGAGAATTGAAGGAACAGAGAACCTCAGTAATATGCTGTTCTCGGGGTTGGCCTTGCGGTTCAACACGTACTCCACAGTACTGATTGGTGATGCTCTGGTGGTGAATGAGTGTGGGTAAGGCAAACGAAGGTCGTTGTGCTTGGTTTTATGAACGAGTTGTGAAGGGTGGGTCAGGGGAGTTGTGAGAGAAGCGGCGAGCGAAAAAACTGGTGGGTGCCACGGGGCGGTCTGAGTCTGGGCAGGGGTTCTGGAAGGGACGAGGCCGCGGCTGGCTATTATTAGTCAGCCTAAACCCAGAACCCCCACGGGGAACATTCACTCTACGCTGAAGAGAGAGTTCCATATGCCTGCTTCGATCTACATCTGCCTCCTGGCGCAGTCCAATATCTTAGTTCAGCAGCTGAGATATGCCCCAAGCATTGCCTCCCAAATCACTGTGTATCCTTCTTGATTGATGGGGCTCTATGGAGGCGGTGAGGCAACTTCATCCTGCATACTAATTCGGTGACGTACTCTTACAACCTCGAATATAGCACCGTTATTCATTTTGCTTGGGCTAGTTCTTAAAATGTGTTCGTCATTGGAAACCATCTAACTCAACCGGCGCGAGGGATACGGAAGGCTGCCGCAACCTCAAGCTTAGCGCAGTGATTCTACCCCCTGTTGAACATACTCCCCGTACCAACATCCCAGGTGGAACGTCTTCAGCAACCCTCCGGCTTCAGATCCTGCCTCTTCTCAACGTCCCTCGTCTTCATCTTGGCAGTCTGTCCATCCAGGTCTACAGCCGGAGGAGGGACTTCATTCTACTGAGAATCAGCTTGCGGTGCATTCGTGTCAAGACGCTCGGGAAGGAGACGTACCTGAGCTGGTGCACCAAACTCGACGAATCCTGGCCGGATGTGCGTATCTGGTCTATGCTGCATCAAGAAGATATCACTGGGTTGGAACTTCATGCTCTCAGCATTGATATTATCCGGGAACTGCTGAGGAGTCACGCCGTCAGCACCAGCCGTCACGAATGAGGGCGTGTCTGTCATGATGTGGTTCCCGAATTCCAAAGGATGGGCGAGATTCAGACAGTGGCCGACTATTCATCGTTAGACGACAGCATGGGGTCATCCATGATCATGGAACCTCACCTTCGTGTACCGCGGTGCGGAACCAGGGATCTTGCAAGTCTTCGAACTTTTTGCCCACCACAGACGCCGGCCACGGTACATTGTCGATGGTATCAGGGGTTCCATCGGGATTGGTTCCAACACGCCATTCACTTGCTATAGCTGTGCCTTCCCTTGGAATCCCGTTGTACTTCCTTGTGGGGTCGATCATAGCTCCCCGGGAACTCTCCACCATATGCCTAACAATCAGAAGATAGTACTTCCACTCCTTATCGTAGTCCGTAGGGCCACGGTATGTGAGCACAGCATCGTGCTCCTGCTCCTCATTGAACCATCCCGCACCCACGGTGTTGCTCGGTTCCGGAATATCCGTCTTCCCAACCGTGACACTGATATCGTAGCCCGCCTCGGCGAACACGGATTTCCACGTCCGCGTACCGCTGGTGTCCGCCTGAGGCACTTTGGCGCCGCTCACGGTGCCGATCTCGAGCTTAATGCGACGCAGATATGTGCTCACCCACCCCATGGTGAATTTGCCCACCACCGCACCGCTGCTGGCGATCTTGACGTTCCCCTCGAAATAGTTCTGCGTGTCTGGGTATCCGCTGGGAGCCGAGGCAGGAGAAAGCTCGACGATGTATCCGCCATCGACGGGTTGGCCTGCCCAGATGGTATCCCAGTACCGTACGGTCTGCCTGAAACCACCAAAGGTCCAGAACTCCAGGTTCAAAGAGAACCCACGGTTACTGCCTGCCGTGAGTTTTGTCGCGCGGACGAAGCCCCAGTAGTTGTTGCGGGGGAGAATGGGACTCCCGTCGGCGGGGTTCGGTTGGACGGTGCCATTGTAGAGGTCGCCGCTGATGAAGGTCGCGTCACTAGTTGAAGTGATGCGTAGGGGGCCTCTGTACGTTGGAGAGTTGGCGGCGTTGGGCGTGTAGGTGATTATCCAGGCGCCGGGTTTGAGGGAGGTGGCTTGTCGGGAGTGGAGGTTGGGTGGTAGGCTGATAGCGCTTGCTAACGAGAGAAGGGTTGTGAGGGCGAAAAGCAATGACACCATCTTGGGTGGGAAAGAAAAAGGCAACGTCAGTTGTAGGGTCACTGGGTCGGCGGTGAACGAATATGGGTACAGCGTAGAGCTTTATACCTACGTAGTGTTGAGTACGAGGTCTAATTCAAACCCCCGAAGTCAGGGAGTCTGCTGGTTACCGTCCTTCATATGTTGGCGAAGTCATTTGGCCACCCTTGGGCTTTACGCGTGCCAGACAGAAGCTGACATCTTGTCCACATTCATCATCATTCTGTGAGTGGAGCATAAGACCATTTTTAGAAGAACGACACTGGACGGATCGTTCTGTGAACTGTACGGCAGCCATGTGAGCAGAATCAACAGCCGTCGCGGTCTTGATTGCACAGGATCCCATGCTCAGGATACGTCCATGACTCTGGATGCGTGCGTCATAGAGGCAGGTTGCATGAAGTTTCTCCTGGACCCTCACCGAAGGATTGCAACGCGAAACGAAACATTCTCGTGACACGAGTGAGATTTGTGAAGCCGCGTACCAGCGTTAGCATTGATTTGGAACTGTTGATTATCGATTAGTAGCACGTCAAGGAAGAAAGTCTTCATGAAATTCTGTAGGAAACCGTAGATGATTCAGTGGCATTTGCAGAGTATCAGGCGCCAGGCTAGAGAGTCCTATTTCCCGCAAGAAAAACCCCTTCTCTCTCGTTATATGTTATCAATGTCTTAAAAAAAAAACCAGTTGCCTGTTGCGCAAGCTACGATCCGATGAAGTTCCTACCACTGGCAAGTTAGATCCTATCATCGCCTCAGTGCCCCTGTTACTGTCCGTTTACTGTAATAAGACCGGCCGAACTGACTTATTTGATATCTTATTGTACGCATCTCGAGCCACCTAGAAGCTTGTGCGGAAACCGTACAAAGCGAATACAGTCAGCTTACTATGTACATTAGTCGCACTGGAATCCAGAGCCAGTGAATTGCTCAGCTGGAGGCGCAGCTTGCTCTCTGTGTAATGTAGGCAAGGTTGGCATACCGAAGGCAGTATTGGGTAGGAACTGTTTGCTGGTGCGAATTGTGTTGATGCCTTGAGTGTGTTGTTGGTCATTGCAACTCAGGTCCCGCCCCTGATTGATCACTTTAACAGAAAACGGCAAATAGTCGATCAGCAAAAGGAGCTTCAAACGTCTCCAGAGCAGGTCCAGGCTTCTTTGAAGGATGCTCGCGAGACGAGGAACTGTGCGATTCTCTATCTGCTCTGCGTCGTCTACCCCAGGTATACAACTTGGGAAACTGTCCAGATGTTCTATATTTCTTACTTTGTCAACGCTTGGTTAAACTTTGAAAGAACTGAATTATATAGAGATGCCAAGATAAGCGATATGCTATTGCCATTAGGAGAGCGTTGCATTTAATTCATGACATGCTCGCACAGGAACACGCGCCGAAAGCGGAAGAAAGCTAACTGCAGGGTGGTTAAGATTCGCGCCGTGCGGGTTCCCCTAAGATTGCGCACCGCACATCCAAGCCTCTTCACTCTGCATCAATCCACAAGAACTAATGACTGGAATTCCTATTTACTTCCGCTTAGCTCTACGTTGCACTGGAAAACGGAAACGCAGCCATTATGTGGAATCGCCGCATCATGATGGTTGACCACTCGGTGGATGAAGAGGCGATTTGGTTCTTGTCGCTCGAGCAGTTATCATGCGGTGGTGGACGCGGCTACGGCATGAATGGCGCATCGGAAGAAGAATTTTTAGGTGAAGAGGCGGAGGAGAGCTATTGGCCGGTAGGGACGGGCTCTCGAGAGGCGGTGATTTTGACAAGTATTCTGCAGCTGATGAGATTCCGGCGAAGATCGGTAGGAGTTCTGCAATCGAGAGGCACTCTGGGCGCGTGGTCGGGTAGAGGATGCGGGTTGACCGGCAGAAGAATGAACAGCGACGCGGTGATGCCAACTCCTCTACTTAGGTCCAGAAAAGTTTGCACGCTGGTTGCAGAGTTGTTACCGGGGCGCTTAGCAACCCGCCTCCCCAACTGCACTCACAGAGATGAAGTTGGTGAGTCAACTTCGGGTTAGCAGCTATAAAGTGTAAGCGGGAGCAAAGTGAGGAAATGAGTTATCATTGACCCTATGGAGGATCGATTGTATAGCCAATCGGCCGACTAGCTACTGCCTCTCACAGAGGTAAAGAATAATGGAACGGCTGGCAGGCGTAAGTGTGCCTCCATCTGGTGGAAGGCACCACTTTCCACCAACATAAAGGGGTTCCTGAGGAGAACAACGATGTGAACCGGATCAATCTAATTTAGTAGCGTAAAATGGTGTCCTTTCGTGCCCTAGCATGCAATGAACAGAACATCATTTTCAAGATGAGTTCAGGGTGAGGGGAGAAACACGTGAGCATTCGCAACATAGTAGTCGGATTGTATATAAATATTTACCACCTATGAATGGCAATTGCAGTTTCCCATCTAGTTAACACTTCCGTCTCGACTTTCCTCTCTTTCTTGCGCTACCCCGGCATGAAACGCCGACTCCGCGTTTCCATGCACGCGTAGTTTTTAAGCGACCCAAAAACTTCCCTAGGTATCTTGCCCCTTGCACACCCCCTTTCACACCCTTCAAACCGGATGCGCGCATGCAACACCCTGTGACAGGTCCATTGGCAACTCCAAACAAGCCTCATAGGGTCTTGCTTCCCACGCCAAGAAATGCTTCGTCACCTCTGCGGGACTTGGAACAATGCCAAGATGTGTACAAGGTGCAGGCGGAGAGGGGTTGGGAGCTTGTGTTTCAGAACCTAATCTCAAGAAAGTGAAGCATTTCGGATCCACTTGGACAAGACGCGGAAAGTATGGGAGGAAGCTTAGATGGAGTTCACATGGAGATTGAGCGGCGCTCATGGCCAGTCTATGTGGAAGAACGTTGCGAAGAGGAGGATATGCTGGGGTGGTCGTCGGTTGGAATCCTGTATCATGGCTAACAGGACCATTCAGGTGTATCCTTGTTCGAGGCAAGTGCTCTGCACAGGTTCATTGATTCAAGTCCAAACTTTGATATCCCAAGCGAAAATCACCAGGAGTCAACCGCTCGCTGGGTCTATGATAACGAGGCTTCGGACATTACCGGTTCATTCCTCGAATCCCCGGTTCTCAAGCAGCCTCACAGAATATCTGATGCCATTTGCCAGCATTCAACAATGCCAGAGAGAGAAGTTCATGCATATGCAGGTCCAGTTACTGAATCGCGGTACAGTGCCGCCATGAAAAGTCTCACATCCCACAGGACTCAACCGGCGTACCACGACTATTCCGCATCCACTGACAGAACACTCAATACTGCTAGGGGTTGCCGACACTTTCGCATGTCTAAATCAACGACCTTGCCTGTGAATGAGGCAGATCATAGCACCAACATTAGCGCCTCGAAACACGACCATCACCGTGAACTCCTTGGGATTGAAACGTGACAGAGCGTGCCTCCTACATCTCAAAAGAGCTAGCTCCATCACTCAGTGCAGCAAAGATCGTTGTACATGAAGCGAGCCAAGCATAGCACCGGCCTCTATCTTCGAGCATGCCAGTGAACCCTTAGTCCGTCTCGTCTTGGCACCGCCTCACAGAGGTTTCGCGCTGTACGAAACAGGGCTTCCGGATTCTAGTACGGTCTCCATTGACACTTTGGCTGTCTACCATGGACGCCAAGAGTTCCTGGCTCGCCTCAGGGAAGTTTCACCTTAGGTTTGTATCACGGGAAATGGCCTTGGCAAATCTCCTTATTCGGGATTGGGAACCCGTTGGGCGTGGAGAGTTGTGGAATATGTTGCGTATATAAGTCATAGTAGGTTGCCTGGCTTTGCGATCTTCAGTCCGGCACTCAACTTTCAATTCTTACCTCTTGGTCTAATCAGTACCTCTCTGTCGCCGGACGATAGACGTTTTTGTCCCTATTGTTTTTTTATCCTCAAAGAACCTCCTCCTTATTCCCCATCGGACGATTCAACCAATCCACCCCGACCTCATCTCTCCTATCTTCCAACCTCCAAACATCGACCAAATTCGGAACCATGCACTCCCAATACTTCCTCTTCGCACTCATCACGGCATGTGTTGCCGTCCCTCTAAACATCAACTTGGGCGCCTACTCCCCGGCCCTGGTAGTCGGTGATGGTGAAATTTCACTAGGATCCACGGAAAGCGCATCAGAGCTCATGGCAACCCTCGCATCTGGCGCAGCCGCAAATGGAAACGCAGCAGGTGGTGAACAACAACAAGGTCAGCCAGCACCACCTCAAGAGCAGCCGCCGCCAGCTCAAGAGGGCCAAGCCCCGGAGCAGCAGCAGCAAGGTGAAAATCCCGCGCCCGCAGAACCCCAAGCTGAGACGCCTCCCACAGCAGCGGCCAAGCGCGCACCCAACCTCGTCCGCACCCTCGAATCCCTCCACAAGCGTTCCCAAGCCGAGGCCGCTGAGGCCCAGATTGCTGCTATCGAATCCGCCTTCGACTGGATCAAGCGCGATCTTCCAGGTTTCAATGCAGCACTTACTTATGCGAGGGAGGCGATGCAAAATACACCTAAGATTGAGTTGGGCACTCCGAAGTCTGGTGTGGGCATTGTTCAGAATGCTGGTTTGAATGTGCCGGCGAATTCAGCGGCCAATGGTGCGGCGGCCAAGGCTAAGAGGAGTGAGGCTGCGGAGGAAGAAGTGGGCGAGGCCCCGAAGATGACGCTGGTGGCTATCACTGAGGTCTAAAAAGGGGGGGGGGGGGATGGGTAAAGATATACTCTGAAACCCTTGGGAATGGACATGATGGGCGGATTGGTCTTTCAGTGGGGAAAAAGGAGATGTGCAACAGGGAATCTTTAGACAAACCGTCAGTCAAATGAAGCATAGGGACAAACCATATCGCCGTTGATATCGACATCGTGAAGCGTGAAGCCGCAGTAGAGCTATCGCATCCCTGATTTCCTCATTCACCAACGTAATTACTTGGGATATTGCTCCCTCTCGCAAATCCAAGGCGGTTGCTGGCATTTTCATCCCTTTCAATCTTCGTCGAGGGTCAGCTTTTGCACCAGCCTGGACTCCCAATCCTCAATCCACTCAAATGCGATGCACGACGTCAAACCCATATCGCAGCCAAGGATGTCCCCAGGTCGCAGCCCCGTCTTGATTATGACTTGGCAAAGCTTGTGTAGAGGTATGTGCATGCAACACACGGATTTTCAGCAGTTCATTATTGATGTGTGGGGTTGGGTAAAGCGGGCGCTGAAACGACCTTATCAACGACATGGGAAACGAATGGAATGTTCGTTTTTCCAAAGACAAGCAACCTCGAAAAAATTAGAGAAGCCAGAAGCCCTTATTACTCATGAGACTAGTACCAAATATTAAGGCTTCGGCCCTTGTGCTGACTACATATGTACTCTTTCGTGAATATGTTTTCCTTGAAAGAAAAGAAAAAGACAGTAGCTCTTATCTCTTATCTATATCCCTGTTTTGATACCAGAAAAGTATCGTATCTTGGGCTGAAACACCATGGCATGATGTTGTTTGGACAGTGAAAGAGTCTAGCAGGGGTAGAGAACCTAGGCAGCGAGAGACTTCACGATGGAGAGTTTCAAGGCATTGAGCTTCCTCTCCCACCATGAAAGATAGGCATTTTCCTTTTCCGTTTTTTTCCTTCCCCCTCTCTGTTTTCCTTTCTGTTTTTCTTTTTTTTATCCTCGGATACTGTCACGTGCCGAAAAGCAACGCGACGCACTTTTTTGGGTGAGATGGATATGATTAAAAGTAGTTCAGAAATCCTTTAAATTCAACCAAGATTTTACATTTGCGGAGCTCGCAGAAGATATCATAGCATATGAGAAGGATGGGAAGAGTGGGCCACCAGTCGTGGTCCGGGCTTGGCGAGGCCTCTCACTACCCCTCGAACGATAAGGCTCTAACATTCTCATCAATTCCACCTCATCGCTTTCCATCTCCCCTCGTTTCAAAATCATGGCTGATGTCAATATTTGATATTGATTCTTAATTGAACGGTCTAATGGTATGTACCATGACATATCTACACTTCTCTGTCCTCCAACAATTCCTGTCTCTTTTCCCACCAAATGGTTCCCTTCTTCAAGGCACCTTGCGGCGCCTACGCTGTTCCATTCAGGCGGTCCTGGACCAACCAGCTCTGCCAGTATTCGCTCCTCTCCAAGCGCTGCAAGTCCTCTGCCTTCAGCACAAAAGACACCTCGAAGACCTCCTTCTCGCCCTGTCCTTCCTTAACCCTGCGTCGAGGGAGTTGACAAACTAGCCCATCCATTTCCAGGAAAGCGGAGCGCATGTATCTTGGATTTCCTAGTCGATCTCCAAAGTCTAAGTCATATATGTCCACTTGCGCCCAACTGATGAAGTGCATATCCCCCGGACCGTAGTCAAAGAGCCACGATGGCATGATGTCGGAAAGATCAGGGTTCAAGTCTGATATACGCACGAGCTCGGCAACATGGTCGGCATTAATATGTGCTCCTGCATTCGCGATTGCGTTGATGATAGGAAGCAATCGGCCGATTGTCTCTTCGGTTGGGATGAAGGCGATGTCGTCGAAAGGCAACTCAGTGATTCCATAGCAGATGGCATTCCCCATGAATGGCGGATCAAGTAGAGATGGACCGACAACGCGCCGTGCGCTTATGGGAAAGTCCATCTTGGATGTCTTTGCAACGACGGGGTTGCTTGACCTGGTTTTGCGGATATATGTTATCGTCGTCCAGATCAGGGCCGTTAAGATATTGTTGACCGTAAGAGCTTGAGGAGGTAAACGACCAAGCAGTGCAGCCTTCACAGCGTCCACCTTCTGTCCGGAAATAGCGAAAACCTTGTTGGTACCATATTGAGGACCGATCTTTGGCCCCAACGGTACGACACCGCCCACAGCACGTCTGGATCTCAACGTGTATTCGGGGTGGCGTTCGAGCAGAGATTCAAAGTCTAGCTTCCGAACCTGCTCCGAGACCTCTGCGTTTCCGCCTAAAATTCGAGCCCTACGGTGCGAGATCTCATCAGGATCAGGGCCTTGAGAGGGTTTTCCTCTAGCATTGTCTGCCAACACACGCAAGAGGTGGCTGTATCCGATACCATCGACAACTTTGTGGTACGTGACAATACAGACAACGAGGCCTCCTTCAATACGCGTATACGTCGCGCCCAAGCCCGGAGTTCCTTCTGGGGAGACAGGAGGAGTCACCCACAGGCTTGGAGGGAAGGGCGTGCGATCGAATTGCAGCTGTTTGTAACTTGGCAATCCCTCTGGAGCTACGCGTTCCTGGAAGTGTGGAGAGGAGGCCCCTTCCTCCCAGACGATGTAGGACTCCTTTCGCTGTTCCAATCCTTTGTCGATCACCTTGCCTTTCAGATAAGGCAGCTGTTGACAAGTTTTTTCAAGAGCCTTTTGTAGTTCTTCGATTGCGGCTTCATACTCGGTGACCGGGAAGACTAGAGCCATGCGAGTATATACTTTGGGAGCATTTTGGTCCAGAGGTGACAGCAGCTGGGTTCTCAAGGACGTCATCGTGAAAGAAATACGGAGGGGGAATGCAAAGAGGAATATGAAACAACGCCAATATACAGCTTCGATGAGGGAGTTCGGCGATTTGAAGTCCAAAGTTAATCGCAGGATCGTTGCAAAAACAAACTTCCCGAAGGTGGGAAGAGAAAGTACAGAATTCGCTAGTCTACGGTTTTTTGGCATGGCATAGTTCTTCTCTTATTCGATCAGTGTCACTTCTTCTCCGACGCGAATCTCCAAACTGGCATGGACTACCACCGAGGATATGCTATTTATAGAAGATATAGTGGTCCAAACGTGTCACTTGGATCCCAGAACGGCCCTGCGTAGGAGCCGACCAGACTTCTCGCCTACAAATTCCCTAGACAGCATCGCTTCGGGGCCAAATCACAAGGAAACTTGCTCGACAAGCTCTTCAGGATTTCCCCCAGGTTCAAGGAGATTTGCTAACGTGCTCGAGTGGCAGTCTAAGAACACCCCACGGACGTGCTGCAACAGATTACGGTTGCGAGAATCGGAGAGAAGCGAAGACTACCTCTGGCGCCTGCAAGTGCTTACCTGTCGGCTTGAAGGATGAGCTTTGGAGCTTGACGTTATTGGTAATTGATGATGATATTTTGCCAGACTAAATCTGCTGATACAATCTATAGAACACGCAATTCCTAATACGATTACGAATACCGGATACGAGATTTTCTAGTCAAAGTGAATGCGCCACATCTCTCTGTCACAATCACCCGTGAATGCTGTCCTCGTATGCAGCATCGAGACATTGTCATTGATCAGGAGATCGCCTTCCTCCCACTCAAACCGCAGGCATACACGGTGATCATAAACAACTTGTTTGATAACGTCGATCAATGACTGATCGTCGTTCTCAATCGTGATATAATATTTCGAGAACTTGGTGTTCGTCCAAGGTTCATGGAAGCGCAAGCATGAAGCGCCAGTCTCCTTGTGTTTGACGACAAGAGGCAGGCCGATCTGCTTTGCGGACCAGAATCCATCATTCACCATGTCCCAAGTCGCCTTGGACAGTCTCTCCAGTGACCAAGGCGCTGGCAGGTGCCGGAAAAAGAGCCTGGAGTTTGCGAACAGTGTGAACCCAGTATTCTTGGGCGCCGTGGAAATGCAAGTGAAATACTGGTACCGCGGAGGCGTAAGCACCTTTTTGACCTCCCCGGTGACGGGGTCAGTGTGGTCAATGAACTTGAAGATGCCGTCAAAATGCATCGGCATCGCCTCGTTGGACGTCACGTTATTGGCGTCCTTGTCGGTCTCACCAGAGTCTTTGACTTTCAGAATCTGGCCAAAGGTCCAGGTGAGAACTTCTCCCAGCTCGTGGCCTTTCGCAAGGAAAAGCTGCTCGTCGGTTGTCTCACGGAATCCGCGCAGCACAATGGGAGAGAATGTCTGCGAAAGCTTGCGGACCTTCTTCATAGGCAGGTCGCGGATTGAAGGCGCCGGCTTCTCTGCTGAAACGTTGGCGGGCCGGATGTAAATGCCAGTTGGGTATTGGTGTCGGAATGTAACATCCAGACCATCGGCTTTCCAGTCGAAGATGTCCGACTTAGCACGGAAGTGCGATGGACGGCCATTGACGTAGACGAGATCGTGAGTATCACGCACTTCGCTGGCATGAACCGTGCGATAGCTACCGTCAAGCTCAATGGCAATGACAGAGTGCCACGGAGTGTACCCCATCTTTCCTCTCTCCTGCGGAAGAAGAGACAGTGACAGTTTGCTATTCTTCCCAGCCGAGTCATGAATGGACAAGCGGACATATTCCTTGCGGTTTGCCTCAAGGGCATTGGCATAAGCCCTCCATCGGGCCATCATGCTCTTCGCTATGGACTGCACCTTGAGATCTTTCTCCTCAGGAGAGAGGCCCTCCAATATTGGGCTGTAGGCGAGATCTTTTGCAACTCCTTTGAGGTATCCGCTATGTGTGAGGCGGATGTCGTCGTCCGACTTACTCGCCATGTCGGCTTCAAACTCCGGATCCCGGTATCGATATACCATCTCCCTACGGATGCAGGAAGCGTGCGTAAGATAGAAGTCCTTGGTCCAGGGACCAGGGTGATCGAGGAGATCCCAGAGGCGAATGAACTTGATGTGTCGCAACTCCCTTTCTTCAGCGATTCGTCGGACGCCCTCTCCGTAATCCCAGACTTCTTCATCGGAGACGCCGAGGAGATCTGTCCCTTGGTTAAAAAAGGCTTTCAGATAAAGAGGATGGTGATCAGCCTACCATTATACACGAGACCGTCGGAACAGATATAAAGCTCCGCACCGTGTTCATATACCTCCTCGATGTTCTTGCAAATCGAGTCCAAATGTGATAGAGCAAGTTCCTCGCCCAAGTCTGGCAACACGCCCAGCACCTTGTCTTTCGAGTTCGGTGCCTTGAATGGGAAGCCGGGGAGCAGAAGTTGAACAGGCTCGTTGTTTTTGATCTGCTTCGTCACTATGGGCATGAATGCGGACAGGCCCTCCCACGACCAACCGCCATTGCGTTCGAAGTTGACGCCATACGTTTCAATGATCTGAAGCACCTTTAGAGCCAGGGCTTCCTTTGGCGGTTCCTGTATGCTCCTGGGACCTGGGTTGTCATTCGTGGTGGCCGGACTCGGAGCAGAATTATTATTGACTTCTCCTGATGTACTGGGTGGGCTGGTGTCATCCCCAGAAACAGAGTCCGTACCCGAAAGTGAGGCAACTTCTGTGGACGAGATCACGACAGTACTATTCTCGATATCCTTTCCCGTGTCAATGACGGTGTCCATTTGGGATACATGTTCCCCATCGTGGTCTGCTACCTGGACGGGAGACATGATAAGCGAGATGAGAAGGTGATTCAACAAGTTCAAAATACTGAATTGGTTGACAGAGATGGGCTGAGAGGTTAGGTTGAATATTCTGATCTTACGTCTGAAGTATTTCACAGGTGCTTCTATATGGCACTGCCAGCATACAAGCATCCAATACAATCAGCTCACAGCCGAGCCACCAGCATACCAGCGGCCCGCTAGACTGGATGTGCTCTGCTGGCGGCCTGAAGCACGTTGCACCGGGCGGTGAGTGCAAGGGGTGGAAAAGAAGAGACGTGCGTCCATCTCTGGCGGCTCTTTGTTGACAGGCAGGGAGTCGAAAGGAACGACGTCAACATTGGGCGGTTCCTCAGCTGCTCACAGACCTGCCCACCCCCGGTCAGTATATTTGGTGAACTATGCAGGGTGGCGTGGGACTTCTGTCTTCGCCAACAGGGTGCCCTGGATATGCACGTAAGCCTCCGTTAGAGGGGTTTAGTGAAGCTGACAGTAGGCGCTTGATTTCTCAACACGCGCTATGATTTCTCAACACAACGCAAGGTCAGACTCTCACGGTGGGACGGTGGCCAGAGCGCAGCCGACCTGATTCTGTGCGTTTGCAGGAGGGATGGAACAGATAGGCCGGAGCACAGCCTCGCCTGCAGAGCTGTAGACCGCCTTTAAGGTGAATTTCTGCGGTGTGCATTGGGAAGTTTGTACTTCAATTGTCCCTCTTGCGCTGCCCTCCGCGTGGTGAACTCGGATTTGTTTTCCTGCCATTGAACATGTCTTACGTTTACGGAGCCATTGCCATTGTTTGGCTGGCATTGCTTTCCTGGGGCATCTACAAACTAGTTGTTGGGTACATTCTTCCTCCTTCCCACTTCCCTAAGAATATCCCTACAATTCCCTTCTACTTTACACTTATTCCTCTCTTCAAAGATGTGGACCAGGAAGCCCTGTGGCACAAGTATATGAAGAAGCCGTTGACAGAGTACGGTGCCGTGAAGATCTACTTTGGTGGGGCCTGGAACGTCCTGGTAACACGACCGGCCTTCATCAATCAGGTTTTCAAGCAGGACGACATCTTTCCCAAAGCTGGGAATCATGTCAAGAATCCTCAGTCAATTCTGGCTCTGTATACCGGCGAGAATGTTATTAGCACCATCAACGATCAATGGCGAACTTTCGCATCGATTGTCAAGCCCGGACTTCAGGCGGACGTCGACACATCGATCATTGTCAAGAACGCGCAGAAGCTAGTCGATCTTCTCCTTGAGGAACAGAAGCAGAAAGGCAGTGTTGTTATGCCCAAGCCTCTCCAAGACTACACCTTGGCGAATTTGAGCGAAGCGTTGCTCGGCGCGAGCTTTAATGTAAGTCTCTCCAACAGTACCAGAGTAGCTTGTCACTGACGAATATCAGACACTGGGAAATACAAACGCACCTATGTCAACACTTCAGTCGGCTATCAAGCCTAAGATATTCAATCCATTCTATCTCAACTTCCCGTTCTTGGATCACTTCAAGATCCCCTCGCGTGAGCAGGCACGGAGACTGGTCATCGAGTTCAAGGCGAAGCTCAGTGATATTGTACTCTCCGGACATCAGCACAAGCACCCGGAAGGTATGGACTCCAATCACCTAGGATGCAGACTGGTTACCGCATACGAGACCGGTATCATGTAAGTGCAACATTCTTGTGTCACGGAGTGCGGACTAATTGAGTGCTCCCAGTAACCGGTATCATTTCCAACAAAATTGCCTATCGATGTTTCTTGCTGGACATGAGAACCCGCAGATTCTGTTGCTGTCCATGATGAGGATGCTTGCGGAACACCAGGTATGCGAGGAAAAAGCATTGGCACAAATTGGCACAATTACCCAGTCTAATATTTTCTAGGACCTGCAAAAGCAGCTTCGTGAACAGATTCTTGCGCTCCCAGAAGAGGACCGTATGAATCCGCATGTGTTAGCAGAGATTCCTCTCCTTACAGCTACTATTTATGAGACGCTCCGTCTATATCCTCCGATCTCCCAGCTGCTCAACCGTCGCACCGAGCAAGACGTTATGCTGGGCGAGAACATTCTTCTCAAAAAAGGTACCTACCTTGGCTACAATGGATATACCACCAACCGTGACACCGAGTTCTGGGGCGCCGATTCCCACGAGTTCCGCCCCTCACGCTGGGGCTCCAACTCCGAAGACATTCAGATGCTATTCCGCAAGGCGAGCAGCAAGTCCACTTTCATCAGCTTCCATGGAGGAAGGAGGACATGCCTTGGGATCAAGTTTGCTATGATGGGCGCTAGGGTGTCAATGGCCATGTTTTTGACAAAGTTGGAGTGGAAACTAGACCCTTCTTGGCCGAGGAGGATGACGCCGGTGAGTACACTGTTGTGTACACCTAGTGACGAGATGTCTGCTGACACTGCTACAGGCTGGGCCGTTGATGCCACGGATGTTGAAACTACAATTTACGAGTTTGGAAAGCGAGAAGGCTTAGAGCATATCATCTAAAGGCAGTTCACACACATGTCTAAAAGGGACGGACGTTTCTGCTTCACATGGTCATAGAGTGGTTCACTGTTGCTGTGTATTCATGAGTCTAATTCATGCATCCCCCTTGCTCCAGCTATGATAAGATTCCATACTCAGAATCCTCAAGTACGTCAGATTGTGAGCGACTCAATTACGCCAATACTGTTCTCAAGGACTTCTCCTGGATGTGCAGATTCCTTCGATGCCCAGCTGACTGCATGCCCAGCGTCGGGTGTAGGATATCCAGCTGCACACCAAGTCAACAGTCCGCGGAGTTTGCATGGTTGCTCTTGCTATCGCAATAATCTGACGTTCTGTCAACGACTCAATTGCTGTTTCGCTTCGGTCTCGCAGCTCTTGCGTGCTTGAGTCAGTCCCGCAATACGCTCCCGATTGTTCTGCAACACGAGTGCTCCACGCTCACCTTCGTATCGGCGATTCCCGGTTTCACAACTTGTGATAACATAGCATTTTCATTATAAGTGGAAACTCTCTTGCAATGGATGACTCTCAGCCTGCAGCCCTGTGGGTCTTTCTACCGTGGTCCACGAATGAACGGATGTACAGTAAGATGCCATTATCATTGTCCCATTTGCAACCAAGGCGCTTCTCGACGAGAGTTGGCAAAGTTTATAAAAAGATAGGAATATCGGTACTGCTTCCGATTCCGCTTCGAGCCGATTGGCAACTACCTGGTGCTGACAGAACAGTGTGGCTCATTGCGCGAAGGAAAAGGCTAGACCGCGTTCCTTCCAAAGTTCCACGAAACTTTAGAGATGAATTCATCCGCGTGGGATTATCCAAGGTTTGCAAAATCTCCGACGCTTTACTCAAACTTAGCACTGACCCTGGTGGGAGTGAGGCCCCAGCGGGTTGACCAAAGACACCCAGTTCGAACGGGAATATGCCTTAACGGCCGTTCGAGCGATCCGAAGATTACATGGAGCAGCTCGCGTAGCAAGTAAGCTTATCCTGGCTCACATTGTGCTATATGTCGCCCACGTGCTAGTACGTGCAAGGCATGAGAGGCGCATATGCGCTACGCCAAATTCCCCGATGAAACACATGTCACAATAGTCAAAAGCGCTGTCGTACGTATCGATTGTAGAGGCAAGCTGACTGTCGATCGGTGAAAGATTTGGAATCGACTACGAGCATTGAACGTATACACAACGGTGAATAAATCCCTAATCACGCAAAACTGTGGCGAAATTACCAGGGACGATGAGAAATCAGCGTTCTAATTATGAACGCAAGGCAGAGCTTGCATGGTCAAGAATTACATACATTGATTTTGTGGATTAGTCGTCAGTCGCGACGGAATACCTCACGGAGCTGCTGACTTCGTATCTACACTGAAAATCAAATCATGGATCCTTCAAACCTGTCATCCTGACGAGTCTAACCGATGAACCCGGTGACTACGGAGGGCAAAGCTTGATTTGACCTACTTTTTTATTCACCTCTACGTGATGTTTTTTACACCATCCGTACGATCCTCATCGTCAGCGGCACAATTCTGCCTGTTCTTTGCTGATGCAGGAGCCACATACCTGCGGTTCATAACCCTATTTGATAGAATCATAAGCCATTTTCCTACTCTGGTCCACGCTAGAAATCCTCCTACGGAAAGACTGACTGGATACGTGCTTTGAGAATACGAATACCAATACCATATCTTACCCTGGCCATAATACCACGGACCAGGCTTTTCGGTTCTCGGCTCTGCTGGCGTGGGATTTCGCTAGGCCAACTGCAGTCCCAAGCTCCAGTCTGCCAGATCTAAGCTGCAGCTAAGCTACCCTTGCTCATGCTGCAGAGCGTTGTCCAGCCACCCACGCGGGTCCGCAACGGGGTCCCTAGCTACTCATCATGCACTGCGCTCAACAATGCCGCAGGGGTGCGGCACATCACCATGCACAACCTCACTTCATGATATTCACATTGTGCAAAGTTTAGGTCTTGATTGTGTGATTTTGTCTGGAATGACAAACCAATTAGAGGGCCTCCGTACCTACCAAAACTCCGAGCCAGCAATGAGAAGCTGAACAAAGTGAGGAAAACCACTTGCTCATCAGACCTAGTTACGTGCCTCCCGAATTCTAATCATCCGCCTAACCACCTGCAAGGAGGCGGCGAAGAAGACGCGATATGACTTCCCACGCAGGTTGACACGGAAAGTGACCCTGGATGGCACCTTATCCGGGCCGGAAGTGTCACTGTCGCTGCCCACTTCCACCGTCTGCACGTTGGTCAGAGTCTTCTCGAGGCTGCCCACTTCGACAGTCTGTACACCGGTTGAAGTCTTCTCGATCTCAGCCCCAATCGTACCGAGTTCCACAGCAGGTTGCGTGGACCTGAGTGCAAAGTGGCCCCCTTCAGGTCCTTCGACCCAACCCCCTTCAAAGTCCCCTGCTTCAATTGCGGCCTTGACAATCTCGGCTTTGCCGATGTAGATGATATCGTCACCGGCTACTTTGATGGCTGAGTTGTGCCATGGGGTAGGTACTTGGAATTCGTATGCGGGAACCAACTCATGGCGCTTCTTGACGGAGTCGATAGCTCGAATCTTGTCCCGCGGAAAGAGACAAATAGCATATTTCGGCCCGCGATTGTTGTGTGCATGAATAGAGAGGCGAACATAATTAGGAAGAAGCAGCTCAAGCAAGTTGGAATATGCCTGGTTTCGTGCAATCATCTCAGTTGCTACGGCAAAGGAGATCTTCTTCTTCTGCTTCGCAGATTTTGCCAGAAATTCTGGAGTGGCGAGGTCGTCTTGCATGAAGCGAGCCTGTCCTCTGTATAGACTCAATGTCGCTGGATGTTGGTCCGCGATGAGTTTCTGGAAGTGCTCACGGGAACTTTGGCACCCAGCCATCATAATCTGACGGGCGGTTTCGGCTTCTGATGACCGCTTAGATTCGATAGGATGCGCTATTTCGAAGTTTTGGATGTATGAGTGAGGGAAGGTGTTTGCGATGTCGGGATTGGAGAAGAACATGTCCGTAAGTCCCCTGAATCGGATGGCTTCTTGGTCTTCAGGTGTGTTGTACAGACTCTTGTATAGATCATGGAGTTTCTTGTCGTAAGCTGAGACTTCATCATCATCCACTCCGACTGCGCAAGGATTAGCTTGAACCGCGAAGGGAGAAGAGCGAAAGGCATACTGCAGTCCGAGAATACGTGGCCATCGCTGATGACCCACATTGCGACGCCGGGTGGATATATCCCTCGAACAGCTTTGGCGAATGTGTGTAGAGTGTCAAGAGCAATCTTTTCGGCCATATCAGGGTTGCGTCCACCGACCTTGCGTGTGTTTGGTGATTTGCAAGGGAATGCGGGAATAGCCATTTGGATTTTCTCATTGCGGGCAACAAATCCGAGGACTCGACGAATGAATCCGTCCTTTCCAATATGCCACTGGTCATCGGAGGAAATATTGCGGAGTAACGTTTCGAACAGAGTTGTTATAGCCTCTGAGGTGCGGACCGCCTTGATGTTTTGAACGTTTTCACTGTCCGAATAAGGCCAAAGAGACGTTTCGAGTAGGAAAAATGTCTCAATCCAGTCCGTGAATGCTGATTCTTCTTCGCTAATGGAGGATGCTTCAGCGCTGAGTAGACCGATGTAGCAACCTTTGGATTGATGGTATATTTCGCGGACAGTGTATTTTTGAGTTTGGAGATTGAGAGAGAGAGAGGATTCCAGGGTTGTGAAATCTGGGAGCTCGATTGGTGTCAAAACTACCTCAATGCCTGAGGGCAGTTTTGTTGTTTTTGACTGATTGGCGATCCTTTGAGTCCGCAGTGTCGGCCAGTGTCTGATTATTTGATCGGCATTGCGACCTTCGACTCCCAGCAACTCATCTTTGCCGGATCGGCAATATATGCCCTGGATGTGATGATATGACGATGACCCTGAGTTCATGATGGTGGAGTGATTCTCGAGTGAACAGGCAAAGGCAGAGAGAATGCTTTAGATGAGAGGTGTTTCTGCAGGCAACGGGCAGTGTTGCTTGAAGCATTTGGTCCCTCGTCTCCTTATGTTCCACCAACCTTATGTCAGCCCTTTCTAGTTAGTGTGGCAGAGCCCAGCCATTGAAGCGGGTCCTGTCAGACAGTGACGTCTTGATGCTCGATCGGCGAAGAGGCTGTGAATTGGCAGCTTGCAGTTGTAAGCGAGACCGCTGAACTCACCAGCGCGGCAAGGCCGGCAGCCAAGCCAAACTATCCATTGCGAGAGACCATGCTATTACTGTTGAGTAGATATCATTGGATCCGATCACGCAGGCCTCAGCTTTGACCGCCCTTCCAGACACATCGTCAACATCCTTTGCGTTGGAAAGTGATCATTGCTGAGAGGCCTCCCACTTCTTCGGCCTGAAACCCTGGCGAACTGCAGCAATAAAGCGGGAACCGTAATCAAGATAGGGTAATGGATTATGATTGTGCAGAGAGGCCAGAGTACTCATCTTCCCATTGGGTCATGACAAGTCGGCTAACAACGTCCTCACTGACCAGTCTCCCCGGTTATATTTGAGGTTCTTCATGCTCTTTTATCTCCGCACAGCATACGAAGGATTCTTGAAGAGACGCGGAAGTCTCCGACCATGCAATGACACAGTGGAGAAACGTATTTTCACCAGGAGCTGGGTTCGAATGAATTCAGTTCCACGGCTAGACACAAGCACAAACGCCGTTGTACTAGCTAACGCTGATTACTATGGTATCATTGATGCCACGTTCGCTGTGCATCTGCAAGTCGAGAGCTGTTGTGGAATGCGTAGGTCAAGTTCGGTACTGGCTTCGATGCACGAGTGATCTCAGAATGGAACAGGTTGCACCAACTAGGCCTCCCCTAGGGTATGTCCGCTGATTCGACGTCGGTGCACCCGTCCAGCCACACAGGCTACCCACGTTGGGCTGCGGTACTCGGGTGCGCGCGGCAGCGGCCCGTTTACCGCTGAAGTCGAGAAATGGTGTGCTCGAACTCCTCTCGCGGCTCGCCCTTGTTGTCCGTCAGCATTATACGAGTAAGTGGGTTTTGCTGCATGCATGTCCGTAAATTAAAAAAACGTGCGCTCCCGTGCTGATCCGTTCGCCAACTCTAATCCGACAACGCCCAGGTGAACGGATCCTGGACGGCTGCGTGGGAGGCGTCGGATTCGTAAGGTGGGCCGTGCGGATTGTAAGCAGGGGCATATGCAGTGCATGGCGGCGAAGACACATGTGCACGGTCAGAACTCTTTCGTAGGCCAGGCAACTCGATCAGCTTCAAGGTTCGCATTATTTGCGGTATTGGGTGAGAACACTGGCGGTGAAGCAACTCGAACCTGAGAGACTCCTGGGGCCTGCGGCAAGCTTACGGATACATGTTGGGGAATTGACCGTTGCTGCTTGAGCTGGAAACTTGCTCAGTTTGGCACGCTCTCATGGTCTCGTCCGAGGATGACTGCGCCATTGAGCTTGCCGACTGCGCGGGACTTGTGCTGCGCTGCTACTGCAGTAATCGCTCTTCGTGTTAAGATGGCCACCCCTCACTCCTCCACTACTTCTCACATCCGGTTGTTACCATGGATTCCAAGGGAGTCTCGGTTTCCGCGAACCCTTCCACCGATTTTTCCTTCCAAGATTCTTCCGTCTCTACGAAACCGTCGAAAGATGACTTCTCTGTCCTGTCGTCCGATCTCGTCTCGGAGAAGCCTCCAGAGACGACAGAAGCGATAGACGTGGAGAAAGTCCCTGCAGCAGAACCCACTCCACCTTACACAACATTCTCTCCTTCCCGTCAAATTGCGATTATCTTGATAGTAACTGCCGCGGGATTCTTCTCCCCATTATGTGGCGCAGTGTATCTTCCAAGTTTGATATTGTTCGAGAAGATATTCAAGACAACAAGCGCAGTGATCAATGCGTCAGTGAGCGTATACTGGGCCGTCTTCGGAATAGCCCCACTGTTTGGTGCAGCGGCAAGCGATTATGGAGGTAGAAAAACGGTCTACGTGATCTCCCTCGCGGTTTTCCTGGTCTCAAATGGACTTCTTGCGGCCCTGCCACCAACTCTGGGTGGCCTTTTCACGCTGCGTGTGTTCCAGGTTCGTGTCGCCTTGAGATTTGGAGGGGTGCATTCAAGGTTAACTTTACTAGGCTCTTGGCTCGTCCATGGTCACTTCGATAGGTGCAGGCACAGTGGCCGACGTGACCGAACCGGCGAGAAGAGGATCGCGAATGGCTATCTTCCTCCTAGGCCCGCAACTTGGTCCGCTGCTGGGCCCGCTCATTGGCGGTCAATTTTCGGATGAGAGTCGGTGGAGATGGATTTTTGGCTTCTTGTGTATGTCTGGCTGGTTCACTGATTCTGACCCAATCAATACTGACTTTTGCTGGTACATAGCCATCGCATGTCTTCCAGTCTATCTTCTCATTCTATTTGCTCTGCCCGAAACTCTGAGATGTCTCGTCGGTAATGGCAGCGTATACGCCGGCAAGGGGTGGTTCGCAATACCGAAACTGCGGCAGAAGCAGCTGGTGGACAACAACGAATACCCCAAACCTCCACGACCGACATTCAAAGGCCTGTTCAGCGTTCTGCTGTTCGTTCCAAACTGTATCGTCAGCTTCGCATCCGCGTTCAACTTTGCTGGTCTTTCCAGTATGTACGTCGTATTCCCGAGAGTATGGCAGCGGATGTATGGCTTTAGCGGAAGCGAGACCGGGTACACCTACATTGCTCCAGGTATGCAAACGACATAGACCGGATAGACAGGAATTAACATGATCAGGTGTCGCAATCATCCTGTCTTCTCTTCTGGTTGGTCGACTCTCAGACTTGCTCCACCGGCGGTACAAGGCGAGAAACAATGGCAGCTCTCCCCCGCCGGAGATGCGAGTGGACATGCAGGTGTATGCATACATGCTCGCTGCGGTGGGAAAGGTTCTGTTTGGATGGTTTGTCTTAAAACATTACCACGCTGCTGCTATCTTGATAGCTACCGCCATAGGTAGGTTCGATGTATTCCCAATAGCTTACCGAGGTCTTGACTGACGTCCCCTCGAACAGCCGCGGGAGCTACAGGCATGATCAATGTACTGTGCACCAGCTATCAGACAGAATGCATGCCGACAGCGGCAGCATCACTTGTCGCGCTTTCGGCCATGCTGCGTAATGTGGGTTCCGCAATGGCTGCTGCCATCATTGACGCGCTCCTGGAGAAGATGGGGTACGGTTGGTGTTTTACTGGGCTTGCGATTCTAGACATAGTCTGCATCACGGGTCTTGTCTTCATCAGGCTGCGAGGGCATGTTTTCCGAGAGAAGCTGAATGCTTCCAACCTCGGTGTAAGCCCGCTGGCACCGAAGCCATGATTCTGGAGGAAGATTGCGGCCACCTTTGCATGTGTACATAATTTTCGCGCACTTTTCTTCCTGCACATTGAGGGCTCCTTTCATAGAACACCTATACATAGCGGGGTTTCGGGGGAGGTCGGAGCTCCATACTCGGACACGGTACCCGTAGGAACGGGTTTATGACAAAGTAACATCTATCGTACCCATTTAGTTCGTTGCGCCTTTGCATCATGTGTTTCCACATCTTATAAAACGCAAGGTGGCATCGTCAGGCGTTGGGTTGAAGAATGTAAGGCGATACGGAAGCATGAATTGTGTATAGACAACAGCAGATATCTAGCTGGAAAAGAATGGCTGCGGTTTGTCTTCGCCTTTGGATCCGGTTTCGCAATGTTCTTTTCCGAGGGGTGGCACACCGAAGGATTAATCCGAGAGCCCACACATTGAGGCGTAAATTCTAGACCGGAGAAGAGAACAAACTAACTGATGGAGGGAACGCACATTTGCTGAGCCCATGGAACGAGCTGCATGAAAACCGGAGAGGTAAGATTCCTCCCTAACGTTGCAAGGAAGGAGACCGCGGTGTCCGGCTGTCCAATGTAATCCCGTAATTGGCCCTGAACCGCACCAGGAAATGCTAACATGAAAGTGATTTCAGTTCGTTTATCTACCATATCTAAATAGGAAAGGAAAACGGTACCAGGGTGCCATCATTGTCACACCAACAAAACACCTAAACTCCTCGCTAAGACTGTCGAAAGCCGCTAATAAAACCAGAGATCTATGCAGTCGTGGAGAGAAAGCCGCCCTTGCGACGTATCGTTTACGCCGATAATGCTGTACTAATGCAAGATTAAGTCCTGTCTACCCAAAGGGGAACCGCGCCCATGAAGATCAGATCCATCGAAACTCCACCTATGATGTATCCATTGCATCCTGATCAGCGCCATTTTGCTGAGGCGCAGCCGAGGGTAGTGCCGGGGTTGAAGGCATCTGTGAGCGCGAGTCCGGCCCGGCGGCTTGCGGCACTTTGAAGGCTTTGAAGGCGATAAAGGGTTTAGGAGGCGCAAAGAAACCAGTTTCCGGCGTTGTCATTGTAGGCGTTGCAGGACCGGCTGACTTCCGCGTAACCTTCCTAGTGGTACGATGCGTGCGAGAGACAGGACTATAAGCGTTTTTCACCCGGGTCTGAAGGTCCGTGGACACGTTATCGAATGGCTTTCGTTCGTCCGCCGTCCTCCAACCAATCTTGGTCTTCAAGCACTCTGCACGGCGGTGGCTGATGGTAGAGCCCTCGATCCGGATGCCGTTGGCTTCAAATCGACGTGTTATGTCTGAACGCGCCAAGATCAGGAGGACAAGAAGTAGGCTAACATTATCGTTGTCAAGGAGATGAGGGGTGTAGTCAACCACGTCGCAGGCGAATTTTCGAAGTTTTAGGAGCTCTTCGGTGTCTGTACAGTATACGAACTTCTCCGCCATCTTATAGGGTTCTGTCATATCCCTACAAATGTGCGTGTGAAGAGTATGCGCTACTGAGGCGACAGAAACTGGATAGATCGTATCTCGGTTGATATTATTCGTAGCCGTAGATGAGACAGTGCCCGGGATATAAATCACTTCAATGTCGTCAAACGGCCCTCGTGGTCCAGGACGATCTTTGGGATCTAGTTTGTCGAGATTGATCAAATGCTGGCGTGCTGCTGCTATGGCTTCCCGAGGCGTGTGCAAGCCATGTTTCGCCGCTAGCTCGACAGAATCCTTGTGCATCTCAAATCGCGAGAGCTTCCGCTCCACATCATGGGGGCGGATGTAGTCATCGGTCCATGGCTCTTCGGCAAGTATTGTGTAAAATACCTTGGTCATGGCCCTCATTCTCTGCTCATACTCACCCAGTTCCCGGTTGGCAAAAAACACTTCGTCAGCCTCGGCGTAAGCTCTATAGATGAAGGCTTTCCGCTCAGTTGCAGTCAAGGGCTGGAAGCGGGGCTTTTCCTTGAATTCGTCGATGATCTGAAAGAACTTGGCCTTGAAGATATCATCGAACGGTGCAGGTCCATTTGAAACCGCTGGACGACGTTAGATTTGTTCGTAACATAAGCTGGGGTATATCTTGAGAGCCTTACGAGTTGCGGGAGAGCGAGGTGTCTGCTCAGTGGGAGAGGCTGTTGATGAACAGGCAGGAGCCGTCTGTAAGATCGCGGCAGGTGACATCGCGTTCCAGACGTGGAATGCAACAGGGGTAGTCAGATTTAAGGCCAGTACTCCGTAGATGTATGGATTTCAATGGAAAGTGGGCTCGGATTGATGATTATCGGTGATGTTGCGACGCTGCACGCCTTTCGAAATTCTGTGTGAGCGGTGAGTGAATGGACTGGGGAGCTGGGGGTGCAAGGTAAAAACATTCACGCTCGCGTAACTAGCGCCATTAGTGGTCTTGGCAGTGCACTGGCGGTCACATGCATGCGCGTGCTCGTGCTCAATGAATGAGAGGGGTCAGTAGTCATTGTGTTTCACAAGTGGACCAAGGCAACAATGAGAAGTATCAAACGAATCCAGGCTCACAGACAGATTCCGTTGCACATCGCTCCTTCACCGTACTCACAGGCATGCTGCCCCTGACACATGGAAACTTGCCTAGCGCCAACCTCTTCCATATTCGCACCGGCAAAGGATTTTGCAGAAAGAAAGGACGGAGGCCATTACTTTATATTGGTTTCTTTCTTCTGGCAGTTGTTCGTTTTGTCGATCCTGACCCTCTGAGTATTGCATTGGCGAAGAACAGTGGATGAGTACGGCACCGTCTGAGCCAATGATTGCTAATCCATCCTATAGTGACTTGAACATTCGGATCACGTTGTATTAACATATTTTCTCAAATAGTTTGCGTGCTTGACGGTTCATTGTCGCACGCTGCCGCATCATCTTCTGCGTGGCAAAGCTAGCGAAACTGGATTTCAAGAGACTGATCGTTTGCAACCATGACAGAGACGACAGAAGGTTCACATATACACAGTAAATCAATATCGGCTCTCAAAAGACTCTTTTCCATCCACATCAGTCTTTTGAAGTTTCCGGCGCCAAAAGGGGGTACGCCATACCGCAGGTGAGAGTGAGGATACTCATAGCAGCGATGAGTTGAAAGAGGAACTTAGAGCCAAATAGTAAAGCCTTGGCAAAACAGAATCGTTTGACGGTCTTACAATTCAAGTTCATCCGTTGCAAATGTCTAAATGTCCTCATGATAACTGCTCCGCCGATTTTGTGGGCAGATGCGCTAACCAAGAAGGGAATAAACACTAGCCGTAAACCACCTAGCGCATCACCGCCTATTCTATCCTCTATACAGCATCGACTTCCGTACGCATCCTCCTGGCGTAACGAATCTGCTATTAATTGGTGACCAGAGATGACTTTGTAGAGGAACGGGGCCCGAATATAGTTTATCTATGAATTGTCTATGTTTAAGTCCCTCCCCGTCTCCTTATGTCCACGAATCTACGACTCCGCTTCAGTAGTTTTATTATCTTTTTATAATCGAAGAATGTAGAGGCTAATTTGTCTCTTTAAATTAACACGCGCACTTATAACTAGGCAGGAAGCAACAAGTTTAAGGCTTTGTCTATCGTGCAATAGAAGCAACAACACTTAAGAGGCTTTCTAATAAAAGTATTAGTTGCTACAGCTCTTACAAGCTTGTAGATTAAAGTAGCTCGCGGCTCGACGTGTAGAGGGGGCATCGCATAGCGAGTGGCGAGTCCCCAGAAGCTTTGTGTCCGTTACCTTTAAAGCCAACACAGGATCATCATCAACAAGCGGTTGAGTCAAGCACATCCGGATAAATAATATGCAGTCATATCTGGCGCCGCTCTTTGCTCATCAAAGTTCCATTGCAGTGAGGTTACCTGTGTCCTGAGAACACATTGTCCTAGGGACTTTTTCGGCCAAAACAAGGCGTCTGCCGGAGGATTTGAAAGTGAAGTTCTCCATGCTCGCTTGAAGGCGGCTCGAGCGCTTCACAGCGTTCTGGAGGTCTTCCCGGAGCTGATACCCCACAGTCGCTTAGATTATTGCCGTGGCATTTTTTATACCTACATAAGTTTAAAATAACGACTCGTTGTCAACAACAACTCGGTCTTATGGTCTAGTGGTACGTCGAATTTGCCAAGCAAATCTTCTGCATCATTTCACTAACATTGATAGGTATGATTCTCGCTTAGGGTACTCCTGAGCACGCTTGCGAGAGGCCCCGCGTTCGAATCGCGGTAAGACCCATCTTTTTTGCTCCATCACAGTGCCGGCCTTTTTTTGCAAGAACATATGAAGCCATAGTAGTTCCATGGTCGCGACTATCGGCTTCCATGTCAAAAGATGTTGGCGTACGCGCGTCTGCAACCTCGTCCTTGTGGAGACTGGGCACTCGAACCGAGTTGGCTCCGATAGGCGATGGATATACTACTCTGTATATATCCCTACAAAGCCGCTATGGTATATCCGACGTCTACATTGACAGCACCTCGTTGAAAGAGTTTCTGAGGCCGCGAATGTCGAGAAACTGCAATGGAGGATTCACCAACAGAACTATCGAATCTACACCAACCATATCTGCACACGTCTCATCACGCAACCCCTTCTCACGTCCTGGCGCAAAATTGCCATGTTCTCATACGCGAGCATATCCAAAAAGTGCGAAATATGTACAAAACGGCGGGTATAAAAGAGCCATGTATTGGCAATCAAGTCATCTGAACTTGTCCAGTGCCTTACAACGAGGAAGAAAAAACTAGGCATTTCATTCCTCACATCCTCGTTGACTCCCAAGCAAAGGTCATGCATGGTAGTTCGGTCATAGATGTCTAGTTTGCAGCTAGTCTAGTTTGCAGCTGAAGGAAATGCTACCATCAACGGCTGACACACAACACCTTCTCAACTTCGAGTCCCAAACTCCGCAGTCAACATTCCTAGATCAGTCAAGGCTCTTTTCCAAATCTCTACTGTTCAATTTCTTACTTCTGGTCTACGGCCTTTCGAAAATCCTGTTGCAGTAACTGTTGAGTTTCGTGTCAACCATGACTGAGTTGGCCCGTTGGACTGGCTGCGTCGTTGACTCTTCCAGCTCACACAATCCCTCCTTGACTCCTGGTGCTCCCAGTCATTCCCGAGGGGTCATGGTATTATGAGTACACCGTACTCAGCATACAACGCTGACCATTGCAAGTTTCTTTTCATATTTAACTTCTGCTCTCTTTCCAAATACTTCCCAAGACCCCAAATCCGCAGTGCAAGTCAACAAGCAACAACACCACCAACACACCCAAACCCAACCACCGCGTTTCAAATGTCCGCTTCCTCGATACATTCAACCAACAACAAATTTGCAATCTGGCAAACCATAATCAGCGTCCTCGCAGTCGCAGCACTCGTCTTTGCGATCCTCAACATTCCCCCTTTGCACGTGTGGAAAGACCCGCGACAGAACATGAGCAATGAGAGTCCTGGAACTGTTGCAGTGGGGATCAGTGTCCAGCCAGGCACATCGGCAGGACTGCGTACCACTCTAGGGTCCAATGATCTGGAGACGGCATTGAGTACAAGATTACGAACTGCGTCGACGACGAAGGCAAAGGACGACGAGGAGGCTCCACTGAAGAGTACACTAACACGTTCCACTGGCGAGAGGACCTCAAGAATAGGTGTTTCGACAAGCAGGTCTCGAACCACAACCACACAAGATCCGCCGGAGAAGCGAGCGCTATACGAAGAAACGAGTTCTCCAATTAAGGTTTCTCTCCTTGCTGCAGCCCAGGTCGCAAACCCTGCCCGGCCTTCCACAACTGACGAGGACGAAAAGAGTGAGACCGTGGATGTCGATCCCACCAGTACAATGAACAGTGATATTCTTTCGTCTCCGGCCATCACAACCCGCAGAGCCGACTTACCCACAAGAACCGCCGAGTTCGACAGCAAAGATGGCGCATACACTGAAACCGGAAACGACGCCCTACCACTCGGATACCGGAGCTCGGCTCCTCTCCATGCCAGGCTCCCTCTACTCTTAACACCCCTCATGCACCTCCTGCTCTTCATCACAAACACCCCTTCCATCCTCGCTTCCTTCCTACTCTCCCTTATCCCGCCTACCACCGCGCTCACCACGCCAGCATACGTAACTCCCATCTCACCTATCCCCACCCCTACCCCAAACACCACCACCCCAATCTGCAACCCCACCCTCCGCCCTCGAGGGTTCCCCAAAGTGAAACTCCCCAATATCAACCTCCCCAAAATCAACAACCCCCTAACATCCAAGGCCCCCGAAATCCTCTCAGAAGTGGAGAACGCGGCATCCACCGCCGCAGCCGTAGCCACGCAAGCCGTCGAAGAAGTCGAAGACGCGGCTCCCAACATCGTCATCCGGTTCCCCGATTTCCAGCTCCCGGAGAAGGTGTGGGAGGGACTGCAAGAAAGAACAGCACTTCCGCTTCCCAAGGGCAAGGGCAAGGGCAAGGGCAAGGGCAAGGGCGAAGATGCAGAGCTGCAAACGAGCGCTGCAACAAGCCTGCATAACACAAACGCTCTCTTCCACCGTCTCCTCCGCGTCACCCCAACCGAGGAGAAAACGATAGAAAGACTCCCGGCACTCCTCTTCCATCCGACGCTCTTTTGGCTATTCGTAGGGCTAGCGCTATCAGGCCCGATTCTCTTGCTCGTCCTCGTCATCGCCTTTTTAGTCCTATTCTTACCTGTCTATAGTAAATTGAAAGGGTTTTTGAACAGGTTCCATGATAAATGGGATGAGTTTGAGAAGATCGCGGATACGGTTGCGGGGAAGATGGATGCGGTCACGGGGGAGGTGGAGCGGAGGTTGAAGGAGTTTTGGAAAGAGGATATTGCGGGCCGGACCGGGAACGTGGCGGGGGAGGTGGAACGGTGGGTTAAGAAGGCGTTGAACGAGCCGTTGGAGAGGATTCCGGGGGTGAGGGTTAAGTGGGATAGGAGGGGTTTCGGTGGCGTGGATGGGAGGGTGGAGGTGGTGGAGGGGGAGGGGGGTGGGTTTCAGGGTGGGATTGGGATGGGTGAGATAGGCCCCCGGGAGTGGGTGCCGCTTAGAACTACGACTACGACTACGATGGCGGGAATCTTGCCAGTGGGGACGGGAATTTCTGCTGCCGGGGCGCTTGCTATAGCGGCGTCGAGTTACAGTAGCGGTCTCAATGTCTCTTCTGTGGCGCTGAGTTCGGGGGCCTCGCCGCTTGAAGCGTTTTCTCTGCTTGCGTTGCTGTTTTGGAGGCGTTAGGGAAGGATGGAGTATGGAGGTGTGGATGCGTGGCAAAGTATGTCGGTCATTCCTTTCAATTTCTATGGTTTTACCAACGATATTCATGTAATCCTGTATTTCGGTAGATAGTTTAGGGCTCTCAGTTCTCTGTTCGTCCTGCACAGTCACCGAATTGCACAGTATAGACAAGCCGCAATGCCGCAATTATAGCCAGTTCATTCATTCATTCATGGGTATCGCATCCATCAATATCATAACTATCACCCGTATATCTCATCATAAACATACCTAGACCTTCCCCCTCGCCTTTTCTCCCCACTGCCCTCAAAAGTAGAAGCTCTTCAAATACTTCTTAACAAACTCAAAACTGTCGCTCCTAAAATCATCACCAACCAACGAATTCCGATCATCATCAAACCTGATCAACTTCCGCCCATCCTTCCACTTAGGCCACGTCATCAACCCATTCCCATTCGGATCTAGATTGTAAATAAAATTGAAGTAGTACCCGCGAATCGACTTCGCCGCGTTGTTGGGTAAAACGCCATAGAAGACCTGGAGCAAGTCGGAGCCGTGGAAGGTACCCAGGATGGGAGTTCCGTAGTCGTACGTGGCGAGGTAGCTCCAGCTGGGGACGTCCGGGTTGACGGCCGTCGCTGTCTCGAGGAATAACCTGCGGGACAGGATGAAGACGGCATCGCCGAGGATGGCGGCGAGGCGCTTGAATTGCGGGTACCAGTTGTTGAGGAGGGAGGTGCGGAAGGGGGAGCCGTCGTCGGTGATGGTCTGGTAGGTGTCGATGAGGCCGTCGACGATGGCTCGGTCGGTGGCGGGGAAGAAGTATTTTTTCAGGTAGGTGCCGAGTTCGGACTTTGTGGTGATATTGGATTGGAAGAGCGCGAAGAGGGTGCCTTCGTCTTCCTGGTTGCCCGTGATGAAGGGGACTTTGGCGTATTTGCCTTTTTGGATGAGGACGTCCACGGACTCTGTGAGGGTGCGGCCATCCGGGCGCGGAAGGTACGAGAGCGCTACGGAGTTGTACGAGAGGATTCCGGGAACCGAGTTGGCTGCGTTGAGGAAGGTTGTGTAATCCTTGGAACGGAGGCAGGCGAGGGTGTCGGAAGCAGAAGAGCATCCAGCGGCTGCCACGACCTGAGAATACGTTAGTGGTTGCAATCAAGGCCGCTAGCATGCAGAGTTTACCTTGTTATATACCTGTTGGCCTTTCTCGCCGTCCACAGGGTCAGCTGGAACCACAGTGCCCGAGTTCATGATGCCCGCCCTAAAAAGCGGCTTGCCTTTATACTTATTGTTTCCGTCAAACAAAGCCATTTGGTCGAGCACCGAGATGGAACCCGCAGACTCCCCCCAGATGGTTACCTTATCGGGGTCACCGCCGAAAGCCGCAATATTGTCAGCCACCCACTGCAAGCCCAATCTCTGATCCAGCAGCCCAAGGTTCGCGGATCCATCAGCGAGGATTTCCTTCCCCGGCATGAAACCAAAACCACCGACGCGGTAGTTGACAGCAACAAAAATAATCGGCTTGCCCTGCTTGACCGACTCTGCGATCAAACTCGTTCCGTCGTACATGGACGTAGAGCCGAGCTCAAACCCTCCGCCAAAGATCCAGAACAGGACTGGCAATTTGGAGTCTTTTGTCGTCCCCTCGGGTCGCTGCACATTGATGGTGAGGCAGTCCTCCCCGGCGTTGGTGATCTGCTGAAAGAGGGGCAGATTGAGGACCTGCCCAAGGGCATCAGTGGGAATACTGCCGCCATCGACGCTGAAAAAGAATTGAGGGCAAGCCCTGGGAGTGCCAGTCCCGTCGACCCGGCCAACGGCCGAAGTCAATGGCTGCGGGGGCTTGAGACGGAGCGGTCCGACGGGCGATTTTGCAAAAGGAATGCCATTGAATGTGTCAACCCCGAGAAGGCTTCGTCCCACAACAGTAGCTGCTGGTGATGGAGCGACCACGGTAGGTGCTGCTCGTTTCACAAGGGCCGGCGCTGCGAAGACCACGGGCGCAAGTGTGAGGAAAAGAGAAGCCTTCATCTTTGAATGGCGTGCCCAAGGCCCGGGAACAGTGCCGAAGCTTGTCTGAACAACGGCCGTCCTCCAGAAGGTATCTTCCTCGCTGTCAGTCTTTTATGGTGTTCCACTCCACCCTCTTCAAGGCCTTCGTAGCGGCGCGTCCTCGGTTGAGAAGAGGAATCATAGTTCATGTGATACCATCTTGCCCTGGATTGGGTTGGTTTTCCGTTCGCGCATGCATGTTATACCTTGGCCAGGTACACGGTTGGAGATTCGTTGTAGTGGAGGAGCAAACTCCTACCGTATCTAACCTAGGTTCCTCCACGTGTGGCCCAATAGTTGATTCAATCGACCAATGACGGAATGTGCTCACTGGGATTGGCAGGGGTAAGGCTAAGGGTGCTGAAAATATGGGGTTTGGAACGGATAGCTTATGGCCGGCGGAAGCTTGGTGGTGTGGAGAGCCCCATGGGGAAGCCCAGGTTCACTCAGATTCGGTGAACCAAGGCACAAGTCTCCGGCTTGGTCTTACTGGGCCAACCCTCGGAAAACGGGGAATGGCATGAGTTAGAATTGATAGCCGGCAATATAATGCGTACATGACTGGAATCCGGGATATTCAGTTTCTCGCTTCCGTGAGGCGGGAACAGGTGTTCTGCGGCCGCCTCACATAATGAGGGATAGCAGGTTCCATTTGCGGATACGGCAACCCCATGTATACGAACGGTAACGCTCGATGGACGATCGACGATGAGGACTGGCATATTCGCGCGCAGAAACCCAGCATGTATGTACTCTATATTGCCGAACACGGAGTACGCAGTTCCGGCCTGATCGGTCCAACCCAAAGCCGGAGTCATGAGGCCATCGTGAATCGTGATCACCTTGTCCAGAGACGCAGGAGTCTGTGACCGGTTGATTTCTACCGTAGGAAGTAGGCGCTTAGAAGCCGTAAGCCCACGAGTGTAATCATCGGCGCAAAGTCGAATTTGGTATTTCTCCACGATGCGGAGGTTTTGCCCAAAAGAAAATGCGGGGTAACAGACGAACCCCGGATTTCCAAGCTCCAACAATAACGATGCCAACTCCACGACGCATACACCGCTATGGCGGCCCTCGGCAACGTCGATGCGCTAGGGAAGCGGAAAGTTGAGTTCCATGTGATGGCCCAGAGGGATTCAGGAGGTACGGAGTTCTGATTTCCTGAGAGGGCATTGTTGAACCAACATGGAGGATGATGGGTACGAAATAAACAGGAGAATCTCCAAACGAGACTAGAATATTCCCGAGATATGGAACAAACCTTGGAGCATACTGCATAAGGACCGAATTTAGAGCAGCAGACTTACCCCGATACCTACCTCAGCGGAGCTTTGACGGCTTACCGAACTGAGTCGAGAGATGCTCACAGGGCTTGCAGAGCCGCTCTCCTCTACTTAAAGTCAGTTAGAGCTCCTGAATTTCGAATTTCAGCTCAAGCATATCTTGTGGGCCAAGATACAGACTGCTCTTATCCGTGGACTCGAACGAAAGTCATACATCCCGTTCACGTAGTTCGTTTCGGGAAATCCTCCAGAAGTTAAGTAGAAGGTAGATGTTCGAATATATGTCTTTCAGAAGAAGAGAAATGCCTGTACAGTTGTCAAAGCTCGCTGATTTTGAAACAGAGAATCCAGAGCCGGCCTCGGGAACCGCTGCACTTGAGAGGGAAACAAGTCAGAGACATTATACAGGCGAGCTGTTCGAGGACCTGAAGCTTGCAAGAGGAGAGGCAACAAACACTTTGCGATAGCATCCTATCCGGAATATACGCACAACATTGTGACTATGTAGACTGCCCATTCCTGAGTCTAAGGCACAAGTGTTGAGCAATCCCAGCCTTACATAATCCCAAAAAGGGTTGTCCCTCTGACGTCATACACCCCGCTCAACTTCGACACTGCCATAGCCTTGTGGGTTGAGCTCACAACAATTAAGCTTTGCCAAACTTGAAGCAAGCTGTGACCCTAAACAAAACGAACCCTTCTGAAAGACCCTGAAACGACGATAGACGGGTCGGATTTGTTAACTGCTCCCGCCAACACATCTACTGGTACTAACAATTGGCCGCCATTGACCACGAAATGCACGGCAAGCGGGGGCCCCAGTTCCCTCTGACGTCTTCCCATCTCTGTAGCTACCTGTAGTTGTAATCTGTTTGTCCCTCTGAGCAAACGTGACACCTGCATACTATGTACTCTGTATGAAGCGGAACGCAGGTGGCTGATCTCATCTTGGAGACTCATGTTCGTGGCAGCCACGACGTCATCGGCCCCTTTGGAGGTATATCAACCACACTCGACTTCACCCCTTGTCACACCAACATCAACTCTCGTACCCATTCCCAATCGCTACTCCTCCACCAAAACCCATTCACAATCTCGAGAGAAACAATGGAGACGATTCACAACGTGGCAGCGGCAGCCAGCAAAGCCATTTGGGGCGAGCAAAACACCGACGCAACGACGCAGAATGAGACCGGAGGCCAGGAGCCGATCTCAGGTGAGCAGGGCAAGGGTACGCCCAATGAGCCCTTTGACCAGGGCAACTCGGGTAAGTCGCTTGCTCAATATCCCTACATTCTGGGAATCCATTTTGTCTTGCGAACGTCAGCGCCCGCGAAGACGTAAACAAAAGCTGACAGTGCTTATCAGAGGATCGCACCAAATTGAACGAAACTGGAGGCGTTGAACCAATCTCCGGTCTGCAAGGCAAAGGAACGCCCAATGAGCCCTTTGATCTGGGTAACTCGGGTAGGTGCTCTGCCTCTTGGAGAGCCTTGGGTCGAACGAGGAGGATACGCACGACGACGTCACTGAGCGAAGAGAGTGCAGGAGCCTACTAACTCTATACAGAGAACCCCGTCCCCTCGTGGACCGATACAAATACAACCTCCGAACCAAACACAACCTCCACAGAACCTCCTCTCACCTCCCTCCCAACTCAACCCTCTCCCCGCACAGAACCAACCAGCACCATGTCCGACACCACCCGCATTCCCAACAACCCCATCAACGCCGCAACCGGCGACTCTGACCCCTACAAAACCACCGAGAAAACAGGCATCATAAGCGACCGTCAAGGCGACGCTCCCAAAGCCGAAGACGTCATCCCCACCGAGCGTGCCCTCAATACTGGCGCACCTCCCACCTCCGACACACCACCCCAAGTCAAGCACCAAGGCGCCGACGCTCCAGGAGACGTCCCCTCACCCGACCAACACGCCGCCATCGTAGACAAGAAAGACGACGTTGAGGAACTGCTCCAGAAGCGCGACCCCAACGACCACTCCGGCTCACCCATGAGGATGCACGACGGCACCGAAAACACCATCCCGACCACCCAGGAGGAACGCCGCGATTCCAAAGCGGGTATGCCTGGAGGCCAGGAACACGGCAAGCCGCCCAAGGGCACGGGTGAGCAGTGGGTCAAGTCCACGGGCATGGCCGCCGAGGGTGGAGACTTCGATGCTACGAAGCCCGGCGCTGGCCGCGAAGCCGATCGTATGTGGTATAAGCTCTCAAGACAGTTGTGCAAGGCTGACATGCTCGCAGGTTTGATGGAGGAGGCTGGCATCAAGAAGTCGACGGAGCAGCAGCCTACGACTAGCGCCGGGTCGCCGGGGACCAAGGAGAAGGAGAAGTTGAGTGAGAAGATTAAGCACAAGTTGCATATTGGGAAGAAGTGAGGACTTACTTGGCTGGGGTTGACCAGGTTCCGGCTTCTTTCCCTGGACATCGATCGGACTTCTGCTGTGTATTTATAGCTTGTCGGTCTTTCATAATCGGCGTGGAACGGGTAGTTTCATCTCATCAGCTAGCGCTGTGGGTTTAATGAATCATGACTGTTATCTCTTGCACTTCGTAGGTACTCGTTACGTCCCTTACCTAGGCAACTAGGTATAACCTGCCTTATATCTGATGTATATGAATGCCTAACACCTGAAGCTGCTCCTTTCACCGGTCCATTATAATCATGTCTATATTATTGAAAACGGCTCCTAGCTTACCATGTACGTCGTTGGCATCCTCATTGCTATCAATCAGGCGAACGTCAAATCACAAAATGAAAAAAGTTATGCTCCGAGCCTCGAAGACTCCGTTAGTGTTCACAAATTACAACCAAACCTTCCTTCACCCAAACGAGTCAGAACGACCCCAATCTCGACACAAACCGTTGGAGCAACACGATTGCAGAGACACGACCGAATGTAACTTTATGCAAAAACTGCCTTACAACCCTAAAAACACAAGATGCCGCTAAAGCGAGAGTGGAGCCAGGAATAAAGGGGTACTTGATACAAAACGCTATATCCAAAGCTCAATGACAACCAAAGGAGACAACCAGACTAGACTACAACCCGTAAGGATCCAAGACTCCAGTATGCACAAGGCCCGCGACGGGATTACGGATTTATCCTGACATAATTTCCTATCGCCCACGGTTAGCAACCATGAATGATGAATGCTTCAACGATAGCAGACTTACCAGGAAACTGGCCCGTCTTCCCCCTCACCCGTCCCGTCCACCACTCCTGGTCATTCTGCGTCCTCGTGACAATCTCAATCACATCGCCCGTCAAGAAGCTCAAATCGCCCTCCGCCTGCGCCTCGTAATCGTACAGCGCCGTGCACGTTTCCGGCGGCGGCGCACCGCTCAATCGCGCGGGCTTCGGTTTCGGCGGCGGCGGCGCGGCCCCTTTGGCCTTCGCCGCGGAGCCCCAACTCGTCGCCGATAGCGGTGGTGTGAGCGAGTTGTTCGCGGGCCCCGGGCTGTATGGGGGAGGCGGCGCATCATCGGATATGGTTGAGGTGCGACTTGAGCCTGCTTTCGCTTCTTGGGCCTTGTTGCCGTATTTCGAAACGGCTCCGGGCCTGCGGCCGCCTGTAGTCTTGAACTTGGTGATGGAGAGGGCTTCGGCGTGGGCTTGGACGTCGCCGCGTTTCTTCTCGAAGGCGGCTTCGATGTCGAGGGTGAGGTCGAAGTAGCCAATGTCGATGCGCTGCATGCGCTCGTGGAGGGTGTAGAAGACGTTGAGTTGCATGTAGTAGAAGGATTGGAAGAGGGGTTTGATGAACTCGCGCTCTAGCCTGAAGAGCTTGGGCAACTCGTCCTTGAGCAGGTCGTTGAAGTAGTTGAAGTCCTGTGTAGCCTGCTCCACGTCGTTTTCCGCCTTGTACATGGCCTTTTCGTCCTTGAGCGTCTTATCCTTTTTGTCCTGCAACTTCTTCAGGGTGGCGCGGTGGCGGTCGTAGTCGAGCTGCTTGTGGTCGCGCTTAACGGCGATTTTGCGAACTGCTTTGATGATGTCCAGGAGCTCGTCTGCCGGCCGGATGACGCGGCTCTCTATCATTTCAAGCTCCGGTGCCAACGTTTCTTGGAGCTCTCTGACGATTGCTTCGTAGTCCTCGCATGCTCTTATACCCTCGGTGTTTCCTTCCTCGATGAAAGAATCGGGGTCGGACATGCGCCCGGAGATTGGCTTGTATATCTCTTGGATGGCTTTGGAAAATTCGATCTGATGGTTGAGCATGCCTAGCGGAGGTGGTCAGCAGGAGTTTCAGATACCCATGACCGCCGGGAATACCATTTATGGCCTCAAAGTACCTGGGAATGTTAGTGCTATGCATCAGGATGCGCAGAACAAGCCGACACATACTTCTTGGACTCTTCGTGGAGTTTCTTCGTCTCCTTCTCCAACTCTTGAAAGCGTCTTTCGGCATCGATGTAGATGGGGTCCTTTGTGATCTCACCCTGTAACCCAAAAAGATCAGTGAAAGCCCTACCACAATCGCCGAGGCTCTTGACTGGGTTGTTTTGGCGGACGTACGATGTTGAAGCGCTGCTTGATTGACTGCGGCGTCTGTAGGTATCCGGTGGTTAGCCAGAGTCAAGTTATGTAGCTGGATTCGTGGTTTTCCGTACCCGGACGACGCTCTTCGTCAGGCCCTTCCAGCTCATGGGTGGGGGTTGGGTTCACAGGTGCTATAGAGATGAAGAATCCTCGATTGCAGGCGAGTACACTCCAGCTGCTGCGGGTTCTGCTAGAGAGTTTGAGGCCGGAGGTGTGCTGGTGCTGGGACGGATTCCTGGAGGCTTCTCTTCAAGTCTTCAAATGTCCCTTGTGCTTGTGCTGGGTCAGGCTATGACGACTTCAGGCGTGGCTGAGCTGACTTGTCCCCCTGGCCGCTGTGGCAGAACCTTGGCGAAAGCGTGACCGAGCCGAGGCTGATGTGGTGCGTGTGTGTGCTAAGAAGGGAATGGTGCGGATATCGTACGGCTGAGGGGGAGGGAGAAAAGTTAATAACAGGCAGAGAGGAGGGTCAAGAAGCAGTGCTGCCCATTGAAATACTCCGTACAGCAGATTACTGATTCACCGTTCTCTGATGGCTGCTCTTGCTGCTGCCGTTTGCGGAGAGTTGGCGGGTGCGCCTTCCAACAAGTCTCTCGCTTACGCAAGCACCTCTCGCCCGATCCCCATCTGATAACTAGCTTCGACGAAGCTCCAGGCAAATTCTTTCAACATCATCTCCTCCTCCGCTTTCCCCTTCCCGCGATGTCGACCATTGCACCCTCATTCGCGAGGCAGGCCCTCCGCGTCGCGTCTCGTGGCTCTTCGGCGTCTGCCTTCTCCCGCGGTGCCTCCCGCGCCGCCCTCACACAATGCATCAACTCGCGGCGGAGTTACGTCTCCGAGACCAAATCCGCCAATGCCACCGTCAACCTAGAGACGACCATCAAGGCCGATCAAAAGGCCTTCCTGCAGGAGACGGGCAAGCGTCCTGAGGATGTCAAGATGCCCACCACCGGCTTGGATGCTGATGCTATGATGAGCCCCACTGCCGGCATTCTTCATCATGCCACCGTCATGGACCAGGGAAGTCGACCCATCTATCTCGACATGCAGGCCACTACGCCTTTGGATCCCCGAGTCTTGGATGCCATGCTGCCCTACATGACCGGCCTCTACGGCAATCCCCATTCGCGGACACACGCGTACGGCTGGGAAAGTGAGAAGGCTGTCGAGCAGGCCCGAGCGCACCTGGCTGAGCTCATCGGTGCCGATCCGAAAGAGATCATCTTTACGAGCGGCGCGACCGAGAGTAACAACATGAGCATCAAGGGTGTGGCTCGCTTCTACGGTCGCGGTGGCAAGAAAAACCATATCATCACCTCTCAGACAGAGCACAAGTGCGTGCTGGACAGCTGTCGGCATATGCAAGAGGAGGGCTTCAAGGTCACCTACCTTCCCGTCCAGAGCAACGGCCTCATCGATTTGAAGCAGCTCGAGGAAGCGATACGGCCCGAGACCTGCCTTGTTAGCATAATGACCGTCAACAACGAGATTGGTGTGGTGCAGCCTATAGAAGAGATTGGCAGGCTATGTCGATCCAAGAAGATCTTCTTCCACACTGATGCCGCGCAGGCGGTCGGGAAGATACCCATTGATGTTAACAAGATGAACGTCGATCTCATGTCCATCTCCGGCCATAAGATCTACGGTCCCAAGGGAATCGGCGCTTGCTATGTACGACGGAGGCCCAGAGTCAGACTTGACCCCATCATTACAGGTGGCGGTCAGGAGCGTGGTCTCAGGAGTGGTACTCTCGCACCTCATCTTGCCGTGGGCATTGGTGAGGCTGCAAGGATATGCAAAGAGGACATGGAGGTACGTTTATGCATTCGTTTCATCGTTTCTCACGAGGATTATTTGCTTTTAAACATGCATGGCTTTCAGAGTGTTAGGTGGCTTCGGCCGCCGACTCGCCATGTTGACAATTGTGCAGGGGTTATGAGATTGTGTATTCAGAAGCTAGTTTGATTGGGGCAACCTGATAGAACCAGCGCTAACTTGCTTCTAGTACGATTCAAAGCGTATCACAAGCTTGTCGAACCGTCTACTGGATGGTCTTCTATCGATGGAGCACACGACCCTGAACGGCGATCGCGAGAGGCATTACCCTGGCTGCGTCAACGTATCATTTGCCTATGTTGAAGGAGAGTCCCTCCTCATGGCGCTGAAGGACATTGCCCTCTCATCTGGCAGCGCTTGCACATCAGCTTCTCTGGAGCCCAGCTATGTTCTCCGAGCTCTTGGAAGCAGTGATGAGAGTGCACACAGCAGTATCCGGTTCGGTATCGGTCGGTTTACGACGGACGCCGAGATCGACTATGTGCTCAAAGCCGTCAGTGAGCGCGTAACATTCCTCCGAGAGCTCAGTCCACTCTGGGAGCTGGTGCAGGAGGGTATTGACTTGAACACGATCGAGTGGAGCCAGCATTAGGCATTCCAGTTGGCTTGTACGATGTATCATCTTGACATTTTCTGTCTTTTTACGGCGTCTTTGTGATGGGCACGCTCGTTAGGCGTTCATGGAGAAGGGGTTCGGAATCCGTTTGCCTCGAATCTCCAGTTGTAGGGTGTTATAAAATGCTCTTGTGGCTCGTCTCGAAGCCTTCAATATACCCAATCACTATTGCGCGCAACACCTTCCTCAGAGAGATACTTACCAGAGTCGCATATAAATCAATGTTTTCAAGTTCGACATAAACATGCTCACCTTCGTAAGCTAGAGATTGGCCGACGGCGTCGTAATGATTCCATGTAGACTATTTTCCGTATATCTCGGAGGTTGGTTCTGAAGGTTAGCCCTAACCCTTGTCTGACCTCATCCACGCCTAAGCTCCCCCCACGTTCCACTCCGCATCTCGACCACGACATGACCGCCGTGCCAGAGAAGGTGCTGAACTGGCTATACAGCGTTCTACCCAGTGTAATACCGCCCCTACCGTACTAGCTACTCACCCGCTGACACACCTGGACAGGAATATACGGATGTGAATCGCACATATCACGACGTCGTCGAAACCCTGTCCCACTACCCATCGCTCTCCCCGCGAACAGAAGTATACAGTGCGCAGCCCGTACCGCTACCTCTTTGGCTTCTTCTATATACTGAAGTCTCTAGCTTATGAGAATGGAGCCTCTGCGCTACTCCTGCTACTCAGCGGAACCCTCCCAGTAACCTTTCGCGGCGCGACGTATGGCTTTCCCGTCGCGATATGGATACCACACGCCTACCCCAGAGAGTCTCCGATTGTATATGTCACGCCGTCCCAGGACATGCTGGTGAGACCTGGGCAGCATGTCAGCGGTGAGGGAAGGATATACCATCCGTATCTGGCACAGTGGGGGAAGTATTGGGATGTAAGTGCAAGTGCACCCTATGTTGTAGGTAAGGATACTGATACGGCACAGAAATCAACCATATTCGACTTTTTAGCTGTCTTAAGAGGCGTCTTCGCCAAAGAGCCTCCACTCCGCTCGAAACAGGCACCCGTAAACGCAACTGCAGCACCCACACCTCCTCCAGTACCGCCTCCGCCTCCAGAATGGCGGCGCTCTGTCCAAGGTTCTCATGGGCCATCTTCATCTCCCGGTCCAACAAATCAGGAATCGGTTCCGCCTCCCAAACCGCCAAAGCCGTATGAGAATACTGGCGGAACTCTGAACCCTCCGGCACAGCTCGAAGACAGGTATAGCCGACCGCCGCCCTTACCTCCGCATCCCCCTCAACCACAGGAGCAGCGATATAGGCAACCTTCGCGAGATGCCTATGGCGGTCCAAGTCACGGGCAGCAGCATCGTACACCTCCCGGTGCAGCACCCTCAACAGGCTATGACATGCAGCTACCAGCACCAGGACCTATGCAACCACAAGCGGAAGCTCAAAATTTACCCAGCTATCAGCGGAACTCGTATGAAATCGGCAGTCCTGTGAGCCCCATCACCCCGGATGACAGATATCGGAGACCGGCTCCTCTTCCACAGCCAGCGCAACGCTCCGCTAGCCAACAGTATCAACCCGCACCGCCTCACCCTCAACCCCATAGTCGGTATCCGCCGGCTCCCGCACAGTACGCTCCACCCGCACAGGGATACCCTCACCCTCAACCTCCATACCAGGCAGCTCAACCAGTCCCACCCGTGCCCAAACCTCCTGTAAACCTCATAGACGATCCGCTTGAGGTCACACTCCCTTCACAGGCAAAGGACCAACCCGCAATACCCGTCCCACCCGTCCCCCCGAACCCAGAGAAAGATGCACTCCTGCAAGCCCTCAGCCAAACCCTCTGCGCTCAGATCCGCCAAACCGTCACATCGAATACATCCGCTCTCGCGCCCCTGCGCTCACAACAAGCGGCCCTTCAAACAGCCTACTGGACCTTACAAAACGAGCTCCATCAGGTGCAAGAGCTTGATGCTGCGCTCGCCTCGAACGAGAAGATCCTGCAGGAAACGATGAGGGAGGCGGATCGCGTCATGGAGGAGGCGCGCACGCGGAAGGTGCCTGATGTGGATGACGTGTTGGTTGCGCCTACGGTGGTCGGTGGCCAGTTGTATAACCTTGCTGCTGAGGAGAGAGCCATTGCGGATGCGTTGTTCGTGCTTGGGAAGGCGTTGGATAGGGGGAGGGTTGGCGCGGATGTCTTTGTCAAGGTATGTATTGATCCCCCAAAAAAGTGAAGATGCGGGTTGGCTAATGTTTGTGCAGCAAACGAGGAGTCTGGCTAGAGAGCAGTTCTTGAAGAAGGCGCTTATCAAGAAGATTGCGAAGGGGTTGGCTCTTGATGAGTTTCCGGTGCGGTGAGTTTTGCAAGTGGAGGGAGCTCAAGTGGGCATGTCAAAGTAGAGCATAGCTTCATACGGTAAGGTCCGAGCATAATATCCAGAATCCATATCCTCATCTAAGGGGCCACCCAGATCTTCACCGGTGAATGTGAACTCCAAGTGAAGAAGGTGAAGACCTCCCTCAATTGATGAGATGAAGCGCGCACGGACCACTCATCCCGCAGTAAACTGTAAACAATACCCACCACCAACAACAGGGCAACTACACCCATCCATACACAATCCACACAACCCACCACAAGCACAATGCCACCCCGCAACACCCGCGCAAACATATCCTTCACCGTGGACTCGGCCTCGGAAGATGAAATGGCGCGCGACACGTTCCCGACGCCCGACTCCAACACGGAAAACAAGGAGGCGAGACGAGGGCGCGGCCGGCCCCCCGCGAAAGCAGCAGAAGCTAGTACGAAGACGAAAGCGGCGACGAAGAAAGCGAAACCGGCGGCGCGTCGGGCTAGCGGTGGGAGCGTGCTGGGTGTTAGGAAGCAGGGGGCGGGGGTTGCGAAGAAGAGCGGGCATAGGGGGCGCGCGGAGCGGAAGGTGGAGGGTGTGAGCGAGACGGAGGAGGTGGATGAGTTTGATGGGGAGGTTGCGCCTGTGGAGGAGACGAAGCCTGTTACGAGGAGGGGGAGGCCGGCGAAGGTGAAGAAGGCGGAGGAGGAAGAGGAAGAAGAAGAGAAGAAGACGAGTGTCGCTGTGGCAGTAGATCCATCTAGGAGGACGCGCAAGGCAGCGGAACCGGCGATAGCGACGAAAAAGAACGCAGCGAAAGCGAAGTCGAGCACGACTTCGAAAACCTCGAAACGCGCGCCCAAAGAGGAGCCGAAACCTGAGCCGGAGGAGGCAGAGATGACGATCCAGGAGACACAAGCGGAGCCAGTGCCACCTGAGCCCATGGATATTGAGGACTCGATTGAAGCGCTGGATGAGATACCGGAGTCCATGCCACCGCCCCCGAGATCAACCGCACGCCGGCCCGTACAATCTCGATCGCGCCAACCGTCCGCTGGACCCCGTCGAGCGGGGAGCGTGTCAGACACGGAGCGCGGCGACCCGGCGCTGAGGCGGAAAGTGGGCGATCTGACCAAGAAGCTGGATGCCATGACGGCGAAGTACGAGAACCTCAGGGAGTTGGCGACTTCGCAGCGGGAATCGAATTTCGAGCAATTGAAGCGGCGAACGGAGCAGGTTGCTAAGAGTAAGCGCTCAGCATTTCCGTTGCTTTTTTGCACGCAAGTAGGCTAACTAGGAGTAACAATAGACCAAGACGGCGTCATCAAAGCCTTGAAGCAGCAAGTATCAGACATGCAATCGCGCTCCACGGACCTCTCTGCAGCGAAGAAAGAACTCGCCAAACTGCAAAAGGAGAATTCGCGGTTAGAAGCCGAGAATAAAACGCTGACGGCATCCCTCGATGGCGCGCAAAAGGAAATCAAAACCCTGTCGACGAAACTCGCCGCTGCCAGATCGTCTGCTCCCACGGACAAAGTAGTACCAGGGAGCGCGGTCAAAGCAGCGCGTCCTACGGGCGTGGTGCTTCCCGGGGCAGTCGAAGCGGCCAAGGAGGCGCAGCAGAAACAGCTGAAGCTTGATTTGTACAGCGATTTGACCAATCTGGTGGTGCTGAATTGTAAGAAAGGTGAAGAAGGGGAGGATGTGTTTGATTGTCTGCAGACGGGGAGGAATGGAAGTACGTCGCCTTTCCCCTTTTCCCTCATTCCCCTATTCCCTATTCAATCCCAATATCCCCCTCGTCACACATTTAGAAGACATCACCAAGCTAATTCCCCCTTTCTCCAGCACTGCACTTCCAACTCTCCATCCTCAACGACGAGGAAAACTACGGCGACGCCCAGTTCGTGTATACCCCGCTGCTGGACGAGAAGCGCGATGCGGGGCTGTTGGACCTGCTGCCGGATTATCTGACGGATGAGTTGGAGTTCCCTAGGAATCAGGTCGCAAAGTTTTATGAGAAGGTAGCGGGGAGTATGAGTCGGGCTGTGGAGCTTGTCGAGTAGACAGACGGACGGACGGGGTGAGAGGGGATAGGTGGGGCGGGGACGGTAATGCGGTTTTGCTTGAAGTGTACGTGTGATTCATCATATGGCGTTGGGAAGGGTGTTGGGAATGGGCTGGGCTGTTGGGGTTGGGCTTGCACGCGTTATGATTGATACCATGGCGTAAGAAATATTGGGGTCCTCGTGCAGTTGCTTTGGCATCGGCATATTTATAATGTACAAAGTTACTCATTCAGAGCTTCGCCACATAGAATATGGAGCAGTGCCAACGGGAAGAACATGAACTTTAGAACACAAAGACGGGCAATCCGAGAGTGCAAGGGCCTATTTCGCTGAATGCAAACCGATCATGCTGTTGGTACATTTGCTCCTGTTATCTACACATATCCCTTCCTCTTCCCCCCCCCAACGGCCAGATTATCGCGTCCCTTAACCCCAGGCTCATTCGCTCGATGTCGCAGCCCAAATTCGCATAACCGGCTCCTTCGCATGACGATTTCGATACATGCATGGATACGTTTTAGTGCTTCTTCTCGCCCTCGGCCTTATTGACATAATTCCTACACGCAATCGTCAGCTCACCGTCCCCATCCTCACAGGATCATTGTGGTTATCTGCTGACGTCCAAGCTAGCTAGCTAGGCTCGACCCGGCGGCGACCGATCCTCGGGATAGTCGACGTACTTTATAAAAGTCTCCTCCTCCTTGCTCTTTGCGTTTAGCGGCGGGGTCTGCTGCTCCTCGGGTTTCTTGCCGCCGCGCATCGCGAGCCAGGCGCCGCCGAAGGTCGTGCCGAGGGTGGCCATGGCGAGCTGGAAGGGAGAATGTTAGCAGTTTTGTATCGTTTATGTTTGGTAGAACTGTAGTATGCCGGTTGCGATCGCATTGACACGTCGGATCTGCCAATTGCAGCATGGGCATTCGTCTGAGACCCCAGATTTGCAAGATTCTGGTCTCAATGGACGGAGGCGCAGAGGCGGAGTGACAATGGCAATGCGGGACGCGGAGCTCCAGCGACCAGGACGAATGGAAGGGAAGGAAACGTACGACGTGCGATCCGACCTGGCGGCCAAAAACAGTGTACATAGCAACCATCTTTGCGGATTGGAGGAGGGTTGAACACGGCCGGTTGGGACGGTGAAGGAGTGCGGAGATGGGGAGCAGTACGGGAAGGGCTGGTGCTCTCCGAGGGACGGTGATGTTGAAGTTTTTGATGACTAAGGTGTGGCTGGTACAATTCGTGGCTGGTACAGTTTTGTGGCTGTGCGAGCTGCGGGAAAGGTGACGTCGGAGGAGCTCAAAGTCGGGTGAGCTTGAGCGCTGGTTTTGGATTCACAACCCAAGGTTTTCACGCACTTTTGACTCTTCACTGTGAATTTTTCCTTCGCAATCACCCAAGACATACGCATAAGAGATAGACCAGGAATCGAAATCTACGACAGCATGGCCAACAGAAACGGCAACAACACCGGCAACAGCAATGATAAGCCGAGCGACCCTCCTCCCGACTTCAGCGTACTCCCACCTCGCAAGAAGCTGCCTAAGGCGCTGCAAGAGACTCTAGATAATGAGGAGAAGCTATGGGACGTCTTGTATGAGGGAACGTGAGTGCTTCAACCTCTCCCAAAACGATGGCTGCCTTGCACAGTACCGATCCAAATGCTGACGAAATTGCATGGATATAGAGCAGAAGACTCCACCGAATCGCCTATCCGTTATGCCGCATACGCATCCCGCATCCGAACCATCATGCTCAGCGCCCACCGCTATGTCGCGTACACATCTGACATCGGCGAGTCGTTCCGGCCGGTTGCGCATCCGTGGCTTGTTCGCAGCGCATATGGTATATCGTGGTTGTATCTCGCGGGCGACGTTTCATATGAAGGATATAAAGCATACTTGCGGAACCAAAGGGTTCTGCATCCGGAGCACCATGCCGCAGAAGTGAACGTTCCTACCACCAACACCACCAGCACGAGCAGCAACAGCAGTAGCCACATAAACAAAGGAGTCTCTGCATTACAGAAAATGGGCGAAGGACTGGGCGTGAAGCCTGGCGCAGGGAACCCTCTCACTCGTGGGGAAGTGGTTCCGCGACGTGTCTCTGCCATTGAGGATTACAGGACAGTGATGGCGCAGAGAGCAGTGTTCCAGGCGGTGGCTAGTATGGGGTTGCCGGCGTTTACGATTCATAGTATTGTGAGGTATTCGGGGCGTGCTATGAAGGATGTCAAGAATAAGACGTTGAGGACCTGGGGGCCTATTGGGGTAAGATGAATAAGCTCTCTTTGATACCTTTCTCCCATTTCAACGCTTGGGCTAACGGCTTTGGCAGCTTGGTCTAGCGGCCGTTCCGTTCCTGCCGTACGTGTTCGATGAGCCGATCGAGAAGGCTACGGAATGGGTATTCTATAATGCTTTCAGGGCGATTGGAGGCGAGAAGGCGGTGGAGGGGCGGTCGCCAACGGGTCACCATCATCGGGAAGCGGTCAAGGAGAAAGAGTTATAGACAAACCTTGTTTGATGGCGGGTACAGCTGCCATCCAGCGAGCTTCGGGTTTGCATGTTAACGCCTAGTCGACCTTCCCAATCGGATGGCGGCAACTACGGTTGGTAGACTCAGGGTACCACGATGTACAGAAGAAGGAAGGGGTTAGGTGAGTGCGACTTTATTGTGTGTATAGAGGCCAGCTCTCCTCGCATGGATGTGTATATATATAATAAGCATTTGACTCGAATCAGCAATCGGACGATGTGTATGCCACTATACACATAATATCTCCCAATCTTCTCCCCCTTAAGCTGATTTCGGGCTGCTCCGAAAGGCGAGGGTGCGCCTCCACCAGGCTGGATCTCGGGCTGAACATCGAGCTGAATGAACATCGAGCTGAACATCCAGCCGAGAGCTCCCGATCACCAGCGCCGTTACGTTCCCACCGCCTCCCACTTATATTAAGGAAACCGATGAGAAAGGCCCGCAGTCCTATTTTTTCCGTGCCTGAAACCACTCACCTTCAACCTTCAACTACTTGAATTGGCTGTTCGGCATATGATTATGATGGTTAGTTAGTGATCTGCTCGTTAACGTTTGCCTTAGGATGGTGCTCCAGGGCTGCACCAATCCTTCTATACGCCTCAGCCTTGCGGAATTGACGCAGAAATCTCAAATACTACTCAGTAGGGTACATGATAAAGCCTGCTGCCAGGTCCTTCGCCTTTTGAACCGGAGCATATATTTTTGTCATGAAAACTACCTGCTATCTGAAAGTTGCTCTCAAGGCCATATGATATATGCACGCCATCAACCTCTATCCTGCTGCCTCTTGGCGGCAGCCCTATTTGGGGATATTGCGATCGGTCGTGATTCTATGTTTGACATTTGCAAAGATCGCGTTCAAGGCATTCAAAATGGCACCGCGACATTCCAGGGAATCACCAACGAGACAATCGGACAGTTCCTGCACACTGGTCAAGTGCGAGGTTTGAGCTCTGAGCTGCGAGACAACATCACTGTACTCACGACCCAAGGTATGTCACCGAGCCCCCGACTGGCTAGCACACTGCACATGGCTTATTTCTCCATGAATAGGCTGCAAAGTCATCTGCGAAGATCCTGTGGATTGGTATTGGGCGTCCGACATCACCTTAACCCTCGGAATTGTTTCCAACTGGATCATACCGATCCTCGCGTTGCTTGCTGCCCTGCCTTACGACTCACTGCATAGGAGGAACGACGGAGCCTGTTGGTATCAAGGCAGGGTCATGAGGACGATTGGTGCGCTGTTGAATTGGATCGGCAGCCCACAAACCGCTCTTACTGCGACACTGTTCAACATCCATCAAATTCGCAAATGCTTCCACGCAACAGAAGCATCGGGTGAAGGAATATCCGGAAGTACCGAGTTGCAGCCGCTGAAAAGAGATGCATACTACGTTCTCTGCTGCATGAGCCAATTCAAGCTTTTAGAAGTGGACGCGGAATTTTTCAAGGTCCTCACGTATGGGTTATTCAGGCCCATATGTGATGTGACCGTGGGTGAAGGTGGCGACGCAGGTGGCGTCGCGGATGAAGCCATTCAGAGGAGAGCCAAAGAATGGACCACCGAACTACTCCGTGTGATGGCATTCCAGCTGAGAATGCTGCGCCGGCGTGGTGTGTACCCAACCTTTGTCAGCGTATTCCTGTTCTTCATCGCCTACGCCATCTCCATCGCTCTGGCCTTTGCCGATCTGGGCGAGCGGACGACTACTCACTCGCTCGCATTCGGCATCCTGATTAGCTGGCTTCCTCTTTTCGTTTTGTTTGCCCTCCTCGACCGTAATCCCGTTTCGGCGGATCGAAGCCGGTGAGTTCTGGACCGCACATTCGTGGTATCCTAGATTATGCTAACCGAAATGTCCACCTGTAGGAAACTTATATCTCGCTGGATGTGGAACGTGAATGCGGTAATGGAATGGGCAGCCAGACGGGATAGCACTGACGGGCAACCTGATTGGTGGCACCAAAGTAAAGAGGATGCATATAAGAAGGCTCCTGGTCAACACACTGAAGAGGTTACATTTATACAGTCTCCCGGCCAACACACTGAAGCGGACACATCTGCAGAGTCTGCCGGTCGGACACAAGAGCGCGCTCCACCACCCCGCTTTGATAAGTATATCTCCGAGTTCGTGGGTCAAGGAAGGCAAATCGGGTACAATGGAATGGCATACGCCGTTCTAGTCAGCGTGTACGACACGTCGAATGACAACCGCCAGGTACAGCAGCTCGATGCCATTGTCGAGCAGACGCTGGAGCGCTTGAATGGTCGCCGTCCTGGATCGTGGTGGGTCTTGTCTCTAATCTCTCTAGCAATCGTCTGGCTGGAGATCGGCATGGCTTTCATGATCTCCTACAACGTACCGACGGTCGGTGTTGGCTGTAGATCCATGTCGTATCTCATCTACGGTGGTCTCAGTACTCTGCCTTGGATCATCCAGTTTCTGCCGTGGTTTAGACGTCCCGGAGTGAAGAGGAAGGCGGTATGCCATTTCATCTGCTTGCTCTCTACCCTTTGTCTTATCTTTGTCACCTTTGCAGCCGTAAGTTGACCCTTTTCCCCTCCTACGGTACATACATGGACTGATGGCAGGCATTCGTTTATAGTTCAGCGGGGTTCTCAAAAATTGTACCTGCAGAGGTGGGTTAAGCGGCTATATAGACTTCGAGAACTCGGCCTACTACCGAGAGCACTTCAATGTTGCGAAGTGGTGGAGGGGAGCCGCTGCTGTGGGAGCGATTCCACTATTCGGTAGCTTTCTCGCGGCCGTATTGTTGCTCATGAGGCTGAAGTCTTTATGGCACACATCTGAGCAAAGCAATCCGCTGAGACGGGATGCCGAAGTAGATATGCAATGGTTGATGTAGTTGGCGCTCACGAACCGGTTCCTTAGCGGAGAAAAACTGTATCGTCTCGCATGCAGTTTAGCAACAAATGTTACTTTATAACATCTTTCTATAGAAGGCCTCCGCAGATCGTGCACGGACTCGGATCGTGCACACCCTTGTGGCTTTCGTACACTGAATTTTAAACAAAAATATCTTGCTGAATATGGGTTCAATTGAGGCCGTGCTTGCTGCGTTGGAGTTGCAGGAGTCTCCGAATTACTCTGCAACTGCTGCTGAGTTCAATATTGATCGTACAACGCTATCGCGGCGACATCGAGGCCTCACCACCTCGAAGGCGGTTGGTAACGAAACTCGCAGATTTCTCAGCGACAATCAAGAGTTACAACTCATCAAATATATCAACCATCTTTGCGACCACGGGATACCTCCTACGCCTCAGAT